ATCTGTGAATTCACCCAGATGAGGACCTAATTGAAGAGGGCAGTTGCCAATCGGGTGAGAAAAAATTAAGGAGTCGGTGTCGGTGTAAAGCAATTTGCAATCAGGAGTTCTCACAACCTGTTGCATGGCGTGTAGCAAGTGAATTCTTGCTGCTGATGTGGTCCACAACGAGATGATGACATTTGATGAGTCATGTTCTTCCACAAATTCCTTCTTTTTGCTGTATGAAATAAGAAGTACATCCTCAGTTAGTCCCTCTACTGTATCAATAATAATTGAAGGGTCGTTTGAATATTTGATGTACATAGCAGGGTCGTCCGTAACTACACATTGAGATAATCCAAAGTTACGGAGAGAGAAACGACCCCATAAGTTGTTTAAGCATAATTTGGCTTGCGTCCTCTTTCCTTTATTGACCTTCATTTTCTCCTTGTCGATGATGATTCCAAACTTTTCCTTACATTCTTTGATGAAGTCCTCTTCCTTCTGTTGATCTCCTTTGATGTCGTTGTCAAAGCCGCTGGCGTGAATTTTTTGTGCCATAAATTCACGAATATAAGGACGAAAAAGATTGTCGTCGTAGTTTTTATATTCCAAAACGCGAAATACTTTGGTGACTACATATCCTTCTTTCAATGCCTCATTTAATTCAATTGACGTACAAGTAGAGACCCATCCACGTTGTTGGTTTGTGTGTTTGCAAGTGTAGTTCTCATTCACATCCCCATTTGGATGTTCCTTTGCACAAGTGGAGCAAAGGGGGAATAGAAGTCTTTCATCGTCGTCTCCGATTTTCATAGGTAGGACTGGGATGTCGATGCTGCGCGGAGGTATTACAAAAACTTTCAGAAGAGCCAGTTCATAAGTGTTGTCAGAGGGTTGAGTCCAGTTGACGTCGTTATTTAGAATATGGACCTCGGGGTGACCAATTGGGTAGCGTGTTGTCATATTGATGAAGGGGTACAAGGAGGTCACATCATAGTAGGAAATTTTTTGCCCCTCCCCCGTTTTATGGAATAGTTTTAGTGGTCCGGTTCTCCCCCCAAAGAAAGCCGATCGAATATCGATCGGTCCATTGTCCAAATAATTTTTAAACCTTAGCCTCATGACCCTATCCCTTGAAAGCATCCCCCTGATGTCACACTCCCAATAAACTTCCACGTTTACCCCAAAACTCTCAATAAATTCTAAACGCCTTTCATCCTTTTCTCTTTGCTTCCCTGCTGTAACCCCATTGGGAAGTTTTATTTCATCATAAGGGAAACATTTTCTACAACCATGCCAACAGCATCCATTAATCTCTAACACCAATTTCCTTTCTTCTACCCACCCATCTACCCTATAATCCCCAAATCTCTTTTCCCCTCCTTTAGAATAAGCATTACGTATGTTGACATTGTGTTCTTCAGCATACCAGGCAAGGAATCGAAGAGCAAGCAAACTTTGGGTGTCTGTGTTGTCATATCCAATCTCAGGAACAATGCCAAGGTGTTGAACCGGTAGGTGGTTTGCCCTAAAGTGCTTCATGCATGCACTGGCGATTGTCATTGCCTCTCTCAGAACATCCAATCCATTTGACACATCCAGAAATTCGCGCCTAAATGCAACCAAAGCAGCCATTAGAATTTCCACGTCGTTGGTACAATATGACGCCAATGATTCGACCAGATTGAAAGACTCATCCTTGTGTTCTTCATACCATTTATCAAATTGAGCTCTCTTCTCGGGCATCATCCCATCAGCCAGATAGTCATCCTTCACCGGGAAAATTTCCTTACCATAATTTTCCGGCCTATTTACCAAGTGTGGGAAAAAAGGTTTGTCCTCTACACTAAGTGCAAAGGCAGGGACCAAGGAAGCAAGGGGCATGGGCATTAAATTAAAAGTGTCCCTAAAAATAACCCAATTATCTTTACCAAGTTTTACCTTCATTTCGTATAACTTATTACCTTTTTTAATCATTTCTGGGGTCAACCCTCTAAGAAACAATTCCTTAAACACTAGTACCATATCAAATCTACCCCCAAAGTGTGAGAAAGCAATCGTATCTGTTATTGATGACTTAATTAACCAAGAAACAAATGATGACAGTGGATCTACGATTATATTTTGTTGGTCAACCTTTGTATGATAAAAGGGTTTGTGTGAGAAGGTGATCGTACGGTACTCATCACATATGGAACATTTAGGGTTAGGTCCGTTATTGATACACTCGGGACAGTTTACTTTTACCCCTATAAAGTTAACCTCATGTATTTTACCCTTTTCCCCTTCACGGTGCTGCATGGTTTCAAAATCAAAGGCGATAATTCGGTACGCCTTTGGGGGTTTGATGAGAAGGGGCTTGATGTAACACCCACGCTTAGGATCGTGGTAGCTACCGCACGTTGTGCAATAGCGTTCGGAGCAAATATGACCCTCCCTTCCATTCCTATTATTATTCTTAACACCCCAGATAACCCCACATTTTTTACATTTCTTAGAGGAACTACAAAAATTCGAGGTGATATGGTGGGTGTAACAGTTTTCATTCTTAAAGTTTTTCTCACACCCTTTACAAAATTTTGAAAAATTATCTAAAGGTTTACATGGAAACCCTGGGCCAACCCTTGAACAGTTAAGACATCTAGATTTACACGAAATTGCATGGTTCAATTTCCTATTATAAACGCTTTCACAAGATAAACAGTAGGGTTGACCGAATAAGTCACTAACCTTGCGGACACCATCAAAGTGTTCCTTATTATAATACAAAATTATAGGGATATCAAAATTATCAGGCCCGTATTTATAAATAGGTTTTCCCCCCAAATCCCCGAATATATAAACTTTAAACCATCCTCTGTTCACTGTATTCCATAAGTCAACCACCCGTGGGACCCATTCTTCAGCGCAGTACACCTCTTGATTAAATTCAGCTCCAATCTCTTCCATTAGCTCTAATACATCGTTTTCGAGAAGTTGTTTCATCCCCCTTCGACTATGGAGATAATCATAGAATTTCCATCTTGGCCAGGAAAATATTGCGTGAACAAAAGTAGCCATCAAAGCGTGGAAGAGACAGTAAGTATCAGTATTTCGTATTTTTATAAGGTTTTGTTCATTAATCCTATGATGAATTGTTTGTAGCTCTCTACCGCTACCATGCACGGTTCTAGAATTAAGTCCATCTCTTTGTATAGTTGTTATTGAAACAAGAAAAGGGGCCCCCCATAACATACCATTATCCTGTTTCTTACTCTGGGCAACCTTTAGGAATTGATTCAAAATTGAATCAATTGTGTTGGACGTGATTTCTCGAACCGGGATCCAAATGTCTGAGTCAAGGTTCTGACTCGAAATTATACACCCTAGCTGATCTGGTTCCATTTGTCGTTCATGATTTTCTAATAGAGATTGATCGATACAATACTCAAAAATCGAGCCTAGTAAACCTTCTGGATTATTGGAAACATTTGTGATTATGAATTTGGTTGATAACTTAAGAAGATTAAATTTTTGGGTAAACTTGGTCTCATGACCGAGTTTTTTAACATAGAAGTCAAGACTCTCAGTAGGGGTGATTTTAATTTTCTTGGGAGGGGTAGGTTGCATTTTTGAAAATAAAATTTAAAATGAAAAAATTAAATTTGATATAAGATATATGAAAGGAAATTTAATCAAAAATAAATGTTTGTTTTCAACAATAAAAATGAAATTTTAAGTTATAGCTAAATTAAATTTTCTATGAAGGCAGGCTATGGGTAAATAAGGTTATGAATGTGGTATTTGTAGGATTTGATCGTGAAGAAGCAGGCGTTGAACAGTAGAATGATATTTCAGGTCAAAAGAAGTCGCTTTTTATACTTCCGTTCTAGCTCCACCTATATTAGGTTATTCTCAAATTAAAACACAGTTGGATTTTTAGAGAAATTTCTTAACTAGGTTAAGATTTTTAATAATAACCTTGAAATTTTGACCTATTTATTGACTAATTTTATAATATTATATTCAACTAAATACATGAGTGAGTGATATTTTAATTAAGGGTCGAGAGGATAACACTATCACATATAGAGATTAACAATGTAGGCAAAGTGGGTTGGGTTGGATTAGATGAAGGAGATCAGGGACTAACCAGATAGTATGATCCAATTAGACTAACACTCACTGGTTTTTATACTATCTTAAGTTTGCATGACTAAATACTAAACACACCAGATAGCATTGGATTTTGCGTTTGTTCGAATTTTACTTAGAAAAGGAATATAAAGATGATAAAGAGATATTGAAATTATATATTTTATTTAAAAAAAAAGATTATTTAAAATAAGAATTTTTATATTTATCTTTTAATAACCAATTTTATTCTTTATTTATTTCATTGTTTTTTCATCATTTCTTAAACCTACGTATTTACATAATTCAAGGACTCCTTTTTTTCCTTCAAATTGAATACAATAGAAATTTCAGTTTTGTAGGTTAACTCTTTGAATAGAAAGATCTTTCGATATGTAATACAATAAAGATTCTGAGCCTATTGAAAATTTTGATTGGTTTTAGGTCAATCTTTGAATAAAAAATTTCTTCGATAGAAATTTTAATCCTCTAAAAATTTGAGTTTTTTAGGTCAATCTTTGCATAGAAAAATCTTAGAATAAAAATTTTAAATTTTAGGTTAAATTTGAATAAGAAAAATACAAAAGAAAAATTTCAAAGTTCCTTTTTTTTCACTCTCACACTGAAAAGAATCTTAATAATTGAAATTTTTAGGCTAATCCTTTCCATATAAAGAAGAATAGAAATAATGACCTCAAATGATTAAAAATAAGTTTTATAAAAATTTACATAATTGGATTAGTAAAATAAAATTTTTAAATCTAACCATAAGGAAAAGGAGTCGACGAAAAGTAAGGAAAATAAAGGGACTTAATTTTAAAATTATTTATCTCTTTATCTATCTCCCGACTGCCTACGCTATTGCCCTTTTTCTCTGCCTACGGATACGTTGGTTTCACTACTCATTTTCCTTCAAATATTCGCCTTCTTCTTCCCCATCAATTTCTTCTTCATCCTCCATATCCTCAACCTCAATTAACTGGTTTTGCTGATCTTCATCTTCTTCCTCAGCATCTTCATCGTCGTCAGAAAGGCCTGCTCCCGTCATGTTTCCAAACACGCGGATTTCTAAAGGGAAAATATTTTCTTGAGGGTCTTGAACGAATATATTTTAAGCCCGACAAAATGGAACGTAGGGGGAAGCCCGACAAAATGGAACGTAGGGGGAAGCCCGACAAAATGGAACGTAGGGGGAAGCCCGACAAAATGGAACGTAGGGGGAAGCCCGACAAAATGGAACGTAGGGGGAAGCACGACAAAATGGAACGTAGGGGGAAGCCCGACAAAATGGAACGTAGGGGGAAGCACGACAAAATGGAACGTAGGGGAAGCCCGACAAAATGGAACGTAGGGGGAAGCCCGACAAAATGGAACCTAGGGGAAGCCCGACAACATCTTCTAGTTAAACTTACCGTTAGAACGTGAAGTATTTTCTCCATCAAAAGTCTTGAAATTGGCTGAATCAGATTTAATCCCGGCAATTTCTAGGGCCGATTGTTCACTTTCTATACGCATTCTTTCAACAGCTACACGCATATTCTTTTCGGCGTTAACTGCTTGTTCTCTTTCTGCTTGTTTTGCATTGTTTAACTTAAAAAATAAAATTTTTAAAAAATAATTTTACAATGTGTATCTGTAGGAGACAAAATTTCCCTGCGACAAAATGGAACGTAGGGGGAAACTGACAAAATGGAACGTAGGGGAATACCGACAAAATGGAACAAAAATAAAAAAATTTCTAATTTTCGAACCTGTTGTTTTAAATAATGCAAATTGCGAAACAGAGTAACATACTGAAAAATAAAATTAATTTTTAAAAATAATATATTTTTTATTATACCACATTGTAGCGATCCTTCAATTCCTTCTCTAAATTTTCATATTCATCCATATATGGAGGGCGGAAAGACTAAAAAAATAAAATTTATTTATTTATTTATTTACACCACTAGGGTGTGACAGTCAAAAATAAAACAATTTAAAGTGAAATTACGAAAAATAAAAATGCTAATAAAAAATGTCCTTAAAATAAAAATCAAAGCAGCTTAGCAAATAAAATTATCTCATTTGTCATTTAAGATATTGGAAATATCCAACTGTTCAAGAAGTTTAGAAAACATTTTGGGTGTATTTTTTTTAATTTCTATAGGAATTAGTGAATAAATTCTAGCAGTTCGAACAAAAAAGGAGTTGTACCGAATCATGGTTGAACAACGTGTTGGTTGTATTTTATATTTTTCGCCCCTAGTTTTTGTTTGTTTTATGATATAGGAATTATTATGGTTAATTTTAATTTTCCCAAATATATTTTGATGAAATAGCTTTAAATCAGCTTTAAGTCTTCGACTTTCAAGGGATTCTACTTTGAAATGTTGTAAAAGTGTTTTGTATGGTGGAATATCTTCTATTTTTACCTTTGTGATTCTTTTGTAAACAAATCTTAAATATCGTTTTTGTATGTTTTCTATTAATTTAATGTTTTTCTTAGTTAAAGAATTCCAAACCGGTGACCCAAATTCTATAATTGACCTTACGTATATATTAAATGCTTCTATAAGAATTTTAGGATCTTGTGATTTTAGAGATTTAATTAATGCATAGCAGTTTCTATTGGCCCTTAGAGATATTGTTTGAATATGTTTATTAAACTTGAATTTAGAAGTGAAGAAAATTCCGAGATCCCTATTCTTGTCTTCATTACTAATTTGGAATATTTTGTGGTTTCCTATTGAGTATTGTAATTTAGGGTTTGATTTACCTATATATAATACTGAGCATTTATTTAATGATATGTTGAGACCATTGGTGTTACAATATTGAATGAATTTATTAATAAATAATTGTAAAGAATTGTTAGATAAATCGGTTTTTTTTAGAATTTGATAGGCTTTGATGTCATCGGCAAATAATTTTATTTTTATTTCAGGAGTGTAACAGAATGTTGGTAAGTCCGATAAGTATATATTAAAAAGGAGCGGGCCTAAGATAGATCCTTGCGGAACTCCACTAGTAATAGAGAATTGTTCAGAATATTCATTTCCTATTTTAACAACAGATTTTCTGTTGTGTAAGTAATTAGAGATCCATTTTAAGAGTGATTTTTCAATTCCTATTACTTTTAGTTTTGTTAAAAGACGTTCATGGGGTATAGAATCAAAGGCTTTAGCTAGATCGAAATAAACTATGTTTATTAAATTTTTATTATCCAATGCAAATGATATATCATCTTGAACCTCAATTAGTTGGGTAGTGACGGATTTGTTTGGTCTGAATCCATGTTGACAATCTGGTAATATACCATTTTGTTCAACATAAATTGATATATGGTTTGCAATAATTTGTTCAATTACTTTTGTGATTGAACATAGTAATGAAATTGGGCGAAATTCTTCTATTTTGGGTATCTTTAATGTTTTTGGTATTGGTATTATTATACTTTGCTTCCATATTTCAGGAAGTGTTGAAGTCATTAATGAATAAGAAAAAATATAATATAAAGGATAATAAAGACTTTTAGCGCATTTTTTAAGGAATATACATGGTATTGAGTCATAAGAAGAGTTAGTTTTTTCAGGTAGCTTAGAAAGAAGATCAAAGATTTGAAGTTCATTTATGATTACGGATTGACATGTATTTTGATTTGTTATAGAGTTTAGATCTGCATTGTCTAATGAATTTTTATTAAATACAGAACTAAATTGGGTACTTAGAATTTGTGCTATTTTATTATCAGCGTATACTAATTGATTATTTTTATCCAAAATTGAAGTTATTTTCCTGTTTTTGGATTTAAGAAATGAAGAGATGTATGAGAATTTTCGACTGATAGTTTGTGTTTTATGCTTTTCTCTATTTTTTAAAAATTTGTTAGTTTCAGAATCTATTCTTTTTGATACATATGAGATTTTACGTGTTAGCTCTGGCGTGGATTTTTGTTTCCACAGATTTTTTAGATATAATGTCATTTTTTCAATGTGTTCGGGTTTTTTGAGATTGTTAGATTTTACTTTAGATTCGGGAACAAAGGAACAAATAACATTATGTATAATCGATTGGAAAGTGAAATATAGTTGATTTATATCAGAGCATTGTGTGAATACTAGATTCCAGTTTATTGTTGAGAAATGTGCATTAATTATTTCATAGTTAGCTTTACGAAAATTTGGATATGTATAATTATTATCTTGGTAATTGTTAGTAGAAGATATTTCAAATTCTATTGTATTATGGTCAGATTTACTTATAGGCGGATTGATTGTTATAGCCTTTATTAATTCATCCTCATTAGTTAATAGTAAGTCTAATATATTTACTCCTCTAGTGGGTTTATCAATTTTTTGTTTTAGTCCTAAACTTTGAATATATTCTAAAAATAATGTTTCTTTGGTATTTTTGGTTTGAGTACTATAATTTTCCCAATCGATATTGGGTAGGTTAAAGTCTCCTAATAAGATAAGTGGGTAGGATACAGCCGATATATCATACAAGATTTGCAAGATAGATTTAAAATCCTTAATGGTTTCTTTAGTGATTGATCTATAAATCAAAATAATACGAATTTTTTCATCTGGGTCTATACAAGATAAATCTATACAAGATATCTCTGATAAAGTTTGGGGGATTTCTATTTTAATAAATGGTATTTTATTTGATATAAATAAGCAAGTTCCTCCACCCCTACCATTGGCCCTATCAGTTCTGATAATATTATATGGGGTACCATGTAGTAAAAGATTATCATCAACTATATCAGTCAACCATGATTCAGTAACCCCTATTAACTTATAACGGTTTTCTAATAACAGAAAGTGTAAATTTGACAATTTGTTTTTTAAACTTCTTGAATTAAAATATAAAAAATTAATAGTATTTAATCTATTTAGATTATTTTTTTGAAGTCAGATTTTTTTATTTTTTCTAAAAATGTGAACCTCCGATCTTAGAATTACTGCTTCTCCATAAACTATCCAGTCCAATTGAGGGTTCTCCATTCTCTTCTTTTTGCACTCTTCAATTAGTTCCCTTCGTCGCTGTAATTGTTCTGGTGTCATTGAAGCACGCATATTGACTTGGGGGAAAGATTTCTTGCCATTTGTTTTCCATTTGTTGAGAAGTTCACGCTGAAATTTTCTGGATGGTAAAACAATCTTTAAAAGACGGGCATGACCATTATTGGGTGGGTTAGACTGACGTCCCATACGGTAAAAAAACCTGGGTGCGCACTCAACCCCCACCGAGTCGAGTAAACTTGTTATTGTTTTGGAGTCATCCGCCATTTTCTCTGATGGAAGTTTTTTTGTAGATTCCGTCAAACCAGTCACAACAACACTTCTTTCGCGCTCTAGCTCCTCTGCTGAAATAGTGTTTAATTTTGTTGTTCCTGAAAAATATCCATAAGGTTTTTCTTGTTGTTTTTCTTTAAGTGAATCGATTGATTTACTAAGAAGGTTAAATTGTTCAGTCAGAGTTTTAATAAAGTTTAATAAAATCGGAGTTTGCTCTGTTGTCATAGACGGAATAAAAGTATTGATTGTTGTTAGTGTTGTTTTCACCAAACTGACTTGACAATCAATAAGAAAATTAAGAGAATTTGGATTTTCGTTGTTGTTGCTATTATTGGAGAGAGGCGAAAAATTGGCCTCTGTTGCTGTCCGTTTTGCAGAAATTTTATTTGTAGACATTTTTCCATCAATAAAAATGTCTACATTTTTCCATTGTAGACATTTTTCCATTTAGACTTGCAAAACTATTTTGGATGGAAAAATATTTTTTGAAAGGCAAAATCGCCCATATTGTCGTCTACATGCAATTAAAGCTGCAATTGCTGATAGCCAGAAAACAACAAAATAATAATTTAATTAAATATTTTAAATTTTAAAAAGGGAAAATTTTATTTTAAAAATACTTAAATTTTTTAAATATTTTTTTTATATTAAAAAAAATTTTTTTTTATTTATTATAAAAAAAATTTTTTTTGATCGGGAAAAATAAATGTTTAAATTCATTTGAATTAGTCATCATCCTGTTAAATCATAAATTGATTTTTGCTATTTTCTCCTCTATAGATATTTTGTATGCTTTGTTTCGATCCGTTTTGTAGTGTACCATTTTGTCCATTTTTACCTATGATCCGTTTTGTCGCAAGTTTTCCGTTTGAAATTTAAAATTTTCAAAAAATCGATATCAATCGATAAAATCAATACTAATCGATAATTTATTTTTTAAAAATTTACAATTTCCAAAAAATCGATATCAATCGATAAAATCAATACTAATCGATAATTTATTTTTTAAAAATTTAAAATTTTCAAAAAATCGATATCAATCGATAAAATCAATACCAATCGAAATTTATTTTTTAAAAATTTAGAATTTTCAAAAAATCGATATCAATCGATAAAATCAATACTAATCGATAATTTATTTTTATTTTCAAATTTTCCCGTTCCGCTCTCAAAATGCTGCACTGAACCAACCTCGAATGTATATATTTATTTTTTTCTCTAACTACACTATTTCTTTTTATAATTTCTCTAATTATGGGGATAAAATGTCATTTATTTCAAAATGTTAAATTCAAAATATCAAAACTTCAAAACGCCCAATCCCCCTAAAATCCCAAATTGTCCAAATCATCTTCATGTTCGTCTTCTTCTTCCTCCTCAACATTTTCCTTCAAATATTCGCCTTCTTCTTCCCCATCAATTTCTTCTTCATCCTCCATATCCTCAACCTCAATTAACTGGTTTTGCTGATCTTCATCTTCTTCCTCAGCATCTTCATCGTCGTCAGAAAGGCCTGCTCCCGTCATGTTTCCAAACACGCGGATTTCTAAAGGGAAAATATTTTCTTGAGGGTCTTGAACGAATATATTTTAAGCCCGACAAAATGGAACGTAGGGGGAAGCCCGACAAAATGGAACGTAGGGGGAAGCCCGACAAAATGGAACGTAGGGGGAAGCCCGACAAAATGGAACGTAGGGGGAAGCCCGACAAAATGGAACGTAGGGGGAAGCACGACAAAATGGAACGTAGGGGGAAGCCCGACAAAATGGAACGTAGGGGGAAGCACGACAAAATGGAACGTAGGGGAAGCCCGACAAAATGGAACGTAGGGGGAAGCCCGACAAAATGGAACCTAGGGGAAGCCCGACAACATCTTCTAGTTAAACTTACCGTTAGAACGTGAAGTATTTTCTCCATCAAAAGTCTTGAAATTGGCTGAATCAGATTTAATCCCGGCAATTTCTAGGGCCGATTGTTCACTTTCTATACGCATTCTTTCAACAGCTACACGCATATTCTTTTCGGCGTTAACTGCTTGTTCTCTTTCTGCTTGTTTTGCATTGTTTAACTTAAAAAATAAAATTTTTAAAAAATAATTTTACAATGTGTATCTGTAGGAGACAAAATTTCCCTGCGACAAAATGGAACGTAGGGGGAAACTGACAAAATGGAACGTAGGGGAATACCGACAAAATGGAACAAAAATAAAAAAATTTCTAATTTTCGAACCTGTTGTTTTAAATAATGCAAATTGCGAAACAGAGTAACATACTGAAAAATAAAATTAATTTTTAAAAATAATATATTTTTTATTATACCACATTGTAGCGATCCTTCAATTCCTTCTCTAAATTTTCATATTCATCCATATATGGAGGGCGGAAAGACTAAAAAAATAAAATTGGATTTTTAAAATTTTAAAAAATTTTTAAAAATTAAAAATTAAATTTTCCAGGCCTCAGAAAATTTTTAAAAATTTTTAAAAATTTTAAAAAAATTTTTAAAAATTTTTAAAATTTTTAAAAAATTTTAAAAATATTTTAAAAATTTTCTGAGGCCTGGAAAATTTAATTTTTAATTTTTAAAAATTTTTTAAAATTTTAAAAATTTTCCTGGAAAATTTTTAAAAATATTTTAAAAATTTTCCACGACAAAAAACCCAAAACAAAAATCATCCGCTCCTGGGTGGATTCGAACCACCAACCTTTCGGTTAACAGCCGAACGCGCTAACCGTTGCGCCACAAGAGCACTTGGCTGCTTTTTCCATTTTAATTGCTATATTCTTTTATTTTAATTAAATAAAAATTTAAATTAGCCTGTAATTTTGCCAATCTTTTTTGTAATTGTTCCAATTCTCTTTTTCTTCTCTCAATTTTTTTGGTTAATTCAGCTTCATCATTTGTAATATTTTCTAATCTTTTTTTAAATTCATTTATTTTAAATTCAGCATCTGAAATTTTTTCTTTAATTTCATTTTCAATTTTGGAAGTACTCAAGGATTGACCCAAAGCTTTGTTTCTCATTTCCTTTAAATTAAAAATTAATTTTCTAAAATATTTTTTAAATAAATATACCTTAGAAAACCCCTCATCTCTTAATAATTGGTAAAGATTTGCTCCAATTTTTGGTAATTCTCCTGCTGTTGAAACTGTTTGACGAAGTTCTTGACGCTGAAATAAAAATTCATAACTCGGGGTATAATTAACCGATTAAAAATGTTTTGGTATCGTTAGATAGAGGAAATTCTCCTCTACAAAATATCCAAAAATGATAATTATTGATAAATGATAAAGGAAGTTATGATCCAAAAACTAAGAATTTGCTCATGGGATGAGTCTAAGAGCCCTCATTTCAAAGGTCATAACTCAGGAACTATTAAACCGATCAAAAAGATTTTGCTATCAATAGATAGAGGAAATTCTCCTCTACAAAATATCCAAAAATTGTAATTATCAATAACTGATAGAGAAAGTTATGGTTCAAAAAATAAAAGTTGGTCTTAAGTCGAGTTAGAAGACCTTCCATTTCAAAGGCTATAACTCGAGAACTAATGAAGTGATTAAAAAGATTTTGATATCATTCGATATAGAAAGACTTCCTCTACAAAATATCCAAAAATGATAATTATTGATGAATGATAAGGGAAGTTATGGTCCAAAAAATAACAAGTTGGTCTTAAACTGAGTTAAAGGATCCTCCATTTCAAGGGCCATAATCTGGGGCTTAATGAACCTATTAAAAAGATTTTGGTATCGATAGATAGAGGAGATCTTCCTCTATAAAACGCCTAAAAATGATAATTATTGATTTGTGATAAAGAAAGTTATAGGTTAAAAACTAAAATTTCTGCTTAAAAAAGTTGGTTTTTTGACCAGAACTTTTTTATCAGTTAATCAAAAATTCTGATTTTTTGAGATTTTGTAGCTTTAACTCTCCTCTATCAAATGATACCAAAATTAAATCAAAAGCCTTAACAATCCCTCTGTTATAAATTTTTTGAAATCACCCATTCCATTATTAAACTTACCCACCTTCAAATTAACTTGGCTTCTTAAAAAATTAATTTGAGTAGATTCTTCTTTATTTATTCCAACATTATTTTCAGATTTCAATAAATTATGTGTTTTTAAACTTTTGTAGAGCATTTTAAGTACTGGAAGTATTTCTCTAACTGCATGGCCATCTGACTGAAAAAATAAGAAGTTTATTCTGATTTTTAAGAGTCTTATAAAAAAATCAGAATTAAGTTAAATAAACTTGGAATCAGAAAAATAATAAATTCTGATTTAATTATTTTTAAAAATTCTGATTTAAAGTTGATTTAAAAATTAACTTAAAAATCAGAATTAAAGTCATAAACTTGAGTTTTCAAAAATAAACTTAAAAACCAGAATAGATAAGCTTTAATAAATCAGAATCTAATTAAATCAGAATTTTTATAAAACTTTAAATCAGAATTTATTTAATTTAAAAAATTCTGATATTTTCCAACTTACTTGATAAACATTTTTTGGATTTAATTTAACATGCGCCTTTTGTAACAAAGAAAGCACAACACTTTTAACAAATAAAACGCGTTCTTGTTCACTATCCATTTGTTTAGGTAAACGAATATTTGGCTCAAACTTTTTAACAGTCCATTCAAGAATTTCTGCCATTAATGGAAAATTTGGAAAACGAAAATTTTCATTAGAAACGAGGCGAGGAAAGCCAAGAGAACGCAGAATTTCAGTAAATTCTTTTAATTTTTTTAAATTAAATATTTTAAATTTAATTTATTTGCCTTTAAGTTCGTGAAATGACATTTAATTGAAGTTGAATACAAATCAGAATATTTAATTAAACTTGGAAATCAGAATATCTAAAAAATAAATAAACTTGAAATTAAATTCTGATATTTATAAATTAAAGTTTATTTTCTGATTTTCAAGTTTATTTTAAAATTCTGATTCCAGGTCGTGTTTATTCTGATAATATTCTGATTTAAAGTTTATTAAATAAACTTGAAAACCAGAATATTAACAAAAAATCTAAAATCAGAATTATTAAACATCAAAATTTCAAGTTTTCAGAATATATTTAAAAATCAGAATAAACTTGAATATTTAAATAAACTTTAAATTCAGAATAATTTATTTTAATATAAATATATTAGATTAAATCAGAATTTTCTAAATAGACTTGAAATCAGAATTTTTTAAAAATAAACTTGGAAATCAGAAAATAAACTTTATAATTTTTAAATATCAGAATAATAATTTAAGTAAAGTAAATGCTCAGATATTTAATTCAGTTACCCTTGGCAACAGAATTTAAATAGGTAGCTAGAGAAACCCCTAAGGACAGAATACCGTAATATTATTTAAATAAAAAATATTTTTTTATTTAATTATTTATTTAATTAAAAAAGCTTCCGCTTCTTTTATTTACCTTCTTTTTGTTGATCAGTACATTATTTATAATCCACTTGAACGTGGGCGGATATTAAACAAACAATTTTTTGCAGTCAATTTATTGCTTAAAAAATGAAAATAAAAGTTGAAAAAATATTTTTATTTTATGACGAATAAAATTTTATTTATCTCCTCAGATTTCCAAAGAAAATCAGAAGAATATTTAAATTTAAAAAAATCAGAATATTTTATTTATTTAAGTTTATTTTTAATTCTCCTCCCCTATTTTAAAATAAAATCAGAATTAAATAAACCTAAATATTTAAATAAACTTAGAATCGGAATTAAAATCAGAATTTATTTATGAACTTGAGTTTTCAAAAATAAACTTAAAAACCAGAATAAATAAACTTTAATAAATCAGAATTTAATTAAATCAGAATTTTTTAAAATAAACTTAAAATCAGAATTTCAAGTTTTTTTTAAATTCTGATTCCAAGTTTATTTTGTTTACTTGAACCAGAAACCAGAATTTTTATCAAACTTTAAACCAGAATTTATTTCAGAATTTTTTTTCTTCAAATTTTGAAACATTTTTTCTCAACTTTTTTTGGCTCTATTTAAAAATTTAATAAAATTAATCTTCCAAAAATTTTTAAAAAATAAACAACTGTTGGATTTGTTCTTTAAAAAACATTTAAATTTGACAATTGGTTTAAAAAATTTTTTTAATACTTTCGAAGCCAATAAATATCACATTTTCAAATCCCCCTCCTCCCCTCCCCAAAAAACATTCAATAAATCCACTTTTCCCAATTTTTAAAAAAAAAGTTAGAAAATATTTAGTTGATCGATAGCTAGGACAGATTTTATTTAATCTCTTTTTTAATTTTCTTCTTCCAAGAAAAAGAAAGAAACTTTAAAAATTAAATTAATGTCTCAAACTATTTTTAAGCTTATTAAACCATCAAAAATTTGATGGTTTAGCCAAGCTTATTTAATTAAAATTCCAACCTTAATTTACTCAAAATTCTGATTTTTAATTTAAGTTTAATTTAATAATTCTGATTTTTCAAGTTTGTTTTTGAAAAATTCTGATTTTTCCAACTTTAATTTATTTAAAATTCTGATTTTTTAATTCAAGTTTAATTTTCTATAAACTTTATATTCTTTCCGGTTATATAATTTCTTTGTATTTTCCGGATTTAGAATTAAAATTCTGAAAAAGTTTATAAATTCTGATTTTTCTTCTATTAAAAAGAACTATAAACAAAAAATAAACTTAAATGTTCGTGTGCTCCTTTTAACACTTTTTTTCAGAATAAACACATCTTCCCCCCAAAATTTTTTAAACCTTCTTCTAAAAATATAAAGTGCCTTATGAGGAGGAGGTAACAAAAAAAGTTTTAAGATATTGGCCTTGTTGCATTTTTCTTTTCTTTTTTTCTTTTAATATTAACAACAAATCCCCAAATCCCAAACCATCAATATTCCTAAAAAATCGTCTTTTTAATATTAAATAAAAAAATTTTAAATAAAAATATTTAAAAATATATACCTATTTTTAGTGTTACTAATTTTGTATTTATTATTAAAAAATTTTTTAATATTTTTTTGGTTATTAAATTATTTTTTAAAAAATATCTATTTAAAGAAGCCTCCCAAAATTTATTAAAAATTTCCCCTAAAAATAAGAGAAAATATCCAAAAAAAATTTTAAACTTAAAAAAAATTTTTTCTCCTCAAAAAAATTTTTTTCTCCTCAAAAAAAATTTTTTCTCCCCAAAAAAATTTTTTTCTCCTCAAAAAAAATTTTTTTTCTCTTCATTTTTCCCCTTTTCCCCTTAATTATTCATTATTTAATTTAAAATTAAACAAATAAAATTAAAATTTTTTTTGTCTTTTAAGAAAAATGGAAACAAAAGAAGAAACTCCTCCCTCCCCCTCTTTTTCTTTGTCAGAATTTTTTTCTGACAAAATAGAAAATTTTAAAAACTTTTTTGAAACAAAATTTAACGCGATGAATGCATGTTCGGCAGCAATGTATATATTGGCTGTAACTTGTGTAATAATTAATTTATATGTATTGCTTGATCGTTCGATCGAAACTATTCACTATCTGAGGATATATCATTTGGTTAGTTTAAATGAACTTTTCCGAAAAGAAAACCTATATTCCTTCCTATATTCCTTCCGGATAGATCTTTGTTTCCCGGTTATAAATAAAAATTCTGGTTTGCGAAATTAAAAATTCTGATTTGTATAATTCTGAAAAATACAAATTGAGAATTGTATTTTCACAAAATTCTGATTTATAAAAAATACAAATTCTGATTTTTGCAAATTCTGAAAAATACAAATTCTGATTTACGAAAAACACAAATTCTGATTTACACAAAATTACAAATTCTGATTTAAGAAAAACACAAATTCTGAAAAATATACATTCTGGTTTGTATTTTTCTAAACTTACAAATTCTGATTTTTTTCAAATTTAATAATTTCCAGAGAGTTCCGGTTATATTCATTTTCCGGATTCAAAATAAATAATATTTTCCGGAAAGAAATTATAAATTGATAATCAGAATTTACAGAAGAATATTTATGAATAGTTAATATTTTTCGATAATAACAAATCCGGAAAAAATAATTAATATATTCTCTATTATTTCCGGAAATTAAAATATATAAAGTTTCCGAAATTTTCAGGCTGTTTGTTCATTAATGTTCTCTTGTGGACTCCTTCAACTAGCTTTTATGTGGAAAGCACAATGCGGGGATTTTGACAAATTAGCAAGGCCCCACACAATTCCCCGGCCAACAATGATTTCTGCATTTGCCCTAACTGCTGGGATTGCTTTAGGATATGCCTATTTTCTTATTTTTAATATTGCCTTTCGAAATTGTGACAAATTGTTTGACGCAGCTGGGGCCGAAGAACAATGGCAGGAAGCCCTCTACGATCTTTTAATGATTTCTTTTTGTGTTCTTTCACTAATTTATATCTTTCAAAGGTAATTTATCCTTCTCTTTGGATTAAATAAAAAAATAAATTAATTCATTTAAAAGATCTTATTATGGCTCTCAAAATACAAATTTCGATTTAATTACCAGAAAATGGGTTAATATTGTTTTGACTATTGTATGGGTCAAAATTGTGATTTTTAAAGGATATTTGAGTTATCAAGAACTTTGTCAACGCAGTGAAATATCTGGATATTGGTAGGTTAATTTAATACTGATTATATATTTTTCCGGAAAATTATATTCTATCCGGAATTCTATTTTTAATATATGTATATTATTCTTTCCGGAATTTTCTGAAAATTCTGATTATTATTTTTATTTCTTTCCGGAAATAAAATCCGGAAATTCTTTTTTAATTTAGTATTTTCTTTCCGGAAAATATAACCGGAAAATATATTTATACCAGAAATACAAATTAATCCGGAAATTCTGATTATTATTATTTCTTTCCGGAAATAGAATCCGGAAATTTTTTTAATTTAGTATTTTCTTTCCGGAAAATACATTTATATCGAAAAATACAAATTAATCCGGAAATTCTTTTTTAATTTAATTTTCTTTCCGGAAATACAAACCTTATATCGAAAAATACAAATTAATCCGGAAATTCTGACCTTTATTATTTCCGGAAAAATTAATATTATTCAGTAAATTCCGACTATTAATTTATTTTATATTTTCTCTCCGGAAAATAAAACATTCCGGAAAACAAAAATAGTATACCTATATTTTTAGGTGCCCAGTAATTAGACGTTCATATACTTGCGATCCCGAGACAAAATTAAAAGGAACACAAAAAACATGGTAAAATAACAAAAATAATTTTCATGTATTTAACACCTTAAAAAGGTATTATATGCACAAAGGATTGTTAAATTCTGCAATAATTTCGTGTGCCTCAGAATTTTTTCCAGTAATGTTAGTAGCTCATTGGTTAGCTTGTGGACGGGCAGAGCAAAGAGCTGATGAGCTTATAAGGAGGAGACAAGTAAAAAATAAAAATTTGAAAAAAAATAAAAATAATTTTTTTAAAGGAAAAGAAAAGTGTTAGAAGAATGCTTCAAGGAATGATTGGAGATGTTTCAAAAATTTATGGATTAGACCCGACAGCCCAAATTAGACGACAACTTCCACCTCTCAATTTACCCACAATTTTAATTGCTTCACTTGTAATACTTGGGTGTATTACTGCTTTTGTATAATTTTTTTGTTAACGATTGTTGTTGAATATTTTTTAAATTTTTTTTAGTTGGCTAGTCTTCGTTGGTTTGTAGGCCTCTATTTTGCTATTCTTTTTGGTAAGCAAAATAATAAAAATCAGAATTATTGTAAGACAGAAATCAGAATTATGTATTTTTTATTCAAAAATAATTTTTTTGAATTTATTTAACTTAACAAAAAAATCTGTCCAACAGCCAGTTGCTTTGAAACAATAAGAAAGTTTAGCCCCGGGCAGGCATTCGTTCACCATGTATAGGTGAACGTTCACCACCGATTAAGAGGTGCCATTTTCTCCTTTACTAGTAATCCTTAAACCCTCGTTTAGCAAGCTTCCATAAAAATAACTTTTTAATCCTTCAAAAAATTTCAAAAACCCTCTAACCGGATAAGTATTGTTTGAGTAAAAAATTCATAATTTAGATGAAATGCACAAAAAAGGTTCAATGACAGATACTTATTCTGAATGTGCTGCTAGTTTAACACAAACATTTTTGTTTGTTTTGGTATTATTTTTTAAAATTTCTTCAAAAAATATTTTTTAGTTGACTTTATGGGCAAGACAAGCAATTACAGTTAAACGTTTTTGTCCTTACCACAAAGCAGAATCTAAAGGGGATTTAGTTTTAATTTTTGGAAGTGCTTCTTTTATGACTGTTAAACTTGGTTTACAGCTGGTTGAATTACACTTTCAAAGAGCAGACGGGTTTCTTTCTTGGCCTGAAGCATTACTGCGAACTGTTTCCCTAACATTAATTCAAGCTTCGCAATGGTTGCAGTATATGTGTTTGCATAGAATAATGGCTCTTCATTTTGAGTTCTGATTTTGTATTTTTATTGAAAAATACAAATTCTGATTTGTAAAAAATACAAATTACGATTTGTATTATAAATTCTGATTTGTAAAAAAATACAAATTCTGATTTGTACAAATTCTGAAAAATACAAATTCTGATTTGTAAAAATACAAATTCTGATTTGTAAAAATACAAATTCTGTTTTCAGAAATTCTGAAAATTACAAATTCTGATTTGTACAAATTCTGCAATATACAAATTCTGATCTGTACAAGTTCTAAAAATTACAAATTCTGATTTTAAAAATTCTGAAAAATACAATTCTGATTTGTACAAATTCTGAAAAAATATACACACTAATTTGTATTTCTTTTACAAATTCTGATTTTTTCCCTAAATTAAATATAATTTTCAGAGATGTCCACGCTACCCGTCGATTTTTACCTATCGTCGCGTTATCTGCAGTTGTAGTAAATTGGGTTGGATTTGGAGTGACATTTTTCGAAACAAATACAATAAAATATCAATTAGGCCTAGAAGAATTACGTTTTAGCCAATCAACTTTAATAATTATGATTTTTACTCAAACAATATATCCGGCAGATTATCTTTTTTGTTTCACAGCGGCTGGCTGTTGGACAGATGTTTTGTTAAGGTAAAATTAAATTAAAAAAATATTTTTGAATGAAAAAATATAATTTATGTAGATATGTGGAAATGGGACTATTCCAACTTGGACCCCCAATGGATTTGGAAGAATTACAAGACTTAGAACAACAACATCATGAAGCTAGAAGAAAGGTAGAGAATGGAAAAATATTTATTTTGATTAGGATTACAAACATAAAATTCTGATTTTTATGTAGTTTACAAATCAGAATTAGTTTAAAACCAAAAACCAGAATTATTAAACCAGAAGTCAGAAAAAATCAGAGCAAAATCGGAAAAAAATCAGAAAAAAATCAGAATTAAATCAGAACGATGTCAGAAAAAAATCAGAACAAAATCAGAAAAAAATCAGAATTAAATCAGAACGATGTCAGAAAAAAATCAGAACGAAATCAGAAATCAGAAAAAAAATCAGAAAAGATATTAAAAATCAGAATTACACTTTTCAAAATAAAAGAATAAAAATTCTGGTTGTAACCTAATAAAAAAGACAAAAGAAATAATTCTGATTTGTATTTATAGGGACATTCTACTCCTACAACAAATGTAAAAAGTCGAGTATCTTCTTCTACACTAGAAGAATTAAACTCATCTTTTGGTACAGACAGACCACAAATTGAAGAATTTAAAATTTGTAATGGAGATTTAAATAATGAAAATAAGGAAGAAAATATTGAAGAAGAAAAGGAAGAAAAATTAAAAAATAAAAATAATAAAATTATTAAAGGAATGATGAAAAGAGGTGGAGGTGGAGGAAATAATAAAAAGAATGTTACACAAATATCAGTTAGTTTTTATATGGATCCAGCTATTATAGAAGAGGAAAAAGAAAATAAATAAAATAAAAAATACGGGTATTTTTTTAGTTAAAAAATATTTTTGTAATTAATTAAAAGGGTTGGTCTCTGAATACTCTCATTAGCTAAGCTCTCAATTCTTACACTTAAACACCTCTCCTAAAGGAGTGGAACTAAAATCTTATTTAAAAATAAGTCAGGGATTGTATAATATTCCCTTAACAACACCTGTGCTGGGTGTTGGTGGGCTACAGCTCCGATCTTTCTAAATCTTAGCTCCGGCTCCAAAGCTAACTCCAGGAGCCATACCCAGCACTGATCAACACCCTTTTTAATCAATTTATTTTGAAAGAAATTGACCAAAAAATAAATTAGAACCTTGGAGATGAGAGGAGATGGGTGTGTGTTATAGAAGGGTGTCCGGAGACAAATCCAAAAAAAATATATTTTTTTTTTAATTTTTATATCACCGGAAATATTTTCAGAAAAATAAAAATAAAAAAATTCTGATTTTTAAAATTTTTCTATTTATTAAATTTAACAATTCCCCCAATTCCAGTCATTCCAATTTCTTCATTTCCTCCCCCAAAAATTAAAGAATCCAAAAGTTTTTTGCCATCACAAAAATTTTTTAATTTGAAATTTTTTAATAAAATACCAAAAAAATCCATTTGTTTGCCAATAACAAAATTTCCAATTTTTGAAATTAATCCCAAAGATTTTGCTCCATTTAATGTTGCACATTCAAATAATTTTGAAGCATTTAAATTAGCACAATTTCGAGTATTTGTACGCATCTATAAATTAAAAATAAATTAAAAAAAAATTAATTTTAATTTAAAAAAAATGGGCAAGATCTTCTCATACGAGGAAAAAGGCCTGTATATCTGGAAATCCCCATGTCAGATATTCACGGATTCAGAATTCGTTAATAAACAGAATAGAAAATTAAAAAAATTTATTTCCCATCAAAACACAGTTTCCTAGAATTTAAGAAACCTCAAAATCAACAAAAAACTGTAACATGTATCGTTGAACTCTAAACCCGTAACCATTTAATTTTAGTAAAGGGAAAACAAAAATTAAAATTTTTTCCCAATTCCGAGCAGGGGCGGGCGCATTGTTTTTGCGTTGTTTGCGTTAAATTTAGGCCTTGCGTTGCATTTTTAGAAATTGTCTCACCCGCCCGTGATTCCGAGAAAGCATTATTTTCACTTATTAATATGTATATTTAAAAAAAATTTTAAAACAAACATTTTGACAAAAAGCAAGCCAACGCATTTCTTCAAACATTGCTTAAAAAATAATTTAAAAAACCCCAAAAAAAATTTAAAAAAAAATACCAATTCTATTATTACAATCAGTTCCCAAACAAATATTATCAAATTCATTTAAATGAGGTATTCCATCACCCAAATAACCTTTAAAAAAATTTTTTAAATTTAAAAAAATTAATTTAAAAAAACCTTCAGTACACGGACATATACAAACATTTATTTTTCTTTTAAAAATTTCATCAAGATTTGAGCGTTTAGTATGGGTACAATGAACAGCAGTTATTAATGAATTATCTATCTAAAAAAGATTTAGAGAAAATAAATTTGAAAGAAATTTTCGGACTTTGCAGGAAACTCCCGAAAGCCATAAATTTTGAAAGAACGGAGCCATCAATCAGTTTTTCTTTTTTTGTGAGATTGGAAAATTTTGGTGCCATATTGTGCACCGGATAACGTATTGTATTTTTAGATAGAGGATCCCCGATTTCCTTTTTCAGGTAAAAAACCATAGAGTTTGATCGACCATGGGCAACCCAAAGTTATTTTTAAAAAAAAAGTCCTTCAAAATAGGAAGTAAGGGAAGTCCTCTATCAAAAGGTACCAGAAAAATACTAATTTTTTACATAATAGTCGATGTACCCTTTATGGATACTTTGGGAAATTTGGTTGAATATTGCACCAAAATTCTAACTAGCCGGAATCCGAAAAATATAAAGATGCAAAATTTTTTTCATCTTTTAAAATTTAAACCTCTTGTGTTTCTCCATTTTCCAAAATATTTTGTAATAAAACTTCTGCCGGGTCTTTCCCACCACTAACAAGACGACAATCCTCTAATTCAGCTGGTTGTTCTTCCAAATGGAGATGTAAAGGTAAATTATTTTGTTGAGCATATTGGTATAATTTAATTGCTTCTGGTACTGGAACAGCCCGAAGAGAGTGAACTAAAAAACGAAATGGAAAATTTAAAAACGGACCAAATAGAAATTAAACCAAATGGAATTTTGAACAAATGAAAATTTTTCGACAGATGAACCAAATCGAAATTTGGATGAATGAAAAGTGGACAAAACGGACATGACCCCAACTAAAAAATTAAAACAAAAGGACCAACCGATCCTCGAACCAAACGAAAAAATTTTTGAAAATTGGGCGAAAAGGAATTTTGGACCAGACTTAAATTTTTCCACAAATGGACCAAATGAAAAATGGGACCAAATGGAATTTTTAGGGACGATGGACCAAATCGAACTTTGGATCAATGAAGAGAGGACAAAACAATATCTGACCCAAACTAAGAAATTGAAACAAAAAGGGGCCTTGGACAAAACGAAAAAATTTTTTTGGACAGACAGACCAAATTAAAACAGGGCAAAGTAAGATTCATAAAAATTATTTAAAAGAAACCTGCCAACGCCAAAGTGACCAAATCATTATTTTTCAATTTTTCCCTCAAATCCTCAACATGTTCAATAAATTGTTCAACAGTTGAACTTGCAAATCGCCATTGTTCAGGGTTAATATCTGGTTGAGAAAATCCTGCACGCATATAAAGAGTTTCTGAAAAAAATTTTTTTTTAATATTAATTACAAATTGAAAAACTAACCAATTAAAACTAATCTAATGCCTACTTCACAAGCAGCTTCTATTACAGCCATGTCTAAATCAAAAAATCCATCAGAAGCTTTATTTGAATGATGAACATAATGAAATCTTGAATAAAAAAAATATCTTTTAATTAAAAAAAACAAACTTACTCTCCAACAGTAGTAATTCCTGCTGATAACATCTCACTAAATGTGTCGATACAAATCTAAAAAAAATAAAAATATAAAAATCCAAAAAAAAATTTCGGGACGAAGCTAGAACTCGATTCTTACTCAAACTCTGCCTGGCGAGCAAATGAAGGGCATGGACTTGCTATTCCAACTTTTCTAAACACCATTCGGTGGTTCACATATTTTTTTGTCCCAGTGAGTGTCCTCCGCCCCTCCCCGAACCGAAGCCTTATTCAAACTCTGCCTGTCAAGCAAATGAAGAACATAGACTTGGTTTAAACCTCATGATTCCTATTCTAACTTTCTGAGCCTCCTTCGGTAGTTCACTATATTTTTTAGTCCCAGTGAGTGTCCTCCCCCTGTTCCCCCTCATCCACTTAATAATCATTCAAACCTTTTTCAATTTTTCATAGTCAATATCCTCAACTAATTTGTACATATTTTGACGCCATTTCCAAAAATTATCAGCTCCCTCATTTCCAATTTGAGAGAGTCCTCGAAGTTCTCGATGGAATGCATGTGAATGAGCATTAACAAAACCAGGTAATAAAGCCTTTAATTGAAAAAGGAACAAAATTTTTTTTTATTTTTAATAGAGATTAGAAATTTAAAAAATCTTGACTTGATTTTGTTTGAGGACTTTTGACCAAATTCCTGACATTGAGTCAAGAAAAAATAAAGGAACACTGAAAACGGGAGCAGGCCAAAGTACCGCAGAGCAAGGGCGTATCCAGGGGGTCGGTTTCGGGGGGGGGGGGGGGGGGGCTAACACTGGGTGGGCGCAAAAATTTTTGGCGTTTGCCTTGGCGTTCCGGACGCAAATTTTTTTTGTACAAAATTTTCATCTTTTCTGCGCCGCAGGCGAAAATTTTTTTGAATTTAGAGCCCAAAAAGCCAGATTTCTTCCTTTTTTAGCGCCGCAGGCGAAAATTTTTTGAATTTTAGAAGGCCGTAGGCCAAAAAATACACTTTTTCAGCGCCGCAGGCGAAAATTTTTTAAAATTTGAGGGTTATAGGCGAAAAAATTTCACTTTTTCGACCATCCTTCTCCTAATTTTTTCCCCCTTTCCCCCATTTCAGGGGGGGGGGCTCTAGCCCCCCCAGCCCCCCCTGGATACGCCCTTGCCGCAGAGTTAGGGACGCCCTGGTATGGTTCGACTCAACTCATTGAAGTGCATAGACTCATACCAGGGCATCCCGGATTCAATAGCTCTGCAGTACCTTGGGCTTGCGGTACCTTGGGGTGTACCCCTGAAAAATGGATCTTGACTATAAATCCAAAGAAAATTAAGGCCCATCCCGACAAATCTCTTCTAATGTTTAAAACTTAACAAACCATTTCTCCAAGATCAGTAATTGCATCTTCTTCAATCATTAACAGCTCACCCTCTTTGAATATATCTTCAATTTTACCATCTTTATCTATTTTAAGCAAAACATTTTGTTGAAACGATCCATTGAACCAAACCCATTTTGCTGTTATTATTTTGCCTCGAAAATCGTCCTTTGGATCAACTTTTGGGTTGACTGCTAGAGCAAGTTTTGGTTTGCCTGATGAGGTGCTGACTTGTTGAAAATCATTTTTTGGATCAAGTTTTGATTTGATTGATGAAACATCGACTTGCTGCTTATTTTCTTCTTTTATTTCCGACGGAGCAAGTTCTGGTTTGACTGTTGCAGTTTCGACTTGTTGGTCATTTTTTCCTTTTTTTATTTTCGTCTTCATCTGTTTTACTTCTTTGCCCAATCTAGCTAAAAATAAACACAGTAAATGGCATAACAGAACCCTAATCCTAAATAGAAGCCCTATTAAGTAACCCACGGACACCCAACGAAAAAATAAAAGCGCAGGGTTTCTATTAGACCCCTGTTAACCGGGACACGCCCGAATAGTCGCGCGGCTCGCCAAGCCACAACTTGCTTTAGGATTTCCGAATCTTTCCAAATTTGGTATTGAACGATTCCTCTCATTGAACTAAAGAGATTGGTACCAAAATTGATAAGGACCAGAAATTTTTTAGCAAGTTATGACTTGGCGACCTTATGGCCGCGTGACTATTCGGGTTGTACCCCTCTGTTACCCTATTAACCCCTGTTAACCTATCATTATTCTATTAACCCATCCCCTTCCTCCAAAAAAAGAAATTAACAAACCTCTTATCGATGCCAATCGTTCTCTTTCCTTTACTTCCCCTAATTTTGTAATCAATTGCTGAATACCTTCAGATGTAAAAGGCACCTTCTTTTTATAGTTATCATTAACTTTCTTCCTCTTTATTTGTTTCATTGACTTTTTAAAACTAAAAAAAAGTAAAAAAAAATAAAAAAAGATAACAACAAATAATTATCAGCAATAAACAATTTCTCTTTTCACACAAATTAATCATTTTAAAATATTTATTCTCTCAAAAGAACACATAAAAAAACCCGGAAAATGATAACAAAAAAATTCTTTGTAAATAAACAAAAGAAAACCACAAAAAAACAATTCTTTCTTGGGCACAATAATGATTAGAGTTCAAAATTTTCACATTACCAGGCCGGAAGTTCGAGGGGATTTCCATCCAACCGATGAAAAAACACATTACCAGGCCGGAAAACATCTCGAACTTCCATCACCAGGCCGGAAGTTCGAGGGGCTTTTTATCCACCAGGATCACGAGTTTTCGAGTTGGAACCCCCCAAAACCCTTAGAAACCCAAAACCAAAAGATTTTATCAAATATACTGTTTCCGGGTTATTCGGCCCGGAAAACCCCGTGTACCGGATCGAACTCTAATAATAACAAAAAATTTTCAAAAAAAAACAAAACAAACGAATGTGTGAGGTTTTGAATATTTTTCTAGTATTTTTGTACATACAAAAAAATATTGTTTGTTTGATTTATTCATCCATATGTTGCTTTGCATCAACCCAAGTTAAAGGATTAGAATCTGGTGTTGGAATAAGACTGGCCTTAAAATGTTAAAAAAAATTTTTTAATAGAAGAGGAGAAGGAAACTCTAAAAGGAATCGAAAAAACGGAGAAATTCCAAGAAAAGAAATATTGGAAGCTGATCTCTCTTTGAGGAAAAAGTTGTAGAAATTAGGGTTGTTGGCGACCGGTTATTAACCGGTACCCTCGGTTTTAGGTTATCGGACAGCCGAATTTTTGGTTATCGCCGGTTTTTGGCACTCGGCTTTCGGTTCCGGTTAATTCGAGAAAAACATCGGTTAACGGCTCCGGTTCGGTTAACCGTCCGCCTCCTAGTAGAAATCTTTTAAGGAAAGGAACGAATAAAAATTGTAGAGAGGACCCAAATGTCAAAACTTTAGAAAGAACCCAAGACCAAATTTTATGAGAGAACCCAAAAATTTCTCATAAGCCCTCCCCAGTAATTTTCATAGAAAATTTCCCTTTTTAAAAAATTTCAAAAATGACCCTACTCCTTATTTTAATTAAAAATCCCTTCATAAAAACTAAAAAGTAAATTTTAAAACAAACCTCATATCTCAAAGTATCCTTTACATTAACCAATTTTACACGAACAACACACATACAATTTATAGTTTGTCTTTCTTCAGGTTGCAAATCTTTTACCCATGCAGGTACTTCTTCATAAACATCTTCCTTAACCTTCTTTCCTCCTCCATTCTTTCCTCTCTCTTCTTCCTCCTCCGATTCCCCTATTCCTTCAACTACCACAACTCCATTTCCATCACTTTCCTCATCATCTTCCACATCTTCTCTTAACAATTTATCAATTTTTTTATCCAAATTTGGCAAACATTCTTCTCTTCTAATTTTATTGTTAGTCACCACCTCATCTTTCCCACTAAAATAATTTTTAGCTTCTTCATTAAACCATAATACAAGGGTTACAGGACCATTTTTTGTTAATTTTCCGTGGTAAATTCGATTTAAAAATTTTTGTTTCTTAAAATTTTTTTATAAAAAATAATAAAAAAAATAAACCTTAAGGTATATACGTTTAACAATTCCATATTTGATCAAAAGTAAATCAAAACATTCATCAAAAAGTGCCATAACTACACCAACAACTTCCATACCTCCATATTCCTTTAATAAAAAAAATAATATTTTTACTAAAAGAAAAATCAGAATTTTCAGAATTTTAATTTCTTTTGTATCTTTTTCTAAATTAAATCAAAAGTTAATTTTCAGAATTAAAAAAAAAAAGAAATAACAAATTCTGATTTTTCTTAAATCAAAATTTAAGTTAAGAAACATAAATAAAAGAATCAAAATTATTTGTTAATTGATTAAAAAAAAATTCCGATTTTCTGATTTCAGAATCTGAAGAAAAAAATTCTGATTTAAGAATCAAAAATCAAAACAAAAAAAAAATCAGAGACATGTTTAGTTTATTTCTGATTTTCCCTCTAAAATTCTGATTTTCCCCTTTGTTTAAAATATGAAATTAACTTGCAGAATTAAAAAAAAAGACAAATTCTGTTTCCTCCAAGAAAAACACATATTATTTAAATTCAGAATTTTAGAATCAGAAATCAACCAAAAATCAAAATAATGCTAGTTTATTCTGATTTCCTACCAAAATTCTGATTTTTCCAACTAGACTAAAAATAAACCAAAAACACATTCTGATTTTATTTTTAAATTATTCATATTTTCTTACCCTTATAAAAGAACCAAAAAATATATCAGCACTAGTTTCACTACACATTTTAGCACAAGCTTTTGTTGAATTTGCCCTCATAGCAATTCCATGCAATTGTTTAACAGAATAATTTGGATCCTCCGTATAGTTTAAACTTGCAGCCAAAAGTCTATGAACTATAATATCTGGATATCGACGAATTGGTGATGTGAAATGGGTATAACTAGAAAAATAAATTTTTATGAAAATTTTTAGAAAAATAAAAAAATTTCAAAAAAATTTTTGAAACTCTTCATAAATTTCAAAAAAATTTTTGAAAAATTTTCCCTTAATTTTTAAAAAAAGATTCACAAAAAAGTTCAAAAAAATTCAAAAACTCAAAATTTTTCTCAAAAAAATTTAATAAATTTTTCTAAAAATTTTTTGATATTTTTTAATTGAATTTGTCCCAAAAAAATTTCAAAAAATTCTGAAAATTAAAAAAAAAACTTTTGCCCAAAATCTTGAGCTAAAAATGTTTTCCAAAATCTTAAAAAATTGGAAAAAAAATCCAAAAATTTTTTGAAAAACGATTCCCGAACAGGTCAAAAAATTTGAAAAATTTTCAAAATTTCTCAAAAATTTTCAAAAAATTTTTAAATTTTTTCAATTCTTTTTAAATTGAAATTTCTCCCAAAAAAACAAAAAAATTTAAAAATTCCAAAAAAAACTTCCACTTACAAATCAACACCCAGTCCATAATGACTAAAATCAGCAGGTCCATCCACAGCACCCGTACAAAAATATTGAGCAAAATTCATACATTTAATAAGTAATTGATTTAATGCTGGAGCAACTGTATATGCATATTGTTCAACTTTTGTAAATTCTTCTATTGATTCTCCCAAAGTTTTTGAATTTGTTGAATCAATTTTAATTCCCAATTTGGCACATTTTTCGACCTAAAAATTGAATTTTTAATAAATTATCCATGGGTCAAGGATGTCACGGGTTATTCAAAACCTAAACCAACTGACCCGGCCTGAAACTCGGACTTTTTTCGACCCGAAACACAATCAGAAAGAAAAAAGTCTGAAGACCCAACCCGACTTTTTTCAGTCTGACATCCCTGGTGTGAAAGAAATAGCCAGTTCCGCCGCGAGTCATCCTAATTTTCTAAGGTAACCTAGGATCGACACCGTGACTCACACTATTAGAAAAAAATTTAAAAAAAAATTCTAACCATATTTTTTAATTCCTTCCTTTTTGGAGTTGGATGTCTTCGAAGCATAGCACGATCATCATAATATTTATAAAGTCTTTGAGCAACTTCCATATTTGCTAATAACATTAATTCTTCAACCAAAAAATTGGAATCTTTTCTCTAAAAATTAATTTTTAAAAGGAAAATATTAAAATAAATTTATCCACTAAAAAAGAGCTCGAACTTTCAAAAGCTTTATGATTGACAAAACGAGATCCCCACCAAAAACCTATAGAGAATATTTTTTGGGAATTTCGGTCACGATTCTCGTACAACACTCCTATTCAGGTCTCCAATTTTCCCAACAGTCAAAACCAAACTATCATGTAAAATACTGCAAAGATGGGCCGGGTTACTTGATACCCAATCCTTTTTCCGACCCGAAACCTGATCCTAATAAAAATTTGGCCGGATCCAAGACAAGAAACAATCTTCTTTCCCAACCTGGCCCCTTCCTAGTTGTCGTCTAATTATTAACAGAAAATTAAAAAATTTCTTTTTTGATCAAGTAATTTTCAATTTAATTAACAAAAAAAAACCTGATCAAGTCTAAGTCCACGAGGAATCCAAGTTCCACTTAAATTTCCCTTTTCATCTTTATTTATTTGTTCAAGATCAAATCTCAATTTTGGTAAATCAAATTTTAATCCTCCTCTTCCAAATCTTTTTCTTTTTAATTTTTTTGCAATAAAATTTAAATTGGTTATAGTTTGTTTTATTTGACGAATTTTTATTCCATCATAAATTTTTGGAAGTTCAAATATTGCAAATTGCTTTTTTGGATTTTCTATTATATCCTTTTAAAAAAATAAAAGTGAAGAATTTTTAATTATTAATCAAATCCTGAGAATTTGAGGAAATTTTATTCTCCTATTTTAGGATAAGAAATGAAGGAAATTTAAAATATAGTTTGAACTTTTCAAGGCATCGAGCCCAGCCTCCATCCAGGTTTTTTTACTTTTGAAATGGCCCTAACCTGGGTTTCCGAGCTAAACTCTCGAAAACCGGATTTTATCAAAATAATGACATGTCTGGAAAACATGATCCTCGTCCCGGTTTCGAAGGGCCCAGCATCCATCCAGATTTTTTTCTCTTGAACTAAACTGGACTGGGAATTGGGCTAAAACCTCAAATTGGTTATAGTTTGAGGTTTCCGAAAACATGATTCTTGCCCTGTTTCGAATTCTAGTTTAAACAGAAGACGGCTAGAAACGATAAAAGCTTCACAAACATCAATAACTGAACAATAAGATCATTAAATCAAAAAGCTTGGAAATCATATTTCCTACTGAACTCTAGTAGAAAAAACTTAAAAACTCTATTTTAGAAGGAAATCCCAGATAAATTATTTAAAAACCTGAGCATGTTCATACGACAATTTAGAACAAGATTTAATTACAGAACGTCCAAACCAAGTAGAAAGTATATTTGCTTCATCATCCATTGTCCAAACAATGGAAAAAGTTAGCCTTTCAACACCTGGATTTAAAGAGCATAAATGTTCACAAAGATCAGATGGAAGCATTGGAATTGCCTAAAATAGATATAATTTTAATAGCTTTTTTGCGTCCAAATTTTGATTGAATAAAAATTGCTAAAAAAAAAGTTTACAAAGGTAAAGGCCAAGGTTTTCAAGTAAGTTTATGAACTATGTTCCATAACTGGAAATTTGGAAAAGGTTATCCAAATAAAGCCATGAACCATTAGATAAGGGTTAACCTAAAGGGGTTAAGCAATCTCTAGAAACACTTGTGCGACACGTTTTTCGCCTACTTTGCTCCTGCGTCTGTGGCGAATGGCGACGAAACCAATGGAGACCAACAGATTAGAGCCCCCTGTGTCAGTGGATATCAACGAACGGGAAGGGGATTTCTCTGACAATTTTCACCCCTTCCCCTAGTGCCGTTTAATTTCCCTGCGTCTGTGGTACAGCCAACAGAGGCTCCTCGATGTCAGTGGATTTCAACGGACAAGAAGAGGATTCTCTCAGTTTTGCCCCCCCCCCATACCGTTTAATGTCAACGAACAAATAATTAAAAAAAAGAACCTTATGCACAAGATATACAGTTGTTCCTCTACTACGTGCCCATCCATTAACTTCAGTATCAATTGGAAGAAAATAAGCAACATCAGCAATATGTACTCCAACTTCCCAACAATCTTCGCCATTTTCTCCTTTTATTCTTTTTATATGTAAAGCATCGTCCAAATCTCTTGCTGTTAATGGATCAATTGTAACAACAACTTCTTTTCGAAAATCACGACGATAATCGAATTCTTTCTTTAAAAAAATATGAAAAATATTAAATATAAGAACCTTATTTTTTAAATTTATGGGCGTCGGTACTGACAATAAGCAAAATATTATAAATTAGTGAACGGTGAAATCAATTTCCCCGGATTTGTAATTAGAGCCGGATCGGATCCAGCCAATCCAAATACCAAAAAAAATCCGGATTTGAGACCAGGAATTTGGAAAAAGGAGACCGGAATCGGTCCAGAACCCGCTCACTATCATAAACATTTCTGCTTCGAAAAAAAGGTAAACTTGTTGCTCCGTAATTTTTAATTCCAAAAATTCTAAAAAACATCCCTCTAAACCCTATCCTTATTTCAATCCCAGTGACCAAAAATACAAATAAAAAATTTTTTTTACTAAATTTCAAACCCTACTGGATCAATATTCAGTATTGGAATAAGCTTCTTTTCAATTTTATCCTTCTTTCCATTTTTCTCTTCAGCTTTCAGACTTGGTCCAGGCGTTTTCTCCCCACTCAGTACTGGAAGATTCTTCACTTCATTCTTTTCCTTCTTTTTATTTTTGCCTTCAGATTCCTCCTTTTCCACCACCTCCTCAGATTTCACTTCAATATATTCCACGCCAAGTTTAACCAACCGATCTCTCAAATCCTTCATAATTCCAGAACTTTCATATTCCCTTACATCAACCCCATTTACTAGCAACAGAGCCAAATGTTCAGCGTTAACATCTCCAGCCTTTCCCAAATTATCAAGTAATTTTCCTCTTGGATTGATACAATCATCTTCCCATTCTTGTAATTGAGCCAAATAAAGAAATTTTTCAAAATCTTGTGGACGATCATAAAATCCTGTTGGGGCACGCCTTTTGAAAAAAAAGAGGGGAAAATATTTGGAATGGTAATAATCTCGTTTGTGTGCGACATTTTTAGTACTCCCTAATTCTGATTTTTTTAAAGCACCTAATGGATCCCCCCCCCAGACCCACAAAATTAAGTGCCCAGCTCTGGGAATCAAACACAACTGTCCACAGCGGTAATGTGCTTCATTAACCCAATGTAAAGGTTTTTAAAATTTTATGGCTATAAAGGTCCCTTAAGTACGTAGCTAGCGATTACCTATCAAATTGACACGTTGGCGGTGGTATAACTTAAAAAGCAAGGTACCTATGACTTACAATTAATCAGAGCTGTACAAAATGAAAACGAGAAATCAATTTCGAAATCATGAAAAAGGCACAAAAAACGAAACAAAAATTCTTGCCCACTCTGAACTCGATAAATAATGTAGAGGTGATCCTGACCTTTATGACCTTACCCTACCTTTACCTGACCTATATTGACCCTTACTTTTATCCCCCTTTTCTATAGATCCCCGTATAAAAAATGTCACCCCCACCCGAGACTATTCCCAAATATTTTTTAAAATTAAAAAAAAATTACTTGATAGGAATCAAAATTCTTGGAACTCTTGAATCAACTGGAACAAAAATAAAATGAGCAGTACTAGAATACATTGGTCTAATGTGTCCAACAACTCGGCGACTTGCATTTTTTTCTAAAATTGCTACAACTTGTGCTGATTTGATTAAATGTTTTTCTTTGACAATAGAACAGCAATTATCAAGATCAGAGATTCTGTGATACTTGGCATGAGGAAAACGAGGACTGAAAAAATAAATTTTTTTGGAAGAGAAAAATCAGAAAAAAATTCTGAAAAAAATCAGAACAAAAAATTCTGAAAAATCAGAACAAAAATTCAGAGAAAAAAACAGAACTAAAATTCTGAAAAATCAGAAGACAAAATTCTGAAAAAAATCAGAAAAAAATTCTGAAAAATCAGAAGAAAAAATTCTGAAAAAAATCAGAACAAAAATTCTAAAAAAATCAGAACTAAAATTCTGAAAAATCAGAAGACAAAATTCTGAAAAAAATCAGAAAAAAAATTCTAAAAAATCAGAAGAAAAATTCTAAAAAAAATCAGAACAAAAAAAATTCTGAAAAATCAGAAAAAAAATTCTGAAAAAAATCAAAAAAAAAATCTGAAAAATCAGAAGAAAAAATTCTGAAAAATCAGAAGACAAAATTCTGAAAAAAATCAGAACAAAAAATTTCATAAAAAATTCAGAAAAAAGGCATAAAATTAAAAAACCTCAGCTTATATTTTGCCCGATAAGCTTCATGCAAAAACCAAAACTCTTTTGATTTCAATTTTACTGCTACCAAATCTCCATGTAAACCTCTATTTCTATCTTGTGGACCTAGTATTAGCAATTCATTGTGTGCATCACCATCTGGATTATCAACAAAGCATTGTTCTGTGTTTCGTTGGTTAACACGCAAAATACCCTAAAATTAAAATTGACCGAAATTTTTTGAAAAAAAAAATTTTTTTAATGAGCTCGTTGAGCTGATTGTGAGTCGATTGACACCAAAATTATATGAAGCTGATCCTTTGGGCTAAAATGCAGACCATTGAGTATCCTTGGTTCCGTATGGTTTTTGACCATTTTTTGTGCCCTATCTCAGCCTAGACTTGTCAGCCTTCATAGCTATAATGTCATTCGACTCAGCTCGAAGAGCTCTTTCGAATGTCAATAATCTATCCATCTTCAGGGGTGGTAGTCTAGAAAATTTTTTATAGAAATTTTATGTCCTGTACAATAGAAATCAAAATATTTGAAAAGCCTGGGCCTGTTCATGGGTTCCTGTGTTTAATTTATTGACATGGACCGGAACCAGGGCCTGTAGTCCAGGAAAAACCCAAGGCCCAGGAAAAACCCAAGAATGTCAAAATGCCTAGGCCTGGACTCTGGGTACAGGAAAACCCAGGCCTTGGTCCATACCCAGGCTGATCTCTACTGTTAAATTTCTGAAAATTTTTCTAAAAATATCCAAACTTCAATCAAAGAGCCATTCTCCAATCCTTCCTTCACTTCTTCCTCGCTTAGATATGCAGGGTATCTAAATCCAGTATTTTTGCCAACATTATTATTGTTTGGAGTGCTGCTGAGGCTGCTATTATCGTTGTTTGAACTTTCCTCTTTTGCTGCTTTTTTATTTTTCTTTGAAGACTTGGCTTTATTTTTTTCTTTATAAGGTTTGTAAGTTACTTCTATCACAGACATGCTCAAAATAGAATTTATCTAAAACTAAAAATTAACAAAATTTTTAAAAATTTTGAAATAAAAAAATTTTTCAAGAATTATGTAAGTTAAGAAATAGACATTTTGCCAAACTTTTAAATTTTAACAAAAACAAAATTTTTCGAATTATCTACAGACACTTTGCCACACCCCTACTTTTTTCTCATTTAGTCGAAGTAGTAAGTATGGACATTTTGCCACACCGACCGTAGATGGACATTTTGCCACATCGACCGTAGATGGACATTTTGCCACACCGTTAATTTTCTCTCATTTAGTCGAAGAAGAATTTCACTTCCGGTTGTTTCCGGAAAACTACAGTATTCCTTTTTGTTAGAACACCGTAAGATTTTAAGGCAAAAATTCAAAATTTAAAAATTAAAGAATTAAAAAATTAATTATCCAAAAATGTTTTCAATAATTTTCTTTTATTTTTCCATTTTTAAATTTCTTTAAAAATTTTTCCATTAAAAAACATTTTTTAATTTTGTGTGCTAATTACTTTTGATAGGCTAAATATAGGAGAGAGAATTTTTCTTTTTTATTTTTTTCCTTTCCAAAAAACTCCAAAATTTTTGCCATTTTTATTCTCTACTAAAAAATGCGTATTTTATATATTTTGGAAATTGGTGAACGCAAAACTAAATGTTTTGGTTGTTTAAGTTGTTCTAATCGCTCTCTTTGTATTTTCTTTTGTATTTTACAAATTATTGTTGTTGGGTGTTCTTTGTTTCAGGTTTATTATTTTTCTCTAACTTTCTCAAAACTTTGTTTAACAACTTGAAAGACATTTCGCCACACCGTTGATTTTTTCTCATTTAGTCGAAGTAGTTCCGGTTGTTTCCGGAAAATCTTTCGGGTTTTCCGGTTGTTTCCGGAAATCTCCCCGGTTGTTTCCGGAAAATCTTTCAGGTTTTCCGGTTGTTTCCGGAAATCTCCTCGGTTGTTTCCGGAAATCTCCCCGGTTGTTTCCGGAAAATCTTTCAGGTTTTCCGGTTGTTTCCGGAAATCTCCCCGGTTGTTTCCGGAAATCTCCCCGGTTGTTTCCGGAAAATCTTTCAGGTTTTCCGGTTGTTTCCGGAAATCTCCCCGGTTGTTTCCGGAAAATCTTTCAGGTTTTCCGGTTGTTTCCGGAAATCTCCTCGGTTGTTTCCGGAAATCTCCCCGGTTGTTTCCGGAAAATCTTTCAGGTTTTCCGGTTGTTTCCGGAAATCTCCCCGGTTGTTTCCGGAAAATCTTTCAGGTTTTCCGGTTGTTTCCGGAAATCTCCCCGGTTGTTTCCGGAAATCTCCCCGGTTGTTTCCGGAAAATCTTTCAGGTTTTCCGGTTGTTTCCGGAAATCTCCCCGGTTGTTTCCGGAAAATCTTTCAGGTTTTCCGGTTGTTTCCGGAAATCTCCTCGGTTGTTTCCGGAAATCTCCCCGGTTGTTTCCGGAAAATCTTTCAGGTTTTCCGGTTGTTTCCGGAAATCTCCCCGGTTGTTTCCGGAAAATCTTTCAGGTTTTCCGGTTGTTTCCGGAAATCTCCCCGGTTGTTTCCGGAAATCTCCCCGGTTGTTTCCGGAAAATCTTTCAGGTTTTCCGGTTGTTTCCGGAAATCTCCCCGGTTGTTTCCGGAAATCTCCTCGGTTGTTTCCGGAAATCTCCTCGGTTGTTTCCGGAAATCTCCTCGGTTGTTTCCGGAAATCTCCTCGGTTGTTTCCGGAAATCTCCTCGGTTGTTTCCGGAAATCTCCCCGGTTGTTTCCGGAAAATCTTTCAGGTTTTCCGGTTGTTTCCGGAAATCTCCCCGGTTGTTTCCGGAAAATCTTTCAGGTTTTCCGGTTGTTTCCGGAAATCTCCCCGGTTGTTTCCGGAAATCTCCCCGGTTGTTTCCGGAAAATCTTTCAGGTTTTCCGGTTGTTTCCGGAAATCTCCCCGGTTGTTTCCGGAAAATCTTTCAGGTTTTCCGGTTGTTTCCGGAAATCTCCTCGGTTGTTTCCGGAAATCTCCCCGGTTGTTTCCGGAAAATCTTTCAGGTTTTCCGGTTGTTTCCGGAAATCTCCCCGGTTGTTTCCGGAAAATCTTTCAGGTTTTCCGGTTGTTTCCGGAAATCTCCCCGGTTGTTTCCGGAAATCTCCCCGGTTGTTTCCGGAAAATCTTTCAGGTTTTCCGGTTGTTTCCGGAAATCTCCCCGGTTGTTTCCGGAAAATCTTTCAGGTTTTCCGGTTGTTTCCGGAAATCTCCTCGGTTGTTTCCGGAAATCTCCCCGGTTGTTTCCGGAAAATCTTTCAGGTTTTCCGGTTGTTTCCGGAAATCTCCCCGGTTGTTTCCGGAAATCTCCCCGGTTGTTTCCGGAAAATCTTTCAGGTTTTCCGGTTGTTTCCGGAAATCTCCCCGGTTGTTTCCGGAAAATCTTTCAGGTTTTCCGGTTGTTTCCGGAAATCTCCTCGGTTGTTTCCGGAAATCTCCCCGGTTGTTTCCGGAAAATCTTTCAGGTTTTCCGGTTGTTTCCGGAAATCTCCTCGGTTGTTTCCGGAAATCTCCCCGGTTGTTTCCGGAAAATCTTTCAGGTTTTCCGGTTGTTTCCGGAAATCTCCCCGGTTGTTTCCGGAAATCTCCCCGGTTGTTTCCGGAAAATCTTTCAGGTTTTCCGGTTGTTTCCGGAAATCTCCCCGGTTGTTTCCGGAAAATCTTTCAGGGTTTCCGGAAACCCCCAAAACCCTTCAAAAACCCAATTTTATAGCATTTATACTCTTGGTCTCGTTTTGGACACGTTTTCAAATGCAATTCAAATATTACCGCGGAGGCTACTTTTGATGAAAGACTGTTAGCTTATGATATTGTAATTTTTGATTTTGGATTGATGAATATTGTTTTGAAAATGTGAGAATTTTTTTAAAATTTATCTTTGTTTAATTTTGAAGGAGTAAATGTGTGGCGAATTATTTGGATGGAGGCTATTTACGTTTCTTTTGGTAGGGATTTTTGAATTAATTCAGAACAGGAATCAGGTCGAGCCTCGCGCTTTTAGATAATGAGGGGCATCCCTCCGATCCTCCACTTACAAAGGAGAGGCTTTTGGGTGTCCGTGGGGACTTCTGGATGAAATTTGGTAGACAGGTAGATCATACCCTTTCTATTGTAAATTTTGAACCATTTTCGCTGAATGGTACCCAAAAGCCTCTCCTTTGTTAGGAAAATTTTTTGTTGGTATCCGAAAGTGAGGTATGGGAGGAATAGGCCAGATAGTAACTCTCGCTTACTAAAAAGCGTAAAGTTTCCAAATTTCGTCCTAAAAGGAGCCTAAAAATCATATTTATTTATTCGAAGGTGTGTTGAACACACATCTGCTTTGCTCATTCTTCTCGCTGTTTTGTGTTTGGATTTAAAAAAGATTTGGCTTTACTGGCCAGGTATCTTCTACCCAAAATCCTTCCAAAAATTCCCCCATTTTATAGCTCTTTTTATGCAATCCTCTTTTGTATTAGGCATGGCTATTCTATCAATGGCTACAACTCCAAAAATACTTGAAGCAATAAGCACACGGGTTGATAGCCATTTAACAACTTTATTAAGTATTTATGTTTGTGGGGTATTGCTTAATTGGTAAGGCAAAAACTTTTCTTTAAATAATTAAAAAATTTGAAGGATGTTTACTCTCGTTCTCTGGCATCACTATTGGGATATGGAAAAAGTGGTTAGAGCTCTAGAGGACAATTCCGGAACGGAACAGAGAAATACAATACAACAAAGACGCAATAACCAATCTCTATATTATTGTTAAAAAGGGGAGAATTCTGAAAATAAATAAACTTGAATTTATTTATTAATCAGAATTTGTAATTTTCTTTTCGGAAATTGTAAATTCTGATTAATCAGAATTTGTAATTTTCTTTCCGGAAATTGTAAATTCTGATTTAATCAGAATTTGTAATTTTCTTTCCGGAAAATTGTAAATTCTGATTAATCAGAATTTGTAATTTTCTTTCCGGAAATTGTAAATTCTGATTAATCAGAATTTGTAATTTTCTTTCCGGAAATTGTAAATTCTGATTAATCAGAATTTGTAATTTTCTTTCCGGAAATTGTAAATTCTGATTTAATTTGCTTTAAATTCTGATTTTCTATTTAATTTCTTTCCGGAAAAGACTAGTTTTGTAGTTGTAATTTTCTTTCCGGAAATTGTAATTTTTAATTCTGATTTGTATTACTACATATTCCGGAAATAAAATACATTATAATTTATATTCCGGAAAATAAATTGTATTTTCCGTTATGTATTCTTTTTACAAATTCTGATTTTCTGTTTAATTTCCGGAAAGTTGTGTAATTTTAATTCTTTTCAAATTTTTATAATTTACAAACTTGAATTTTTAAATAACTTTTTTTAATAACTTGCATTTAAAATTAATTTTGTGATTTTACAACACAATAAAAATTGAAACTTTAATTTTTAAACATTTATTAAATTTTGTGTGTATTTTGATAAATAGAGAATTACTGTAAACACCCCAGTTGAAAATTTATTAAAAATTAATTTTATTTAACAAAAAATTTTCTAGTTCAACTGGGATGTTAAAAGGTCATTAAACAAAAATTTAACCAGCCAAAAAGAATAAAATTGAAAAATTGAAAATTATAAGGTCTTTATAAAGTAGCCAAATCCAAGGTACCATTCACCGACAGAAAATCTTTCCAATTAGTAGAGAAGTTGTCTACTTTGCAAATGGTCATCACAATATATGAGTTGTCCCCTCGTTGCTGAATCTAATAGAGAAATAAAATTATTTAGGCTTTTAGTTCTGATTTTTAAATTCTGGTTTGCTATTTATTTTCCGGAAAGTTGTAATTTCATTTCCGGAAATTGTAAACTTTAATGTTAAATTCTGATTTATATTTTCATTCCGGAAAGCCGTAATTTTGTAATTTCCTTTCCGGAAATTGTAAATTCTGATTCAATTTGTTTTTAAATTCCGATTTGATATTTAATTTCTTTCCGGAAGAGGGATTGTAATTTTGTAGTAATTTTAATTTATTTCCGGAAAATTCTGATTTATATTTTCATTCCGGAAAAAAAATATTTTATATTCTATTTTCCGGAAAGTATAATTATTAATTCTTTTTACAAATTCTGATTTATATATTTAATTTCCGGAAGGTTATAATTTCATAATTTCCTTTCCGGAAATTGTAATTCTTCCCGAAAAATAAATTATTTAATATTTCCGGAAAGGAAATTACAAAATTATAACTTTCCGGAAATTGTAGTTATTTTTTTTACAAATTCTGATTTTCTATTTACTTTCCTCCAAGTTTTCTAAACTTACATTGTAACCAACACTATTAGGATTAATTTGCGTCGGGAAACGTCCAATACTAACAACAAAACGTTTACAATCTTCTGACCGTTTACTCATTGCAGACTTGTCACGATAAACTTCCATTAACAAAGACATACTCTGTTCAGTTAAAGAGTATTGTCCAAACTTAACATTTGAAGCTAAGGCAAAAGGGTCTTTTGATTTGATATGTAGCCAACGCTTTAAAGTCAAAAGAAGGCCTCCACGTTTTTTCATTCCCGGCACCATTATTGTCATTATTACTGAAAAAAAATAATTTCTAAAATTAATTCTAGTTGGGTAACCTTTAGTTCCCGTATCTTGCATAACTGCCAAAGGTGCGTCAATTTCACCCCGAGAAGTGGTAGCCGATGCCATTTATTTTTGTGAATATAATATTTATTTTTTAATAAAGGGATATGTCTAAAAATTAATAAAAAAATAATTTTTGATAAAATAATAAATAAAAAAGTCTGTTTTTCCGCTGCTAGGAGACTGGTACAATAATTAAATCATCTCTCAATTAAAAAATACAAACACAGTCTTGAACGATTTTTAAGCCTAAATGAATGCGCGAATTTAAAAAAACCAAGAGAAATAAAGTAAAAAAATAATATTTTTAATTAATAAAAATGTAAGGCTTCGAGAGACGCATGGAAAACATTAAAAATAAAAATAGCAAAAATATTATATGGCTGCCCCCATTTATTGAGGGAAAAATCTTTATAAGGAAGAGGTTAAAGACAACATTACAAAACAAACAAACAGGTCTTGTCTCTATTTTTAGTTGAGTTCAGAATTGAGTAAATATATTTTGAGGGAATGTTTGTACAATGAACTCACAAACAGAACAATTAAAATATTAAAGTTTTGAATTTTATTTTACAAACCTTCCGGAAAGAGTAATACATTTGTGAAATAAATTTTCCGGAAAGAATATAATTACAAATTGTAAATTAAAGTTTCCGGAAAGAATGTAATTACAAATTGTAAATTAAAGTTTCCGGAAAGAATGTAATTACAATTCGTAAAATAAATTTTCCGGAAAGATTGTAAAATAATATTTTCCAGAAATAGTATAGGTAATTACAATTTGTAAAATAACTTTTCCGGAAGGAATATACATCAGCATTCCGGAAAGAATATACCAATATTACAATTTGTAAAATAATATTCTACAATTGCAAATATTAATTCCGGAAAGAATATTTTCACAAATTTTCCGGAAAGAATATATGAAAAGAAAATATAAAAATATATTACAATTTGTAAAATAATATTCTACAATTGTAAAATAATATTCATTCCGGAAAGACCTCATTTTACAAATTCTTTCCGGAACGAATTTAGAATCTTTTAACAAAGTTTTAACAAATTTTAAAACATAAAAGGAAAAATAATTGATTTTTTAAAAATATCAAAATTTCATAACGACAGTCTAATTATGGTGAAATATAGATAGTATGAGCAATAAAAATGTTCGATAGAAAAATAAAATTTGTAAAGTCCCCAAAAACAAGTTTTAAAAATAAAATGGCCATCGAATGACAAACTTTGTTCTAAATATTATATTGCAATTGAGACAAAATAAATAAAACAATAAACAGCTGTGCTTTTATTTATAATATAGATTATATGAGATTATAAATGCTCGAAAATAATTATGTATTTTAAATTGACCCAATTATAAACAATCGTTTATGAAAAAATAAAAATCAGAATAAAAATCAGAAAATAAAAATCAGAATTTGAATAAAAATCAGAATCTTTTCTGAATAAAAATCAGAATAAAAATCAGAATATAAAAATCAGAATTTGAATAAAAATCAGAATCTTTTCTGAATAAAAATCAGAATAAAAATCAGAATATAAAAATCAGAATTTGAATAAAAATCAGAATCTTTTCTGAATAAAAATCAGAATAAAAATCAGAATATAAAAATCAGAATTTGAATAAAAATCAGAATATAAAAATCAGAATAAAAATCAGAATATAAAAATCAGAATTTGAATAAAAATCAGAATCTTTTCTGAATAAAAATCAGAATAAAAATCAGAATATAAAAATCAGAATTTGAATAAAAATCAGAATATAAAAATCAGAATAAAAATCAGAATATAAAAATCAGAATTTGAATAAAAATCAGAATATAAAAATCAGAATAAAAATCAGAATATAAAAATCAGAATTTGAATAAAAATCAGAATATAAAAATCAGAATTCTGATTTTAAAATAAATTTCTGATATAACTATAAATAGTAATAAAATCCTTCCCTATTAAAAACAGCTTATAAATTAAAAATAAGTTTAAAAACAGGCAAAACATCCCCAAATTTATTTGTTTTTCTCCCTCGTGTATTTGTCATATCCAATTTTGAGGAAAATTGGGCGTCTGTCTCTAAAAATATCTAAAAAGTAAACAAAATGCCTAGAAAAGACGTTTATTGAGTCAATTTTGTTTTAACCGCAAACTGACCTAATTACTTAAAACAGAAAATAATTTGGTCAATTTAACCGGAAGAAATAAGAAAATAAAGAAATTGAATATGAAATTTCCGGAATAAATATTTTTTCCGGCAAGGACCTAAATTATGAGTTAATTCTTTTCCGGAAAATTGTAGTAAAAAAATAAACTTTCCGGAAACATTATACGTATGGTGCTTTTCCGGAAAGAAATATATTTTATTGTTTCCGGAAAGTTTCAGGAAAATTATACATAATAACAACAATAACCAACCTTTTTCCGGAAAGTTTCTGGAAAGTTAAATTCTGATCTTAATTTATTTCTGGAAAACAAATTCTGATTTTTCCGGAAAATGAAATTCTGATTTTATTTTTTGGTTCCGGAAAGCTTCAGGAAAAGAAATGTATTTAATTTTATTGTTTCCGGAAAGTTGTAGTACTAATAATATTTATTCTAGTTTTTCCGGAAAGTTGTAAAAGTACCATTATGTATTTTTTCCTTCAGGAATATGTACTTATAAATTCTGATTCATATTTTTTTACTTATGACTAGAAGAATAACATTTCTGGTTATCGATAACATTAAAAAATATAGGAAATTTGTAAAACCGCTATTTGGAGTGTTTGCTGTAGTAGGTGTGCGCCTCTCAATATTTTTCCCTCATGCGAAAAATTTTGATTGGGGAAACAAAATATAAAAATGCTAAAAAAGGGAGGCGATTGAGTGAGTGGATGAAGAAAAATGAAGTGACTAGTAAAAATCCCCTCCCATCCTCTTCTTTTATTCTCGAGACCCTTTTAAGGAAGGGCGCTACCTCCACCGCTACCACCGCCATTTTTCAGCCTTTTTAAAGTAAAAAAAATATTTAAGTAAAACTAACAGTCATCATCATCTTCTTTTCTTCTTGCGCACGTCAAAATGTGCGATAGGCGGATTTTGCCTTTTTATGGGTGAGTAATGAAGAATTAAAAATATAAATGATTGAGTGGGGAAAGAAAATGCTTGACCAATCTCAAGGTTAAAAATAATTAATTGATATATTAATAAATGAACTGACTTTTGGATTAATTGGTTGAAAAAAGAGAAAAAGGAATTTTATTAAAAATAAATAGGTTAAATTACAATTAATTATAAAATCAGAATTTTTGAGTTTTTACAATTTTACAAAATCAGAAAAATTAAATAAACTTAACAGTCAGTTTGAGTTTTCTTATAAAGCCAGAATTATATAAAATCAGAAATTTGTAAAATCAGAATTTAAAAAAATCAGAATCCCATAACCAGAACTTTGTAAAATTAGAATTTTATAAAATCAGAATTTTGAAAAATCAGAATTTAAAAAAATCAGAATTTTGTAAAATCAGAATTTTGTAAAATCAGAATTATATAAAATCAGAAATTTGTAAAATCAGAATTAAAAAAAATCAGAATTATATAAAATTTTTGTTACGTTCATTTAAATCAGAATTTTTAAAAATTTCCAATAGCCGTTTCAGCTTCTTCCAAAAGTCGATGCGCCTTTTCTAGCACCGCAGAATTTGCATCATTTAAATCTTCGGGAAGAAAGAGAAGAAAAGTGAGGGCAGCAAGAGGAATATAACTTTGAAAATATTGTAAAATTAATTATTTAAATTTTTTATTTACTGTTCAAAAGCATCCGTAACTCGATCCAAAGTTATTTCTTTTTGAAAATCGGCATCTGCTCCAAATGATTGTAATCTTCTGAAAAGGCAAAATTGTAATTTTTGAAAAATATAATTTTACAATTCTGATTTGTTATTCTGATTTATTTTGTACTTTTAATAAAATCAGAATTTTCTGAATATTTTTTTCAGAACAGAATATTCAAAACCAGAATTTTCCAGAACAGAATATTCAAAACCAGAATTTTCAGAATATTTTTTAAATCAGAATTTTCAGAAATTCTTTCAAATCAGAATTTAACCAGAATTTTCAGAATATTATCAGAATTTCAAGTCTATTTAAAATCAGAATTTCTGTTTTTTTACTTTAATAATTGGTAGTGGTAATATTGAAGCAATTTAACAAGTTGTGTTTCATTGCGCTCCTTGGTTGGCATATTCCAACAAATGCATTTGGCTAAATCTTCACCAATACATCCACAATGTGTTTCTGAAACAGAAATAATTTTTAATTTAATTTTTGATAATTTTTTCGAATTTTCTTTTTCAGAAAATTTTCAGAACTTCTCAGAAATCCAAAATTCTGATTTTAAATAAATTAGAAAATTCTGATTTTGTAAATTCTGGTTCTGAATATTACAAAAATTCTGATTTTGTAAATTCTGATTCTGAATATTCCAAAAATTCTGATTTTGTAAATTCTGATTTTAAAAGAATATTCTGAAAATAATTTTTCTTAACTCCCTCCCCTAACCTCCACCAAACTTACGTGTCCAATCAATCAACACAATTCCCTTCTCCAAATTTGTATTTAACTCATGATTATTCTGTTTATTATTCAAGTAAAAAAAGAAATGTGAAGCAATCGGATTTCCATGTACAAGACATTCAGGAATACCAAATTGAGCACCATTTTTGGTTATATAACGTTGTAAATTATTATTTTGAGTTAACATTTCTAACAACTAAAATTTTTTTAATTAAAAAAAATTTTTTTTCAATTTTTTAAACTTATATTTTCGATAAATTCTTCCATTTTCCCCATTCTTTTCATTTAAAAATGTTTCAATAAATCCTTTAAGTTGAACATAAAAATATTGGGGGAGTTCAGCATCTCCGACAATTTTTAGCCATTCATCCTTTTTTATCATTGAGAGAGCGTGGAATTGTGCTAAAATGCGTAATATGCCTCGAATCCCTTTAAAACAAAATTTAAAAATCAGAATTTTATATTATTTTATTATTTTTTAAAACCAGAATATTTATTTATTAAATCTAATTTAATAAATAAATCAGAATTCTGATTTAATAATGTAAATCAGAATTTTTAAGTTTACAAATCAGAATTTTGTATTTTATTATTAATTTGTAAATCAGAAATGTGTTTTTCTTTATTTTTAGAAATCAGAATTTGTGTTTTTTAATTTTACAAATCAGAATTTGTATTTTTAATGTTTTACAGAATCAGAATATTGTGTTTTGCTTAATTTTAGAAATCAGAATTTTGTATTTTTTTAATATTTTACAAAATCAGAATATGTATTATTTACGCATATTCTGGTCAGAATTTTCAAGTTTACAAACCAGAATTTTTAAGTTTATTTAAAATCAGAATTTTGTATTTTATTAATTTGTAAATCAGAATTATTTGTGTTTTTATTTTTACAAATCAGAATTTAAACTACCTTCAGCAGAAATTCCTTCAGTAATCTTCCCAGTCCTTGCCCTATCGCTAAGATCTTCCATTAAAAGAAGAGCACTACATGATTTTGACCATTTTTTCTTTAAAAAAATTAAATTCTAAATTATTTTAAATTAAAAATTACTTTAATTACAAAAATGCGAGGGATTGCAATTTTCTTGTGTTTTGAAAGCCATTCATATACTTGGCATTCTCTTAAAATTCTGATTTTTATTTATCAATTTTTTTTTAATTTTACCTTCTAAAAAGGTCAGAACCAAGCTTTGATTGCTATAAAAATCAAAATTAATTTTCAGAAAAAATTCTGATTTTCAAAAAAAAAGTTCTGGTTCTGAAAATCTTGCCTCGGGCGAGTCGTCCTCATTAGCTTCTGATATTTTCAGAACAACACTTGTAGGCAATTTCTGATTTTCCCACCCAAAAGTTATTTTTAAAACACAGGTACGGTCAAGATCTTTGAAAAAATTTATTTAAAAAATTCTGACAAAAATCAGAATTCTGGTAAAAAATTTTTATTTTCTGTCACCTTTTTCATTAGTATCATTAAGCCTTTCAACAATCCATTGAGGTTCTGGTTCATTTGGGCATTTAAATTTTTCTATTAATCTCTGGAAAAGCCATTCAAACGAAACTTGGGTTCCACAAATCCATTGTCGACGAGGTTCTTGTTGTTCCTCCAATGGAATAGGGGAGACAAAACTGAAAAATACAGAAAGAACACAAAATTCTGATAAAAATCAGAATTCTGATTTTTAGAGAAATCAGAATTTTATTGAAATACAAATAAAACACAAATTCTGATTTTTATAGAAAATCAGAATTCTGATTCTTAATTCTGGACAAATTTCTGATTCCTAATTCTGATCAGAACTAACCAGAATTTTAGTTTATAATAAAAATCAGAATTTTAATTTCTGATAAAAATCAGAAAAAAATAGTAAAATACAGAAAAACACAAAATTCTGATTTTTCTATTTTTAAACTAAACTCACTCAGAATTTGCAGAAAGAATAGAAGGTTGAGGAGATCGACTACAATTTTTAATTTGTTGTTGATTTGAAATAAAATTCTCATCATTCACAATTGGATTACTGGAAAGATGAGGTCGAAGCATTTCATGAATAAATGTTGTATTATTATTTTCTTTTTGTAATATTCCAAATCCATTACAAAATACTCGATTCATTACAATATTCCAACCTTTCGATTTTATTTTTGAATTTTTAATATTTTCGACATTTTCGCTTATATTGTTTTTATTATTAAGTGATCTTGCACTTTCTGTTGATACATGACAACCCATCTAGCTATTGTAATTAATTCTGATTTTAAAAAAATATAAAATTCTGATTTTAAATTAATTCTGGCTTTAAAAATTCTGATTTTAAAAATTCTGATTTTATTAAATTCTGATTTATAAAATTCTGGTTTTAAATTAATTCTGATCTCAAAAAATTCTGATTATTTATATAACTGAAAAATTCTGGTTTTAAATCAAAAGATTTAAAAAATCAGAAAAATTCTGAACTTAAAAAAATTCTGATTTTATAACTGAAAAAACACAAATTAATAAAACACATTCTGATTTGTAAAATTATTTTTAATTAAACTTGGAAAATACAATTTGTAATTTTTAAATTCTGATTTTGCAAATTCTGATTTGTAATTTCAGTTATAAACCTTAAATTCTGATTTGTAAAAATTAATAAAATATTTTACAATTGTAACTTTAAATTCTGATTTTATAAAATTTAAAAATAAGGCTAAATTTGAAAAGAAAAAGTGGGAAATCGAAAAATTAAATAAATTCTGGTTTGTAAAAAAATTAAATAAAGGGGTTTCCCACGTAACACTTACATTCAGACAAATTCCCTGCTGTTTTCTTTTCCAAAAAAAATTTTTAAAAAATTTCCAAAAATATTAAACCAACAATAAAAATTAAATACTTTTCTTCCTTTACTTCCTTAATATTCCTTTTATTAATTTTGGCCAAATATATTTAAATGAACGTGAAATTCCAGCTGTGAAGGCATTTTTAATTGATTGGTGTTTACTTGAATGACCAACAATTTTTTGTAAAACTAAATCTAGTCTTTCTGGAACATCATAACGATGAGAAATGTGGTAAATTAATTCCTTAAAAATTGAAAAATTTTTTTGGGAAATTTTTTCAATTGAGAAATTTTTAGGGACAAAAATCAGAATATTTTTTGAACCAAAAACCAAAACAAAAATCAGAATAAAAAGCAGAATGAATTTTAGAACCAAAAAAATCAGAATAATTTTTTTGAAACAAAAAATCAGAACAATTTTTGTAACAAAAATCAGAATAATTTCTGATTCAGAAACTAAACAGAAATCAGAATAATTCTTGGGTAAAAAAATCAGAACAAGTATCAGAACAAAAATCAGAATAAAAACCAAAATATTTTCTGGGACGAAAATCAGAATTTTTGGAACCAAAAAATCAGAATATTTTTTGAAACAGAAATCAGAATAATTCTTGGGTAAAAAATCAGAACAAGTATCAGAACAAAAATCAGAATAAAAACCAAAATATTTTCTGGGACGAAAATCAGAATTTTTGGAACCAAAAAATCAGAATATTTTTTGAAACAGAAATCAAAATATTTTTTGAAACAGAAATCAGAATAATTTTTTGGGTCAAAGAATCTTAAGTCAGCAAATATCGGAAGGTTTAAAAAAAATTTTTTTTAATTAAAGAAACAAACCTCAATGTCTAAATTAGTATTGTACCGTCTAAACCTCCTCGAAGGATAATAAGAATTGCAAAGGCCTCTTTGTACAAAATAGGGAAGCATTTGAAGACGATGAAATACTGTTTGGATTGAACTTGAAAATTAAAAAAGAAATTATTTTTTTTAATTTTTTCAAAATTCTCCCTTACTTATCCTGTTCAATCATTTCATCATTTTCCATCAAAATTTGTTTATCACTAAAAAAATTTCACAATTTTTTTTGAAATTTCCACAAACTTTTTTAATAAAGGAATATAAAGCATTCTGAGTTGTTCATTTGCACCTTCTACCAATTTATCAATTTTTTTCGAATCTTCTGCCCATCCCATACGTACATCTCCTTTGTAGGATAGACCGACTATTTTATGAAGAAATTCCTTTAAAATTTAAGAAAAAATTTTTTTGTGGGTTTTAAGAGATAAAAATTTATTTGTGGATGAAATTTGCGAACAAACTGATTTTTTTAGTAACAGCAGAAAATCCATGGGTTTCGAATAACCCGTGACTAGTGCTTCGCCGGGAGTTCCAGTTCCGGATTCGGTCAAAATTTAAATTCCGGTTCTGGCCAAATTTGTGGTTCCGGCGAAGCACTACCTGTGACATCTTCGGGCCAAGTTCAAGTCTTTTCTTCTTGTTTTTGAAACCTGTGAGTTTGGGGGATTAAAAGGAAAAAAGTCTAGTTTTAGGTTTTCGAGAATTTTTTGGATTGGGTTTCGGATTGAGAAAAGGTCGGGTTTCGGATATGTGTAACCAGTGACATCCCTAGTCGGAAGCCCAGACTAAAAAAATTTTGAAGCCTTACTTTAACACTAAATTTTTCAGGTGACAATAACAATGCTGCCTGCACAGCCATCCATCTATTGTCATTAATTGCTTGCCAAATTGGTCTGTTTGGTTCTTGACCCAAATTTTGATCGTTTGGGCATACAAGAACGTTTAAAACAGGTTTGTGTAATCTACCAGCAATATACAATTTTGGCCAATCTAATAAATCTGCTTCAAAGTCTTCTGTGTCAATTACTCCGTATTTTATGAGACGACCTTTAAAATTGAAACGATTTTTTTTGATTATATTTAAGGTCAATTATAGATTTTTAGCTAGAAAAAACGGAATAGTTTAGAAATAGTCGTGGACACTGACCCCTTGGTTTTCAAAAATTCATCCGGTCGGGTCGGTATCGGAGGATTACTTAGAGAGAAACCCTCGAACGATTTTGAAACCCGGCTCGAACGATTTTGCCTAATCTGACCCCTCAACACCGACATAACTCAACCCCTAACCAAGACAACAACATTCTCGTTGTCAGCTCTAACAAAACCCGACCCTGAACTTTTTGACCACACCGTGGGTCGGAATTCCAACCCTAATTTAAAAAATCTTTAAAATTAAAAAACATTTAAAAACCTCTAGAAGGTATCAACGTATTATAAAACAATTTTGCTCCTTTAGGAAATAAAAATCCATCTCGTTGAAACCAATACAAATTATTTATTAATCTTTCGGTTTTAAGAAGACGCCAAGGAAGAGAATAATGTGCTGGATTCCTCAATTTATTTTAATTTAAAGGAAAAAATTTAAGATTAAAAAAATACCAAAGCTGATTTTTTTGATGAAAAAGCATTGAATTGTTACAAACAAGAATAAAATCAACCTGAAAAATATAAAAATAAAAATAAGCGAAAATTTTAATTTTAAGGGTATTAAAAAGAGCCTTAAATTAGAATTGATCACGACCCGTTAATCTTTGCCTGTGGCAAAAACCACAAAATCACAAGCAGGTTGTGAACAAACCTAATTTAAATAGGTAAGGGGGGAAAAGGAAAATATTAATAAACCGAAACAATTTCCAGTCAAAAAAAATTTTCAGAAACCTAGTAAAAATGATTTTGTGAGCCATGAGTCGCTTGGGCACTTGGAAATGTTCGTAATTATTATAAAAAAGGTCCAAGGTTCAATACCCAGTGACGAGAATATTTTTTAAAAGGCATTTCAGAGGTGTAAATGTGGGAAAAACAATTGAGAAAAAATTTTGGTGGGCACAAAAAGAATTTTTAACCCCCAAAAAATTCAAAGAAACCTCTTCAAAAAAATTCAAACCCCCCCCCCCCCTCCTCACAAATATTTGAAAACCTCACCATTTTTTCTTTTTGATTTTCTCCTTTTTGTGGAATAGCTCCAGATCCATAAGCAAAAGCATAACAAACTTGATCTAAAGGGAGAGAAGCACCAAATAATAAATCTAAATAATCATCGTTGCAGCAAATATTAAGAGAAGAATTTTGGGTATTTTCTGGTGGTGGTTGTTTTGAGAATGGAGGGAACATTTTTTTGGAATTTTTTAAAATTAATGGCTTTTAAAAATTAATTTAAAAAAAATTAAAGTAAAATAATTAAATAGATTTTTAATTACGAGAGAAAAAAAAATAAATTTAAAAAATATTTATTCAGAAAAAAAAATTTTTTTTTTGTTTTACCATAAGAGAAGAAATAAAGTGAATAACAGGAATTATATTATTTTTAAACTTCAAAAATTGTACGTCTCTTCAATTCCTCAAAATTAAAATATTTTTTTTAAATTGTGCCCATTAATTTCGACTACGTCTTGGACTGAAAATTGAATTTTAAAAATAATCAAAAAAAAATTTTTTTATTTTTCAAACCCCCCCCCCCCCCAAATTTTGTAAAAGTTTTCAAAAATTACCCCTCCCCTCCGTAAAAAAATTTTGAAAAAATTTTTCAAAAAAATTAACTCCCCTCCCTCCATAAAAAGTCTCTTAAACTTTAAGGAAAAAAATTTAAAAAAAAAATAAAATTAACGTTTGCGTTTGAACATTATAAGCTCCACTGCTGAGAATAATAGATTTAATTGTAGCGTTGAGTTCGTCCTGTTTTTCTTGTAATTTTCTGATGTCACCAGTTGCTTCTTTGTGAAGTCTGTTAAAATGGTCGTAATTGACAAACTAAAAATAAATACTTATTAAGTAAAAAATATTAAGGACTACCCCGGGAATAAAGGAAAATCAATTGGGAAAAGTGGATTTTGGATTAAAAAATTAAAAGACGCAAAAGGGTCAAACACGTTAACCTTCAAATTTTCAAGAAATTCGAAGCCCAAAGAAACTAGAGATCAAGCTGGGCCTGGACCAAGGCTTGGGTTTTTCCTGTACTCACATCAGAGTCAGAGCCCAAGCATTTTTTGACCTTCCTGGGTTTTCATGGGCCATAGGTTCCGGCCCAGGTCAATAAATCAAACACAGGAACAGGCCCATGCTTTGCAAAAATTTCGAGCCTCTAAAGAAACCCCCTAAATAAAATTCAAATTTAGAAACCTTAGCCTCTACCAAAGCATTTTCACATCGCAAATTTGAGTTGTCATGCTGAGAATTTAAACTTTCACGTTGTGAATTTGACTTTCCGCTTGAACTTTGTTGATGGTTTGTACGTCTTGGAGTTTGATTATTCATTGTAGCAAATTCTTTATAGAAATTTAAAATTTATCTAAACTAAATTCAAAATTAAAAAGTAATAAAAAAATAAATAAAAAAAATTTTTGGAGCCCGGCCCCGATAGAAAAATTTTTTGCTTGAGTACCATTCTGTCGTATTTTAGCCTACGTACCGTTTTGTCCCTGACCATTTTGTCGTATTTTAGCCTACGTACCGTTTTGTCGCGCCCCGTTTTTACCAAAAATGTAGCTTTCTAAAGCTCTTTTTTCTCTCTTTCTCTGACTTTCTTAAAGTTAGACACAAAAATATAGAATGCCAAAAAATTAATTTAATAAAAATTAGAAGGCGACAATTTAAAAACGTGGCTATTATTTTTAGAAATTTTGAAGAAATTTTTGATTTTTTTAAAATTTTTTGAGTGATTTTATTTTTCTTTTACAGAGAAGCTCAGAAAATGTCGCTCTATGAGGAAGAGAATGAGACTGTTGTTAAAGAAAAGGAAAAGGAAGGTTTGAAAATTTTAGATTTTTAGTTTACCAACGATGTGTTTTTAATAAATTTTTCAGATTCTTCACAAAATATAATGAGCAATAAAATGAATTTGAGCTTTTTAAAATCACAATTGGAAGCCAAAAAGGCTTTGCTTCAAAAATCTGCTGCTGCACAAAATCAGGTTTTCTTTATTTTCTTTTTTGAGCTTGGCTTCCTCCAATTCACCCAACTTTTTTCGAATTTAAGGAGGGATAGATTCCATTAGATAGTATTTAAAATGCCTAGGAGATTGTTTAAACCGTTGGGGCCCGATCCAGCCCTGTCCGAAAGACCCAGTCGAGCATTTAATTTTGGCCCGAAAAAGACTCGGTCGGACCGACCCGATAAAAATGTCTCGAACTTCGGCCCGACTCGAAAACCCCAGCCCTAATAAGTAAGGGTAGCCCGGCTCAGGAATGTGGTATCCAAAAATTTGTTAGGTCTCTGGTAGAGACTGAATTGGGAAGGTCGTACCTTAAATATTTTTTTGAATGACCGAGTTTTTTATTTGAGCTCTCGTCTCGGTCTATTTTTAATTTCAGGTTCGATTCCTGCTTCGGTACTTTATTAATATCCCACCCTCACCCCTATTTGAGTCTAGATCTAATTTTTCTTTTTCGAACTTGTCAATTACTTCAAATTTGTGATGGAAAGAATGATTGACAGCAAAAAAGGAAAACTAATCCGAGACTCAAATAAGGGGGAAAAAGTATCTCTCTTCTACTAAACTTTATTTAACATTTCTTATTCTATTTTTTCTTATGAAAATATTTTTTAATTTTAGAAGAATTTACAATCTCAACAACAACCTCCTTCCACCCCAACAATTTCATCAACTCCAATAATTGAACAACAATCAACTTTACCAGAACAGAAACCGTTGATTAATTTAAAACCACAACAAAAGAGTACATTTAAATTAAAAACACACAAAGCTTTCCCTCTTCCGCTTGATTCGTCTGGAGCTTTTTCAATTATTCCAAAAGCGTTTAAGGAGGACAAGGTTGCTTTTTTTAATTTTTTTTGTGGATAGTTAAGGAATTTGTTTACTTTAACACCCCCATTTATTCACAAATCATCCCTATTTGTAAGCCATCAATAAGCTTGTTACTCCGTACTACCCCCAAGTGACCATTGATTTCCGCGAGATGCATGCCGGCATCTCGCCGACTTCCATGGGTTTGGTTGACCATTTTGAGTCTTTTGAGCTTGCGAATAAATGTGGTGCGACGTAAAGTAAATAAGTTCCAAGAAATTCTCCGAATTTTGGTTTCCATCCTTATACCCTAACTTTTGAGCATTTTTTGAGCTTTCTCACTTTTCATAAGGACTCATAACTCTCATATAAAGTCGTGGAATTCCCCTATAAGGAATGAGTGAAGTTGAAATAAATCTGGGTCAGTCCTCTATTTTCCTTGTAGCAAGACTTGGACACTTTTTAAACTTCCTCGCTTTTTCTGGAAAGTGTCAGGATGGGTTTCTGCTTGCCAAACTTGCTGACATTTTCGATTTTATAACCTTTATTTTTCAATTTTCTTCAAATATTAATTTTTTAAAGGTTTTTCTTTTTGGTGAAATAATGATAGATGATGAATATAATCCAACAGCCCCAACAGATTATTCTAGTTTTAAACAAAAAAGGTTTTTTTTTGAAATTTTCAAAATTTTTTAAAAATTTTTAAGAGAACAGCAACGCTTAAAAGAAAAAATAGCAAAAGAAATTGCTGATAGAATTGCTAGAGAAGCTTCTGAAGAGGAAGAAAAAAGGAAGAGAGGGGCGGCTATTGCTCCACCAACTTCTTTTATGGTTAAAGAGGAACCACAGGTTTTTTAACTACTTTAACATCTTATTTTAGTGGGGAGTATGGGGCTGACAATGAATCAAAAGTTTTTTGGAAAATTATTTTGGAAGAAAATTTTTTTTCTGTTGATTAACGAGGACCTTGACTATTTCAAAAAAGTTTTTAATTCCTTTGAACTATCATCTCTCTTTTCTGTGATTTGCGTTTGTCTAACGAACCCATTATGTGTTAAATTCCGCTCTCAATTTTTTAAAAACCCAGAAAGTATTACCTGAACCTAGTCATTTAAGTTACCACTATCGATGAGCCGAATTGAGAACAAAGTCGAGATTGGGGTTTAAAAAATTTTTTGGCTCGAATATTCGATTTCCGATAACTACATGGAATTTTTTTTATGAAAAAAGATATTTGAACTCGTGGTTTCTAAAGAGAATGAAGTAGTTGGGGAAACAACCCCTCTATTCTAAGTCCTGTTTTTCATTAGAAAAATCTTCAGTTGAGCCTTACTATTTCTAACCAATTCTAATTATTTTCTCTTCTTTTTTAGCAACAACCCCAACCTCAACAACCACAAATTGATCATCATCATGAAAACAACGAAAAATTGGAAAAACATTTTGGAAAAGGTGTTTCTAGAGGTTTGGGTGTAGCTGCAACAATTATGTCAAAAATGGGTTATCGAGAAGGTTCTGGACTTGGAGCTAAAGAACAGGGGATTAGTAGAGCATTACAGGTTTTTTTTTGAAAAATATTTTTGAAATTCTCTTTAAAGGTCCAAAGGACTGGAAGAAATGTTGGTTTAATTGTTGGAGAAGAAAAAGCCTCTGCTGTGTTTACAAGTTTGTCTGAAGAAGGGGGGAATAATGATGAAGGGAGAGAGCCTACGCCTTGAAAATGTTTGTGGAGAAGGTTGTTGTATAGTTTTTTAATTTTTAAAAAATTTTTTGAGAATTTATTTTGGCACTTGCTGTAGGGGGCCGCAGTTCTCTGACCATTACGAGACCAGTGTTTTTTCTACCAATTGAAATTTGGTAGAAAAAACTCCTTAACTTTACTCCTTAACTAACGTTTATTTTTCACAAATGAAATGTTGGTCAATTGAAATTTGGTGCCAAAATTATAGTCTCTTAATCGTCAGAGAAATGCGGCCCCCTTTTTGTTTCTAGTTTTCGAAATTTTAAACTGTTTTTTTCTTTAAAAAAAATTTTTTTGGAATTTTTAAAAATTTTTTTGACTAATAGATAATTTTAAATTAACAAAAAACCTCCAATTAAATTAACACAAACTTTAATTTTTATTTTTGACAAGAATTTAAAATTTTGGGAGAATGAGAGACTTCAAATTTAAGTAAAAAAGGAGCGAGAGCATATTTAACAATTTTGAAAAAAAATTTTTTTTTGAGAGGGGGAGAAGGGGGAAAGGAATGTTTCAACTGGCTGTAGATGGGTAAGAGAATAATAGGCGGCGATCTTTTCTTTAATTTTCTAGATTTTTAACCAAAACGAAGAAAGTTTGGGTTATTAGATTGTCGATATTCTCTTTCAAAGGCTTCAGCTTCTGATGGAATATCTAGAAAAAAAATTAGATTTTTTAGGGAAATTTTTTTTCGAAATTTCTAAAATACCTTCAGCTCCTCTTCCAAATCTTAAAAAATTATTTCCTTTATTCCCTCCACTACTTCGGCCAAATCGAAGATAACTTTGGTCGACTAAACCCTTATTGTGTTGTTGTTGGTTGCCCAATTGTCTTCCAAATCGCAAAAAATTTGGGTCATATGGGGCTGATCTTCCTTTAAAAAATTTTTTTGGGGGTTTTTTAAAGGCCTAAAAAATCTTCCTACCAAATCTAAGAAAATTTGCAGATTGTCCAGCAGCACGTTTAATTCCTTCTTCATTTGATGCGGCAGATCTGCCAAACCGTAAAAAGTTTGGGTCGGCGTCTGACCAGGAATTCAACGCCCAGGGACCGCTCATAAGCAGAGAGTTTCTGTTGGCACTGTTAGCACCCAAAACTGACATCTAAAACATTTTTATTTTTAGTCACAGTGATTGTTTGATCTTCCCGAAAGTCTCATAATTGAGAATTCCTTTGAGATTAAGGAGTAGGGTTGCTAAAATGGCCCGACTCGGACCGAAAGATCGAGTCGGGCCTAAGATATTTGTTGACTCGTACTGGCCCACTCGATAAAAACAAGCCCGAAAAAATGCCTCGACTGTCGACCCGACTCGAAAACGGCAACCCTATTAAGGGGGGGCAGTTTCTCTCTCTGAACTAGGATTGGGATATCCTTCTTGTATATCCGTGCACTTTTCTGATCCAAGTAAGCTTCTCTATATAGTTCCTAGAACCTTTTTTTCTAGAATTTTAGAATCCTAGAGCAATCTCTCTTGAGATCAAATGAGAGATTCTCTCCCAAACTAGGAGGGAGTGATCCTGAGACATCTTCTGTAGGCATTCTTTCTGATCCGGGTCTTATCCAGACATCCTTTCTGATTCCCGGATCCTTTCTATTTAGATCTATCTTTCTCTTTGACTTTTGAACTTCTTCTGCCTTCCCTAGCCACAATCCTTAATTTAAACTTCCTTCCCAATCCCTGATTTTTAATTTAAACAAAGTTATATTCTTCATTTACCTGCCCAACAAAAAGTATTACCAATCCAAATAAAGCCAATTCAGTCATGTTGCAATATCCCTTCATTTTTAAACGTTGAAAAAAAATTAAAATAAATTTTTACTCGTTTATGGGCAAGACAGTTTCCTTTAAGAAAATTATTTCTTTTTAAAATAATGACTATATTTCAATGCATTATTAAATATCCCCATCTTTTATATATATACTTTTGTTTGATAAAAGGATTTTTTTAATAAAAAAAATTTTTTTTTGTTCATTCAAATAACGTTTTTGTGGGGGGAATAATAAAATATTAATCCAATTTATTTGTCAGATTTTTTAAATAAATAAAATTGGTCAACATCTGGGACCTAAAAATATTTCTTTTTTGGATTTTTCTTTTATTTATCTAATTTATTCTAATTTAAAGACATTTTAAAAATGATGTGATTAATTAATAATTAGGAGGCTTTTGTTATATTCCCATACTGTAGGGCACACTCAAATGGGCACTGAACCGGCTTTTATTGAAATTTTACATTTTGAAATCTCTAAAAGCGAAATAGTGTAGGAAAAGAAAAAGAGAAATAATGGCGTCATTTTTTGGCGGGCTTTGATTTTCTTTTGTCATTTTTTTTGTTTTCCTAACGAAGGGGTGTTATTGATTTGTTTGTGTCTTTGTTTATCAATAACCTTTTTGTTTACTTTTTGAAAAACATTTTGTGGACAGAGTCCAAAAATGTGTATCAATTTATTCTAAAAACATTTTTATAAGCCACACAATGAAAAAATTGTTGAAAAATTATTTCATCAAAATACTTCAACAACAACAAGTTCATCTTCAACAAACAAATTTTTATTTCAACGCCCTCCAATCAATGAATCATTCATTTCTCCATTAAAACAACAATGGAAACGATTCTTGTCTTCTCCTTCAAATTCTTCAAATGTCAACAAAAATTGTTTAACAACACCTTCACCAGGCTTGAATGATGAAACAAGCTGTTATCTGTAAAAATAGTGGGAATTTGTTGCTGATGACTTCAGGTTTTGTTTTTTTTGATTATTTTTGTGGTCCCTTCTGGGGATGGGGGGTCTTTTTGTAAGCTTATAAAAGAGCTTATCCTCTGTTAAGCATAGGGCCTTTCTTTTCTTTCGATCCTGTCTGTTGATGGTGTTCAGGTTATTAAAAGTCCATGTTCCCTCTGTACACCGATTTTTTCCATTTGCTGACACAACAAATAAGGTGTCAGGCTTATCTGTGAATGGGTTGTTCCGGGACCGTTTCCCATTAAAAAATTTTCTTTTAAATGAATTTTTTCCTCTTATAGAAACTGCAAAAATCAAGAAGGAAACTAAGCAATGGCGGGCAGCATTGTTTAGCACTCCTGCAACAAAATTCACTGCAACAACCACACCTGCAAGAGAATGGAGGGGGGGTATCCTTGAAGGGGGGAGGGTATTTGCGGACAAAACTTGTCGGTTTTAAACATTTAAATTTTTTAAATTATTTTTAAAGCTGCTCTTCATGGTGGTTGGTTGGCTGGCCGTTGGGGCTCCCATTGGTATCCGCCTTTGGGAGTCCCATTGGTAGTGCTCTTCTGGTGGTTGGCTGGCCGTTGGGGCCCCCATTGGTATCCGCCTTTGGGAGTCCCATTGGTAGTGCTCTTCTGGTGGTTGGCGCCGTTGGGGCCCCCATTGGTATCCGCCTTTGGGAGTCCCATTGGTAGTGCTCTTCTGGTGGTTGGCGCCGTTGGGGCCCCCATTGGTATCCGCCTTTGGGAGTCCCATTGGTAGTGCTCTTCTGGTGGTTGTCGCCGTTGGGGCCCCCATTGGTATCCGCCTTTGGGAGTCCCATTGGTAGTGCTCTTCTGGTGGTTGGCGCCGTTGGGGCCCCCATTGGTATCCGCCTTTGGGAGTCCCATTGGTAGTGCTCTTCTGGTGGTTGTCGCCGTTGGGGCTCCCATTGGTATCCGCCTTTGGGAGTCCCATTGGTAATGCTCTTCTGGTGGCTGGCCGTTGGGGCCCCCATTGGTATCCGCCTTTGGGAGTCCCATTGGTAGTGCTCTTCTGGTGGTTGGCGACGTTGGGGCCCCCATTGGTATCCGCCTTTGGGAGTCCCATTGGTAGTGCTCTTCATGATGCGAGTGGACGTCCTAGCAACAAGTAGCGTTTGTTTTTTTAATTTTTTAAACAGCCTCAGGTTTTGTCCGCAGATAAATTCTCCATTATTAGGGGTTCCTTGGGATATCAGTCTAAATCCTTAGCGTTTTCACCTATCAATCACTAAGCTGCGTGTGTAGCGGTTAACTGGATGACACTGCTGCAGACTGATGGGTTTTTAAACGATGAACTTGCTCTGCTTCCAACTTGAATGTCTATGGATTCGAACTCAAATATAGAAGGGAAGCTGCAGAGTTTATTGGGGTTTTTTTGTGTCTGACGAGATAAAATTTTGTTTTTTAGGAAATGGCTGAAGGGTTGAACCACAACATTCGACAACACAGGACAACTGGCAAAGTGCATCGCTTCAACAAGAAGACAGTGCTTGTTTGCATTTATTTGGTTTGTAGATGTGCATATTATGAAGTTTGAAAGGTTTTTAATTCTTTTTCGTGGCTTTTGAGCTTAACTAGAATTAGATCCCCAAATTTAAAGTTCACATTTGTATATAGAGAAAATTTCGTAATGACGGTTGGTTAAGTTGGTAGCGTTACCGATCATATGAGAGTAAGGCACGGGTTCAATACTCTGAGGATTTTCTTTTTTATTATTCATTAAATAATTATTTTCTTTTAGATTTGAGTCCAATTGATGACGACGACCTTTTGGACAATTTTTTGATGTTGCTTTGGATTACAACAACATGCTCCTGAAACCTCGGCTTGAAAGGTTATGTAATAATTTCAAGAATTCTTTTAAAAAGATTTTTTAACATGTTCAACTGCGGATGAACACATTCATTGGTTGGACGTTCTCGCGGAGACAGACAAGAACTGGCAGCTTTTGGTTGTGAATGTTTGAGATGTAAAGGAGGCGTGATAGAGACAATGGTATTTTATTCATTTTTTTAGTTGAGGGGTTTTTGAGTGGATTTCTGAATTGTTTGGGAGTTTCAAATTACTGATACAATTGAGTTTATCCGGTTTTTTCTTTTCGTTGTCCCAGCATCGTCTAAACTCCTCAGGAGCATACTCGTATTCCCCCAAAGAACATTTGAAACTTTGTTCTATTTATAACAGACTGTTTTCTTTGAACTTTGTAGGGCTCCATATACTTTAGGTAAAAATAAGGAGAAAATTTGTGTAATCCCTCCCCCCAATCTACCCATTGTATCAAAAATTTATGGGGTTTTGTTTGGTTTATTCATATGAAATAAAATTTCATTTTTTAGGAAATCTTTGGACAGTTTTTTGATGTGGCTTTGGAAAAGATGTTTCTAGAGGTTTGGGTGTGGCTGCAACATTTATGTCAAAAATGGGTTATCGAGAAGGTTCTGGACTTGGAGCTAAAGAACAGGGGATTAGTAGAGCATTACAGGTTTTTTTGTTAAAATTTTTTTTGAAGAATTTTTTTAAAAATTTTTTAAAGGTCCAAAGAACTGGAAGAAATGTTGGTTTAATTGTTGGAGAAGAAAAAGCTGCTGTGATTACAAGTTTGTCTGAAGAAGAGAATGAGGAGGAAGAAAGGAGAGGAGGATCAATTTCCTACATTTTAGATAACAATGGTATTTTTAAATTTATTTTTGTGGCTTTTACTAGTTGGATTTTGGGTTGAAAATATCGATACAATGGATTTTGTTCCACTTTTCATTCTCGTTTTCCCACCAAATTTAGTCCAAATTTTTCGGGGACACTGACAATCTCAGGAACAGTTAAAACTTTGTTCTATTACAGAGATTTCTTTTAACTTTGTAGAATGACACTTTATACTTGGGGTAGTAATAGGTAATTGAGGTTCCTATACTCACTGAATCAAATCTTCTTGAATATATTGAGCTTAGAATAGGGTCAAGACTACGCAAAATAGACTAAATTATTCAATAACTAAAGATCTTTCTTTCAGCAATTCCCGACAACACCAACAGCGACAACAGCAAGATGGACACTTGCTGGATTTTGAAGTGCCCTTGGATCTTTGATGATTTGTTGATGTGAACAACGAAAATGAAGAACAAACTACATTTAAAATTTATCCGTGGTAAGACGCTTACAAATATGTTTTTTTTTAATATTTTTGTTGTATAAAGTGTTTAAAAAAGTGTTAACTCTACTGTTTTTTCTAGAAATTTTAGGACTCAAAATACTTGGTAATACACATACATTAATTTTAAGTAAATGAATCAGTTCTGATTAGAGAATTTATAAGAAAGAAATAGTGGAGGCAAAGAAAAAAATAAATATGTAAATTGGCGATAAATGACATTTCATCCCCAAAGTTAGAGAAGGATAAAAAAAGAAATAGTGTAGTTAGAGAAATAAATAAATACAAATGTTCTGGACTGTTCAGTGCTGTTTTTGAGAGCGGACTACCGTAATCTAAAGGTAAAAGTTTTCAGAATTTATAAAATTTTTAAGAAATAAATTATCGATTAGTATTGATTTTATCGATTGATATCGATTTTTTGAAAGTTATAAATTTTTAAAAAATAAATTATCGATTAGTATTGATTTTATCGATTGATATCGATTTTTTGGAAGTTATAAATTTTTAAAAAATAAATTATCGATTAGTATTGATTTTATCGATTGATATCGAATTTTGAAAATCCCTTAGTATATTTTGACACACTTCCTATATTCCATTTTGTCATCTTCCCCCTATGTTCCATTTTGTCGTCTGAGAATTGCCTTTTAGTCTCAAATAGCTGCGCTCAACCGACCTGTCTGCATTTTTATATTTTTGTCTCTAACTGCACTATTTCTTTTTTATGATTTCTCTGACTATGGGGATAAAATGTCATTTATTTTTATACACTATGCCAAATTCAACGGCGATTTTAAAAAAACGTGGCAATTTTCAAATGCCAGACCGTGTTAAGAAGACATCTTCGCCCAGAATAAGTGAAACAATCTAAAAATCAATCAAAAATTGATTTATTTTAAACAAAATACAATAAAAAATAAAAATTTTATTAAGAAAATAACATCATTCTATCTCCAGAAGCTCCCCCTCCACTTAGAGTTGTAGTCATTCCTCCACCACTTTGTTCACTGCTTCCAAAGGTTTCAAATTTTGAATAACCAAAATCAAATTGTTCCAGCACATAAACACTGTCGCTAATTAATAATCTCAATTCTGCTGGAGGGTTAGTTATTACCTTAAAAAAGAAATTTTTTTAAGTTTATCAACACATTTCACCAATACGACATTTTGCCAACAAGGCTAAAAACTCTCATCTTGTCAACAGACTTATTGGCAAAATGTGTATTTTTACCCTTATTGGCAAAATGTGGTATTGGTGAAATATGGGAAGCCGCAAATCAAATTCTTTCTCTTACGTATCGTTTGTTAGAATCTGCAGAAGCTTGATCATGTAGACGATAGAGTCCAATACACAATTGTCCATGTTTTTTAAGTGCTATACTAAACATTTCTCCATAAGTTGAACCTGTACATATTCCTTCATAAGGTTGATCAGTTAGGGAAATTTGAGCAATTCTACATCGATCTCTGTTTGATAATGTTTCGGGAGTGCTATAGCCACCTTAAAAAAGTAATTAAAAAATGATTTTAAAAAATTAGAAATTCAAGTTCTTTTTCTCTGCCCACACTATTTCTCCTCTATTTTCTATAATCAATGGGACAAGCTGTCATTTTATTACCCCATACATTTCGCCAATTCCACATTTTGCCAATAAAGCTAAAATCACTCGTTTAGTCAACAGACTTCTGACAAAATGCAAATTTTTACCCTTATTGGCAAATGTGGAATTGGTGAAATATGAACTAACAGTCATTTTTGCACATAATTTACCTCTCTGCCTACATTATTTCCTAATTTATTTTCTCTAACTAATACAGGCTGTTTGCATTAAAAATTAATGCTAAATTACAAAATCTCAAAAGGACAAAAGACCATTACAGGGTAAAATTAACAAAATATCTAAACGACAATTGACTTCAATCCAAAAGATTTCCCAAGCCAAAATTGTACAAATTGTCGAACGGGAAACTAAAAAATTTTTCCAAGCGGGGGTTTTTCAAGACCCTCCGCCGGGACCCCTTTAAGAAAAATCTACAAAAACCTCTAAGCCCAGCCCCCTCAGCCAATATCCTTTCCAATTCAGGCGTAGCTCCCCCAGTCACCAAAGTTCTAATTAAAGTAAGTGCAGAATCGTTAAAATAAGTTGTTGACATTAAAGAATCTAATACAGAAATTGCAAAAGCTGTTCCACAAGCAAATGGTTGGGTTAAATATAATTCTGTATCTGGCTAAAATTTGAAACAAATTTTTGAAAAATTTCTCTAAAATCTTCTCTTTACATCATCATCATCGTCTTGATCTAAAAATTGAACATTTGAATCATTTACCAATTCTGTTATCATAGGTACATTTGTGCCGCTTCTAACACCCATTAAAGGTCTCTAAAAGAGGAAAATTAAATTTTCTATTATAAAATTAATTTTAAAAATAAAAGGGGCGATTGAAAAATAACCGGGGAAGGCAGTCCTTTCATTCTTAAGGATCTATTTTGTGCATAACTTTTTTGATTCTTGGCCGATTTAAATAAGTCTTATACCAATCTAAAGCTGTGGAAATGAGGATTATTTAAGCTAACAGAAGTGATTTGATCAGATCATCTTACAGGAAGTTATGGACGGATAAATGCGCGCAATCGTAGTTTTTGATCTTTAGTGGCCCATAACTTTTTTGAAATTCAATCTTTTCTCATGGTTTATATATCAATCGAAAGCTCTAAATGTACTGATCATTTTCCTAATGGAACTGATAAAAATCCAATTATTTCTTAAAAAGTTATGGCCCGATAAATATCAAAAATCACGATTGCGCTTACTTATCCGTTCACAACTTTTCGTAGAGTGATCTGATCAGATCACTTCTGTTAGCTCAAATAATCCTCATATCCATAGCTTTCGATTGGTACAAGAATTATCTAAATAGGTTAAGAATCGAAAAAGTTTTGACCCAAAATATGACCTCGAGACTGAGAAATGACGAAAAAAAGGGGAAAAGTCCGCAAAAATTTGTCCGCAAATGTGAACCCTCCCAACAGAATTAACTAAAAATTCGATAAAAATTTCTCTCAACAAACCTGACTTAACAAAGAAAAAGCTCCAGTATTTGGTAAAGGCACAGTTGGGACCACAACTCTTTGTACAGGTATTGTGTTGAGTAAACCTTCTTCAAATTCCATAGCTTTTATATTTAAACTGGCCAATATAGCTTCTTTGTCTGCCAATGTTGGATCTTCATTTGGGTTTGGAATTCGAGCACTTTATGAAAAAAGGGGGGAAATTTTTTTTAATTTTTAATCAAAAAAGAAACCTTATAATAACACACATTACACACAAATTTATATTAACAGCACGCAAATCAGCTCGAGAAAGTGGATTGCCCTTTAAATAAAAAAGATTTTTTTAAGTAAATAGCCTAATAAAAGCCCTTGGAGTTTATTTTCCAATGGGTCTCATTAAGGGACTTATAAAAGGAATTGACCTCCAACAATGAAGGTCAGCCTTAGCTACTACTGACCCTGGAGGTCCTCACCAAATATTTGGGTGGATAAAGTAGACTCAAGATCAAGAATATGTTAACCTGCTCAATTTTGCCTTATTTGACAGTCATATAAGAGAAAATTTCCTTCTCTATCCCGTAATCCCCCCTAATCCCAACAAATCCATCAATATCCCCTTTAGTCCATATAAAACCTCTTTTATCCGCCCAAATATTCGGAGACCCGAAAAGTCAGTTGACCACAAGGGAGTCCCACGGAGAGGCTTTTAGAAAGGTTTGGGCTTGTATTAGGATACTTATGGTATTTTTAAAGACAAAAAACTCTTAAAAAACCTCTTCAAAAACTCTTACATTCAAAATAGATATTTTAGGCAAATTGTGTAAAGTTTTCCATTCATGCCTCAAATATTCAACATCCCCAACAATCACAACATGTTTTAATTCGTGATAATGAAAATTTGAAGACCTCAAAGGCATTATAAAATTTCTTAAACCAATTAATGGTGAATCCTTGTCCGCAAATAAACAAACAACAACATGGCCATTTAATACAGTCATTGCTGCCTTTAAAAAAGGAAAATTAAAAAATAAGGGGTAAAATTGGTCGATTTAGGCAGGTTTGACTATCTTTCTTAGACCATAACTTTTTAAATATTTTAACAAAAATTTTGAATTTTTCTAAAGACATTCCCAATAGTCCTATCTACCTTCTCAAAATTTTTTAGAATTTTTGGTTAAGTCAAGCTAAAAATACTAGGCGAAAACCTTGAAAAATACTAATTTCTTGTCTTTCATCAGCCATAACTTTTAGAATAATTAAGCAAAAATTCTGAAATTTTCTAAAGACATTCCCAATAGTCTTATCTACCTCCTCAAATAATTCCAGAATTTCTAGTCCAATATTCGAGTTATATGGTCGGAAAATACAAAAAATCATTATTTTTCGAGGGTTTCTTGCCTATATTTTTAACTAGACTTTACCAAAAATTCTGAAATTTTTTGTGGAGGTAGTTGATACTATTGAGAATGTCTGTGAAAAATTTCAAAATTATTTTTGAATTGTGTAAAAAGTTATGGCCGAAAAAAGGCAAAAATTTGAAAATTTTCCAAGGTTTTGAAACCAAATCTTAAATAGAACCAAACCGAAAATTCTCAAATTTTTATTGAGGGTAGTCGATACTTTTGGGAATGTCCGTGTGAAATTTCAGAATTTTAAAAAATTATTTGGCCAATTTATAAATTAAAAACTTGAAAGATTACAAGGCACAGATAGTACCCCCTCCCCTCTCTAACTCTCATTGTCAAAAATTATTATAAAAAAATTTAAAAAATTAATACCTGACTTCTATCCAAAATACATTCTTCAATACTTCTTGGATTACACCTTTAAATTTAACAAAATTTAAAAAATTCAAAAAAAATTTCAAAAAAAAAAACCAATGAAACATTCCAGTCGAATCATATTTCATTTCTTGTTGTTCAAACAAATCTGCTGTATTTATTAAATTTTCTTTTCCATTTTCAAAATTAATTAATTGTTTTAATTCTGAATCTAATTTTGTTCCCATAATTGAACCATTTCGAATTTTTGTTGTTAGGGCGCCTGTTATTGTTGAGGCTTTAAAGGAAAAAATTTTTTTTTAAAATTCTAAAAAAAATTTTTTAATTAAAAAACCTCTTTTCATCAACACTTTTCCACCTTTCCGGAATAATGACAAATTTTTACATTTACATTTTTTAATTAAAGAAACATCATAAACATCTGCATGGCAAATTTTACACCAATAAAAGGCTCTAGAAAATTATAAAAAATTAATTTAAAAATTATATAGTCAAAAAACAATGTAAAAAAATTTTCCCTAGTCAGAAAAAATTTTTTAAAAATTAAAAAAATTTTTTCCAACCTAAGAAAATTTTTTTTAATTTTCCCAAGTCAAAAAACCCCAAGAAAAAATCATCCGCTCCTGGGTGGATTCGAACCACCAACCTTTCGGTTAACAGCCGAACGCGCTAACCGGTTGCGCCACAAGAGCACATGAAGGAAATTTTAAATTAATTCACTATAGCTTCAAAATCTTTTTACCTTTTAACTTCATCTGCTGATTGTGCAATAAAAAATCCTTGTGTTTGTGGCAAAATGACTGTAACTGGACCTGAAATTATAAAAAATGTTTTTTGCTAGGTTTTTAAGCATTAAAATTTTTAAAATAGCTCCTAAAATTTCATCTTCTGCCGAAATTTTTTTCTAAAAAAAAAGTTGAAAAATTTGAAGTTTCCTAACCCTATAGATCTTCCCAGACCCTAGCCAATATTTTTGTGTAAATTAAAAGACTTACCAGGGTTGATCGCGATACTGCATTCTTTTTTATCTTCATCTTTTAATTCAATAGCCAAAAGTAAAAGTCCAAGTCGAGTAAATAAAAGGCTGAAAAAGAAAAATAAAATATAAATTAATTTTTGAAAAATAATTTAAAAAAAAATTGTGGTTGGGTCCCCCCACACCTCTTTCTTAAGCAAATTAAAGGTTCCTTAAATTTTTTACCCACATACCCCTCCCTTTATCTTTATCCCCCTAAAAAAATTTTTATACCCTACTCACGTCACCCTCAAAAAAAATTTTTATTTCTACTCACTCAGCAGCATCAGGAAATCGTAGACCCACAAAAGAATGTGACAACATTTCTGTATACATTTCCATACCTGCCCCACATAAATATAGGGAAAGCCAATCTGGGGTGTGTTTGGACTAGAAAATGGAAGAGAAAAATTCTTAAAAAATTCAAAAAACAGCAGAGGACAAAAAAAATATTTTTTGTAAAACGAGGAATGGAACCCCCAACATTTAAAAAAATTTCAAAAAATGCAAACTCTGCAGCATCAGGAAAACGCATTCCAATAAAACTAGAAGACATAGTTTCTGTATACATTTCCATTCCAGATCCTCTTAAATATTCATTTAACCATTCTGGAGTGTGTGGAGACTGTTTAAAAATTTAAAAAATAAGCATATTAATTAGCGAAAATTTAATTAATTAGCTAGTTAAAATCAAGGAGAGGATCAGGTCAACGATTAGAGGGTTTTGCAAATTTAATTTTATTTTGTCGATTTTTTATGACTTGAATTTCGTTTTTTGAATGAACTTAAAAATTTTTTGGTTGAATTTTTAGGAGGGTGTCCGCGTCAATGATATTGTTAAGATAAGTACACACAAAAGTACTTAAAAATCAGAAAATAAAAGGCCCGGGGATTTTTAAAAATTAATTAATCTCAGAATCAGACTCCATAAATTCACAATTGACGACCTGACCCATCTTTTCCTTGGTTAAAATTATAAGGTTAACCAAGATTTAAAAAAAATCTTGGATTTCTTAATAAATTTAGGGAATTTTTTTAGAAAAGAAAAATCAAAAATCAGGGTTAAACGAAAAATTAAAAAAAAGCAAAAATCAAGCAACGAATATTTTTAAATTAAAAAAAAAACCGTTTTAAACGACCGCATTGCAAACAAATTAGCCATCATTGTTGAAAATCCAGGTGCTAAACAAGATTGAGCGATAAAACCAAGCTTTAAATTTAAAAAATTAAACTTTTAAAAAATGTGAGGAGAGGAAGAGAAAAGAGTATAAAAAATAATTAATCTTGGTTTTTATAAATTTCTACCAGAGATGGGTTAATTTTAAGTCGAGTTGGTTAAAAAATTTGAATACAGCCTAAATTTGATTTTGAGAATTTTGGAAAATCAAAAAGCCAAATTTCTTATTTTTAGAAAAAATCCACGAAAAAATGCCAGGGTTCAGGTCAAGTTTCCGAAAATTTATCTGGGCCTCGGTAGAAATTTTCAGGGACAAAAAAAATCAGGGGTTCAGGTCAGAGGTAGGCGCAAGAGACAATCTTAAAAAACGCAAGACGCAAGGCCAAAATTTAACGCAATGCGTCCACTCCTGGTTCAGGCTTTCAGTACCTCACCTCTTCCTTCCTCCTCCCTATCCTAAAAATAAAATTTTCAAAAAAAAACCTTCAATTCAGCCAAACAAATAACATCATCTCCCCTTCTCCAATCCCAACTTGGAATATTTAATAAATATGCTTTATTGTGATATTGCATTAATTGGACAATTACTCTAATTTCTGAAGAATAATTTTTTATTGAAATTACTCTCATTATATTTGCTGCATCCTTCAAAAAAATATTTTAAAAATTTAAAACAAAAAAAAATACTTCAGCATCAGGATCAGAACTATATTTATTTGCTAGTACTAAACATGCATCTGCTTCATCCACCTATAAAAAAATTTTTTTAACATAAAAATTAGATATTAAAAAAAAACCTTTACACGCTGTAAATCTATAGAATCCATCACTGTGCCTAAAATAATAAAAATGAAAAAATAAAATTAAAAATGATTAAAGAAAGGGGCATTACTTGTCTATTATTGCTAGTCTAACAAACAAACAAAAACAAAAAACTTTACTAAATACTCAAGACAAAGGATACAGAACCAGGACATGAGTCCAAAATTTGCTCAATAAATTGAAAAAATCCAACCCCAAAAAATTTTTTCACGAAGAGGCTACAAAGACCAGCAGTAAGAGTTTAACTAATAAACTGACAATTAGTCAAAAATTCCACCCAATAATTAATTAAGAATAAAAAACCCCCCACAATCCAAACCTGTAAAGAATTCCACTTTAGTAAAATGCCTTTTAAAAAGTCCTTCCAATTCCAAATCTGGAACTACTCTATGCAAAAAAACAACTTCAACATCAACATCTTCTCTGTCTTCATGTAAAAAGTCTTGTAGAAAATGTGAAACTGATTCGTAGTTTATATGCCTACAAAAAATAAAAAATTAAATTAAAATCAAGAAAAATTCGAATGACAAGTCAGTATCTAGGACATATTTCGGGCCACAACTTTCTTGTTTTTCCCCCGATTCGAGCAATTTTCATATCATTTGAAAGATCTCGAGATGCGGCATCTTTTTAATAACAAACCTATCTTATCTGAATATTCTACAAAAAGTTAAAGCCAAATAAAGATCGAAAATCACGATTATCCCGACTTATTTGACTGTAACTTTCTGTAGGAATATCCCAACAAATCAATCCTGCTAGGTAAAATAATCCTCTGATCCATATCTTTCGAATTCCGAAAAATTATTCAAATCGGAAAAGAATAAAAAAAGTTATTGGCCAAAATATGATCTCAAATCTAACCGAAAATAGAGATGAATACATAAAAAGAGATTAAAAAAAAAATACCCGCAAACAACAATATGTCTCTTTCCATGTTCTCCTTTATATTCTCCACCATATTTTTGCCTATTACCAATTAATTCTGCAATCTCGGGCACAAAAGAAGCAAACATTGCAAGACCTCCAAGAATGAAAAATACCATAAAGCCTCTACCCAAAACTGTTGTACAATACTTTAAAAAAATTTTTTTAGAAAATTTTAAAAAATAAAAAACAAACAATATCTCCATAACCAACAGTTGACATTGTAACTAGCAAAATATAAACACAATCAGGATAAGAAATTCGATGAGAATTGACAAAATCTCTTTATAAACAAAATTATTTAGAAAAAATTGTTCAAAAAAATTTTTTTTAAATTTGCGGACAAAATTTGCGGATTTTTTCTTGTCCGCAAATTTTATCCGCAAAAATTTAAAAAATTTTTTCCTCAGAAAATTTAAAAAAATCAACAAACTTCCAAGGATCTCCACTATTTTCGAGTAAATGTATAACACCAGCACCAGCTAAACATGTGGAAATAAATATTGAAAGCAATTGGGTTAATCGAATTGAAGATGAAGTTTTTAAAATATTTAAATATTGAAGAATATCTGGGACTGTCATTAAACGTAATGCTCGTAGAAAACGGAGACCTGTTTTTTTTTAAATTTTTTTAAAGAAAAAATACAAGATATAAAGGCACAAATTTCAAAAAGCTTAATGTTTGTTAGTTCATTTTCTTTATACTTTCTTTAGATTCAGAAAGGTTATTGAACTCATAAACTAGACTAGAGTCCCAAAAAATCGCAAAATTCATCCACAATACCATTTTTGAATTAAATAAAAATTTTGCAAAATTTGCGGACTTTATATGAGGATAAAAAAAGAGAATCAGATAAAGTAAGGTCTAAATTTTACATACATCCCTCGATTAAAATAATTTTTTTAAGACTAGTTTGGTCACTGGATAGGGAGACAAAAATCTTTACATAAAATACCCCCTGCAATTTCAGAAATTAAAATAAAAAATTTCCCCTTACCAATCCAATTACGTTCCAAATAAATTGCAACAAAACTTGGAGGAATTGTAAAAAAATCAACAAAACTGTAACGATCCAACAAAAACCAAACTTTATCAGATGCAGCAATGAAGCGAATAAAAAAGTAAATTAGAAAGAAAATATTGAAGCCTGTAGAAAATTTAAAAAAATTTAAATAAATAATCAATATTTGCGGACAAAAATAAATTTTACTGAAATGGGAAAATCCGGTATTAAGTCTTATCCCAAGTGAAAGGCATAGCCAGGGGGTCGATTTCAGGGGGCTAAAAATTTGGCGTTTATGTACTTTGGCGTGACGACCCCAAAAATTTTTTTAAACTTAAAGGCCGTACGCGAAAAAATTTCACTTTGATGACATCCTTCTTCCAATTTTCTCACCTTTCTGAGAGGAGGGTGGCTTTAGCCCCAGAAGCCCCCCTCCCTGGCTACGTCCTTATTCAAAGTTAAAATAATTTTAGAAGGATACAATTATTAAACAATCATGGATGGGCTGACTCGAAACTCGAAATCCGGACATATTTCGAAATAAAACCCGAAATCCGACCAGAGAAAATTTGAAAACCCCAACTCGACTTGTCTAAATCCGGATTTTTCTGCTAAAAATCAACCAGCAAAAAGCCCCGCAAATATTTTCCTTCTAAAAAATTACCTAAATCAATTTGTTGAGTTGGACTTTCACTCCTTTAAATAAAAAAAAATAATTTTGAATTTAAAAAATAAAAAAATCCAAACCATGGCACACAAGTTTCAACTTGAAAAGAATCTCTATAAGTATCAACAAAATATATAATTAAAGATCCAATTGACAATAAAAATACTAAAACAACTAAAATACGTCCAGTCATGCTTTGTCCAGATATTAATTCACTTAAAAGATTAAAAAATTTTAAAGAATTTTCAAAGGGCCAGGCTCCCAAAATCCAATACCAAGATTTTTTTGAACTAAAAATTCAACCCAATAAATTTTCTGAACCCTGAACCGATTCTTTCTTCCAACTGGAAAATCTTATTGTGTGTCCGCAAATTGTGTCCGCAAATCAAAATATTTTTTCCTACAAAAAAAAAAGAGGAAAAAGAGGATTCAGAGAACTGGCAGTTCCCTTTCTGAGATACCCCAACCCGAAAAAGTTATATTTTTTTTGTTTTTTCGTGGAAGTCATACTTGCGGACAAAACTTGCGGACTTTCTGTCGAAATTTTTTATTTTGAAAATTTCCAGAAATTTTTCAAAAAATTTTTCAAAAAAATTTTTCTTCTTCAAAAAAATTCCTTACCCAGCCCAATCCTTAGCTTCCGTCATCCACCCAATTTGTACAGGTTCTTTTCTCATTTCTTGATTTGTTGTTGCTGCAATTTTTGTTTTTATTATTCCTCCTTGTTTGTAGCTTTCAACATCTTGAATTAAAGGTTCCGATAAACCTCCACCTCCTCCACCTCTTTCTCTTGGTTGTAAAAATAAATGTGTTGATATCTGAAAAAAGTAAAAAAAAATTTTTTTTGCGGACAAAACTTGCGGACAAAAAAAATCCGCAAATTTTGTCCGCAAATTATTAAAATTAATAATTTATTAAAAAATTACCCTCCAAATAACAACCAAAAGCATAGAAACACAAAATGTAACAATTGAAGAAAGTAAAAAACACCAATATTTACGTTGTTCCAAACATTTTCTTTCCATCTTTAAAAATATTAATTAAAAAAAAATTAAAATTTTTACTTCAGTCAGGTCCATATAAGCCCTCGAAATGTTACAATGCCTAAAAAATATTTTTTAAATTTATTTTTAGAAATATTAAAAAAAAATTTTGTAAACTGGAGAGACCCGATCAACAACGGTTAGCGAGATTAGGGCTGTTTTTGCTAAATGGACAAGCAAATTTTTTTAAATTATCACAAGGAGGGTGTTGCACGGATCTTGGGAAATTCCCAGATATCTGTACAAAAAATCCTCGGATTTCCGTGGAAATCCCCGGACTTTTTCTAATAAGGATTCGTCAACTCCAAATCATGTGAAGGAAAAGGAAGCTTCAAGTCTAATTTATTGTTAGAGACCTAATTTACATTCAGAGACTGGAAAACCATCCCAATCGGGTTATCTTAATTAAATCCATAGGTTTCCGATCTCTAATATTAGTAATTATAAAAAATTTTAATTCTTAAAAATTCCTAAACCTTCAAAAAAAAATTATGAATAAACTATACTACTAACATAGCTGGATATCCATAAGATACTTGTCCATAACCTCCACCACCCCCTTTTTGTTGTTGATAGTATTCACCCATTTTTTCCAATTAAAAATTGCCAATTATTTTAGAAAAGGTTATTGATATTTGTTTATTTTTGTTGCTTTTCTAAGTTTTCAGAAACCTTTGAAAAAAAAGGAAAAAATTAATTTTAAACAAAGGCAAGAATAAAAATTATTTTTTAAAATTAAAAATTTTGAAAGGGGGATCCTTCCTTCTAGAAAAGAGTAAGTAAGAGCAGCAATGCTCCGGTAGCTCAGTCGGAGATTATTCCTGCTAAAAAAGAATCGTGGTAGCTCATTCACTAATGAACGTGTTCACCTCTTTAAATGGTGAACGAAAGCCCCTAGCAATAACCGACCGATTAATAAAGACGGAAAAAAACAGTTTCATTGTTTGGGGGACGAGGGCCGAAGGAAATGACCCAAAGTGGAAGTATGAGTTCCAACGGTGGGAGGCGGGATTTATACATATTCACTCTATATATGGTGAACGAAAGCCTTCCCTAAAGCAATAACCGCCAGCTCAAACAAAACATTTTTCGATTTCTCCCCAAAAAATGGTCCTCTAACCAAACTACTCGAGAACGACAAAAATTTTTATTTTCGGTTCCTACGTGTTCGCATTTTACATCTCGATTCGATTCGAGAAAAAAATTCTCTTTTATCTAAATAAAGAGTGAATAAAAATTTTTTCTTTAGTTTTTTAAGGCTAAACATTAAAAAAAAAAGAAAAAATATTAAAAGCAATTGGAAATGACAAGAGAACCGTGAGAAAAAAATAAAAAAAAAAACAGAAAATGGCTGGCAAAATAAAAAGTGATGTTGGCACACTAAACGAACATGAATTTATGCATTTTTGGGAAATTAAGCGTGAATAAAGCTAATGTAGAAAAAAGGTTAAAAGGCTTTTTTGGAGGGATTTTTAAGTAAAAAATTTAAAAAATAATCAACTTTGATGACTTGCAATAAAATTTTTGTGGACTTTTAGGGAGAAAATAAAGGACGATAACCCCTAAATAAATGAGGTAACCTGACTTAGCAAAGAACCTACAACATAGTTGTCCACTAAAATGGAGGTAATGCTTTTACAGCTCTCCCAATTAGTGGTCAAACACAGTTAAAAATCGTACACTAAAAACAGAGATAAATACAATAATACTCATTTTTTGTTGCAATTGTTAAAGAGTAAATAAACAATAATAAATAGTTGCTAATACTTGAATAGCTTAAAATATTTGTATAAACAAGGGGTAGAGGAAAACAGCTTTAAAAAATAATTGGAAGAATGTGTTGATTTACTAGGTGTAAAATTACTGTTTGATTGTTTCTTTAATTTTTAAAAATAAAATGAAAATTCAGGAAGATAAAAGAAACTAAAATATGAGTCAAAACAAGAAAATTAAAAACCAGAAACACTCGTTAGGCATCGAACCTATCACCTCTTCACGCTTTCATTCCCCAAATACCGATGCACTACCGACTAAGCTACCGGAACACTATCCCACTATTTCCTTTTAGTGATCTTATACCTTTCCGGGAAATACAAAATAAATATAAATTTAAGAAATTTAAAGCTAGCCTAAAGGTAACTGCTATTTTTAACTACTAAAAATCCAAAAAAGATATAAATAACATATAAAAATAGGGCCGATTACTCAAAATCAATTTTAAGTACAAGAATATGTTTTTGAAGGAGGGGGAAAATATAAGGAACTTTTACTTTTTCCTTTCAGTTGTTTTGACCAAAACTTTCTTTCCTAATGGCCAGGCCTTTTTCCTTCCCCTTTTACTTTTTTATTTTAAAGTGCCAAATGACGGACACATGGCTTTTTCTGCCTTTTATTATTTTTAGTCACGCAAAAATTCCAATCTTATTTCTCGAAGCTCTCTCTTTCTCCTATATTTTCCCCCCCCCCCCCCCCCCCCCTCTATACTTCTCCCCCCTATTTTCCCTCATCCTACTAGCCTTTATTTTTAGTATAAATAAATATACTCACATATTTTTTCCTCTAGCTTGTTTGTGTTGAAAAAAGCCGACCAACTACTAACCATGCCAGCCAGTCGAAGAGTAAAAAAAAATAAAAACATCTCGCAGTATATCCAACCTCTCTCCACAATTCTTGTAGAACCTCTTAAACACAAAATGCCATGAGTGCCACAGAACCATATCTATGAATAGAACAACATTTTGCATATTTTATAGACCTCATATCCACTCTCTACATATTTTTTTCAAAATAAATATTCACCTGTATACTTATGGACGTTTATTTCCTTCCCTCGTTTGTGCCACTCTGCCTTCTCTTTTGCTCTACCACCTGCAACTATATCCTTGCCACGTCATTTTTTGAGGTTGCTGGTATATTTGCCTGAGGGGAAATTTTTAAAGAAACCAAGGGCCGTTAGAGCCTTGAGTTTGCTAAAAACAAAAAAAAAAACAATTAGAGCACAAAAAAAGTTATAACAAGTTAAGTAACTAACTTTAAAAAATTTAAAAAAAACAAAGAATTTGGCCACAAAACCATTTATGCTTCAAAAAATATATTAATTAGAAGAGAGTACAAAAAATAATCAAAAAAAAAATAAATTTTTAAAAATAAAATGAGTGTCACCAAAAATATTTAAAAAATTATTTTTCAATATTTCTTCCCCTCTTGCAATAAAAAATAGCAATTTAAAAATATTGAAAAAAACAAAAAAAAATCATATGATTATTCCAAACTTTTTTTTCTTTCAATTTTCCCCCTTTTATTTTTTTTCATTCAAATCTCCCCCACAAAAAATCTTTTTCTCCTCATCTCCTCTTCTTCACTGCTCCAAACGAATTCTTTTATTTGGAGTAGTACCTGATGTCAAATATTCGCGTACAGTTAATCCAGGATTTAAAGGTCCTTCTCCTCCTCTTCCACCACCAGAAGTTGAAGAAGGTTGTTGCTGTTGAACCATTATTTTTCGGGTTTGTGGTCCTCCACCTCCTCCATGGCCACCAGAAAATACCTCCTCTTGATATTGACTACTATTAGTACTTGTTGTTGTTGCAATTGACGTTGATGAACCTTCCATATGTTGTAAACGAATTTTTTGTGGATGCTCTGTAGAGGAGGAAGATGATGACATTAATGGTATAATACGTCGTTGTTGCTGTTGATGTGGAGAACTTGTAGTATTTGTAGAAGACAAATCATAACTGCTAGTTGATGGTCTTGCGGAAGGAGATAACTTTAAAGAAAGGGTTTGGTTAAAATTCTATTAAAAAAATTTTCTGAAAATTCACAGGCCTAAACCTACTAAAAATTTCAAAAAAATATTTCGAAAATTCTAGGCCTAACCCCTTTAAAAATTGCAAAAAAAATTTTTGAAAATTTCTAGGCGTAACCCTATTGAAAATTAAAAAATTTTTTTGAAAATTCTAGGCCCTAACCCTTCAAAAAATTTTCAAAAAATTTTTTTTGAAATTTTCTAGACCCTAACCCTTCAAAAAATTTTCAAAAAAAATTTTAATTCTCACATGTAACTGAGGTTGAACCATAGCAACATTTCCAGTAGACGTCGAATATTGATGCATCATAGCTGGAGAAGAACGTTGTCGAACACTTGAAGTTGTAAGCACTCTACGTGTAATGGGAGCTGTTGAAGGATAATAAATTGCTCCTCTTTCTCCTCCTCCCCCAGTTATTATAGGAGTACCACCAATTTGTTGTTGTTGTTTTTGTGGTTGTTGATAAGTATAAGTACCACCCCCACCACCAACAGATTTTCTAATAACATTACTTGGGGTACTTCCAAGAATTGGAGCAGTTCCTGGAGATATACCAGAAACAACTGTAGCAGATTGATTTGGAATTAAAGGAGGCATAACAGCCATAGGACGTTGATCTTGTAACCAACGAACTTGTGTTGCTGGTCCATAACCCTTTAATAAAAAAATTTTTCAAGTAAAAGTTATAAGAGCAATTTGATTATTATATCAGCTGCTATGGGAGTTTAAAAAAAGTTGGGCCGGGTATCGGAGTTTGTATTAAAGAACTACAAAACTACGGGTCGAAAACTACTAAATGCACTCGTTTTTAAATTATTTTTCCCTTCTTTCTTACATTCTCTAACAATAAATAGTTAATAAAAAGTTAATTTATTTTTCCTAACCAATATTACCTATAAGACCAACAAGCTCAAAAAAATTAAGCAAAGAACGACGACGACATTATCTATCATAAAGGGTTGCTGGGGTCGGAATCGAAGAATCAAGAATTCTCGGTTACGTCTTCATCCCGACACCGGATATTGAAAAATATTTTCCCGGGACCAACAACCCTATACTTATCCTATATTTCATAAAATCAAAACCTTATCATTCCTTGCAGCAATCCGAAATATTATTGCTGGTTTTAGGCTAGTATCAATATGCGCCAATTGAAGATTTTGATGATTGACCTTCAAGATAGATTTTAAAAAAATTTTTTTAATTCTAAAAAGAAACCATGCAATTAGGAGCAGGTCCAATATAAACAGGCACAAATGCAGGCTGTCCATATGAAGCAGAACGCATCGCTAAATAGACAGAATATTCAACAATATCACCATTTGTAGTCTGTGGTGGTTCCTTTAAAAAAAAATTTTTTTTGAAAATTTTTCCAAAAAATTAAAAAAAAAACCCAAGATATAATTGCTCCATCAGTTCCTTTTGTTATTTTTATTGAAGAAGGTGCACCAGGAAATCCAGGAATACAAGTACGAAAACTATTAGCAAGTGACCATTTGCTTTGTCCAACAGCATTGAATGCACAAACACGAAACTAGAAAATTTTTTTAATTTTTAGAACCAAAACAAGTCAAGCCTCACTAAAAGACAATGGCGTAGACAAGGGTCGATTTAGAGGGATTTTACCTCACCCACTTCTTCCCCCCCTGGATACGCCTTTGCTAAAAAATATACTCTTTGGTATAGATTTTTACCAAAACGCGGCAACATCGCGAATCCATGATTACATAAAAGAATTTTTTGAAATGGTTAGACAGCCTGGAATCCGTGGGATTAATTCCACTTAAAACCTAGGAAACAAAAATCCCGTCTAGGGCTTATATGTATATCTCAAATGTAAGGTTGGCGGTTCCTGGGAAAGCTCCGGAACCAGAACCGATATCCCAACTGAAAATTTCGGATACAAGGGATTTTTCTGTTCCGGATCTCACTTCCAATGGTCGATCAACCAAGTAAAACGTATCCTAAATTGAAGTGTACCGACTGACTAATGTTTAACCCTTTAAAATCTTTTTTAAAATTTATACCCTATAAACAAATCCAGGTTCTAATCCAACAACTTTTCGATAATCTTGTGTTGATGGTGAAATTCCTTGATCTTGTGTAAATTGTTGCTGAAGAAATTTAAATAAGAAAAAAAATTTTTTAATTATCTTACATAATAAACCTGTTCATTTGCATCCATTGGTGCCAAATATTGTGTAACTAAACATTTACTTTCGTTTAGTGTAGCAACATCACACCTTTATTTAAAGCAATGAAATGCGAAATTTTGAAACTTTGGCTTGGGAGAAATATTTGGAATTAGTGACCGGAAAACAAACATTTTTATAGTTTACGGAAGGATATCTCTCACTCAAAGAAGACGGATCAGGCAAAAAAACTTATATAGGACCCAAACTCCGACAAGTTGGGTCAATAAGTGTTGGCCTTTTCTATAGAAAAAATGAGTAGGACGATCTTCTATCATCGTGGAACCTAAAACAAAATCAACCCTTTTTGATTAATTTAGTTGCCAGAAAATAAAGCAGGAAAAATAAAAATTAAAAAATAGGACCTTGAAAGTCCTAAAAATTTTTCCCAAAAAATTCCCCCAAAAATACCAATTGTCCAAAGACTGATGTTGCTGTGTCGAAGAAAAATTAAATTGACGAGGTCCAACAGTAGTAGATTGTTGTTGCTGCTGATTCAATGCAATTTGTGAAGAAGATCCATTTTGAACTTCTTTTTCTTGTTCCTCCACAGCCTAAAAAAATAATTTAAAAAATGATGAAAAAAATTTTTCAAATAAACCTTATTATCATTAGATTGTATTTGATCATCCAAAGTTGCAACAGTACCAGTAAGAGTAGCTGTACTAGTAGTTGTCGTTTCAGCATTTGTTGTTAATTCTGCGGTTGTTGCAGCATTTTCTACATTACTTGATTGAAGCTGCTCATTTTGTTGATTTTGTTGTTCTTGATTCTTTAAAAAATATTTAAAAATAAAATCTCAAATTTTTTCTAGAAGATTTTCATAAATTTTTTCTAGAAGACCCACGTTCAAGATCCCTTTTTAGAGAAAATTCTAAAAATTTGTGAAAAGACATGTGGACTTTGGGAACCCAACCAAAAATTAAAATTTAACAAACCTGTCCATCTTCCCGATTATTTTCATCTAAAGAAGTATTGGCCGTATCATCTTCAAGAGGTTGAAAATATCCTCCTCCTTCACTCGATTCACCAGCAATTTCTTCTTTATTTTTCACATCATCTTTAACATCATCATCCTTTGCAGCACGCATCTAAATATTTCAAAAATAGGGTTGGGGTTTTCGAGTCGGGACAACGTTCGAGTCATTTCTTTCGGACCTCATTTTTATCGGGCCGGCCCGACCCAGTCTTTTTCGAGCCAAAATTCGATGACCGATACGATCTTTCGGACCGGGCCGGATCGGGTCCCCAACCCTATTCAGAAAAATTTAAAAATTAACGGTAGAGATCGGCCTGGGACAGGACCAAAGCCTGTATTTTTCCTGTACCCAGAGTCCAGGCCCAGGCATTTTTTTACCTTCCTGGGGGTTTTCCTGGGCCTAGGTTACTTGGACTACGGGCCTAGGAGCCGGCCCAAGTCAATAAATCAAACACAGAACCCAAGAACAGGCCCAGGCTTTTCAAAAATTCCTATCTCTAATTAACAAACAAAAAACCTGTTCAACTTCAAGTATAGAACTACCACCAGTTTTATCTTTATCTTCTTCCATTTCCTCCAAAGATTTTTCAATTTTTTCTTTCAAATCTTTCCTGTCCTCCTCAATTCCATTTTTCTTCTCTCCAACCTCTTCTTTATCAAATTCTTTACCTTGTTCTCCCTCTTGTTGTTTTTGTAATTGCTCATCAACAAAACTTTCAGCTTCATTTAATGCTTCATCAAGTATATTTGTTGGCATAGTTGACTTAAAAAAATAGAAAAATTATTTTTTCGTTAAGGTCAGATGGGTGTTTCAATGGGACAGAGGTCGAGGTGGTTTTTGATATAAAAATGGGGATAATGGTCCGATGAATCACCGCTACAGTGGAAAGAGTCCTAGATCCAAGAGTGTGCTGAAACAGATTTTAAAAAGCAAAAGTAAATTTAAAAAACAAAAGACGGAAGTCCAAAAAAGCGAAATTTTGGCGAAAGACAAAAAGGCACACCCTGATTTAAACCAAATTTCAACATATTCCCAAGGAGACAGCCAGGGGTCGAATTTCAGGCAGGGGCTAAAATGAGGTGTGTGTTGGTCCCAGGATACGCCACCACTTATTTAAAAAAATTTTTACATCAACTGCTGAAGCAACTTGCGCAGTATATGTAGTTCTTGTTGGAGTTATTGCTGTTGTTTGTGGATTATAAGGGGATGCTAAAAGAAAAAAATAAAATCAATTAACCGCAAATTTAAAAACCTTGTTGTTGAAGAATACCAAATTTGTTCCGCTGTGGCTGCTAAAAACGTGCAAAATTATTTTTCACAAAATTTCTTCAAGAAATTTTCAAACCATAGAATGTCCATATTGAAATATTGGTGGCTGTGCATTAGCACCTAGAGGCCCTTTCTGAACTAAAATAGGACGTGACTGAACTGGAGATTGTTGCTGGTGTTGTTGTTGTTGAGTAAAACCTAAAAACGAGAGTAAAAGAAATTTAAAAATATCGAAAAAAATTAATTCAGGGAAATCCCCATAGATCCAGATTAATATTTAAATAAGCCCAAAAAACAGTAACAAGCGTTTTTAATAAAATTGGTCAATAAAAGAGACGACAATTGAGAACTAAAATGGGTTAATCCATGGAAATTCCAGGATATCCTGACCATATATCCGAACAAAAATTTAGGATATCCGGACATTTTAGAATCCGTTTCGAAAACCTCCATTTCTTTAAAATAAAAAAAAACTTTAGCTCAAGCCATAGTCCCCCTTCAAAAAAATAATATTTATATACCTCCACGCTGTATCATAATAGAACGTTGTTGTTGTTGGCGATAAGTAGAAGGCCGAACCATTCGAATCTTTAAAAAAATAAAAAAATTTCCACGATTCAAATAAAATTTACAGATCCTCCAGAAGCCGGAATTGTACGGATCACACGTTTACCACTTTGAAGTTCTACAAAAAAATAAATTTAAAAAACCTTTAAAAATCAAACTTTGATCAGCAGCATCTTGAGATTCCAATTTAAGTATTTGAAGTAAATAATGATCAGCATTTGGAACTGGTGTCCATTGAATTTCTAATGTGTTGATACTTGCCCGAATTAATGAAATAGCTGTTGGGGCTGCTGGAGGTTCTGCTTCCAAATACCACAAATCATTGCAGCAAACTATAGAAAAAATTTTGTTATTTTTCAGGAACTTGGACGCTTTGGCGCGGTCGAAAAGGTGCGACACATGTGGCCGCTGCTAGGAAACGGACCGCGAGAGGACGGCAGGGTCGGCTTGACACGACAGGGTAAATTTGAATGACTTATAATATTGTCACGCTTCTTGGAACAATTTCCCCAATGTTGGAACCTTCTCGGCAGGCCCGTAGCCAGGGGGGTGGGTAGGTTTAACAAACCTTGACTATTCCAAGCTTTTTTATAACCATCACGTCCAGACCAAATATAAAGCCTTCGATTAATAACAACCGCACTATGCCCTGCTCGACTACAAGGTTTGATCAAATCATCATTATTTGTTGTTGCTGTTGAAAAATCATCCAACGAATGTTGTTCCCAACTTAGCGCGTTTAAATTTAAAACAGCCAAAGAATTTGTGCATTTCCATTCTTTATCGGGAGTTTCTGCTTTGTCTGCTGGTTGGAGAGGAACCCTAGAAAAAATAATATTTTCTTAATTATAATAAACATAGGCTATCAAAAACAAGTTTATGTGGGGACAAATTAAAATACGTCACTAAAGGAGAGAGAGGAGGAGGGGAAAGAAATAAGAAAAATAGATAAACAGGTTAAGAACAATTTATTTTTAGGAAGTAAATTTAAAACAAAAATAGACCAACTATTCAAAAATTATAAAGAATAGAACAGACTCTGATGGCAAAACCTTCAAGTAAACAACAAAGATATAGGTCGGAATTAAGAAAAAGCCGGACCAGGTTCCTGGTCGAATTTCCAAAATACTCTTAGGATTGGGTTTCGGTAGGAAAAAGTCCGAGTACCAACTATCGAATTTTGGAAACCCAACCAATGCCTGGTACAAAAATCAACCAAGACCCAAATACACCCCCAAAAATCCAAAAAGTTTCAAACTTACCATCCACCAAAAACAACCATTCTACATCCAATAACATTAGCAGTATGTAAAGAACGAGGTAAAGGCATAATTCCATTAGGTACAGGATTTGTCCAAATCCAAGTTTTTAAATCCAAAATCCAAACATCCCCCATTCGATTTCCATCCATTCCTCCATAAATAATTAATTGTTCTTTGCCTGTTTGGGTTAGAAAGTGAACGGCTGTGTGTGATTCTCGAGGTGAGGGAGGCATTCCAACCGTCTAAAAATTGAAAATAAATATAAGAATCCGCAAAAAATTTGCGGACAGATATTGCGGACAAAATTTTTAGGGAAACGAAACCCAAAGTCAGCAAAATTTTTGCGCACAACATTTTGTCCGCAATTTAGAATTTCAGTTCAAAAATAAAAAATTTTTTAATACCATTGGAACTTCCCACCACATAGTAGGCGACTGACTGAGATCGATAGCATACAAATCATTGAGGTAACGAGGAATGTTAATTTTTGGATCTTCACTATCATTTGCCAATCCTCCAAAAACAAAAGCATAATGACTACTTCCAAGTGTAAATGAATGTCCTAAACGTGGACAGGGACCTGCTTGACCAGTTTGTGGTGGACGGACACGAATTTGTCGCCATTCCCATCGACTGGTTTGTAATTCATAAACATCGTTTGAGTACCTTAAATGATGAAAAAGTGTGTTTCTATGCAAATTTCAAGAAAAGAAACCTTCCATATTCAACCATTCCACCAAAAATAAAAACTTTTAGTTGATCAGTGACCATACCTAAAAAATAAAATAATTTTAACAAATCAATTCAGTTATAGAACTGCAGAAATATAAACGGAAAATAGTCAAAAGAATGCGGAAAAAAAATATACCCAAGGATCTAACCGACTTAAACTCACAAAAATTGTGAACGTATTTCATGATGGAAAGATCCCTGATATAGAAAAAAAGACGAACGAGAAAATGTATGAGAGCCGGAAGATGCTAATATATGAATTAGAACCGGGTCCTAAAGGCTTGGACCAACGTGAAACCGTAAAAGGTTTGAAAAAAAGATATAAAGGGGGAGGGCTTGAATAAAGGCTAAGCTTGGACCAACGTAAAACAGTAATTATGGGGGGGGGGGGGCAAGTCCACTAAAATCCTATTTTTGAGCTTCTCACATAAAATCATATCCCAACACAAAGCATCTATTTCCACGCCTAAGACACCCCAATTTATAATCAAAAAAATTAACCATAAGCAGCAAATCCACGCGGAATATCCCCTCTAACAACAGGCACAAACCATTTATTTTTGGTAGCATTATAGACGTGTAATTCATCAACTATTCCCTCATTGCCTCCACCAAAAATAAGCATCAAATCTTTAATACCAATACCACGATGACCATGACGCGGACTTGAAAATAAAAAATATTAGTTAAATTAAGATTGTGCAAAGTCAGTTAACCGGCTAAACCGTGGATAAAAATAGGGGAACCCAAACAACCAGTAAAACCGATCGGTTCAGCACAGTAACTTAAAATTGGCCGTGTTACTCTAATTTCAGTACGGTACTTTTATGGTTTAGTTGGTTAATGCGTCCGGTTTTTTTGAAAAATGAGAGGGTCCGAATCTTTAGGTGAAAATCAAATAAAACTCTAAAAACACCACTAAAAACGGAATTTTTTTTGAAGATTTTCGGACATTTAATCCCAAAATACATTTCGCCAAAATATTTTTCTAAATTTACTATTCAACACTTTTCGAAGCTATTTTATAAGATAGGCGGAACCGGTCTCATCTAACCACAATCCGGGGTTAAAAATCAAAACTCGAGGGTCAAACCCTGTCATAGTTGGAAAACATAGGAGGGCACTGGTCAACCGGTTGTGTCCAACCCAAACAAAAATAACAATAAAAACAACTCACCGAGGTGTCGGCCCTTCACTTGTATCATCAACCTTTACCCATTTTAACAGTAACGGTTGTTTTAATCTGTTTGGATCAAATGTCGAATTCATTTTATGCTTAAAAAACCTTAAAACAAAAATTTTTATATTTAAAAGGAGGAAAAAGTATACAGAAAATATAGATTGGCTTAATATTAAATATTTGAGAAAACAAAGGGAAACTTAAGTCTAAAACAAAACAATAGAGAAAATCGACGCCTTAAACATATGTCAGTTGAGTCTCAACTACAACCCTCCTTAAACGCCTCCTAGAAAATAAGACTCAAATTGCCCGATGAATACTTTCAGTAGACTCTACAAGCAAATACTCGAAGTTTGATACCGCTTGAAAATTTTATTTTTTGACATTTTGCATGGGACATTTTGAGAATTGCTCTCACTCTGGTTTACTTTAAAAATATAAAAGTGAAAGAGAAATAGACACATTTTTAGTTATTTTGGCTTTGTTTACTAAAGAAAGAAAATCAATATAGGTTCGTGTCAATAAGGCTCCTATACAACTCATCTAATCGTTAACTCATCTACTCGTTAACTCATCTACACGGCCAAAAAGGGTTAACTCATCTAATCGTTAACTCATCTAATCCTTAACTCATCTACACGGCCAAAAAGGGTTAACTCATCTAATCGTTAACTCATCTACTCGTTAACTCATCTACACGGCCAAAAAGGGTTAACTCATCTAATCGTTAACTCATCTAATCCTTAACTCATCTACACGGCCAAAAAGGGTCAACTCATCCAATCCTTCGAAACGAGACTATTGAGTAACGGCCGTTTGAGTCCATGGCCAGTAGAGTACCGCCGGTTGAGACTCAACTGGTCATGGACTCTACTTGCCAGAGACTCAAACGGCCGGAGACTCAACTGGCCATGGACTCAACTGGTCATGGACTCAACTGGTCATGGACTCTACTTGCCAGAGACTCAAACGGCCGGAGACTCAACTGGCCATGGACTCAACTGGTCATGGACTCAACTGGTCATGGACTCTACTTACCAGAGACTCAAACGGCCAGAGACTCAGACGGCGAGAGACTCAAACGGCCGGAGACTCAGACGGCCAAAGACTCAAACGGCCGTTACTCAATAGTCTCGTTTCGAAGGATTGGATGAGTTGACCCTTTTTGGCCGTGTAGATGAGTTAACGATTAGATGAGTTAACGATTAGATGAGTTGACCCTTTTTGGCCGTGTAGATGAGTTAAGGATTAGATGAGTTAACGATTAGATGAGTTGACCCTTTTTGGCCGTGTAGATGAGTTAAGGAATTTTAGCTGTTTAGATGAGTTGAACGTTTTTGGCCGTGTAGATGAGTTAACGAGTAGATGAGTTAACCGGACACGGTCAATAAAAATATGTCTCTATTTCTCTAACTCATAGTCTCTAGAATGAAGGAATGTCAAAATGGTAACTAGCAGTGAAATATACGAAATAAATATCTCTATTTCTCTAACCCCTAGTCTCTAAAACGGAAAAATGTCAAAATGGTAACTAGACATAAAATATACAAAACATCAAAAAATCGTTGGATTTGGGCAAAAAAGGGGCTACTTTTGATTGAAAAACAGGGAAAAAATAATTTAAAATAGAAATACAGGTTTCTTAACCTGCTAACAATTAGTCGGAGGTATCAACTTTAATTATTTATTTATAAATTAAAAACATTAATATATATTATATAAAATACATCATTGTAATTTTAGCTGCTGATCTTTTAAAAACACACAAACAATATTCTTTTCATTTCTCCTTATTTTCAATAACATTTTTTATTTTATTTAATCCGTCATCCAATGCTCTACAAAATTCTGATGCATTTCTGTTTTGACTCTAAAAATATTTATCTATTATTGTGTTCAATTTAGGGATTATTCTAGGGAATCAAGACACAAATTAATCTAGAGGGATTCAAAACGGGCCTGACTCAAATTGATTTTTGACTTCAATTGCTAACTACCTTAACCAGATCACAGCCCTAAAAATCTAGCAACTCTGAAAAGTGACTTGAGCTTACTTCTAAGCCCAGGAAAATCAATGCCCGGCCCCAGATCGAGGCTGCTCCAAGGACTTTGGATCGGCCTTGATCCAGTTTCTGGATTAGGGATGGTCCCCGTCACATTTGTAAAAGAGGAAGAGTTCATCCCTGGGTCGCTAAAAATATTTATCTAATATCCCTGGGCACAGGCCCGTAGTCAGGATTTTTTTCAGGGGAGGGGGGCTACTCCCTGGCTACAGGCCTGTCCCTTTGTCTGGATATCCAGATCGGAGTCTAGATTTCTAATCCAATTTTCTTTAAATAGACATTCTATCCCTAGACATATTGTCCAATTTCCCCCCAAATTTCCCCTCAAAAAACATTAAATCAAAAAAACCTTATAACAAGTAACAGTAGCCCCGAGCTTCTGATCAGTAACATTATAACCAACACCAAAACCATCTTTAACAACTGGGCCAAATCCACCAAAATAAATTGTGTCTGTAGATAATGTTGAGGTAGAGAGTACAAAATGTGACATAATTCTTTGGTAAATTGGATGGTTAAAAATAGGAATATTTTCTGTTGAACGGCCCAAACGTTTTGCTGTATGTTTAAGTCCAAAAAAGTGTCTATCGAATCCTTGTCCCAATGAGGCTTCTTTTATCTTAAGAAGAAAAATTTTTGAAATTTTTTGGAAATTTTCGAAAAAATTTTTAAAAAATTTCAAAAAAAATTTTTTTGAAAAAAATTTTTTGAAATTTTCAAAAATTTTTTAGAAATTTTCTTAAAAAAATTATTTAAAAGAAAACCAATTGTGAATGCATATCAGAACATTTTTTAATTAATCCAATCATTTCTTGAGGTGATTTATTGCCTTTTTTAAAAGCTAAAACAGCTTCCTTTGTTGCTGTTGTTGCTGAACGCATGCCTTAAAAAGTAATGCAGTGAATTCTAGTTGAAGAGGCGGGGGTGTGCTGATTGTAAGACAGATTTTAGAAAGTGAAACTGCAGCACAGTCCCTACTGAACAGGCGGATAGGCTTAGGGTTGCCATTTTCGAGTCGGGCCGACGGTCCTATGTAGATAGGATTGATGGCTCCGGTGGGTGAACCATTTCTCTTGTCCTCGGTGAAACTAACCATGGACATCCCCATCCTCACCCCAAGTCCTTAACCAAAAATTTTTTCGGGAGGGCCAGTTAGATCATGCTCATCAGCGCCGAATCCCTCCTACCTCCCCCCATCAGGTTACGGACCTGCTCCGCCCATACAGCTAGAATTCACCGCATTAACCAGAAAAAAGCCTCTCATTATTTTCCTAAAACCCCCTAAAAATAAAGAAAACCTCTCCTTTCCCTTACATTCAGTTCTTCCTTTAAGAAAAGCAGCAGTAGAACAACTTTCATATGTCGGCACAAATTCTCCATAAATTGAATAAAATGCTAGCTGCATTCCCAATTGCATAATTGCATCTGGCGACAGTCTTGCCATTTTTATTTTTTCTTTAGTTAATTTTGTATGTTCAATACAGTCAAAACCCAAATCACTACAACGATGAACATGTTGTTCACTTGCCTTGCGAATTTTTGCTCGAAGAGAATCGTTTAATTTCCATTCTAGAAAAAGAAAAAAATATTTAAACTTCGAATTGTGTGTAAAAAAGTTTCAAAAACATATGAATTGTACTTATGGGAGGCCTGGTTCGATACCAGTGGTGTGCCGAAACAGATTTTAAAGGCGAAAACCGAAATTCAATTTAAAAAGCGTAGCATAAAAAACGGCACAATACGTTCTGGTTTTATATCTCCCAGCAAAATGGCTCCCCTGACTAGACAGACATGGAACTACAATCCCTGGCTCCTAGCAGCAGCTATAATGTAGTCCATGGCAATTTGTTAGAGTGCCAGACTCCCTAAACTCCAAAAAATTCTTCGGTGACCAAGAGGTGCCTCGGATTATCAGAAATCCGACCCGACTTTTTGTCCACGTGAAAACCCTTGTGGACACAATTTTTTAAACCCGAAAAAAATATTTAAAATTTAATACCCAATCTTTTTGTTTCTCCAGCTTTAGCAGCGTCCACTTGTCTTCCAGCAGAAACAAAACGATTTGTAATTGTGTCTTTGAGTATCTCCTCCATTAAACGAAGTACAGCAACACCATCGCCCCAGGAATGTTCGAAATTGATTGTCTAAAAAAATTTTTTTAGTTAAACGAGATAAGTCAAAAGTCGAAAAGTTGGCGCGAAAGACTTTTCGACCTTTTGGGACTGAAAAGTATCTTATAATGAAGGTCATCTCTGAAGCAGAGCCCCCATCCGGTGCCCAATCAAATTTAAAAAAAGAGTCTTATCTAATTTTAGGGGGTATCCTTATAATAAGGTCTGCATCCGAGTATGTGTTGAAACCCAATTTAAAAAGCGAAAAATGAAAGGAGAAACACCAAAAAGTCAAAAAGTCGGCGAAAGAAGAAACGAGACACTCATGGATTGTAACAACTAGGGTAACACCCCGTCGCTTGAAACCCCGACGAATTCTTAGGCAAACCCCGACCCGAAGGCTCTACCCCGGCAAACCCCGAAATCCGTCACTTCCGCCCCGAAGGTTCGGGTGCTACCCTAATATCACCAAACTTAAGAAAATCTCACTTACAGTTTGTCCATTCCCGTCAACAATTAATTGAAAACATTTATCAAACCTTTAAAAAAATATTTTTTAAATTCCCTCAATTCAAAAAAAAAACCATCGATTTCTTCCATCATCTCCACACAGAAGAGAATTAGCCAAACGATTAGGATCTTCACTTCCCAAATCATCAAAACATAATAAAAATAATGCATTTTCTAAAGTATTTAATGAATGTAAATTTTGTTGGTTTAAATCAATTAATTCTTGTCTTGTATCTGCCCAAGTATCGCGATCCTGAAAATTTTTTTTTGAAATTTTTTCCGACTTTTTTTGAGAATTAACAAATTTTTTTATAATCTTATTTGAAAGAAAAAGACCCCCAGCAAATCCCCAGAGAAAATTAAATATCCCACAATCAGTTCATTTGGTTCAGTTGGAAAGTGTTGTGACCACAAGACTTGAGGGTGTAGGGTTCGAACCCCAATCGTGGAAAATAATTTTTATACTTAATATTTCGTAAAAAATGACTCAAAAACGTGTTAAAAATGTATTGGAGCTTCCAAAAAATTTTTTAAAAAATTTTGAAATTTTTAAAAATCATTTTATTTAAAAAATTAAAAAACCAATGTTGTTAACGAGCCAACAAACGATGATTCTTCTTTTTCATAAGAGGATGAACTATTTAAAATTTTATGTAGAGAAGAATAAATATTATCAGGCGAAAGTAATTCACCTAAAAATAATTTTTCAAAATTTTATTTTAAAAATTAAAACCTTTTTCATCAAAAAGATCAACAGAATAAAATGTTCCTTTACGCGCAACGACGAAATGTTTCCTTAAAAAAGAAAAAATACTTATCTTGAAAATAAAATCAACACCTCATTTTTAGATACCCCTCTATTTAAAATTAAAAAAAATTTGGTTGGCAACTAGGTGATCCCCCCCCCAACAACAACGACTCTTATAATGAGAGGTACCCCTATTTAAGGCATTTTTACGTACACTTTTTAACCATATGAGTTTTTAAAATGAAGTACGAGCCTATGAGTAGAAAGAAAATTACACGCGAAACCCAAGAGCACGGATTTTGTAATGAGGGAGGGATATACAACCTATTAAGGCACTATAAGGCCCCCCATAATAAAAAAGATTTTTAACCCACGGGCAATTAAAAAATGGGTTCGACTGAAAATTTAGAAAACCACAATTCCGAATCTTATAATGAGATGTGCTCCAATTTAAGGCACCACTCATTTATAAGGCAAAATTCTAAATTCTAAACACTAGGCCCTACTAAAAAATTAAAAAAATTTTTACGAATCAGTCTTCAAAGTTAATTTGTCTTTTCCACGTTGAGGTATTCTACAACCACCAAATAAAGATTTGTATTGACTCATATCTAACGGAAAAGCTTTAAAAGCCGCAGCACCAAACCAGCTAATACTTTGAGGAAGCAAACTCCAAAATTTTTGAATTGAAAGTTTGTTGGATTTTTCTGGATTTAAATGAAAAACTTCGGGAGCCAAAATTTCAGCATCTAAAGAACGTTTGAAACGTCCACAAGAAATTACAAAATTTGTAGCGCGGATTAACTTGAAAGAAAAAATTAATCAAATAAATGAGTCTACCGCAGAGTTTATAATAGTCAGAAACCCAAAAAAACTCCGCTCTGACAATTTTTACACTATTCTATTAGACATAAGTAGCAAGGATGTCAAGGGTTAGTTGAAAACTTCATACCCTAACTTTTTGGAAACGAAACTCGACCCGAAAAATTCTCAAAAAATCGAAACGATTTCTTCACCTGATGCCCCTCTTATAATTCCGAAATCCTCCGGTAATGACCCGACCCGAAGAAAATTGTAAAAACACGACCCGACTTTTTTTTTATCCGCCCGTGACATCAGTGCTTTGCAATAAACTCTGCAGTAAACTGTAACCATTCTTACCAACAAATTAAAAATAAAAACCTGATCGTTATAACGAGGATCGGGATCTGGTGCAAACATCATAAAAGGATTGTAATTTACAGGGCAAGGAACACGTGCAGACAAATACATATCAAACCAGGGTTCTGACTTGAAAAAAATAAAATTTTCAACTCAAAAAATTAAAAAAAATAATACAATGTAAGAAGTATCCAAATGTTGACGATCATAATCGATCAAAGCTTTGTGTAATTCTGGCCCTTCATTTTTCATAAAATTGTCAATTAACCCTTCCATCTCTTTCGCTTCATTTTCAGGATAAATTGCTTTAACTGCATCCAGATAGCGTTTACAAGAATTCTCCAATTTTGGTATTGGTAAACGCCTCAGGGATTTCTTTAAAAAATTAAAAGTAACAATTACTGACGGGTAAAACCTATTTTCTGGCCTCGGATCCCGATTTATAAATAGCGTTTGACCGGGATCCGGCCGAATTTTTTAGTAAAAAATGTTTAGAAAAATTGATTGGACGCCCTCAAGCAAAAATTCGGGGAGATCGAAACCTCTATTTGGGATCCGGAAAAAAAATGCCAGTTCCTACCCAGGTCGCTAACAAAAAATTAAATATTAAACATAAAAACCTGGAAATGATAAGTTGGAATTATGCTCTTCTGTAGATATTGATAGGTTTCAGAATTTACATCAGGAGAAAATAGATGTTCAGTTGAAGCATTTCGAATACTTAAAGACCTACAAAAATTATAAAATATTTAATAAAACATTTCTAATCGCAACCTAATTTTAATAAATTTTATAAACCCAAGGGATCTAGAATAATAGTGAGGTTAACGTATTTTAAAAATTAAAAATTTATTATAAAAAATAAACTAACCTATAAACACTATTGACATAAAAAATATTGCAAGGCGTTCGAATCATATTGTTTAAGTGAATCCTTTAACTTTTTTACAAAAATAGACCAACAAAAGTTAGACAAGTCAAAACATTAAATATCCTAAAAAAATCATTAAAAAGCTAAAAAATAATTTTAAAAAAATATTTAAATGTTTAGAAAAACATTAAAAAAATTTCAAAAAAATTTCCAAAAATTTTCACATATTTAAATAAATATTAAATCCAAAAAACATAAAACACACAAAAAAATATTAGATCAATGATTTGCAGGGCTTGAAAGTGAGTTCTTAACCAATTTAATCATTTTATCCACCATACCGTCCAAACGATCCAAACGCCTTTAAAAAAATTTTTTAGTAAAATTTAAACTTTTTTATCTCATTTTTCACTCATTTACATGCCTAAACTAATAGCAGAAAAACAAAAATGAGAGAAATATTTACAGCAAAAAATTTTTTTTTATTTTCTACACGACGGACAAAATTTTCATCTAATCATTTTTCTCTTAAAAATAATAAAAGAAAAAAAAAGATTTTTTACTAGACATAATTCAAGGTCAAGTCAACTTTCCCTTAATATCAGTCACTATAAGAAACTTCTCATTAAAGAGCAAAAATCAAAGTCCAAAAAATCCCACACCCGAGGAGACCCACCAAAAAATAAATTAATTATCTAATAGAAACCCTAGTCGATTTAAACAGGCTTATTAAAAAAATATAAGCACTAACACGGAACCATATCGAATTGTGACCAAAAATTTCGTAATTATTTTTATAACATCGTGTAGAGCAGGGTCGATTTCCTAGTGCCAATTATTGCTTTTTCGGCCCTACCCCCAAATTACGAAATTTTTGGTCACAGCTCGATATGGTTGCTTGTTAGTGCTTATATTAGAACATTTACCATAAAAACAAAATTGTTTCCTCCCCCCCCCCCTCTCAAAAAAAATTTAAAAAAATTTTTTAAACAACAAACTTAATAATCAAAGGAACTTCACTAGCACAATTTTTACAAAAAGGTGTAGCATCTAAACCAGCATCATTAGAAGTACCAACGATTTCAGATTCGTCTTGTAAATTTTCCTGCATCTCACAATCATCAACAATATTGTTATTATCACTAATAACTTGAATATCATCATCATCCGAGGAATTCGCTTGTGATTGCTAAAAATAAGTCTTGAAAAATATTCGGAACTCGGAACACATTTTTATAGTAAATATCACCTCTGGGGCTGAAAAAGTCTCTTATAACGAGGTGTACCTTATATAGAGGGTGTCGCTTAAATAGAAGGGTATGGCTTAAAAGAGAATATAGGAAAAGTATCGCAGATAGAAAAAGTCTCTTATAATGAAGTGTATCCTAAATGGAGGGTGTCGCTTATAAAGAGTGTCTCTTATATAGAGGGTATCGCCTAAGCGGTTTCTCAACCAGAAACAACAAATTTTAAACCCCTAACCTAAATTTGGTATCCGTATATAAAATAGAGGTTTTGGACCTATCTTAAAACGAGCTCCAACTTTATTTAAAAAAACCTGATAATTCGAAGTCGATTGTTCAAAATTAGATCCATCTAAAGATGTTGCTTTACTATTTTTACTAGATTCAATAACGTGTTCTTGAGGTTCCAATTGTGGAGGAGCAGCAACAAGCAATGACGATTCTGAAATTTTTCTTTAATAAAATATTAATTTTAAAAAATAACCTTCAGGTGTTGCAGGCACAAAACGCAAATTATTATTGTTGTTTGAAGATTGTTCTTTAAAAAAATTTTAATTAAAAAATTTTAAGTGGAAATCTCAAAAAAAAATTTTTTTACTTTAACAAGACAAGAAAAAAATAATTTGGCCCGAAAGGGGTTCGAACCCTCACCCCACAACCCAATTTAAACCACTCAACCAAAACATAAAAAAAACTCTTAACCAAGGAAACTAATCCTAGATAGAAATAAAATAGAAAAAGGTATCTAGAATTGCCTAAAACAATTCCCCCAGCCAAAGGGGCGAACCCACAACCCACTTAACCAACAACATTTACACAACGTGAAAATTCCCAGCCCAAACCACTTAACCAACACTACTTAAAAAGTCCAAGAATTACGGCTAAAAAACTAAAATTTAAAAAAAACCTTGTAAAGAAGCAGAATTTTCCAAAGTTTTATCAACAGACATATTAACCAAATCATTTAACATTTCAGAAACTGTTTTTGGCGCATAGTTTGATGAAAAAGTTGAGGTATTTGAAGTTGGTGGTTGATATGGCTTTTGAATAATTCTATTGTTTGAATGGTTAATTCGATAAATTGTTCTAAAATTTTCAAAAAAAAAATTTTAATCTCAAAATGTCGAAAATTTGAATTTGTCAAAAATCTGCCCAACTTTGACCGGCCATAACTCGGCCCAAAGTCATTTTGGAAGAAAACGAAAATCACTTCACAATAGGAAGTCAGGGGTTCTCTATCGAATGGTACCAATAAAAATACCAAATTCTCAGTTTGGTAAACGATGTTCCCTTGTAAGAGGTTTTAAACCGAATGAATATCAAAATTTAAAAATTAGGTCAGTTCCAGGGGAGAAATTTGGTATTTATTTGGTGTTACGGCGCCACACATAAAACATGTCAGCGTCTTTTAGAGGGTTTGGCATTTCGATGGCTTTTCTAAATCCAAACCCAAAAATAATTTCCTTGGAAAATTACTAAAAAAATTTTGAAAATAGCTAAAATTTGTTAGAAACTTATAAAAATTCCAAAAAAAATTTCCCCGGGAGGAAGCCCCAAAAAATTTTAAAAAATTTAAAAACCTTAAATTATTCTTTTGATTCAGCTGAAACTTTTCTCTCAAATAAGCCGAACGATTTTTATCCATTATAACATTTAATCTTGCTTGGTCTGTGACAAGAGGTAATTTACGTTTATTTGGCCTTGACAGTTGATTAAAAACAATTTTATTATTTTTGGCAGCAGCATTTCCTTTTTCACTTTCAGAATCGTCGCTACTGTCCAAATTTACAATTTCTATAAATTGAAAAAAATTTTTAATTTTAATTTAAATAGTTTCGATTCAATAATGGTTTTGACAAGTGTTTTCTACTAACATAAATTAAAAAATCTCAAATAATTTTCTCTTAGCCTATGAAATGGCCTACAAAATATTTTTGTGATAATATTATAAATTGAATTTTTCTACTTTGATAGATTCGTACACAAATTCAACCGCAAATTCACCCATTTCAGAAAAATAATCTAACGGAACCGGATCCTAGGGCACAATAATCGTAGACAAGCTAGAGGACTTTTGTAGAATCCACAAAAATTTTAATCACAAGAATCACAGGAATTTGTTCTAGGCATCTAGCCATTGTCACACAGCAGAACTAGCCTAAAGATCCCCAAAGCAGCCCCAAAAATTTTTTTAAACGAAACAAAAAATATAAAAAATTCAACAAACCTAATCTTCCTCCTGGTTGATCCTCTTCCGAATCTTGCGCTGATGTTGATGAAAGAGCATTACTTGCAAGACTCTGCAAAACTTGGTCAATACTTGGCGTTGGAATTATTGATTCCATATTTATTTTTCTTTAAAAAATAATTAAATTTACAAAAATAAAACAAAAAATATAAAAGGGACATTTCATCCCAGCATTAAAAAATCAATAGAAAAATTGAAAAATTTATACAATTTAATCAATAAATATTGAACAACTACAATGCCAAAATACTTAAAAGAATTTTTCTTTTACAAGTAAATAGAGCTAGTAACTATAAGATGTTCTAATGAATTCTTTTTTCACTCTAAAATTTTCCAATAAAAAAAAGTTCCTGATCCCTCGCACCCTTGGGGGTAGAAAAAATCGTAAAAAATTTTTATCTTATATAATGAGGTGTATCTTAAATAGAGGTATCGCTTTTATTGTTAGACGAGTACAACCCCGTCACGCAAAATAGTTATCCAAATTAAAAAAATGTAGTTTTTTTTTCTTCTAAATTTTAAATTAAGATTTTATTTTAGAATTTAAGGCTAGACACAACCGCGATTATCAACCAATACCCCCAGGCTTTCAATTAATTAAAATTTAAACCCCCCCCCCCCCCCCCACGGTTTTCGGTTTTGAGTTTTAGTTAAATAACGGTTTTATTTCGAGGAAATTTTTTTTAAAAATTTCAATTTCTTTCAAAAATTTTCGGTTTTTAAAATTTCCTAAAAATTATTAAAATTTTTGGCAAGAAATATATCAAAATTTTCTGATTTAAAACCTGGGCCCGTACTATAAGAACGAGTCGTAGACTTCGAAATTTTTGCTAACCCTGCTATAGAGCAGGGTTTGAGATTTACCACTTTGTAGGGGTCAAATGACCAAAAAGTGCTTTTCATATAGTACGGGTTAACCAAAGGGCAAATGACCTGGGACCAAAAACCAGAAATTTTTCTTATAGTAGCAAAGGTACCTCCGGTAACCTAGTTAAATAACCACAAACCACTTTCTTTATAGTACGGGCCCTGGTTGTGTCCAATCCTATTCAAAATTAAATTAAACTCCATTTTAATATAAAATAATATATTTTCAAAAAAAAAACCCTCAAATTCCAAATTTTCTTATTTCTTCATTTTTTAAGCGTAGTCTTCTTCCCTAATTTCAATTTATCATTCCATTTTGAAATTTCATCTGCATTAACATCCTTCCAAACTTGTAATTCTTTATTGTAATGATTTTTAAGATTTTCAGCCTTTTCCAAATAAAACTGAAAAAAATTGAGTTAAAGAAAATATTTTTGGTAAAATTCAAATTCGTTCCCTTCTCTTTTTCCTTCCTTAATTTGCGGAACGTCCCACTTCAGTCCCTGGCCGTTTCAGTCCCGAGCTTGTAACTCGGGGATTTGGAAATAATTTATTAAACTTTTAGTATCATTGGATAGAGAAAAAAACAAAAAAAGGAAGGAAAAATAGAAGGGAACGAATTTGAATTTTACCAAAAATATTAAAAAGATTAAAAAAACTTTTTTGTCAACATCAGTCATAAGCTTCCATTGTTGTCCAAAATCTTTTCCAACTTGAATAATTTCTTCTTTTCCCTTAGGGGTTTGATTTTTTTCCATACCATCTTTACAAAAGAGTAAAAAACCATTCATTGGACGCTTTGGTTTATTTGTTTGTTTATAAAACTTAAAAAAAATTTTTGTTAAAAATTGGACGTACACTGAGGAGCCCAGTTTACCAAAAAGATTATAAATGTTTGTGGATATAAAATTTTGGTATTATTCAATGCGTATCTCATAGATTTGTGACACATAATCAAAATATGCGGTACTTTATTGATATCCCGCCCTCCATCCCACACCCCCCCCCCCCCCCCCCGCCCTCCATCCAACCCTTATTTGAGTCTCAGATTAATTTTCATTTTATATTTTTCCTACCTCGGAATGGTCACATTTCCTCCTTTATAAATAATAAATTTTGCTGTTAGTAATTGACAACAAAAAAGAAAATTAATCTGAGACTCAAATAGGGGTGGGGGCGGGATATTAATAAAGTACCAAATATGCTTCGAGCCTTACATCTAATTTTGGTTCTGCGGTAAACTGAGACTAAACTTTCCAGTGACGTTGGGATAAAAAAATAATTAAAAAAATACTTCATGAAGATCATGCAAAAGTTTGCCACGTTTACGTTTTTCAATAAGAGAAGCATTAGATTTCATCAAATCTTCTTGTTGTTGTACAGAAAATTGTGAAAATTCATCCTTCCTTTTTTGAGAAATTATTTTTGCATTCTCAACATAAGACTGAAAATTCAAAAAAAGTTAACGATAGAGATTTGTAAAAAAACTAGTTGTTAATCTAGGTTTCCTAATAACCTTCAAATAACTGGAAATAATATCAAATTCACAAAAAAAATTTTTTTTGGCTAACTAGTCAAAAAGAACTTTTTGGGTACTTTCCTGTTATTAGCCCTCATTTATTCTTCCATTTTCTCAACTACTTTTGTACAGAATGGTCAGATTTTCATTTTTTTCTCAAATTCACTCCAATTTCCTGTGGCAACATTAAAAAAAATGAGATTATTTTTTGTAAAAAATTGCAAATCCATTCAAAATAATCTTCATCTTTTGCTTTTTGTCTACCAGGGCTGGGCGATTTCGCATTTTCGCATTTTTCAGAACGAAAAGTTTCGCCTTTAATTTTTTGATTTCGCCCAGCCCTGTTATCTACATAATGTCTCACTTGAATATGACAATGAGAAATGGAGTGAATTTGATAAAGAAAGGGACTGCACAGAAGTAGGCTGAGAAAAAAGGAAGAAAAGATGAGGGCAAATAACTAAAAAGTGGGTACACCCCCAACCTATCGCGAGGCCAACCTACCGCCGATCTATAACTTCGTTCAGAATTTTCGAGCTTAATCTAACCATACGAGGGTGTCCCGGATTCGACAATTCTGAACAAAGTTATAGCTCACCGGTAGGTTGGACTCGCGGTAGGTTGGCCTGTTCCCCAAAAAAGTACCACTTTTTGTAACACAAAACAAGAAAATGTTTGATCATAAAAATTAAAAATATACTTTTTTATCCAAATCGCTCATTTCCTTCCATGATTTTGCAACTTTTTTTACCAATTCAGACGCTTTTTCCCCAGTAGAATTTTTCATTTTTTCTTTAACAAAAACAGCAAATGGAGTAATTGGATTAAAACCAGACGGGAGTCGGGCAGATTTATGAGCTACAACGGAGTCAATTTTTTTAGTTGTAGTAGTTGAAAAATTTAATTTGCTAGAAAAAAAACCTTTAGAGAAAGAAAAAAAATAATAAACCTCGCAAAAGAAAAAGAAAAATTTTTAAACAATACACTTTGCATCTTGAAAATTTTGTTTATTATTCAAAAATTATAAAATTCAAAAGAAAGGGAGTCCACTGACAGCGCTGGTTGAATAAATTCTTTTTAATTTAATATTTCTAAAAAAAATTTTTTTATGTATATAAGCAATAAAAGTATATAAATATATATTTTAAATATATGAAAGTCAACCATCAATATGTAAAACCCCATCAATGCTTTATTTTTAAAAATGCATTTTATTAAAAAATATTAGTGATTTCTGAGATTTTTCTTTTTGGTAAAGCCCTTAATCATCTCTCCGGTTCAGCAAAATACATTCGTGTATAAAAAGTAAAATAAATTGTAGAATATAAAAATAAAATATGCAAAATTTCAAACAAAAAAATAATAAGGCTTCAAATTAAAAAATTAAATGTTCTTCAAATATAGTTATAGAGATTGTAAATGGAGCACATTTTCCCTAAAAATTTAATTTATAAAAAATTTTAATTTATAAAAAAAATTATTTCTGAATTAAAATTAAGTTACAGATATCCCTGGTGTAAATATCAGGGCTGTAGGCTGTCCGCATTTTTTAAAGGGCTTTAAGTTGCGTAATGTCTAAGTATACACCCGTGGGCCGCGGTTTTCATCCTGTAAACAAAATTGTGAGTCCGTAAAAATGCGGACAGCCTACAGCTTTGATATTTACACCAGGGATATCTGTAACTTAATTTTAACTCAAAAAATAATTTTTTTTACTTCTGAAAAAAATTTTTCACAGACTGCGTCTATGAAAAAATTATTAAATTACAGGTATCCGTGAAGTAAATAGAAAGATAAACAAATAGCCATAGAATAGGGAAAAAATTTTTTTGAATAATAAAAAAAAAAGAAAACCCATTATAAAAAGATCTATCCATACCAAAATTGTCGTGCTTTAGCCAATGCTTCCAAAACGTTTTGATTATAATGTGAATGAGAAATATCAAGTTGCAAAAATTCACAAGGTTCCAAATAATTATTAGACACCCACCTCCTTAAAAAATTTTTTTTTCAAAAAATCAAAAAAAACTCCTTACCAAGTATTTAATTTATCAAACAGAACAACAAGTGTCTTATTATTATTGTCATTGCTCCCTTCTCTACCAGGCATACAATTAATTGCTTGTTGTACAAACTGTGTTCCTAAACCTTCATCTTCATCAAATTCATAACGCATACGCAAATCTATTACTCTTGCTGGCATTTGTGTTCCATCTTCGATTTCAACCCATACAATGTCGTTATGTTCTGAAAAAAAAAAGAAAAATATTAAATTATTCCGATATTAATCAAATAAAATTTTTCTGGACCAGCAAAATTTTGAAAAGAATGGTGTGCTCCTACAAATTTTCAAAAAAATTTTCGCCCATTGAACAAATTAATTTTTTCCCTTGATTAAATATCAAAAAGTATCTAGGGCAATTAATTTAAGAATTTTCGACGCCATCCCCCCGGGCTGACATTTCGGCAACTTTTGGAGGGTTTGGTTTTTAGACGTTGTAGCATCACAGCCAGAGGTGGGTCGGAATTCCAATTTCTTTCTCCTTTCGATTTCCGAAAAAATTTTTGATTTCCGACTTTTGAGCCAGTTCCGATTTCCAGCTCTTCCGATTTCCGACACCTCTGACTGTTCCGACCCACCTCTGATTACAGCGCGCTACGTTAATATAAGAAATAGGAAAAAAAGTTCCTTAGAAATCCCCAAAAAATCCGCAAAAAAAAACAAAACCTGCAAAAAAACAAAGTACGCCATCTTTACCCTTCCCACAAATTTTTCAAATAAATTTCCAAAAAATCTTACGAAATTGTTCATCATTTGAATTATTATTATTATTTTGTAACATTTCTTTCCTCAATCTTTTATTTGATTTATTATTTGATTGTTGTTTCAACCCATTTTTTGTTAAATTAATAGGAGGCAATAACAAATCTTCTTCGTCTTCATTATCATAACTATCTTCTTCATCTGCTGCTGATGAAGCTTCAGTTAAATAAGCATATGTAAAATTTTTGTTTTTATTAACATTTCTTCCAATACAACAATTAGGGGTATTTTTAACATTTGAAATTTGGTCCTTTGAAAAAATTTTTTTTATTTAAAAAATTAGGGCTGTTGGTGGTTGTTAGTGATTAACCAGTATCGTTGGTTTTTGGTTAATCCAAAATTTTAAAAACTCTCGATTTTCGGTTCTGACAAAAAACCATATCGAACTGTCACCAAAAATTTCGTAATTATTTTCATACCAGTGTGTAGAGCAGGGTCGATTTCCAATTGACAGTTTTTTCTTTCTCGGCCCTACCTACCAAATCGGAAAGTTATAGGACTTCAAGTTTTCGACTTTTGGAGCCTCCTCATTTTTCCTATTAAGGAGAAATTTTTCTCTTCCTAAAGAGAAAAATAATAGAGATTTTTTGAATCCCACATTTTCAAAAATTTTGATTTTTAGAATTTAATAAAAAAAGATAGTTTTTAGCAAAAAAAATCAAAATTTTCTGTCTAAATCTATCACCAACAACACAAAAAATAAAAGAATCAATTTACCTTTGAATTTAATCCAACACTTCCACAATCATGTGTCAAATAATTTGTAATTTTGTTAGTGTTACCAACAACTTTATCTCTATCAAAGGCAGTAGTGGAACCAACAGATGTGGAAATCTGAAAAAAATTAAATTTAAAAATAAAAATAAGCCTTAAAAAGGAAACCTTTGCAACACTTTTAATTGAATTTTTATTAATGCTATCTGTCCTGGTTCGCTTTCTTGGAATTTTTGGTTGTTCATCAGATGGTCCTCCAAGAGTTGATAATGTTGATGAAAGTTTGCCTAAAAAACAAAACTTTAAATTTTTTGAAGTTTTTGACAAGGAAAAATTATAGGAAAGTATCCATAGGTAAAATAAAACAAGAAGGGGAGGAGGTATCCTCACCTCAATCTCACAAAAAGAGTTGTCGGTTCGTGGAAGATCTTAGGATATCCAGAACCGAACCGAGGAACTAACAATAAGCAGAAAATCCTCTGTTCCGTCGGATGATTCCTCATCTAAGTTTCGGTCCGAGGATTTCTCAGTTCAAAAAATACACAATTTGGTCGGAGGGTTACACACATCCCAAAGATCCCCAAAAAAAGTAATATTATCAAAAAAAAAAATAAAAACAAAAAAACCAAAAAAATTTCACAAACATTTTCTAGATGTAGAAAGTCGTCGAGTTGTACTTAAATGTTGTTGTTGCTCTTCTTTTACTTCACAAATTTCAATATCCTCCCCTTCATTATTATTCAAATTATCTGTTATTGTCGTTGATGTACTCGGTTTTTCTTCAACAATTATTATAGATTCACCAGAAGTATCTTTATTTATTTTCTTTGAACTTCTTCGTCGTTGTTGTTGTTTTTCTTTAACATTTTTCTTTTTGTCGTCATCAATGGAAGAATTTAATTTTTTCTTTTTTGAATTTTGTTGTTGTTTTTTCTTATCAATTGAAGTAGGGATTGAAGGGGTCACGTTATTTGCATTATTGTTATCAACAGTTTTATTGGTAATGTTTGCTAAAAGGTTAATAAAGATTATTGAACAAAAATTGAAAAAATACAAGTCAGGCCTAAGTAAAAAACTCCCCTTTAGAGCCTTACTTTATACAAGGAAGTCACAAGTCATCCAAAATCCGATATACGAAATCCAAAACCCCGAGACATTTTTTCAAACCGAAATCCGATACGAGAAACTTTTAGAAACTCGATCCAAAACCTTCCAAACTTTTTCTAGTAGTGAAAAAATATCTAAGTTTGGGGTGAACTGCTTCCTCCGGCCGGTGGACTACTAATTTTTAAAAACCTCTTCATAAAAATTGAAAATTAAATTTACATTTCTTTGATTGTTTCTCAACATTCTTTCGTCCACCACTTTCAGAAACATTTGTAACTTTCTTTCCTTTCTGTTCCAGCTCCAATTTTAATTTGTTCATATAGTCTTCCTTGAGGAACTCGAATCGACTAATGAAGGTTTCGACCATTTGAAGGGTCTAAAAATTATTTTTAAAAATTTTGTAAAATTCCAGAAACATAAAAAAATACTTGTGATATTCTTGATTCTTCAATTTCTGCTGATCGAATAACTTTAAGTCCAATTTGTCTAATTCTTTGTCCATAATCATAAAAATATTTATTATCACGATTAAATGTAGCACAATTATTCATCATTAAAAGAAAATCTGAGCGAATATCTGCAACCCGTTTGTATTGACCCATTTCAAATTTTTTCTGCATTTGACAAAAATCCATTGGATGAGCAATAAATTTTCGGTAACCAGGAACGTCTTCTTCAGACACTGGGCTCATAAACACCTTTTAAAAAATAAAATAGAGTCCAAGCAGAAGGTCCAAGCAGACCCTAAAGAGAGTCCAAGCAGACCCTATTGATCAAATGATCCTCAAAAGTCAACTCCAAATATTTGGGCAGTTAAAAAAGGGACTCAAGATTAGGATACGTTGGTTCGCTCTTTTTGCCTTTTCTGATATTTGTACGAAAGAAATTCTGGCCTCTGACTAATCCAAACAAAACCACCTTAATCCACCTCAAATCCTTCTTTATCCACTCAAATAATTGTAAGTGATCTTCAGGGTAATTTGACTTTTTGGGAGTTGACCTTCTGGATACTAGCCCTAGGTTGATCCCAAAAAAAAAATTAAAAATAAAAAAAATAAACCTCTTGGTGATCTTTTGAGATGAGCTTTTCCAATGTTCTTTTAATTAAAATTGCAACAGGTGTTATCATTGAAAGCAATTTTTCATCAAATGATAAGGACTCTTTTTTCAATTTTTCCCTCTTTTTAACCAATTCACTCAAAAGACGAACTCTTTCAAATTCTCTTCGAAGTAATGCCATTTTCATTAAAGAATTTTGATTGTCCCCTCCTCCTCCTTGTTGTAATTCAAGAATTTGTTGTTCTACACGTGTAGGAGAAATACCCAAACGATTTGTTGTTGTTATGTCAATTCCTCTTGAAAGGCGTCCTTCAATTGGCTTTTGCTGACCGAGATAAACCTTTAAACAAATTTTTTTTGAAAAATTCATTAAAACTAGGTATCAGGTAACTATGATCAGGAGTATTAAAAATCTGAGACCCGAAATCATTATTTGGCACGAAACACGATACCCGACCCGAGGAATTTTCAAAATCCGATCAAACTTTCTGCTCAAAACATTACGTCCCGCTAGGTAACAAATCCGACCCCGATCGAAATTCAAATTCTGAAAAGTAACCCCAATAATTCCGCCTCCTAAGGTTGGGGTTGCTTCCCAGTTACAATAGTAAACCAACCGATTTCTTATAAATTTACCTGTAATCTTCTAATCAAAGGAACACCACTTCTTGACTGCCTCTTTAGCGCCCAATAAGCAGTTATATCAGAAAAATGTTCAATAGAAAGATCATCAGCTAATTGGACAATCCTTTAATAATTAAATTTAGAAAATTTAAGAAAAATTAAAGAAACTTGTTATGAGGAATTACAGGAATTGGTGCAGACATATTCTGTTTTTTGGCCTCTACATGAAGTCTTTTCCTTGCTTGAGCTATTTTACATTGAATTTCACGCTTCCAAGCAGCAGCAGTTTCTTCAGTACTTGGGCTGTAAAATAAAAATTAAGCGGGGAATTTTTAAAGGGAGGTTGAAAATAATCCTAAAAATTTAAGAAAAGATCGAGATAGTCTCTAGTCGCAAAATAGACATAAAGTCGAAAACCAAAGCGTCAAAATGTCAAACTCCAAAAGACGTTTAAATGTAAAACGATTCAACGTCATTCTCACTGTCCGGCATTTGAAAGGTTTTTGGGAGTTTTTGGCATTTCAAGGCATTACGACGCGTCAAACAGTAAAATGTCAAAAAAGGATGTCTTTAAAATTACAAAAAAATTTTTTAAAATACCCATTGTGTGAATGTTGATGGCAATAAACAAAACGATTAACAGCAATTGTATCAGGATTCTTTTTTGTTCTCATTTCTTTAAGTTCCATTCTGACATGAGCATAAAATGCACAAGTAACGTGAAATGAACGAGCACAACTTCTCTGAAAAAAAATTTTTAACTAAAAAATAAAAAAATTTTTCTTACATGACTGCATTGCAAACAAGCTCCCATTCTATTTCTACAAACAATACACGTTAATTTCTTTCGACGTTTTAAAGCAAAGTCAACACCTTCTACAGGTTCGAGAAAAACAGTATTTGCAAAGTGAACCTTTAAAAAAATTAATTTTTTCAATTTTTAAAGGGCATGAGTTCATAAAGCCAAACGTTAAATGCCATAAAAGCCGTTGAAATGCCAAACAAACAAAATGACAAGTATTTTGCTTGGAATACAGGCTCTTCTGCAGCTTAAGCGTCCAGACGCATCTATATAAGTCCAAACAAAATTTTTAGCGCCCAAGCTATAGCGATAAGTACCAGGTTTTGTACTTGAGATCCTGCCCCTTATAAAGGTGCGATCGGATGCCTAAAATGGACCAGAACGAGAGTTTATCATTTATCTGGCATTTCAACGATTATGTAATTATGCGCGTTTCGATCTAAAAAACAAGAAAAATTCAAAAAACCTCATTAATCCAAATTGCACAAATTACATGTACCCAACGTCCATCAGCCGTTTGTTTAAACGCCCCAGTAGTAAAAGGACACAAAACACATTTTACAACAACAGAAGGTGAAAGTTGGCATTTACGGCATAACCATTGACCTTCTGGAATATAAGGGACACCATAACATTCTTGATGTACAGCAACATTACACATGTCACAAAAAATTATTTGGTTTGCATTGCTATCTTCTGCATCTTAAAAAAATGAAAAAATCTTTTGATAGATTTTAGGAAAATATTTGGAGGTATAAGAAGAAGAACAAAGAAGACTGCCCTTTCTGTACGAATTAAGGAAAAATAGAAAATATATACTGCGAATATATGGGAGGGGTGTGGAAAAACCGAAAAGTACCCAATACCACGGGTTATCCGAATTCCCTGAATACAAACCCTGGACAATTTTTGATCTAAAATCCAAAACTCAGGCGATTAATAAAAATTTTCAAATAATTTTTCGACCAAGAAATTTTCAAAAACACGATCCGAAATCCAACCCATGGTCTCCTACCGACTTTTTCCCTTCCGTGGCATTCCTAAAAATAGTCTTAAAAATAAAAAAGTTAAAAACCATTGCAAATGCAACAAAGAGCATCATCATCAGTTAAAGGGAGAGTTGAAGTATTTGTTTGACCAGTTTTCACATACTAAAAAAATATTTTCTTTTAATTTTTCAAAAAAATCCAAAAAATTTCAAAAAATTTTTTTAATTTTTTCAAAAAAATTTCAAAACAAAAACCTGAAAATACGATTCCTTTTCCAACAAATTAATAGCCTTTTCCAAAACAATATCATCAATAAAATTGTACCCTTTCTCCTTCCTCATCAAATTAATTAATTTTAACCATTCCAAATCTTCTCTATCCAAATCATATTCAATTTCATTTGTTTTATTTTCCCCTTCATTTTCAATATATTTTATATATGATTTTGGCATTATTGCTGCTTCCTGCTTTGTTGTTGTTAATTCATTTTTTGTTAATATTTTATAATTTGGTTTTGGAATATCTGGTTGATTTTGTTGTTGAGACTAGAAAAGGGCATGTAAAAAATTAAAAATAAAATAATTAAATTTATTTAAAATTAAAAAAATAATGGATTAAGGGCTGTGAAAAAAGAAAAAATATTTTTTAAAAAATTTTTACAAAAAATTCCTGTGGAAACTAGTGAAGAACAACCTAATTGTAAGGGTACTCTATTAGAGTAGTAATTTTAGTAGGATAAAAATATTTTTACATAAAATCAAAAAATAATAAGTTGTGGGAAGGGTGAATAACATGGTAAGGAGCCGACAAATACGGTGAGAACGTCAGCTTCCTCAAATTTATAAGAGAAGAACCTAGGGAAATCAATTAGTGCTCTTCTTGGCAAAAACCTGAAGGAAGCAAGCCGGAGAAAGTAATACCCTTAAAGTCAAAGTAACCCTATTGGAGTCGGCGTGGCAAACAGCTTGTTCTAAACCCCCAAGCTTTGCTCATGTTTTTGCGGATACGCATTTCCTGAAGCCACTGATATACGTTGCGAATAAATGGGGCGTTTAGTCAAATTAGGAATGGTTCTGCGACTAAAAGGGGTGTCTAGCTAAAGAATGAGTTTTCTCAAACAACTTTTCGGGTCCAATTACTTTACTAATCTCACAGAAAAAATTAAAAAACAAAAATATAACTAAAAAACCTTGTTTAAACTCGTAGAAAATTGTCCCCCTCCACAACTCCAAGTCACATCAAAACTACATCCAGGATCCAAATGAACAGTTTTATCAGTATAATTTATAGTAATTTGTTGTAAATCACTGTTATTTAGTGCTGTCAACATTTCTAAAAAACAAAAATTAAGTTAAAACGAAGAAAATTAAAAAAATTTTTGACGTCACAATTAACTTTTGTTTACGTCTTTTTCAAAAAAATAGCGTCAGGTTTTTCTCTAACCGTCTCTCCTGTACTATTTTTATTTAGGGATAAATTGTCATTTATTTTAGATACAAAACGCCAAAACTACAAAATTAATTAATTTTTTTAATTTTTGAGTAAACCTTTACGCTACTTAACTCAACTTGACAGCTCATAACTTTTTAAGGAATTGTTGGTTCGTATCGATCCTTTTGTGAAAAATAATCCTCACATCCATGGCAATCGAGTGATATAGGAATTATTCAAATTGGTTGAAAACACGAAAAGTTATGGGTCGAAATATGGCTCGGATACGCTCATCTTGCGGTACTCAACGATTCCCCACCAAAAATTTTTGTTTTTTGATTTTTTGAAAATTTTTTGTTTTTTGTTTCAGTTTTTATATTCTTAACTCGCAAAATTTAATCAAAATGATTGTTCTACAAGATTTGGAAGAACCTTCCGAAAATATTATGGCTACCGAAAATATGGTTGTTGCTTATTGGGAGAGAGACTGTCTTGGACAAGGAAATCTTTTTTTGACTGATCGGTTTTTTTTAATTTCATTTTAATTTAAATTCAATTTCAGGCAATTAATTTGGATTAATCCAACAAGCCGTAAAGGTCTTCGTTTGCCAGTTCCGTCGATTGTGGTGCATGCTGTTTCTGCTTCGAATGAAAGCTTTCCGGAACCTTGTCTTTTCACTTTGATTGACACATCGAAAGCTGGTATTGGTTTTTAAATAACTTTTTTGGGGGACTTGGGGATTTATGTGACCGTTTTTTAAAGATTTAGGTGTTTGTTCTTTCTTGACTTTCAGATTTTGCTCTTTTACCTTTTGACCTCAGACTCTAGCGGTTCAACTTTGACTGACCATAGCTGGACCCAAAGTCATTTTGCAAGAGAAAAACATCGCTTAGCAATGGAAAGTCAGGGGTCCTTTATGGGTTACCAAAAATGTCAAATTCACAGTCATACTAAACAATGATTCCTCCTAACAATAACCATTACCTTTATGTTATTCCGCAAATGTCAATCCCCGCAAGAGTTTCTTTTTTGATTTAATTTATTTTTCTAATAGGAGTGGAATACACACCAGAGCCTTTAGACGATGATGGTGAGGAAATTGAAGAGAACGAGGATGTAAAGACGGTTGCTTTTCGACTTATTCCGGCGGACTCTACTCATAGTTAAGATTTTCTTTTATAAATTTTTTTAATAATTTAACTCCCATTACAGTCCAGGATCTTTTTGCAACTTTGAATAAATGCCAAGAATTGAATCCTGAGCCGGAGGAGATGTCGGGTATTTATTTTTTGGTAATATTGAACTGGACAGACCCCTTTTTTCTATCCAGTATTTCCCCTATATTTTTGCAAAATGGTCATACTTTTTCTTTTCTTCCATCCAAATTGCCTTTCATCCATCCAAATTAGGGAGTATGTTGCCGTTTTCGGTTCGAACCGACGTTCGGTGCATATTTTTCGAGTTTGGTTTTTTTCGATTCGGTTCGTTTTCGAGCTGAAATGCCTCGGCTCGCTCGATCTTTCAAGTTTCGGGTCGAGCGACTTTTTTGCAAAATTTTTGCAAAATGGTCATACTTTTTCCTTTCTTTCATCCAATATTAGGGAGGAAAAATGGAAAATAAAATAACAAAGAAAATCCTTTATGTTTGATTGTAGGTAAAATTTAGAAAGGCAATTTGGATGGAAGAAAGGAAAAAATTCAACCATTTTGCAAAGATCCAGGGGGAAAATTTGGGGAGGAAAAAAGGAGGTCTGTCCTGTTCAATATTACCTTTTTTTTATTAAATTGCCCAAAATTTTTAAAAATTTCAAGATGAGGACAACTACGACGAGGACGATGAAGAATGCCACGAAAATGGCGAAGTTGACCATGACGAGGAAATGAATGGAGATCAATAATGACACAAAATCTCTCGTGCTAAAAATGCAATAGAAGAAGCGCATTCCTTTTCGAAGCATAAAAATAAAGTTAATATATTTAAATTTAAAAAATTTTTATTTTTAAGGCTGTATTTTAATTTTGAATTTTTTGCGGAGAAAATTTGCGGATTTTTTTTTTCGAGATTTTTAAAATTTTCCAAATTTTTATTCATATTTTTGAAAAAGTAAAAAAGCGGATAAGGAAAGGATAGGTACTTATTTATTCCCCCCCCCCCCCCGTCCGGCTACCTTCTATTTCTTATTATGTACGGAATGGTCAGCCTTCTTTTCCTCGATTTCACTGCCATGTTCAATGTGAAAGATTAACAAAGAAAAGATTAATTTTTCTTTTCAATGTCGCCAAAATAAAAATAAGTACCCGGGTCTGCGTTTTAGAAATAAAGTTTTGGTATTTTGTGTCCTACGTGTTTTATTTCAATTTAAAATGACCACACTCAACACTAGGCTGTTTGCGTTCTCAATGGTGACATCGACAAGAATGTTAAAAGGCATTATTCGTTTCCATCAGAAATTCAGATTTATTTTGTAACCTATTCATTTTACAAAATAAATTTGAATTTCTGATGGAATCGAATAGTGCCTTTAACATTCTTGTCGATGTCACCAAAACGCAAACAGCCTTGTGTTGAGTGTGGTCATTTAAATTGAAATAAAACATTTTTGGACACAATACCGAACAATTTCTTTGTTAATGTCTCACATTGAACATGCCAAAGGGAAAATTTAGCGAAATCGAGGAAGATAAGGCTGACCATTCTGTACTTGATAAGGATAAAAGGAGGTAGAACGGACGAGGGGGGTGGCTAAATAAGTACCTATCCTTTCCTTATCTGCTTTTTTACTTTTTCAAAAATATGAATAAAAATTTGGAAAATTTAAAAAATCTCGAAAAAAAATCCAAATTTTGTCCGCAAGTAAATTTTGTCCGTATTTTTGGAGATAGATTATTTCAGAATATTTTTTTATCTATTTTTTAAACAAAATTTTCTGAAATTTAAAAATTAAATTGCAGTTCTTATAAAAGACCTCAACAACGACTTATTGTTGTTTTTTTACTTAATAAATTTATTTGCACCTTTTTTTCTGCAAGATAAAAATCTTGCGTTGAATAAATTTATTTTTATTATTTTTTTTCTGTTTGAAAACAGCTGCTTTTTTGCGCATTTATTTTTATTAAATTATTTTAGTCAATTGATCTCTTTTGCGGGAATTTTTTGGGGTAATTAATTGGGGGCAAGGACAAACTGATTTTTTGTACTTTTAATTTTTTGTTTAGAGATTTGCGTGATAGATTAATTAATTTAATTTTTTGTCCAAAAACACATTTTTTAAACAAACCCAACTGATTTTATACACTAATTTTTCTTTGATTGACCCTTTTATAGTCTATCGGTCGTTTTGAGTGGTCAGACCCCAGTGTTTTTTCCCAGATGACAGAGGGGAGGTTGGTCCTATAATCTTCATATTCCACAAACTTACAGTTGTTGAAATGTCACTTTTTGGAATAGGCCCCCTGTCTGTTTTGTCAGTGGCGGAGGAGTTGGTCCCAGGCAGAAATGTTTTTAAATTTCGATATTTTTGAGCTTCTCTGATTTTCGTAGATTTTTTGTTTCGACATAGCTATGGTCCCAGGATCTCCATAATCCTGTTTGGGATCTAGTCACAGACCTCCTCTGCCTCCTAGATACTGTCAGCTACTTACAAGCAATTTTTTTTTATCTTTTCTTGAGCTTAAAATTAAAATTCTAAGACTTTTAAAGCCTTGACATTTTGCCCATTCTTCTTTACCATTAATCACACCTCCCTTCCACCTTTCTCCACTTTTCCTTTAAAAACGTTATTTAAATATCGAAAAGAAGATTTTTTTAACGTCTCGGCTTTTTTCTTCCTTTTACCGCCATTTTCATTTTAAAGCAATTCACACATTTTTCTTGGATGTTTACCCTTTTTAAACACTTTCTTGCTTATTCAGCTCTCCCTTCCTATCATAAAAACAATTTTTTATTAGTTAGTTGGCCTTATGCGAATACTAAAATCACAAAAATTCATCGCTAGCCTTTTTTTTACAATGTGAAAATGTTGGGGGAGAATTGTGTAATTTTTAAGGGACATTTGCGTACCGACATTTGGGGACGTTGAGCTGTAGCTTTTTTGAAATTAGTGTAAAGGGGGCATTTTTAATTTCAAATTAACTCCTCTGTTTATCATTTTATCACTGACTTTCCTAATCAAGTCTCAAATGTCTTGACCGCAAAAGTCGCACGTCCGCAAAAGTCGCATGTACTCAAATGTCGCTCGTACTCAAATGTCGCGCCACGAATTTTTAAACATTCCTTATTTTCAAAAATAAATTCTTTTGAAATTTTCTATTCATTTTTTTAATTAAAAAAATTTTTTTGATACAAAATTAATTTTTTTCCCGTTTATTCTAGCCATTTTTTCACACTTTTCCTTAATTTAAATCCCCACCCTTCCCAACAAAACTAACACTAAGGCAACCACATGCCCTTTTAAAAACGTTCTGCGCTGTTTTCGTTAAATTTATAAATAAATATGAATCATACACAAACACTTCCTTTCACATTTATATATTACAAAAGAGGCCATAAACAGTTCTGTAAACATTTTAAAAATAACCACACAAACATAGATATTAAATTATATTAAAATTTATTTTCCGGGATTTTCCTCTAATCTCTCCTCTTTTCATATAGTCTAATTTTCCACTCTATACTCTATTTCAGAATCTCTTTAAATTTATTATAAATGTTTCCGGAAAGTTTTTCTATTTACCGGAATCTCTATTTCCTTCTCTCTCTATTTTCCTCTATTTTCCGGAATTTATATAAAGTTTTCCGGAAAATTTCTCTGTGCTCTATAATTTCTATTTTCCGGAATTTTCCTCTATTCTCTGTTTTCCGGAATCTATAAACTAAATGTTTCCGGAAATTTTCTCTGTCTTCATGTATTTTTTTGTGTTTTTCTCTCTGATTTTCAGAAACGTGCATAATTTCCGGAATCCATAGCAACACAATTCTTCCGGAAGGCTTATTGTTATAGATGTTAGAGACTATAGTCTATCACACTAATTTAAAGAGAATACAGAGAAAAATACAAAAAAAATACATTTTTTTCTGATTAAATTCTTTAAATTACTCTAATCATTGTACTCTATCTTTTGTTCTCACCAATAAATAAAAATTAGTCATTTTTGTTTTCCTTTCCTATTTTAATTTTAAAGAATTTTTATTTTTTAAACAGAAAAATGTTATCAAATCATTCTACTCAACAAACTGAAGTTAAATTATTAAAAGACGAAAAGTGGAAGGTTATACAGCAAAATACTTTTACAAGATGGGTTAATAAACAATTGAAGCATTCTGCTAACTCTCCACAACTTGAAAATTTGGTAATTCTTTTTTGGGGTTTTGTTTGTGATTTTTTTGGGACTAGTGATCGAGCTGGATCGGGACCAAGGCCTTGTTTTTTCTTGTACCCAGGGTCCAGGCCGAGGCCCATTTTTGGGATTATGGGAGTTAAGGGCAGAAGATGGAAATTCTCCCATCTAACTATCATATAGGGTAAAGAGGGAGCAAAGCAACGCATTCTTTATCTTGAGTCTTTTATCCGCCCAAATAGTATTTGGAGTTGACCTTTAGGGTCATTTGACCTTGTGTTGTCCAGTCTTTCAATCCTTTTTAACCTCATTAATTTAGGCAACAGATTTTGCGGATGGCATTTTTCTCATCAAACTCGCTGAAGTTCTCTCTGGCAAGGGCTTGCCACGCTTCAACAAGAAGCCAATTATGCGCACTCAGAAATTGGATAATGTTTCGCTTGTTTTAAATTTCTTTCAAAATCAAGAAAATATTAAAATTGTGAATATTGGTGAGCCTTTTTTTCTTATTTTTTTAATAATTTTGGTGGGATTTTGGGGGAAAGAACTTTTTTAAATTTTAACTGCTGTCCTCCTAACATGCTCCAATAAGCTCCCAATATCCGACATTTCTGAAGCTAGCGTCATTTGACTCACTTCAACTCGTACGATACGTGTTGAATAGCTTTCTCCCATCTATCTTTCAGATAGGGTAAACTTTTGGACCATTTGGGAACTTCATCTTACCCTTCAGACTTTTTTGAAACTAGAGTCATGTATTTGATTCACATATCAGCTTAAGGGGGAAGTGTCGAACGAACTAGAGGTCGGTCGGAAATTACGAAGATGACGGGAATCGGAACTGTCGGAATTCGTAATTCTGACCGACCTCTGGAACGAACTATAATTTCAGAGACTTTTGGACCTTTGGGAAAATAGTTACTTTTCTACCCTCCCTTTTCACGAATTTATTTTTAATTAACTTTCTTTTAATTTTTTCTCTTATTTTTTCAGACAGTTCACACATTGTTGATCACAATTTGAAACTTATTCTTGGACTTGTTTGGACTTTAATTTTGCATTATTCTCTTTCACATCAACATTTTACTCCCGCGGATACAACAACATCTCCAACTACAATAACTAATGGAAGTGATAAAAAGGAGACTCCAAAACAGCGTCTACTTGCTTGGATTCAAGGCAAAATACCTGGGAGACGCGTTGCAAATTTTACGTCAACGTGGAATGATGGAATTACGTTGGGAGCGTTGGTTAGTTTTTTAAGGGTTTTTTTGGGTTTTTGAGAAATTTAGAGAATTCTCTGGGGGCGTGTTCGGAGATTGCGTCAGTGGACAAGATTGAGGGAGATACCAGCTAATTTGGACTACCAGAGGGATTGGACTTAAGAGATTTGGGCCTCGTTTATAAGGGATAAGAAACACTTTTCATTACAAATCCCTCGGTATCTTCTCAAACCCCCAAAAAACACCCCCGAGGACATTTTGAGTATATCCCTCATAAACCCCACAAATCCCTCGACATCCCATTTAAGCCCCACGAATCACCAGGTCTCATCCTTAATGTCTGGTATACCTCACTGACCGATTATTCACTGACGCATGGTTCGACCACTGACTAACGGTCTACGACGCATTTTTAGTTGCTGGGAGCATTTGGGAGAATTTTGAAATTCATTTAAAAAAATTTAAAGGTGGATGCTTGTACAAACGGAAGTCTTAATGAATGGATAAACTGGGAGTCAAGTAACTCGTTGGAAAATACACAGAAAGCCATGCAGGCTGCCGAGAAGTTGTTGGGGGTTGAAAAGGTTTTTTTAAATTTTTTGAGAAAATTTCAAATTTTTCAAAATTTTTAAAGCTTTTAACTCCCGAGGAGTTGTCAAATCCAGCAGTTGATGAAAAAAGTGTAATGACTTATTTGGCACAATTTCCGAAAGCACAGCCTTTAAAACAACAACAAAAATCGTCGTCTTTGTCTATTTCTGGAATTGATCGTCACCATATTGTTGGAATCCCCAGCAACTTTTTTGTTGAAATTGAAAGAATTGAGGATGAAATTGAGGTGGATATAACCGATTATGAAGGAAATCGGATTGAAGTAGAAATTGCTACTGATGAAAATGATGATGGAGAATTTAAATATAAAATTAGTTTTGTTCCGAAAAATGTTGGAGAACATAAGGTTTTTTTTAATTTTTATTATTTTCTTTTAGTGATCGAGATTTTTGAAAAGCCTGGGCCTGTTCCTGGGTTTAGTTTACTGACATGGGCCGGATCCTGGGCCTGTAGTCCAGTAAAAACACAGGAAGGTCAAAAAACGCCTCAGCCTGGACTCTGGGTACAGGAAAAATCCAGGCCTTTGTCCAGACCCAGCTTTGGATTTTTTGGATTCTTCGAACAGAGGACCATTTTTTTCCTTTAACTTGAGGCGTCAAGGGTCACCTAAGTTTTATCCTCTTTTATGACTCCAAACTTTTTTGTTACTTTTTTAAATTTTTTCTGGAGAAAACACGAAGGTGGTAATGTGAAAATTGGGACTTGAGAGGTTACAAAAAAATGGAAAAAAAATTTTCGACACATTTCTCCTCACGGGCCTGATTTTTACTTATTTTTTACTCTTAACTTGAGGCTTCCTTGGGTTAAGGGAAGACAGGGAGGGGAAAACCTGTACCCATCCAATAACTCCAAACCCATCCAAACCCCAAAAACCATCCCAATATTTTTTATTTTACTAATTAATTTTCATTTTTCAACAGATAAATTTATATTCAAAAGATTCAAACCAACCATCATCATCACCATTTTTAGTTGAACAACTTTTAATAAAAACAAATCCTTCAATTAAAGTTGTAGGGCTTGGAGATACTGCAAATATTGGTGAAAAACGTCGATTTAAAATTGAAAATGTGATTGACTACAATAGATTAGATGTTGCTGTTATTAATCCTGATGGAATGGAATGTGTTTTAGATGCTGGGTCAGAACGTGATGGACAAACAGTTACTTGTTGTTATACACCTAGAATTGGGGGAATTGTGAGGAATTTTTTCATATTTTTTCGGGGAATACAGGGTTAGCGGTACCTCAGTTTAGAAATAGAATTTTTATGTTTTATCTGGAAAAAGGTACCAGACGATTCCCCGTCTTTCTATCCTATCTTCGGACTGACCTCCCTGGTCAGGCACCATTTACTATATATCAGTTGATTAGTTCTGGGAGTAATTGGGGCCTCTACTAGCGCATCACTAAAAATTTGTCCAGCAATTTTGCTGACAGTGCTTTGGCTTCGCTGGGCTACCGAAACAAGTGAGCCTCCCATTAGCGACACCAATAACTGAGAGTTTAGCCACCGGTCAGTACAATGCTAATACCATTATTGAACCTACGGCTTTGCTCTCAGTGCCTGGGCTTTGCTAGGCTACCGGGAACTTTGAATCATTTTTCTTTAATTTTTTAAAATAATTTATATTTCTTTTGAAGCACACCATCAATGTTCTCTTCAATAAGCAACATATCCCAAACAGCCCATTTATTTTGGACGTTTATGATCACGAAGAAGAAGAAGAAGTGCTACAAGGAAAAACACCACACGAAGAAATTCCAAAATCTCCAATTTCAACTAATAAATTCGAAAATGTTGTCGTGTGGGGACGAGGCCTTTTGTCTGTTGGAACGAGTGCTAATGAAGAGCTTGGTGTATTTGTGGACAATTGTGAAGATGAAGTTGTTGTTAGTGTTAAAAAAGGTTTGGAAAATTTTTTTAAATTTTGTTTTATTTAAATTTATTCATTCAGATGACCTGCTCATCCCTGTTTCTCGACAAGATTTTGAACAGAGACCGTCAGCAGCATCACAACCTTTTACTGCTATACATCCCCGACAGTCTTTTGTTTTTACTCCACGTACAAGTGGGAAGTATGAGGTTTCTGTCAAAAGCGCTGCAAGCAGTACACATTTAGGAAGCAGTTCTTACAAGGTTTTTTAATGTTTTAAAAATTTGAATTTATTTGTTTTTAGATTGTGGTTGGCCCAAAGAACATTTCAACTATTCGAGCTGTCGGCCCTGGATTGGAAGGAGGTGTAGCTGAGGAAAGGGCTGTCTTTTATGTCGACACACACGGAAGAGCAAATTATTTAGGTTCTCTTTTTAAATTTTATTTTAAATTTTTTGGGTAGCCTCCCTCCCTTCCACCTACTTTTTAAACAAAGAAAATAAGTAGAACACCGTTCAAAATTAATTAATTAAAGATTTTTTTTTAGAATTTTCAATCGAAGGACCCAGCAAAACGGAGATTATTTGCTCTGACAATGGAGAAGGAACGGCTATGGTTGAATACACAGTTTGTTTTTTTTTATTTTTGTTTTAGTGAGGAATTTGAACAGATAAAAAATCTGTTACTTTGTGGATATCCCCTTTCCTTTTTTGAGTTACAGAGCAATCCTTCCTTCATTTAGGAAGGAAGGCTTTTCGTTTATATTTTGCTTAAGAAAAATAAATTATTTGAGAAAAAATGAAAGTAAATTTGGGGGCTCAAACAAGGGAGAACGGGAGGGGTGGGATATCCATAATGTATCTTTTCCAAAAATTCTTTTTCTAATTTTATCTAATCTTCCTCTCATTTCAGCCTCATGTTCCGGGTCGTTATACAATCAACATCACCGAGCTTGACACAAACTCCCATATAAAAGATTCTCCCTTTGTTCTTTGGATTGAACCATCAAATCAACTTCCTTTCAAAAACATTGCTCGCCCAATTCGAATTCCATCATTTGAAAGCAACGAAGGACAAGTTGACAACCAATTTAATTTTAAAATTCCAAAAGAAATTGGTTTGAATTTTAAGAATTTTTTTAAAAAAAATTTTTTTAAATTTTTTCTAGAAGCTGAAACATTCTACGTTGAAATCTACGACCCAAATTTACAAAAAGTCGATTTTGATTGTGAAAATACTCTTGAAGGAAATTTTTACAGTTTTATGCCGCAAAAGGAAGGAAAGGTTTTTTACACTTTTTTATTTGATTTAAAAATTTTTTGCTCTTATAGCATTTGATTAGTGTCGTCGCCGATAAATTAGCTGTAGAAGGATGGCCTTTTGTTATTTTTGTTGATGGCCCTTTTGACCCAAATAAAATTTGGCTTAGCGGTCCAGCATTGAGTCCAACAATTCAAACACGTCAAAAAACAAATTTTTCAATGGATGTTCACAACATTCCAAAACCAAAGCGTGTTCAAGTTGTTGTGGTTGGACCTGAAGGGGAACAAGTACCTGTGGAGGTTGACTTGAAAACTTTGTCTGTCTACAACGCCCGCTATGAACCGATGAATGCTGGCGTCCACAAAATTTATTTGACTGTTAATGACCAGCAAATATTTGAAATTCCTGTGAATGCTATTGAATATGATACAGAAGAAATATTGGAAGAAGAAAGTGGAGATGAACAATTACTTTATTATTCGCCGGAAATGGGTGATGAAAGGCGTTCAGAAAGGAGAAACAATTAATTTCAAATGTTGGGGCAAGAGTTGCAAGTGAAATACCTGAGGTTAGTAAAGAATTTATTTGGGGGGATATAAAGCAGGATGTCACGAGTCGAGAAAAGGTCGGGTTTAGGGCCGAGGTTTCAAAATTGTCTTAGGATTAGGGTTTGTTTAGAAAAAAATCGGGTTTCGGATTGGTTTTCGGTAGGGGGAGGGTTAGTGAAATTAAGAGGAGAAAAAGTCGGGGTTCGGGTAAACCGAGGCATCCCTGTTATAAACAATTATTTTCAAATATTTTTTCCAGCCAGTTATCGGACTTTCTACAGCCATTGTCTTTACGGCTCCAGGTCAACACATCTCTGATTTATTTGTTCATGTACACGGGCCAAGCGGCGACTTGAAACATGATGTAAAGATGGAGCAACTTGAAAAAGAAAAGTTCCGCGTTAGCTTTGTTCCACATCAAAGCGGTTTGCACACAATTGAATTAAGAAATCAAAACGGAGAAATTTATGGTTTTTTTGTATAATTTTTTTAAATTTTAATTTTTTAAAAAAGGTTCGCCTTACAAAATCCCGGTGGCTTTACTCGGTACACAACGTGCTTTTATGGCGTGGGCTGATGGTCCAGGATTGGCTGTAGGCGTAGTTGGACGCCCAAACCCTTTTACTGTTTGGAATGCAAAGAATTTGGGGGGTGGAGAATTGACTGTGTCTATTGATGGGCCTGGAAAGGCTGAAGTTGGAACAGTGCAACATCCAAACGAAAGCAATTATCAAGTCGAGTTGGTTCTTTTTTTGTTATTTTTCCTTATAATCACCTTGAAAGTATCTTAAAAATTCTTTTTGTTTCAGATACACAGTCCAGTCACCTGGTCTTTACACTATAAGTGTTCTTTTCAACGATGCCCCGATTGGTGGATCACCTTTTAAAGTATTTATATTTTTTTAAAAATTTTAATAAAATATTTGCGGACGAATATTGCGGACAATCACATTTAAAAAATTCATTTTTCAGGTGTTTGTCAAACCCCAAACAGTCGAGACGTTATCCAAAACTTACAGTCCTCCTACCTCGCCAGCATCTGAACAACAACATTATGATTATTTGCAAATTAGTAATAGAACGGAGGTTTTTATTTTTAATATTTTTTAAATTAAAAAAATTTTTTTTAAAGAGCTCACCAAAAAGTGCCGAACAAAATAGTGCTTCTGAATCTTATGATGATGATCGTCTGCTTTCGCCTTCTCGGAATAAATTTGCACATGGAGATTATAGCAATTTAAATTCACCCCGACAAAATGGTTATGAAGGGGATCATCGTTTGGTACGGGCTAGCGGTGCAGGTTTATCGTGTTTTACGCCAAGGAAGACAAACGAATTTGTTGTGGACACGTCTGCGACAGGTTTTTTAAACTTTTGATTTTTGGCTTGGCTCTGGTCTAGTTTTTTTGGCTTGGCTCTGGTCTAGTTTATGTCCAAACAAAGGTTTATGAGTCCGATGAAAATTTATAAATCCAAGGAAGGTTTGTGTCTTTACGGGTACCAGACTCGGCAGGATAATATTTTTATAAGTCCTTTCTTTTTCATTCCCATTTCCTTGATAGTTTTTAGCCCTTTTCCTTTATAAAGCTTTTTTGGATTCATAAAGTTCATTGGACACATAAACTATTCCAGAGCCTAATTTTTTCTCAAATTTTTATTCTTTCTTTAGGAATGAATGCTTTATTTGTTGGTGCTGTAACACCGCATGGTCCAACAGATGAACTTAGTGTTAGTCACAGCGGTATTTTTTTTATTTTTTTTTAATATTTTTTTCCTTCTTTTTAAAGGTGGAGGAAAATTTGTAGTTAAATATACAATTCCTCATGATACTGAAGCATTAATTTTTGTTAAATATGGAGATGGTCAAATTCCTGGATCTCCTTTTCCTGTTCGTCCTGCACATGAAAATGGAGGTGGAAAAGAATATAATGATCGAATATGAGAAATGATGGGAGGGAGAGGAGACATTTAAAGGTTTATATAAATAAATTAGAAAATTAAAAAAATATATTTTATTGGCAACTTCCCGTGGTTTGAGAATTTTTTGGGATTTTAAAGAGAGGTTTCCAAACAATATTTTTTGCCAAAAATTTTAATTGGGAACAATATACCACGGATTACCTGAAGCCCTGGTTTTTTTTGACTCAAACCCCAAGCCGAAAAAAAACCTGGTCCTCAAAATTTTCGAAACCCTAAGCCGTAACACGCCTCTTTTCTCAATCCATGACATTCCTGATCGGGAAGTTGTTCTTTTTCCTCCCAAAAATATATAAAAAAACATTTTTGTGATTTATCTTAAATTCACTTGCCAATGTCCCCAAAAATATAAATTATTAGAACCCCTATTTATTATCCAAAGCATTCCGGCGACTTTTTTTTAAAAAAATCTGCGATTATTATAAAAAAAAACTAGCATTTTTTGCATTTCTATTTATAATTATTACTCTTTTTTTCTATTCAAAAGTATAGTAGAGCTATTATTATAATTTTGATTGTTTTTTTTTCTACCTTTTGGTTATACCCAAATTTTTCCTTAAAGAAATTTTTTTATAAAATAGAATTTTAAAAATTTATTTTTTAGTTAATACTTGAAAGGAGTTTATTTAATGTACAATTAATTATGTAAGGATAGATAGATTAATAATTATTTTAGAAAATATTTTATAAAATAATTGATGGTATTTAGGTTCTATTAGAGTTGCTATAAAATTTAAATACATACCCGTAAGATGCGGAAAATTTAATTTTTTATAGAATTTTAAATTCCCGCAGAAAAAGGATGAACAAAAAATAGAAAAATATTTAAGAAGGGGAACCTTTAGAAAAAATTTTTTTAATTTTTAGGGGCATGAGACCCCCTGGAAAATTTTTTTCTGAAAAATTAAATTTTTTTTAAAATTTTTGTTCATCCAAAAAATTAATTTTCAAGACTTATTAGATTCGAAGAAAAAGTATTTTTGTAACAATTAAGGGAATAAAAGAAATAATTAACAACCCTCCTCCAATTAATCTTTTAAAGGCAGAATTAATTGGTGTAGTTGTTCCATTAACTTTATTAAATTTTTTAGTTTCATTTTCTTGATATTGAATAGGTAAATCATAATGTTTTGATGAAGTAGTTGAAATATCAATAACTTTTGAGGATAATATTGGGTAAAAATGAGAACCTCTAGAAAATTGAAAAAATTTTTTGAAAATTTTTTAGGGGTAAAAGACCCCTGGAAAAAATTTTTATGCAAGAGCACCCTTGGAAAAAAATTTTTTCTGAAAATTTTTGGAGGCAACCCCTGGAAAAAAATTTTCTGGGGCTAGGGACTCCTAAAAAATTTTTTGCGCCAAGAGAACCCTTGAAAAAAAGACAAAAAAATAAAAAATTAAATACCTTGCTGTGTCATGTGAATTGATTTCTGTAATTATTTGCAAAATATTTTTTTAGTTTAATAAAAATTAAATTTAATACCGTCAGGTTGAGCACCTCCAGTCGCCCCCATTATCCAAAATGGTTTGTCCAAATTCCAAATTAAATTTGATCGAGATGAAGAAAGGGAAAATTGGGGGCGAATTGCTGGAAAATTTTAATAAAATAATTAAATTTTTATTTTTGAGAAGTGCGTGGTTAAGTCCGGTGGTGTTAGGTTCAGAGTAAAAAATGGTCGCGGGTTCGAACCCTCCCCGGTCCGAATATTTTTTTCTTTAATTTTTCTTTATAAAATAATTTTTTAGAATTTTTAGAAATTTTTAAGAAGAAAAAATTTTTTCTAAGAAAAATAACCTTGAGTAAAGGAACAATAAAGACGTCCATCTTCCATTTTTCCTTCAACATTACCATATAACAAGGAACGTTCTGTCTAAAATAATTAGTTTCTTTTAAATTAATTTTTTTAAAAAAACTCTTACAGAATTTAATAAGGTTCTGTCATTCCTAGACTTTTCTAAATTATAAGAAGCATAAACTTCTACATCGTTAAATAAACTTCCATCAGTGTTAAGTACACATTCACTTACAAAATCGTTTCCCTACAAATAAAGGAAAATTTATTATAGTTAATTAATTAGCCATTAATTAAAAGAAATGTGTGGTTAAGTGCGATGGTTTTGGGTTTGGGTGAGAAAGGGTCCCGAGTTCGAACCCTCCCAGGGCCAAATATTTTTTTCTCTTCTCTTAAACTTAATTTAACCATAACAAATTTTTTTGATCAACAATAAACGTGTGGTTAAGTCCAATGGTGTTGGGTTCGTGTGGGAAAGGGGTCCTGGGTTCGAACCCTCTTGGGTCCCAAATTTTTTCCTTTGATATTTTCTTTTTTTTATTACTTAATTTAACAAAAAAATTTATTTATTTTGTCTTAAAAATTTTTTCTTAAATTTTTTTCAAAAAAACACTTTTGATTTTTCCCCTTTCCTTTTCAAATTAAGAATTGACGCAAAAGACAAATTAAATTAGTAAAAATAAATAAAAATAAAAAAAACACAAGGTCATATGCGTCAATGAAAATTAAAATTAGTTAAAATTTTGACTGGAAAAAATGTTTGTTGGTGTTTTAATAAAAAAGGAGTGACTTTAAAATTAAAAAATTAAAATAAAAATTTTCTAACCATTAATTTGTCGTGTGAAAATCCAATAGCAATATATTGAAGTGGTGGTGGAGGATAAATACTTTGTGCTGCCATCTTTAAAGGGGAAATAATAGGAAAATTTAAATTAAAAAATATAAAAATTAACCTGGATATATAATTGATTCTTCCCAGAAATTGTAAAAACAATTGCTTAAAAATAGAAAAAAATTGAGGGAAAATAAAAATAAATAAATTACGAACCTATAGCACAATCCAGCATTGGATCTAAATAAAAAAATTTTTGAAAATAAAAAAAACTTCAAAAAATTTCAAATTTGAAAATTTCAAAAAATTCTAAAAACTTCGAAAATTTCTAAAAATCCAAAAAAAGTTTTTAAAAATTTTTTAAATCAAAAATAATTTTTTTAAGACTTACTACATCCATTAGGTCTGAAAAGACATCCTTTAGTTTTTCCACATCCATTTCTGTCCAAATCCATTCCAACAACATTAAAATTTAATCTCAAGAAGAGGAATAAAGTAAAGAGAAAATAGACTGAAGAGGAGAACATTTTAATTAACTAAAAAATTTTTTAAATTAAAAAAATCAAAAAATATTCTTGGGTTATTCTGACCCCTAGAAAATTGGGTACACAAAAAAATTTTTTTTTGTTTAAGAAAAATATAAAAATTGGCGTAGATTTCTCCTTTAAAATGATTTATGGTTGTTGAGAGAGAAAATTAAAAAAGGAAAAAGTACATCTAAACAAATCAACAAAAAATTTGTTTTAGTAAAAAAAGGGGGACGGCACGAGAATATGTTTTTAAGAGAAGGAGAGAACGAGTCTCTCTCTCAGGTATTTTGGGGGGATAATGAATTAAATTTGTTTGTTTGTGTTAATTTTTGTCTCGATCAAAAGGAGAAAAAAATTAATTTTAACCTGTTATAGTGTTTATAAACAATTTAATAGACAATTAAAAATTTAGAAACAAGATTTACCGGTTAAATTTTTAAGGGGAAAATAATAAAAAAATAAAAATAATTTTTAAAGGAGAGGAGGAGAAGAGGTGGGGGAATAAAAATTAAAAAAATCACAGTTTTCCGGTCAACAATTTTTTCAAAAAATTATTGAAGCAAAATAAAATTAAAAAAATTATTAAAAAATGAAAACCTCAAAATAGTATCACATAAAAAATTTTTTTTAAATTAATTTTGCTGCAGAAATGATTCTGCTATCATATATTTTAATTTCATTTAATTATACAGACAATTTCCACTCCAATTTAGCAAATAACATTTATGGTGTAGTGGTTGTGTTTCTGCGTAGGATTTGTTTTCGATAATTTTCGACGGGGGTTCGAATCCTTTCAGTGTCAATCACTTTCAAAACATGTTTTCCGTTGAGTGAGACAAAAAATTTTTTTCGATGTTCAACTTAAACAACAACAAATATTTTTTAACCCCTACTTTTTAACAAAAAATTCATAACAATTTATTCAACAGCAAAAAATATACAACAAACAAGCAATAAATACATGAGGAAACACAAATATTTTATAAAAATGGACAGAAAATACAAGGGATGAATATTTATTGAGAAGAATGTTATAGAAAGTAGCCAAAGAAACCCGACAGATTTTAGGAAAATTTCTGAAAAAAATTCTCTGGAAAAAATTAGGCGCGGACAATTACGGCGCCGAACACATAGAAAAGGTTTATAATATGGACAGAAATTATTTTTAGCAATTAATTTGTCGATTAGTAAACAAAACAAAGGGGAAAATAGGCAAAGAGGGATTATTTATTTATATACATACCATAGTGAGATTACACAAACATCCACTCACACAAGTTCAGGATGTACAGGGAAAGAGACCTAATATCCCTCAATCTATCTCACTTTTTGACGAAGACATCTTTATCCAACGCGTTCCAAGTTTGATAGTCCTGACCTTGGCCTATTCCAGCGCGTGGGGCCGCCTCTGCCTTCGATCCCTCATCATCAGAGCCTTTCCCCCCTCCAGAAGACTTTTTGTCATCATCAGGTTTTTTGCCTTTGAGGAAGACATCCTTGAAAAAATGAGGGAAATTTTTTTAAAAATGCCTGAGGGCATGTAAAAACCTTGTCCATCGCGTTCCAAGTTTGATAGTCCGCTCCTGCGCCGATTCCTTCCTTGGGTGCCGCTTCCTTTTGTGATCCGGAACCAGCAGCCGACTTCTTGTCCGCGTCCGATTTGGCGCCGTCCTTCTTAGCGAAGACATTCTGAAGTTAAAAAATGAGGTAAATGAGGGGTAAAGGGGTTAAGCTTCACAAACCTGATCCAAATTGTTCCATGTTTGATAGTCAGCTCCCTGTCCAATTCCTTCTTTCGGTGCTGCCTCCACCTTTGATCCTTGACCTGAGGGACCAGGAGTAGCAGCAGGAGGAGCGCCACCACCACCACCACCATCGCCGCCTTTTCCGCCGAACACATTCTCAAAAACGAAGTTTAGAAAACCGGTAAAAGTCGGGGTTTCTGGTCCCTAGAAAAAATGAGGAAGAAAGTGCTTTTTCGAGATTTTTGAGGTTTTTTAGCGGCAAACGTCAAAAAATATCGAAAAAGGACTTTTTCCTCCTTTTTTCTAGGGACCAGGAAACCTTAAAAATTAAAAACCTGGTCAATGTCAGCCATTGTTTGGTAGTCCCCACCAGCAGCCAATCCCTCCTTCTGCACCGCTTCTTCAACCCCGGCAGGCGCTTTAGCTGCTGCAGCTGGGACCGATGGTGTTTTCTTTGCTTTGCCAGCGTCCTTTTGCTTCTGATTCTTGACGAAGATGTTCTTGTCGAGATTACCAAGAGTTTGATAGTCTATGCCAACTCCGATACCTGGGGTTTTTGGTTCATCTTCCACCTTTTTTGGAGGAGCTGAAAAAGAAGAAAAATTAAGGCTTTTGATGACTGAGAGGTCAATCAACTCACGTTTCTTTCCTTTTACTCCTTTCTTCCCCCCTTTCGCTTTAACCTTCAATTGTGTCGGCGGCGGCGCGGCGGTTGGACCATCTTCAGGAAGACCTTGCTGAGGAATCTGTCTTGGCTTCTTCTTCTGAAACGAATGAGGAATGAGTGTCTACAGACTTTAAAAAACATGAAAACAAACCTTACAGCACTGCGCCAGCATTAGTACCGAAGACAACAGGAGCACACATATTGTTGTGACTGCAGGCCCAATGAGAAGTGAATCCATCATCAGTCTTTGCCTAATAGCGCAGCGCGGAAAATTTGACGAGTTGAGGAGAAAATGGTAGTTTTATTCGATTACATTTCCGCTTTTATAGTAAAAGTTTTCCTACAAACTTCTTTCCAGAATTTTTCTTCAAGTGCCGAGTTTTTTTCGGTCATCATGCTAAGACTCAAACGACCCCTTTTATTTAATTTGAAAATAAATTTTTATTTTTGGCATAATGTTTATTTTCTTTTTCTTTTTTTTCAATTGACTCAATCTCTCGTGTAATGTGTAGAAAAGTTCAATTAGTTTGAATAAAGTTTTTTTACTGCTTTATCAATTTAAATCATTTCAACTTAATTATTTAGTATTTTTTAGATTACCTATTCGTTTTCTATTTCTTCCAAAAATGGTTGGTCAAAAAAATTTTAAAATTTCTGCTGTAATTGGATTCACTATGCCTACTTCTAGTCTTCAAAGACAAAATTCAAAATCTGGTTATTTGGAATTTGATGCGGATAAGAATTCTTTTATCATTTCATTCAAACAAATACGCAAAACGGTTAGTTGATTTTTAAAAATAAATTCTTTTTTTAAAATTTGGTAGCCGTGAAGAATCTGGGATCCACTATAAAAATTTACTTGGGCTAAACTACAGTTTCCGTACCAGACTCAGAATTGAACGATTTATATGTCATTCGAAAGAGCTCGTCGAGCTGAGTCGAATGACACCAAAATTATTCAGCGGAAAAAATTCTGAGCCGAGTTACAGACCACTAAAGTTCAAAAAACCATAGGGGGGACCAAGCTGTTTTCTGGGGGTGAAAAATTCGAATATGCAAATTATACCTCATTCGAAAGAGCTCATCGAGCTGAGTCGAATGACACCAAAATCAATGAAATCAGACTTGATTTGACAAAGTTATGCTCGTTTGTTTTAGCTCCTTACCTTTGTTCTCCGTGGATGTTCTTGCTGCTGCGGAGGAAGCTGGGCATGCCCATCACAGCGATAATTGGAATAGGATTAAGTTATGAGCCCAGACCCAGAGCCCGTAGACTCCCCGCGAGGCGCGTGCCGCAAAACTCCGCGCGAAGCGCGGAGTTTTGCACAAGCGCCTCGCCGACGCCCCATAGGTTTACGTTGTTTGTTTTTTCTGTCATAACTTTGAACAAACTTGACCAATCACGGCGATTTTGGTGTCATTCGACTCGGCTTGAAGAGCTCTTTCAAATGAGCTATTAATTGCATATTCGATTTTTTCACCCCAAAAATCAGCTTGGTCCCCCCTATGGTTTTTCGATTTTCGGGGGCCTGTAACTCGGCTCAGAATTTTTTCCGCTGAATAATTTTGGTGTCGTTCGACTCAGCTCGACGAGCTCTTTCGAATGACATATAAATCGTTCAATTCTGAGCCTGGTACGGAAACTGTAGTTAGGCCTTTACTTGTTTTTTCCGAAAATAATTTTTTATAGGTAATCGACCATGCTGATCACGAATCCGAGATCAGATTTTGAAAAGGTCGAATCCCGAACCCGAACCGAATTTCGAACCCTGGACCCGAATCTTGAATGTATAAAGATAGCTCGTTCGAACCGGCCACCGGCGAAAGTGCAGCCAAAAAATGGTCATACTTTCCCTGATCTCCATTATTTTCTATGCTTCATAATTAAACAACATTTTTAAGGTATCTATACCAATGAACTGCATCGTACAGCCAACTAAAGAACTTTGTCCTCGTGGATCTATTTATACTTTTGACTTCAACATTCGTGATTTTAAGTACAAGCAATGCTTTCTCAGAAACATGTCTGACAATGACAGAAAGTTACTACATGCTCACATAATAAGAACTGTTGGAGGTTTGTTTGAAATTTAGTTACCTCTTAAAATTGTGTTTTTAGTGAAAAGGACGTGGTATAATACGTCCACTTCGTGCGCTATGCCGCTTGGTGATGACTCTCTCCCTTTCTGGAGAACCAAGTTTGTGATGCCACCTCTACCTCAAAAGGTTGAGAACTTGGAACGAGTTATTACTCCTGAACCTCCGAAAGGAAAACGGGTAAAGATTTATTTAAAAAATTTTGAGGTTTTAAAAATTAGGAATTTTTACAATTTCTATATTTTGAAAATTTTATTTTGATTTAAGAATTATGATGAGGTTGTCAACGATCCATTTGAAGAAAATGCTTTTTCACCTCAACCTATGAAACGTGTCATAACACCTGAACTTCCGAGATTACCTGCGCCGCCTACTGAAACCTCTCTTCCTGAAGAATACATGCGCGATGATTTTTGGGACAGATTAAGTAAAAACAAGGACGTGCAGGAAGGAGTTTGTGGAGAATGGGTAAAGGTTCGTATAAAAATTTACTTTTTAAGTTAAGAATTTTGACTTTGAGTGATCTGGGAAAGTTTTGTTTGTGTTCATATATTGTATTTTGGGCTAAATTTCCTTTTATTTGTCTTTCAAATTTCTTTTATTTGCCTTTTCTGATTGAAAGGAAACTTGCTGGGTGCCAAAGATTAAAATAATTATCCTTTTTCAAATCAATACTTTTTTTGAATTTTACAGGGAAAAGCTGGACATTTAACATTTGAAGGGGCTAAACTACAGTTTCCGTACCAGGCTCAGAATTGAACGATTTATATGTCATTCGAAAGAGCTCGTCGAGCTGAGTCGAATGACACCAAAATTTTTCAGCGGAAAAAATTCTGAGCCGAGTTACAGACCACTAAAGTTAAAAAAACCATAGGGGGGACCAAGCTGTTTTCTGGGGGTGAAAAATTCGAATATGCAAATTATACCTCATTCGAAAGAGCTCATCGAGCTGAGTCGAATGACACCAAAATCAATGAAATCAGACTTGATTTGACAAAGTTATGCTAGTTTGTTTTAGCTCCTTACCTTTGTTCTCCGTGGATGTTCTTGCTGCTGCGGAGGAAGCTGGGCATGCCCATCACAGCGATAATTGGAATAGGATTAAGTTATGAGCCCAGACCCAGAGCCCGTAGACTCCCCGCGAGGCGCGTGCCGCAAAACTCCGCGCGAAGCGCGGAGTTTTGCACAAGCGCCTCGCCGACGCCCCATAGGTTTACGTTGTTTGTTTTTTCTGTCATAACTTTGAACAAACTTGACCAATCACGGCGATTTTGGTGTCATTCGACTCGGCTTGAAGAGCTCTTTCAAATGAGCTATTAATTGCATATTCGAATTTTTCACCCCAAAAATCAGCTTGGTCCCCCCTATGGTTTTTCGATTTTCGGGGGCCTGTAACTCGGCTCAGAATTTTTTCCGCTGAATAATTTTGGTGTCGTTCGACTCAGCTCGACGAGCTCTTTCGAATGACATATAAATCGTCCAATGCTGAGCCTGGTACGGAAACTGTAGTTAGGCCTTTGAAGGGTTACTCTGTCTGCGAGATGGCGAATGGGTCAACGGTGATCTAATTGATGCATATCTCCAACATATATGTAGACGAAATGGTACTAATCTTGTCTCCCCTCATATAGGTATTCGTTATGTTTTCTAATCTATGAACATAAGTTTAGGTTTGTAGTCGTGTTTATTATTGGACACTAGAATTTGAGGGGGAATGACAGTATTACCGACAAAATTTTAATCATTTTCTAGATAGCAAAGAAAATACTGATGATTATGCTCCAGATAATAGAATTCAATATATACCTACATTTGCTTTGTCCCGCTACAAAACAAAAAAACAAATCAGCTCGAAGTGGTATTGGAAGATGGAAGGTGTTGAACTTGTCTTGGCTCCCGTGCATATCAACAAAAGCCACTGGGCTATGTCTTTCGCAAGAATGCAAAAGAAGGAAATTATAGTAATGGACTCTATAAATAATGGACGTGCTGGAAGCACGAAAAAAGACTTTATGAACATGCTTTTGTAAGATTTTGATTTTATAATGTTAGGTTTTTTGTTTATCATAGTCAAGAAAATTATCATTTTTTTTAATATTTTGTTAGGAACATTCTTATGGATGCTGCTGATCAGTTTGCAATGGATATAGGCAAAAGAGAAGACTGGACATTAAAAGAATTGCTAGATGTACCGCAACAACAAAATGGAATAGATTGCGGTATTTTTTCCCTCTTATTTGCGTATTATGAAGTTGATGGAAGATGTATGGACTTTACTCAAGAACACATTAGCTATTTTAGAAGGAAAATATGTAGAGATTTGTTACCAAGCCAATAGAAATTATCTTAATTTTTGTTTTTCTCATTTTTTCTATGACCCAGAACTTGCAATTTGATTTTTTGTTTTTGAAATTTTCATTAAAATTTTTTTTGAATAAATTTATCATAAAAGTTTTAAGCCTTGTGATCGAAGCGATAGATTCCGCTAACTTTTTTTTGCTTTTGTAAATTATGGCATACAAATTTTAGAAAAAATCTCGTCCAGGATCCTGTGAATGCGATTTTGCCGCACACTATTGAAAATTAAATTTTTATTTATTTTTGGCATAATGTTTATTTTCATTTTTCCATTTGACTCAATTTTTTGTCAACATGAGTTGGCTTCTTTTCTCGTCTCCTTATTTTGCTTCACCACATTTTGCCAATAAGACTAAAACACTACATTTTGTCACAAACTTATTGACAAAATGTCTAATTTTACCCTTATTGGCGAAATGTGTTTTGGCAAAATGTCGGGCAGCCTTCTTTTGCTTTGCTTGTCTTTGTTTTATTTCTAGCCACGTTTTGATTGTTAGCTTTTCTAATAAATTTTGTTATTAAAATCTTGTATTTTTTAAGGTTATAGATTAAATTTTATATTTCTTTTTTTATTTAAAACCTCCAATTAATCAATAATTCCTTCAATTTTCAAGATTTTAGACAAAAAGTGATGCTTCGACTCATCACATTTTTATTATTTTCTTCTTTAATTGTAATACAAATTCAAGCAGATGAACACGACCATATTTACAAACCTGGGGAAGAAGTTGTTTTGTGGATGAACACAGTTTGTTTTGTTTTTTTATTTTATTTTTACTTTCAATATTCATTAGAAGTATATATGGCTAGTTTTTCCCTATACCCTTTAATGAACGTTTGTGGTTGATTGGTAACGTTTCCGCCTACGTTTTATTTTCGAGTGAGGTTCGAACCCTCCCAAGGGCAACTATTTTTCCTGACCTTTTTAATTTATTTTTATTTAATAATCTTCATTTTTTAACCTTTCCCTTGTTTAAAAAATATTTTTTTGGTTCTTAAAAAGTTTTTTCTAAAGGTTGGCCCTTACAGCAACAGACAAGAAACTTACAATTATTATTCCCTACCTTTCTGTAAGGGAAAGAAGGAGGCAATTGGACACTATCACGAAACTTTGGGAGAAGCTTTATTGGGCGTTGATCTTCAATTTTCTGGGCTTGAAATAAATTTTAAAAAAGAATTGAAAAAAACTGTAATTTGCACAAAATATATATCACGGGATGATGCTGATGCTTTTGTTTTTGCTGTTGAACATAATTATTGGTTTGTTTGTTTTAAGAGGGGTTTAAATAAGAAGATACGTGTGTGTGAAGGGAGATAAGGGGCTTGAAAGGAAGATAGGGGTCTTAGGATGAAGATAAGTCAGGGGGAGGTTATTACAGGGGGAGGATTTTTGATAAAGCAGGGGGAGGATTATTACCCCCTCCATAATCTTCACCTATTTACTTGACCTTCACTCAACCCAATTTTATTTTCTATTTTTAGGTATCAAATGTATATTGATGAATTGCCTATTTGGGGTATTTTTTTAAATTTATTTTTAAATTTTTTCTTTTAAAGCTTTGGTTGGAGAAAAAGAGACAGGAGCTTCTTTTATCTACACACACAAGAAATTTGAAATTGGATATAATGGAGATAATGTTAGTTTTAATTTAGTTTTTGTGGATTTTTCATGGGATAAGTTTTTGTGGATTTTTCATGGGATAAGGTTTTTTTGGAAAATTTGTGAAACCTTCTCCATGGCTGCGGTCATGTCCTCCTGTTTTTCCGATATTTTCCCACATTTCAGAGACTCCTCGGAATCTACGAGCCCCTTGTTTCAATCCTAACTTGAATATAAGTTCAATTTCTATTTCATTTCAGAAATTAAGCGTGAACCCGGAAGCTTTTCCCCCTCATTTCTTACCCCTACTTTCCTTCCCCATATTTTTAAAAAATTTAAACTTTTTTTAAAGATTGTCGTTGTTGACGTTACAGCAGAAGAGAAAAAAGAAATTAAACCAAATATGGAACTTTCATTTACTTATGAAGTTATTTGGAAACAATCTAATACTCTATTTGACAAGCGATTTGAACGTTATTTGGATCCAAGCTTCTTCCAACACAGAGTATTTAATTTTTTACTTTAAGGGTTTTTATGCTTATTAAAATAGGCTTTAAGCTTATTTCAAGATAAATTTTTTAAGTTGGGTTTGGTTGAGTGGTAGTGTGTTGGTTTCAGGGTGTAATCGGCCTAGGTTCGAGACCATTTGATGTTTTCTTTTTCGTATAACCCTCAAATGGTTAAAGAAATATTATTTTAAATTTTTTCGATGAGTAAATTATTACGGAATTTTTTCTTTTAATTTTTTCGTTAAAATTTTTTATTATAGATTCATTGGTTCTCAATTTTCAATTCATTTATGATGGTTATTTTCTTGGTTGGTCTTGTCTGGATGATTTTGTTAAGAACTCTAAATAAGGACTATGCTCGTTATCACAAAGAAGATAAAGATCCCGAAGAGGATTTGGACTTGCCTGACGATTATGGATGGAAACAAGTGCATGGTTTGAGTTTTTTTGAATTTTTCTTGCTCTAAAGAGTCGAACTGCTCCAGGACTGGTTCTTTAGACGCGGTTCGGAATCCTCAAAAAGGGAACTTAGGATCCGGATCATTTTGAACTTTAAGAACAAGCATGTTTTCATAGTGGTCTCTAGGTTTTAGGCCTCAAAACGTGGAACTGTCAGTATCCGGAACGAGGGCATTTCTGCAATTTCAAAGAACCCGTCTAGTTTTTTGAACACAATCCCGGGTACTCGGCCGCTCCCCGTCCATGTTCTCCAGAACCTTTCGGATTCCTGTATATACGTGTGTTTTTAGTACCTTTCCTATATTTCCCTTAAAAATCTGATTTTTTAAAGGCGATGTTTTCCGTGCTCCAGCATATCCACTTTTATTTTCATCAATTATTGGTACTGGCTATCATTTAATCACAACAGTTTTGATAACAATAATGCTTGCAATTCTTTCTGAATTTTATACTGAACGTGGATCTTTTTTGAGTGCAGCAATTTTTGGTTTCTTTTTAAATTTTTTTGTTTTTTAAAAAGAATTTTCTTTTAAAGTTTATGCAATAACAACACCAATAAATGGCTGTTTTGGTGGTGGAATGTATTCTAGAGTTGGAGGAAAACGTTGGATTAAACAAATGTTTATTGGTGCTTTATTACTTCCAAGTGCTGTTGCTGGAATGGTTTTGGGTGTTAATGCTGTTGCTATTGGATATCATGCTAGTCGAGCAATTCCTTTTACTACTATGGTTTTTTTTCTTAAATAATTTGTAGTTCTTTTCCTTTTATACTTTCAGAAAATATCCGTTAGGTTTTGTGGTCCTTAAGTTTTCATCCAAGGACATAAGTTTTGGTCTTTAAGGTTCTCTTCCGACGCTAAAAAATAGCCCGGGATATTGAATTTAACCTCTGAAAATTCGAAACACCTTTGTTTCTTAAAAAACCAAATTCAAGGCTACCGAGATTCGAAACCTGAAACCCAAAAGAAATCCTAAACATTGTTCTTGTTTTTCTTTTCTGATATAGCCTTGACCAGAACTGGGTTTCAGAGTTAAAACTTTTACATAAAACCTGAAACCTTTTGTTTCTCAAGAGACTTGAAACTTTGGCAAGTCATCAGGAAAGGAACCCACTTTTTAGGCTCATTTTTTAATTTCTTTATTTTTAAGCTAGTAATTGTCGCAATTTGTGCATTTGTCATAATTCCTCTAAATTTAATTGGAACATTAATTGGTCGAAGCATTAAAGGACAGGCTGATATTCCTTGCCGTATTAATGTTGTTCCACGTCCAATTCCAGACAAAAAATGGTATTTAGAACCTTTTGTGATTGCTATAATTGCTGGTTTTCTTCCTTTTGGCTCAATTTTTATTGAAATGTATGTGTAGTTGTAGAGGTTTTTTAAAATTTAAATAGAGCTGTTCAAGAGTCTTTTTGGAAATGTTGTCCAAGAGTTCAAGACTTTGGAGCCTGAGTCTAGGATTGAGTCAAATACATGAGTCCAAGTTGTCCAAGACTTCTCAGAACTGGTTCTTGAACCTTGACCAGGATTTGCTGTTACGAATCTGAATATTCAAAGATTTTCCGGAAACCGCCATCCAAGGTCTTGACTTGAGATTTTTGAGATTTTTCGATTCAATTAAGGATATCCGAAGATTTTCCAAGGATGACAACCTCTTATTGTTTCCTAGGAGTTTTTTCAATCTCGGTTTCTTAACGTAGTCTTAAATTTTGAAAATTTTTTGGTTCTGGGCAGCTCTATTTTTCCTAAAATAATTTTTAAAAACTTTTCGTTTAGGTATTTTGTTTTTACAAGTTTTTGGGCCTATAAAATTTATTATGTTTACGGGTTTATGCTTCTGGTTGCAATTATTTTGATTGTGGTAACTGCTTGTGTTAGCATTGTTAGTACTTATTTTTTGCTCAATGCTGAAGATTATCGATGGTTTGTTTGAAAAAAATTTTTTTGAAATAAATGGGGAATCCAAAAATGTTTAAGTTTATCATGTTATTTCCTCACATCGAAAATAAAATGTTAGAAAAATTTTAAAAATTTTAACCCTCACCTCTAAGTATCAGGGTTGTAACGGGTTTTGAAAACTGGCCCGGTCGGGTTTCAGATTCAGTTTCTCAGAATTTTGTTTTGAGAAACTCCCTGTTTCTAAAATCGAGCATTAACATAGGGATAGAACTTCTATCGCCTGTTCTCCTTCCATCTTCTACTGAATTACTCCTCCGTTTTATCAAGCCACTTTTTAAATTGAGTTGCAGCCTTCTTTGAAACAACTCCCAAACTGTTTTCTGGGTTTTTTCTGGGTTTCTTCCTGGTTTCCAAAATTTTTTTATCGTTCTATTTAAGATCTTTTCTATAATTTTTTTTCAAGGAGATGGACAAGTTTTGCATCAGGAGCATCAGTTGCATTATATGTTTATAATTATGCCTTTTATTATTATTTCTTCAAAACAAAGTTTCTTTTTTTTCTTTAATTAATTTTTAAATTTTTCCCTTTAAAAAGAATGTATGGCCTATTCCAAACAACATTTTATTTTGCCTACATGCTAATTTTTTGTTTGACATTGGGTATTTTGTGTGGAACTGTTGGTTATGTTTCTAGTGCTAGTTTTGTTCATAAAATTTATTCTCGTATTAAACTTGATTAGAAGAAGGAAAGGAAGAGAGGTTTATTTATTTTAAAAATTTATTTTTTTTTGTACTTAAATAAATAGAAAAGAAATTTTGATTTTTGTGGAAGAAAAAGAAATAAGGGAAAAAATAGTGGACAATGTATTTTATGGGGCAGTACACAAGGTTAGCTCTCTTGTTCTTGGTCTAATATTCTTGGCCCATTTATTCCTGGTCCATTTGTCTTTTTAAAATTTTTTTTGAAATTGAAGGGGAAGAAGGTCACCCTCCTTGTCTCAAAGATTTTCGTTTGGGTTTTTAATGCCAAACTCTAATGTGTCTTTAAATTTAGGGGTTTAAGGACTCCAAAGATTGGTGTTTTTCCAACATTTCCCCCTCACTCTGAAATCAACTACATCTGAATATTCGCCTTTCAATAGACCAGTTTCCTCGAATAGTCCCCTTCAGTCTGTCCTTACCTATTTTTTTTCCACAAAAAATTTAAAAAGCCTTTCCCCTCCTGTTCTCTCTTCTTTTGATGACCATAATTTTATGTGGGACACGCCCAAAACTGCGCGAGCCAAAACTGCGCGACCGAAACTGCGCGACCGAAACTACGCAGGCCAAAACTGCGCAAGCCCAAAACTGCGCAGGCCAAAACTGCGCAAAACTAACTAGAGGATGGAGTCTCTTCCGTTGCTTTCCGTCTTTTTTTTTTGCTGTTCCGCCTTCAGTTTTTAAAATTCGGTGTTCATCAAAATTTATTAAATGTAAAACATTCTAACAAAAAATTCAATAACCAGGATAATAAACCAGGAAAAACATAGTCTTACAACCTAAGTTTAGATTTAACTAGTTAGTCTTCAATAAGATGTGACCAAGCTTAATAAAGAGACTAGTTAGTTTCCTTTAACCAGTTAGTCTAAAAACCTTCAGAAAAACCTTCGGAACTTTCTCGACCAAAAACAAGTATTCTTTGCTCATCTTCTTTCCAGGTTCATATTCATGACGTTGGTAGTTCTGAGGAATTACCAAAACCGCGCGACTTTCAGTATTTTGTGGTGCATCTTGTGCCGAAGTCGAATCCGTTTAACTATTTTGCGTATAGCTGACTTGTCCGTTATGAGAATGTTTTTCTTTATTTTTTCCTTATTTATTTTTACTAAATAGTTTTGCGCAGTTTTGGCCTGCGTAGTTTTGGGCTTGCGCAGTTTTGGCCTGCGCAGTTTCGGTCGCGCAGTTTCGGTCGCGCAGTTTTGGCCCGCGCAGTTTTGGGCTGTACCCATTTTATGTCTGTCATTTCTTAAAATTTAAATAATTTTATTTTTCCTCATTTTCCTTTATTTTTGTGTTTCTACCCGTTTTCTTTTTTTTCGATATTTTGTGATTTAAAATGTCAAGACCATCAAACTAATATAAATATTTTTTTTGTTAAATGATCGCTTTTCATGTGTGGATTTTTAATAAAAATTGAATAAATTTGTATTTGGTTAAATGAAATATTTCTGAGTGTTTTACATTTTGATTTGGAGTATAAAAAGAACCCATGTTTTGCTTAAAATTAGAGAAATATGATAAAGAAATAGTGTAGCTAGAGAAAGAAATTTAATAAAAGGACAGAAAATAAATGACATTTTATCCCATAAAGTTAGAGAAAGATAAAAACGAAATAGTGTAGTTAGAGAAAAGAATAAATAACAAATGTTTAGGTCCTTTCAGTGTGGCGTTTTGAGAGCGAATTGGGAAAATTATTTTATAAATTTTCAAAATTATATTTTTCAATAATCGATATACTAATCGATGATATCTATATTCTAAAACTTAGAAATTTATATTATCAAAAATCGATACTAATCAATAAAATCAATACAACAGTGCTGAATGGTAAGAGCGAATGTTCCATTTGTCCAATGTTCCATTTTGTCCGGCCTTACCAATGTTACATTTTGTCGCTCATTTCTGACTCAACCGTTCCCTATTATTTGATGTAAATGACTCTGTTCGGTTTAGAGAAATATTTAATGAGAAATAGTGCAGTTAGAGAAAAAAATTAACACATTTATTTGGTCGGTTAGAGTAAAAGTTTAACACTTTATTTGGTCGGTTCAGTGCTGCATTTTGAGAGCGACTGGTTACTGTAGAAATTAAACAATCTAAATCTTCTAAAATTCTTTATTTCCAAAAATCAATCTAATCGATAAAATCAATATCAATCAATAAAATCAATACTCCAGAACTTTTAAAATTTCTATTTTTCAAAAAATCGTTAAAAAATCAATAAATCAATACTAATCGATGAAGGCGATATTCCAAAACTCGCAATATTTATTTTTTCAATAAATCAATAAATCGATAACAATCGATAAAGTCGATATTCCTAGCCTTGTAAAACTCGGAATTTATCAAAAATCGATAAAATCAATGTAAATCGCTAATTGTTTTTATTCTCTACCGTAATCAGTTCGCTCTCACCATTCCGCACTGAACAGACCAAAATATTGAATTAACTTTGTTTCTCTAACTACACTATTTCTTCTTTATATTTCTCTAACTTTTGGGATGAAATGTCATTTTTTAATTTAATTTTTTTCTCTGCGTGCACTATTTCTCTTTTATTATTTATCTAAATCCAACTGTCCAATTTACTTGAAATCTTGAAAATGTTGGGCCCAAAGTTTGAGTCTTGGTTTATGCAAAAGTTTTTAAAAAAAATATTTTTATACAAAAACAAAACTTTTTATATTAAAAATCAAGTCGTTCTTTATACATTAAAACAACAGGTTCAGGTTTATTCCTCCAACGAGTTTTTCTTATGAATGCCTTTTAAAAAATAAAAAAATTATAAGTGAAGGGTGGAAAGTACGAAATTGGATCTTACCAGGAATCATAAAAAACTGACCAGTTCCCCGGATAAACCCCCAAAATTAAAAAGAAAAAAAAGTCAAACCTGACAATCTAACAAAAGAGCGATCAATTGGATCAAGTTTTGCATCAGGTATTAAATGAATTAATACAGGCTCGGCATTCTGATGAAAAAATGAATTAAAATTAATTTAAAAATAATAAAAGAAACCCTTCTATGCATTAATGATGGATCTTGTTCTGAACTACAACATTCATCCTTTGTATTTGAAGAAACTAAAAATAAAATAATTAAAAAATTAATTAAAAAATAAATTTTAAGCTATCAAAGACTTATTTCATATCCATAAAATTATGAAAAAAATTTCTTATAAAAATACAACAGAAAAATCATTTTTTGCATCAATCTCGCATTTATAAGAATTAAAAAAGGAATTTTCAAGTCTTAGGATTCGAACCCAGGACCTCTCACTAGGGGAAAATTAGAATTATCTAACTACACCACACAAGAGCATATCTATTTCCCAAAATTAATGACTATGACTCTTCTATAAATTTGTATCAAAATAATTAAATTTAAACAAACCTTCTTTTCCTTTATTCTCCTCTTCATTCGATTTCGATTCCAGGATTCATTTGAAGCCCAATCTCCTCTATTTTCTTTTAAGGCTTCTGGATACTTTGTCAAAGCTGAAAATTAAGTAATTAAAAATCCTTTAGACATAAAAACAACCTATAAAAAGATCAACCATTTAAAACAAGCAAAACAATGCATCTAACCAACGGACATTTGCTGTACGTCTTCTCGTTTGACAAGAACTTAGCCACCACTCAATTGGCTTTAACATTGGGAACGGATAAACTTATTTAAAGGAGAAACTTTGCGGACAAAACTTGCGAATTTAATAAAGTAAAAAAGCTAACCATGTAGACGAGAGCATTGGAGTTTAATCGTTGCACTGTTGGAGTGAAGCCATTGCCCATATTTCGCCGAAGCTAACATGGGGCTTTTGCCCATATTTCGCCGAAGCTAACATGGGGCTTTTGCCCATATTTCGCCGAAGCTAACATGGGGCTTTTGCCCATATTTCGCCGAAGCTAACATGGGGCTTTTGCCCATATTTCGCCGAAGCTAACATGGGGCTTTTGCCCATATTTCGCCGAAGCTAACATGGGGCTTTTGCCCATATTTCGCCGAAGCTAACATGGGGCTTTTGCCCATATTTCGCCGAAGCTAACATGGGGCTTTTGCCCATATTTCGCCGAAGCTAACATGGGACTTTTGCCCATATACCGCCGAAGCGATACACTGGGACTTTTGTTGTTGCTGCTGTTGTTGTTGCTGTTGTTGTTGTTGCTGCTGTTGTTGTTGCTGTTGTTGCTGCTGCTGAAGTTGTTGTTGTTGTTGCTGAAGTGAAGACTGAAAAAGATTGGCTATATTTTTCAAAAATTGAAAAAAGCAAGTCTTGTCCGCAAGTCACTATCCCCCGACCCCCTCAAAAAGGTTAATCCCCAAAAAAGGAAAAGCCACTCTTTCTGTTGCAGAACATCTTTGCACAAATGGACAACAGAGGAAAATCAATAATCATGCTTCCCCTCGTCGAAAAAACAAAAAAAAATAAACAGTAGCAACTGATGGTCATGTTGACTACAAAAAGATTAAAATTAAAAAAGGTTAAAGAAAGAAAAGGGAAATCAATAAAAAAGGGCGCCAAAAATAATGGCCGACAAGCGCTATAATAAACATAGAAAGAGAATAGAAAAAGAACAGTGAAGAAATGCTAGAGATAGAAAGAGAGTAAATAATAAAAGGCAAAAAGGCTACCCTACAACTCATCGAATTCTTAACTCATCGAAACCTCAACTCATCGAATCGGCCAAAAACACTCAACTCATCGAATCCTTAACTCATCGAATCCTCAACTCATCGAATCGGCCAAAAACGATCAACTCATCGAATTTTTCCAAAAGGGGACGTTTGAGTCCCCATGTTTATTTTTTAGATTTTTTATTGTTTTGTTTATTTTTTTTTGTTTTCTTCTGGGGTTTCAACTAATTTTGTTAATTAGTTGATCGGGCACTCATCCAAGTTTATCCGGCCAGTGAAAACATTATCAGAACATTATCTCATTCCTGAAAACATTATCTCATTCCTAATAAATTATGCTGGAGATTTTACCGGGTAAAACCGGACCAAATTAGTCCAGTAGACCCCGATTATGCCCAAAAGCCCTTTTTCCTAGCCTCCATAGCAGCAAAAAATTTTTTCAACGAAGATTCAGTTAGCCCTTTCGGGAGAAAAATAAAAACAGGGGACTCAAACGTCCCCTTTTGGAAAAATTCGATGAGTTGATCGTTTTTGGCCGATTCGATGAGTTGAGGATTCGATGAGTTAAGGATTCGATGAGTTGAGTGTTTTTGGCCGATTCGATGAGTTAAGGAATTTTAGCCGATTCGATGAGTTGAGCGTTTTTGGTCGATTCGATGAGTTAAGGATTCGATGAGTTGAGCGGGCACGGGCAAAAATAATGGCCGACATTTTTATCTTTTTCTCTAAACACACACTATTTTGCCTTCACGAGGGACTTCAAAATGTTAACTCTGTGTATTTCAAAGTGTAAAAAATAAAAATATAAATTAAGGAAAATATTTTCAGATAAAATAATGTAAGAGAACATTTAATAATGACAGGAAAGGGAGAGAAAGGAGGAAAAATCGTTCCCCTTAATAAAAAAAACAAAAGTAAAAAAATTGACAGAGGCTTTTAACCTCAACAAGAAAAAATACCAGTTCGAGCATTTTTAAAAAATATTTTTATACAAAAACAAAATTTTTTCGATTAAAAATCAAGTCGTTCTTTATACATTAAAACAACAGGTTCAGATTTATTCCTCCAACGAGTTTTTCTTATAAATGCCTTTTAAAAATAAAAAAAAATTTAATTTTTAATTAATTTTAGGGGAGTTTTGTGATTAGAAAATGTGAAAATGAATCCCCTCAAAAATCTCAATGAAAGTCAGAAAATTCACAAAATCCCCTTAAAAATCCCTCGAAATCACAGAAACAGCCCTCTTTAAAAAACAAATAAATTTTCAAATACCATGGAGAAATCCCTCCCCATAAGTTCATAGTTACAAAAAATGTCAAATTCATTATATTTTGTAATGTCAGCAAATAGAAGATAAGCAAGAAGACGTTTAACAGTATTGATGGTTGCAAAAGCTAAAAATAGGAAGAAATTTATTTAAAAATTAAGATTTGGGTGAGCTTAAAAGAAATTCTTTAGAAAACAAAAAACGGGGAAAAATATTTTTGACACCCGGATAAACCCGAAAATTTAAAATTGGATTGAGGAAGGAATCGAGGACAAAGGAAAAAAATTTAAGAAGAAACTTTGAGGAAGGAAAAAAGGGAGGGGGGAAGAGGTACGAAAAATTGAATTTTACAAAGAAATCCTTTACAAATTAACCAGTTCCCCTGGATAAAGCTCCAAAATTTAAAATAAACTTAAAAAAGAAAAAAATCAAACCTGATAATCTAACAAAAGAACGATCAATTGGATCAAGTTTTGCATCGGGAATTAAATGAATTAATACAGGTTCATCATTCTAATGAAAAATAAAAAGTTAAAATTAATTTAAAAATAAAATAAAAGAAACCCTTCTATGCATTAATGATGGATCTTGTTCTGAACTACAACATTCATCATCATCCTTTGAGTTTGAAGGAACTAAAAAATTTAATTTAAAAAATTAATTTTAATTATAAAAATTATTTAAAAAAACTTTTAAGTCTTAAAAAAAGTATTTATTAGTCACACAAATTAAAAATAAAATTTTATTCCAAAGGTCTCAACCTAAAAAAATTTATTTAGCGGACTTTTACATTTATAAAAAGCATCTACAAAAAAATTTCCAATCGTTGGATTCGAACCTACACCTCTATGGGGGAGAATAATGGAACTATCCAACTACACCATAGGCGGACATATTCGTTTTCCCAGAATTAATGACTATAACTCCCTTATAATTTTATTAAATTCATTAAATTTAACCAAACCTTCTTTTCCTTTATTTTCCTCTTCATTCGATTTTGAAGTTTCAGAGGATTCATTTGAAGCCAAATCCCCTCCATTTTCATCTTTTTCAAAAGACCCATTTTGTTCCTGTTCCTTTCGTTCTTTCTCTTCTTTTTTCTTTTGTTTAAGTTTAAATTGTTCTCTTCGGCGTTGTTCTTCTGCCTAAAAACTTTCCTTTAAAAAACTTCAAAAAATTTAAGAAAAAAACCTGCATTCCCGGAACCAATTTATAAACAATATCTTGCATTGTACGGTCAAAGGCCACATAATGTGAAGGATGTGATTGATGGATTTGATAATGACATTTTGGGCAGTCTGTGTTATCTTTAAAAAAAGGAAGGGATTTTTTGTCATCAAGTTATGGAAGAATTCTTCCCTAAATAATTTTGAAGAAAAATTCCCTTCCTTATAGGACGATAAAACGAGAAGAAAAGATTTTTAAAAATAGCAAAAATGTTGCCCAACAGTTCGAAAAATTTTTTCTACGGCCAAAAGGCACATAGAAATGAGGATCCAAACCCAGCCAAAAAAATCCTAGAACCCCTTCTCTAAATGTTTTTTTAGGAAGATAGAAAGGGGAGAACATCTTTAAAAAAATCAGAAAAGGAAAATCTTTATCTTAAAAAATCTTATATATCTTTAAAAAAAGGAATTTTGGGCAGTCTGTGTTATCTTTAAAAAAAGATGGGATTTTATGTCATCAAGTTTAGGAAGAGGAAATTGTCTTCCCTAAATGTTTTTAGAGAGAAAGTTCCTTGTTTAAGGACGACAAAAAGAAAGGGAAACATTTTGGAAAGATACCAAAAAGATTACGATTTGAAAAACTTTTTCTATCACAGGCCAAATATTCTAGTAATGAGAATCCAAACCAAGCCAAAAAAACCTAGACACCTTTACTAAATGTATTTTGACAGATAGAAAGGGGAGAACATTTTTAAAAAAATCAGAGAATACCCTACGAATCGAAAAATTTTTTCAATATTTAATTTAAAAAAATTTCCCAGAACTTTAGGCTTGGATTCAAGCAAATCTCGTATCACTATTAGAGAGGGACCCAAACAAAAATTGTTAAAAAAATCCTAACCTAACCCTTTAATAAATTAAAGAAAAAACCTTCATCAAAATATTTGAGCAAACACGATTTACAAAAAGTGTGTAAACAATCAATGACTGTAGTTGCATCAACAAAATATCCATTACATAAAGGGCAGGTTCTAAAAAAATTAAAAAAAAATTTTAAATAAAAAGCAAACATGTAAGGATTTATGCTGCTTAAACTAACAAAATTTTCCATTGGTTTTTGGGAAGTTCCAGCAGTTGATGATGAATTTTCTGAATTTTTGAAGGTTTCATTTTTCTCAAAATTTGCTGTTCTGCGAGTATAAGCCATCCTTTTTAAACAGAAAAATTTTTTTAAACAAAAAAAGAGAAAAAGGTAAAAAATGTTTCTGAAACATAATAGAAAATAAAATTTTAAAGACAATTTGAAAAAAAATTTTTATTTGAAGGTTTAAATAGCACGGCAAACGACTCTCTAATTTAATATGTATTGATTAGGGTTGTAGGTTCTGGACCGAGCCGAACAGAAGAACCGATGATTTTTCGTTTCGAATATCGGTACCACATATCTGAAGATTTTCCAAAAACCGACAACCCTAGTATTGATCCTTAGGGCTGCTGGTTTCAAATCGAGTCGAAAACCCAAAGATTTTCAGTTCGGTTAGTCGGTTCGGCTTCGGATATTAAATTAAGTTTCGGTTAACTGAATAAATCTGGTGAACCCAACAACCCTATTATTTAACCCACTTATTTAATTTTTATATATACTATCACATTTGTTGTTTAATCACATAAGTAAAATCGCCAAAAATTTTTTTCATCATTTTCGACTTTCATCCTTCTTTATAGCTTCTTGAATAGCTTTGTCAGCATTTGCATCAGTTTTAGAAAGTTGTTCAAATCCTTCTTGTCCAACAAAGCAAATCTCGTGGTCATTCTAAAAAAAATTTTTTTAGTGGGAAAATAAATTAAACAGTTATTGGGTTTGGTTAAAAATTTGACTCTAGCCCGGTTTATGAGTCCAATGAAGCTTTGAGTCAATTGAGAAAATTTCTTAAAACATTTTAAATTATCAACGGAGTTCTTCTCTCGATTGATAAATGAAGCTCTGGGTCTTTAACGGACTCATAAAGCCTAATTGGACTCATAAAAATTCATTGGACTTATAAACCAGATCCAAAGAATCCATTAAAAATTTTTTATTGGACTCTTAAAGAGTCATTAGACTCGTAAAGGGGTTATTGGACTCCTAAAGCTTCACTGGTCACATTATAGCTTCATTGGACTCATAAACTAAACCAGAGCCCAAAGGTCCTATTTATTTTTGAAAAAATTTTCAAAAAATTCCTAAGGGTCCTTTTTTGGACTTCAACCCTATAAAAATAAAAAAATAAAACCAAACCGGATCGCGAAGTATAACAACAGAAACAGTTGCTTTCCCAGGAGTTTCTAACGAAACTAGAGATGTTTGAATAAAATTTTTATTTTTAGCCCCAACAACGTCTTCAATCATTTTTAAGTTTTCTGTCGGCGTTGAAAAAGCAATTCTTCCAAAGGCTGTTTTTCTTTCAAGTTGGGCATCTTTAAGTTGATTTAATTCCAATTTACACTTAAAGTAAGTTAAAAAATTCTTTAAATTTTTTAAACAAAAACAAACTTGTCCAGGTCCATAAGACAACAAACAAGCATTTTCATCGTCCTTCTCAACAGACATTCCCAAAAGATCAGACCAAAATTCTAAAAAAATTTCAAATTTTTAACCTTAAAATTAAAAAAACCTTTAGATTCCTTCAAATTTTTTACATTAACACAAACTTTAGTCAAAGGATACTTGAATTCTTTCAAATCCCCCTTTCCAATACAAAAACAATGGTCATCTGGGTCTTTAATTGAAATTGTTCCATCTTGATTTATACATCCCTTCGACTTTGCCAAGTCGAAAATTTTGTCAGAATTAATATAGATGGCCTAAATTTTATAATTTTTTTTAATTAAAAATTTTCTTGTAGATAAAAAAACTGCCCAGTAAAAGGATTGAAAACATTACGAGAGGAGTCCCAGTGATAAGAGAGAACAAGGAGAGAAGTCCCTTGAGAGGAGTCCACAGACCCAAAGGAAGAGTTCATTAATCAAGGAAGAGTCCCATGCTTCAAGGAGAGGAGTTCCAAGTTAAAAAGAGTCCATCGACGGAAAGGAACTTACCTCATATCAAATTCTTTTCCCCATTAAGCGGGGAAAGGGGCCCGCCAATAATTAAAATTGTCTTAAAATTCGACTAAAATAGAAAGAAAACCTTAAAATCATTTCCAAGCTGGTATGAACTAATTCCATAATTATAAGTCAATTCAAGCACAAAATGTTCATCCTCATCTCCATATCCAATCATTGTTTTGCTCCACAAGTTGTCATACGGACCATTACAATCAGCCTTACACCCCTTAAAAATAAAAATTCAGCACATTTTAAGTTTAAAAAACCTCTTCAAATTCTTCATGTCGAAGCACCTTCATTCCCAAAATTTCAGTATAAAATTTGTAGGAAGCCTCTCTATTAGCAACACGAAAAACATAATGTAATGCCCTTGCAGGGAACTTCATAGAGCTTTTTAAAAATCTGATAGAAAATTCTAAAAAATTTTAAAAATGGGAAAAAATATTTCAGTGTCCTTAGACAACTAAAAAAACTAAAAAATGAGTCTCTTTAAAAATTTTCATCAGCAAAAAAAAAAAATAAAAAAAATTCCTTCATTCAATTTTCCTGATCCTCTCCAACATTATTCATTTCTCCTTTATTTTTCAATTTTCCTTCTTCATTTTCAATTCCTTGTTGTTGCTGCTGTTGTTGTTCACCCGTATTTGATAAAAATGCCAAAATTCCTTTAGTGCATCTATTTGCATAATGTCCCTTTTCTCCACATTTATAACATGTTATATCAGCCTTTAAAAAATTTAAAAATAAATACAATCGAACCTCCTTATAATATATCCCTTTGGGCTGGAAAAATCGAATCTTACAATAAAAGGTAACTCAAAGCAAGAGGTTATCATCAGGAATGTCACGGGTTACTCGAAGCCCACACCTCGACTTTTTACGCCTCGAAACCTACTCGAACCTTCTTCCTTTCGTAAGCCCTTACAGAACTGACCCGACCCGAGACCTGCTCTTTTTACGACATGAAACCTACCCCGACTATTTTCTCAACTCGTAACATCCCTGGTTATCACAAGACAGCTCAACCACCCAATAGCTAATCTTGGGAGTATTTTAAGGAATCCAACTGTATTAAAAAATAAAATATACAATATTTCTTCTTTGTTGCTCCTGTGCTTGAGAAGCATATTGTTTTAATTTGGTTGCATCAATTTGTGAAAGTTGTGTTTGTGCAGGTAAATGGGGACAATGAGTAGCTTTATGACCTAATCAAAATTTAATTTTTAACTAAAATTCTTACAAAAATTTAACCTCTTTCATGACAATTATGGCAAGTAACTCCATAATTTGGTCTAAAATTAAGTTTTGGTTGAGCTTCAACCAAAGGCAAATCAAATGAAGCATGAGAAAATTTGCATAGAGGGCCATCTAGACAAAATCCAAGTAAATAGAAAGGGCAAATGACACGACGACGATGACGGTTTTTGCAATAAGGGCCTGAAAAATAATTTTTAAAAAATTTTAGTACGTTAAAAAAATCCAAACCATGTCTACAAAATCCTCTATCATACCAAGGGCAATCTTTTATTTTACTTTCAGGGTCAATATGTCGAAAAGGACATTCACGATTACTACAAGCAACTGAAAAAATACAAAATAAGCTTTTATACCAGTGGTCCGAAAAATTGATTTTTCCGAAGTTGGATCCGGATTTCAGGATCCGGAAAATCAGACACGGCCAGATTTTTCCGGATTAATCCGGTCAGGAATAATCCATAGATTGCGAAAAAGCCCGGATGTAATAACTGGAACCTCGAGAAAATTCCAGCCGAACCGGATCTTGTCGGATGAAATGGCCGGATTATTCCGGAAAAAACCATCGGATATAGGAAATTACTCTGCAAAACCCGGCGTCTGATGCGTCCCGGCACGCGAAATATTTATTAAAAATTAAAAAAAACCAACGATATTTTGAAAAGAAAAAACATTCAGGCATTCTACTCAAATCATATTCATGAAGAAATTCACATTGATCTCCTTTTTTGCATAATCCTCTAAGCCAGTGTTTACAAACAACTTGTTTATCTTTAATTATATGCCTAAGAGGACAGAGTGCTCCCATTGTACAAGCTTTTACTTCATTTTTGAGACAAACACCTCTTCCGCTTTTGTCCATTCCAGGAAATGGAAGCTGTTTAAAAATAATTTTTTTAGTAAACAAATTTGGAGTGGGATTCCTTCCTTTAGGCAAACGAGACAAAGAATGTTTGGGACAACTAAAATCAACTAGAAGAGGTATCAAATGACTATAAATGTCAGTCCCATTAATACATTCATGATTTTCTGATTGCAGGACCGAACCAACAGCCTAAAACTGGCAATGCTAGCAATATTCTTTCTCGTAAAACCCCAACAGATTAAATTCTAATTTTGGCCAAAAAATCAATACAAACAGGAATCCACTCTTCAAAAACCCAAGGTCTCTTCGAAAACCCAAGGTCTCTATTCCTATACCCAAGGTCTCTTCAAAAAAATTTTAAATAAAAATAAAAAAACCTCTCTCATTCCCCTTTGCTCTATCAACATTTCTTCTACATCTGTTAAATATGTTGGAGGTTCAGCAAGTAACATTTCAATAGTTAAAGGTGTTTGTGAAAAAGAAGGATCCTCATTTGGAATATATGGATACATCTTCTCTTTAAAAAAAGGTTAAAAATCTAAAATAGCTTTAAAATCATAAAATAAAATTTAAAAAAATAAAATGGTTAAAATAACCAAATTAAAATCTTTAAAAAATTAAATTAAACAAAAAAAATCTATACAAACAGGAAAAAACAAAACAAGCAAAAAACAAATTTCAAAACAGGGATTGGAACTTTTTAGAGAAAAAAAACTTTTTAAGAACTTAAAAAAAAATTTTTTTTAAGAACGATGTGATGCCAAACCAGAAAGAGTATAATAGCAAGTTTAGCCACCGGGCAGGATTACCACCGGGCGAACCTGCCACCTCCTCGTAATTATTTATTACTAGGCGTTTTCGCTCACCACATACAGGAGCTCTACCACTAATGTAAGCTACAGGGACAACGACTACTGCTTTTCTTTTATCCATTTAGATCGTTTAACCCACGCCTAAGCGTTTTAAATTCTCTAAGGTGAATCATCCTTACATTCCTTAAAAATAAAATTCCAATCCCTCTAAAATTCCTAATGAAATATCAAAAAATAATTTTTTTATAAACCTTCTCCCTTCAACTACCAATTCTTTTCTATTGGACTATCCATACAATAACCATTTGCATCTAATAAACTTTTTGCAGCCCCCATAACACTCGGATTAATATTAATCATTTTTTGTTCTAAAAAATTATTAATTTTTTTTTCAAAATATTTTAAAAAAGATACGAGTTTCCATTACTTCAGCAATTACTCTTTTAGATTCTTCTGCTGCTCTGCTACAAAAATAGTTGGTCCAATCAAGCTGTTTAAAAAAAAGAATAAAAAAAAAATTTAACGATAGATCTGAAGTTAAATTTAAAGGTCTGAGGAGAGAATTGTGATGCAACAGCCAAAAGCCGAGGAAATACCAAACGGTGAAAAGATTTTTTCAAAACTGAATAGCTGACTGCAAATTTCAGTTTCATAAACAGCCCGGAGTCCCTCCAAATGTTCTGACAATGAGATCCTGCTTATGATTTCTGGAACAGGTTTAAGCCTCTTCTCTATACCATCACTTTCTATGTCCAAATTTATAAAAAAATTAAAAAAAAACCTCCAAATGAGAATTTCTAACACCAACAGAATAAGCTCTACTTGCCCTAGCTATTACAGAAATCATTGCCAAATTATTTTCCATTAAAGTTGAAATACTTAAAAAAAATTTTTTTTGAATATCAAAATTAGAAACAAACTCTTGTAACGCAATATAATCAGTATTTAAATAAACTCCTTTATCTCTAAAAAGAATATCAATAATTTTATCCAATCGAGTAAGACAATATTCAAAATTGACTGCTGAACCCTGTAAAATTTTTTTTTGAAAATTAAAGGTTAGTCTCAGAAGAAGGTCCATCCTCCTAGAGACCCCCTAAATGCCCAAAGAATTTTTGTGGATTAAGAAAAATTTGGGAGGATTAAAGGAGATATCGACGGATTTGACCGGATTAGGATGGATTTGTTTGGATTAAGAAGGTTCCTTTTATTTGTCCAAATATTTGGGTTTACCTATAAGGTCACTTGACCATTAGGATGCTGACCTCTAGGGAGTTGAACCTATGGTGACCCTATTTTAAAAATAAAAAAGAAACCGCCAAAGATGGATGAACATGTTCTGCAATAAAATGAATCAATTTTGGATGTAAATAATCAATCAAATCTTCTCTACCACCCAAATATCTTACAAAACCGGACGTTTTCATAAATCTTAAAAAATATTTTTAAAAATATTAAATTAAATAAAAAGTAACGTTTTAGCTCCTCCATGATGATTAACATAATGTTCAATAGCAGGAATTGTTATACGTCTAACCAAATGTAAATCGGGGTCCTAAAGTAAAATTTTTTTATTAAAATTAAATCAGAGAAAATCGGAACCGAAGAACCAAAGCGAAAAATCCTCTCGTTTCTTTGGTTCCAAACCGACAACCCTAGTGGAGGGCAATCCACTCATCTTGGTCAATGGATACAGGCCCGCAGCCAAAGGGGTATTTCTTTCTAAAATGAAAGAAATTTGGGTTCTACCTCCAAAATTTTCGCTAGCACTCGCACCAAAAATTATTCCCTGAAAATTTTTCCCGGGTACGGGCCGGGTGAATAATGGCTAATGTCCTAATGAATCTCCCCTCCCTTTAGAAAGAAACTAAAATAAAAACAAACAGAAAATGACATCAAAGCTAAAGCGTCTTTAATCATTTTATCATAAGGTAATTCAACATCTGAAGAATAAATTCCAGCAACTTCAGTAATTGTGGTTATAGCCTGTCTAATTGCTTTGTTTGAAAATCTCTAAAATTAAAAAATGACACTTTAACCCATCTAAATTCAAAAAAACCTGAATGATAGAATTTTCAATATCTTGTGACAAAAATAAATTTTCATCGGTTAAGCCACCTAAAAAATCCGAAAAAAAATTTTCTAAAAATTTTTAAACAAAACCTATATAATAAACCATCGTTTCCAATATATAAATATGCAATCCCATGTCAGAAAGTGTCTTTTTTATTGGATGAGAATCTGCTAATCGCATATTTCCTTTGACTTCCTGATTTGCAAAAGAACAGAGATCTCCTTAAAAATAGAAAAAAATCAGTTAGAGATTTTAGAAAAAATTTTTGAAAACAAAAATAAGTTAATTAATGGACCTCACTAGAGGAAACAAAAGATAGAAAAAGGGAAGAGTTTAGCAAAAGTTTAGCCACCGGACAGAATTCAGAAAAAAACCTTCCTCCTTCCCGAAGTTATTGCTAGGCTCTTTCGCTCACCACATACAGAAAAGCTCCACCACTGATCTACCGGGGCAACGACTACCACTGTGCTACCGAGGCATTCTCCTTTTCCTTTTTAGATCATTTAACCCGCGCCTAAGACTTTTATATGCTCTAGGTGAATCATTCTTACAGAAATAACCCTCAAGTTTCATGTATATTCTAACAATAAGTGAGGTGAGTAGTCTAAGCGATACACTTAAATAAGACACCCTAACTAAAAATAAGAAAATTTTCAACTCAAAGGTGGGTTTTTCAATTTTACAATTTTCAGAAAAATTTAACAAAAAATTTTCAAAAAAAACCTAAAGCTTTCTTCATAAATCCAACCACAGCAGCACCATAAAGCGTTTTGCCTGAATAAGCCAATTCATCAACCATTGCTCGAGCATTTTCGCTTTCCCCAAGCATAAGGGAATCATCAACGGGGACATTATTGAAAACAACCTCAGAAACTTTGAAAAAAGAGAAAATTTCTTAAAAAATTCAAAAAATTCTTACAATTGCATTTTTGCAGTCCACTAGTCATTAATTTATTTTTAATGGTTATTGAAGCATTTGGATCTTTAATTGAATCTTTTTCGATTATATAACAAGTGGGAAAATTCTAAAAAAAATTTTTTTAATTTAAAAAAATTTTTCTTTAAATTTTAACCTCATCCCCAATCCTTTTATTAGCAAAAACTACAAATAAATTAGCATCCACAGCATTTACAACATTCACTTTATAAGCATTAAGTCGTTGTGGTTGTCCAGGGGAAGATGAAACTTGTGATGATGGATTGACTGAAGTACTAAAAAATGAAAAATTTTGCGGATAATAATTACGGATAAATAGAGATCGAGCTTGGTGAGGGGGTCAAGGAAGAGCCAGGAATCTTTTGGGATTTCTAGGCATTTCTCTAGGTCTGTGAATTCCTTGGGACATTAAAGACACCGACATCAAATGTTCGACATTTGACAATCGTTTGACATTCCGATTGTGCTCGAGAACGCGACTTTGACATCATTTCTGACATCTACTTTTTACATCGTCATATACTTTTAGTGACATTGACAGTGACATATCCCTGTCGCTATTGACATTGAGGTCCCGTGTGTGTCCCACGACAATGTCCTCATTGTCAATCACGACAAAGACATGCAATAGTCAATGTTGACTAGTCAATGTCGCCAAAAGTAGATGTCAATGTCAGAAATAATTTAACGAATTAAAAATCTCAACCTCTATTGCCCAACCAAACCAAAAAAATTTCCCTACGTTTCCTCTTGCCAACAAATTGCAGGTCTCCATTTTCCAGTTGCCAGTCCAGGCAAATAATCATCTTTTTGTTTAATCGTTCCAAATTGTAAAATTATATTTGAACAAGTCATCAAATTATTAAACATTGTAAAAATTGAAAGATCTCTAGAGCTAATACACTCAACTAATTGAAGAACATCTTTTTGTTGAAAACCAACACCTCCAAAATCCTTTGGGATAATTGCTCCAAAAATTCCATTTTTCATGAGAACATCAACAATTTCTGAAGGCATAAGACCAGGGGAGGTTTTGACATGAGGAACTTTAAAAAATATTTTTAAAGAAGTTGAGGACGTTCAGAGGAGCTTAGGACGTCCAGAAGCTTCAGAAAACTTTTAAAGAAGTTGAGGAAGTTCAGAGGGACCTAAGGACGTCAGAGAGCCTTGAGAACGTCCAGAAGCTTTAAAAAAATATTTTTAAAAAAGTTGAGGAAGTTCAGAGTGGCTTAAGGACGTTCATAGAGCCTTAGGGACGCCCAGAAGGTTCAAAAAAAATTTAAAAGGAAATTGAAGACATTTAGATGGTCATAAGGACGTAAGAGAGCCTTAAGGACGTCCAGAAGCTTCAAAACTTTTTAAAGAAGTTGAGGACGTCCAGAGAGCCTTAAGGGACAAAATCCTCTCCCATTACCCCAAAAATGATTTCAAGGACGTCAAGAGAACCTTAAGGGGGAAATTACTAAAGGTTCTATTATTCCCCGAAAAAATTATTAAAAGAAGTCGAAGACGTCCAGAAAGCCTCGAAGGACTTTTACTCTAAAATAAACAAACTTGTTTTATCAAGATCATCACCAAGTTTCCCGACATATGATTTTATATTTACAATTTCTGCCAACTCCAAATATTCAGGAAAAATCATAAAATCCTAAAAAAACATTTTTAGGCTGAAAACAAAAATTAAAAAAACCTTCTCAAATTTATTAAGCATTGCTCCACGAGATAACGACCTTTTTTCTATTGGAACCATTTCTGTAATTTGATCAATTTCATTTTTTTCAGATTTTTCATCTAATCCTCTATTGACGCTGGCTCTTCTAACAAAAGAATTGAAAATTTTTGGAATAGATTGAAGAACAGAATTTACTCGGAACATTTCAAAAATTAAAAAAAAAGTTCCTAAAAAAGTAGAAAAATTTAATAAAGCCTTTAGGTAACAATAAATCAACTTTTTCTTAAGGAAAAAAGTTGATTAAAAATCATTAACATATTCGCGAAAGGTACAGCCCAAAACGGCGCACGGCCATAACGGCGCAAAGACATAACTTGCTGGAAAATTTCTGGCCCTTATCAATTTTTGTGTACCAATCTCTTTAACTCGATGAGAGGAATTGGATCTTTTTTAAAAAGCACAACGCCAGAACATCGTTATTATCAACGTGACATTAAATCTCAAGCTTTACATCTCTTTTTCTCTGCTCTGCCATTATATTTCTCCCTTTTTTTCTATTAATTTCCATTCGGTAGTCTCTCCACTTATGTTGAGGTATTTTTGCGGACCTCTCAAAATGTCCAACAGAGTAAAAATTCGCAATTTGTCGCACACTTAAGTTGGTTTTTTAAAGAAAAATAGAAAGAGTAGTCAAAAATCATGGGGAGGCGATTTGAAATTTTGAGAATTTGAAGAGCATTAGAAAGCTCAAAATAATTTTGAAAAAAATAAGAAAATATTAAAAATATTTGAACAGCTCTACGTTCACATAAATTTAAAATTTTTAATTAAATAAAAAAATAAGCATCTTTAATTAAAAATAGAGAAAAAAAATTTTCTGTCATATGTTTTATATTTTTATCTTAATGATTTTTCAGAATTTAAAAATCTATTGAAGAAAAAAATATTTCAATGGGAAAAGAAGAATTGCAAAAATTTATTGATAATTGGCTTGAATGGGATAAGGTTTTTATTTTTTATTCTAACTTATTAAAATATTTTTTTGAAGAATGATGACACTCGAAATCAAATTTCTAAACTTCTGGAAGCAGGAAATACAGCAGAACTCAAAGCTTTGATGATTGGTGAACTTTCTTTTGGAACAGGTTTTTTATTAATTGTCCCTTTCTTTTTTTTCCCCATTTTCCGGACTCCTTCCCAGGATCCGCCAACCTTACTTGATTTGAAATGTAAATGAACCCCTTACGGTTAAGAATTTTCCTCGTTATCTGCTTTGTCTTATTGAATAAAATTTATTTCAAGGTGGTACTAGAATTGGTCCAGGCTTCACTCAATTAAATGAACTTAACGTAATCCTACTCTCTCATGGAATGGCTCAACTTTTATTGCAAGAGATGCCAATTAAAAAAAACAAAAAGTTAAAAATTGTAGTTGGATTTGATGGACGTCACAATAGTTTGAGGTTTTTTTTAATTTTGAACAAGTACAATTTTTGTGGACTTTCTCCCATTTGTTTGGATCTTTCTTTTTCAGACTCTTTAAATTTTTTTATGTTCATACTGACGTGAAAACATTATTTTTGAGCATTTTAGCTTATGGCATATCTGCAAGAAAATATGAATCTGCATGTGTTGCATTCCGTCATAATAGTTTAAGGTTTCATAATAGCAATTGAAATCGGTAGGAAAGGAGAAACTGAGGAAACTGAAAATGTCCGCAAAATTCTTGTTCCCTACAAGTGCTTAAAATTTCAAAAAATATTTTTTCAGATTCGCTCAATTAGCCTCCAATGTATTTATCAACAATGGAATTTGTGTAACTTTGTTTTCTGAATGTGTCCCTACACCTGTTGTTTCTTTTGCCGTTGTTGAATTAAATTGTGATGCTGGTTTAATGGTTTATTTTAATTATATTTTTTAATTAAAAATATTTTTCAAAGATAACTGTCTCCCAAAACCCAACAAAATATAATGGTTATACAATTTATTGGAATAATGGTGCTCAAATACTTCAATCTCTGGAGAGAAAAATTCGTCTTCTTTCTAAGGAACAACCCAAAGACGAATATTGGAATACTACAACTCTTTCTACAAACAATTTATTTTCTGTTGCTGATTTTGTTCTGGAAAAATATTTTTGCGATGAGTCTTCTGCCTGTTGTTTTCATAAGTTCGTTTTATAATTTGAAAAAAAATTGGAGGGGGGGGGGTGACATATTCATAAAGTACCGGAATTTAATTACGAACCTGTATATGAAACTAGAATAAGATAAATGAACTTAATAAAAGAATAAATAAAAAATTTCAGAGAATTAAATGCAAAAACTTCACTTAAATTTATTTATTCTTCCTTTAATGGTGTTGCTTTTAAATTTGCTCAACGAATGTTTAAAGAATTTGGATTTCCAGACGATGCTCTTTCTTGTGTTAAGGTTTGCGATTTTTATTTTTGTTTCGCAAATTTTTTTTGCTTTAAAAATATTTTAATAAATTCATTTTCGTCGAGAAAACTCGATTTTTTATTGAAAGTTCCTTTCATTTTTCTTTTAATTTCCAGGAACAAGCCGAACCCGATCCAGACGTTCCAACTGCCTCCTCTCTTGATGTTCTCAAACTTTGTTATCAAACAGCAGAGGAAACTGGTGCTACTTTTATTTTGGCTAATGATGCTGATGCTAATAGGCTTCAAATTGCTGAAAGACAACCAGAGTATTTTTTTGAATTTTTTGGTTTGGGTTTGACATTTGGGAATTTTTGAACTTTTGACAGCCAATTTAATTTCATCCTATCTTCCCTTTGTTCTCTATTGAGGACAAACCTTCAATAAATGTAGTACCAACTTTGATACAACATTAGTATTTTTTGATTCATTTATCCCAAAGTTGGAGAATGAAATAGAGATTGGACCAACAAAGTCAAAATTCCCATTTTTCTTTTTAATTGATTTTCTAAAATTATTTTAGCGGCGATTGGTATTTATTTAATGGGAATGAAATGGGTACTTTGTTAACATGGTGGATTTGGACACAATGGAAACAACAAAATCCGAATTTACCTGGAGAAGATTTTTATGTTATCAATGGTGCCTTTTCTTCTCATATAGTTGCTAAAATGGCTAAAATTGAAGGTTTTCTTTAGTTTTGATTTTTGTCTATTTTTTTAATTTCCCAGGTTTCAAAAACGATGTTTCTTTAACTGGTTTCAAATATTTTGGAAATAGAGCACATGAACTTCGAACGAAAGGAAAATTGGTTATTCTTGCTTGGGAAGAATCTATAGGTTAAATTTTATTTTTAAAAACAAAAATATTAAAATTTTTTAAATTTAAGGGTTTGCAACAGGAACAACTCTTGATAAGGTTTTATTTTCGAATAATAAATGGCATTTATAATTCTTCATTATTCTAACCAAAAATTTTTGTTTATGGTAATTAACCCAAATTTTGGGTTCTAAATTAAAAATTTTTGAAAAACGTAATTTTTTCCACCCCATGAATTAATTAAAAAAATTAAATTAATCAAAAAAATTTTAGAGCGAAACAAGTGCAGTAGCAGTCTTTGCAGAAATGGCCAATTATTTAGCTTCTCAAAAATTAAATATGAAAAAACAATTACTTAATATTTGCAATAAATATGGTCTTTATTTGAATACAAGTAAATATTTTTTTAAATGTTTTTGTTGTGAAATTTTTTTAATGTCTTTGTTTTTATATTTTGCATGTGTGATTGTTTTTGATTTTTTATTTCATTAACATTATTTTTAGATATTATTTATTCAAATCCTGTGAGAACTGGAACAAGAATTAATGTTGGGGGCAACATATACTCCTTTCTTTTTAAGTTTTCAACAAAATTTACCTGGTATTGTACACTACACTCCAACCCGCAGATTAAATGTACTGGCTCCATTCACACATACAAAAAAAACAACAATAATATAATAATTATTGGTACAGAACACAATAATGGTAAATAATACTTAATTTTTTTGAATGCTAATTTTTTTACGATTTTCTAAAAAATTTTTGGAATTTTTAGTTTTGATTTTTAAAATTTGATAAAAAAATTTTTTATTTTTTTCAGCTTGTATTTCCAAAAAAAATTCAACACAATTTACTTTAAACAACACTTTTCCACCACAACAACAAGATTTGTCTTCAAATATTTCTGAAAATGGTATAATTTCACATTTTGTTAAAATTTTCGTAAAATTCCTTCACAATGTGTCATTTGCTAGAGCTCAACGAATTTATTTTTCTGAATTTGTTCCGGAAACTTTTTTCGATATTTTTCCAAAAAAACTTGAGTCGAAATTCCAATTTTTGAGGTTTTCTTTTGATCATGATTTTTGGAGATCTTTTCGAAAATTCTGCTTTTTGGACACTGGAATGAATTCAAAAAAATTTGGGGTCTCAAAAATAAGCTTACTTCTCGCCCTGTTGTTTTGACTCAGCTCTATCAATCAAATCGCGTTAATTTTTCTTTCATTTTTATTTTAGATGTTTATGATCTCGAAAAAGAAGAAACTACACACGAAGAAATTCCAAAATCTCCAATTTCAACTAATAAATTCGAAAATGTTGTAGTGTGGGGACGTGGACTTTTGCCTGTTGGAACGAGTGCTAATGAGGAGCTTTGTGTATATGTGGATAATTGTGAGGATGAAGTTGTTGTTGGCGTTAAAAAAGGTTTGGGGAAAATTTTTTTGAATTGTTGTTTCATTTAAATTTATTCAGATGAAATTCTCGTCCCTGTTTCTCGACAAGATTTTGAACAGAGACCGTCAGCAGCAGCACAACCTTTTACTGCTATACACCCGCGACAGTCTTTTGTTTTTACTCCACGTACAAGTGGGAAGTATGAGGTTTCTGTGAAAAGCACTGCAAGCAATGCACATTTGGGAAGTAGTCCGTATAAGGTTTTTTAATGATTCAAAAATTTGGACTTAAATTTTTATTTGTTTTTAGATTGTGGTTGGCCCAAAAAATATCTCCAGTATTCGTGCTGTCGGCCCTGGATTGGAAGGAGGTGTTGCTGAGGAAAGGGCTGTTTTTTATGTCGACACACACGGAAGAGCAAATTATTTAGGTTCTCTTTTTTATTTTTTTTTTTGGGATTTTTTGAATAGTATAAGAATATTTTTTTAAAGAGGGAATTAATCTATTCAAAAAATTAATCTAGAACACCGTTCAAAAAATTAAATAGAAAATAACACTTTTTCTTTTTTCAGAATTCTCAATCGATGGCCCCGGCAAAACGGAAATTATTTGGTGTGACAATGGAGATGGAACGGCAATGGTTGAATACACAGTTTGTTTTTCTTTTTTATTTTAATGAGGATTTTGAGGAATCGAACAAATAAAAAATTTGGTATTTTATTCATACCCCCCCCCCCCCTCTTCTTTTTTGATGTACAGAGTATTCTTTCCTTTTTTTAAGATGTACATAATGGTTAAACTTCCTTCACCCGCTTTTCATTTATATTTTGTTATAGGAAAATAAATGATTGGTGAAAAAATAAACGTAAATTTGGGGCCTCAGGGGGGGGGGGCGAGATATCAATAATGAATCTACCAAATTTTCTAATTATATCTAATTTTCCTCTCATTTTAGCCTCATGTTCAGGGTCGTTACAAAATCAACATCATCGAACATGACACAAATTCCCATATAAAAGATTCACCTTTTGTTCTTTGGATTGAACCAGCAAATTTACTACCTTTCAAAAACATTGCTCGGCCAATTCGAATACCTTCATTTGAAACCAACGAAGGACAAGTTGACAACCAATTCAATTTTAAAATTCCAAAAGAAATTGGTTTGGATTTAAAATTTTTTTTAAAAATTTTTTTAAATTTTTCAGACGCCGAAACATTCTACGTTGAAATCTACGACCCAAATTTACAAAAAGTCGATTTTGATTGTGAAAATAAACTTGAAGGAAATTTTTACAGTTTTATACCGCAAAAGGAAGGAAAGGTTTTTTTTTTAATTTTTTATTTGGTTTGAAAAATTTTTTTCCCTTAAAGCACTTGATTAGTGTTGTCGCTGATAAATTAGCTGTTGAAGGATGGCCTTTTGTTATCTTTGTTGATGGCCCTTTTGACCCAAATAAAATTTGGCTTAGTGGTCCAGCATTGAGTCCAACCATTCAAACACGTCAAAAAACAAATTTTTCAATTGATGTTCACAATATTCCAAAACCAAAGTATGTCCAAGTTGTTGTGGTTGGACCTGAAGGGGAACAAGTTCCTGTAGAGGTTGACTTGAAAACTTTGTCTGTCTACAACGCTCGCTATGAACCAATGATTCCTGGAGTCCATAAAATTTATTTGACTGTGAATGACCAGCAAATATTCGAAATTCCTGTGAATGCAGTTGAATATGACACAGAAGAAATATTGAAAGAAGAGAATGTTGGAGCTAGAGTTGCAAGTGAAATACCTCAGGTTAAAAGAATTTATTTTTTGGGGAGTATAAAGCAGGATATCACAAGTTGTGAGAAGGTCGGGGTTGCAAAATTTTCTTCAGGTTGGGTTTCGGGTCTAGGGGATTAAGCGGGGGAAAATCGGGTTATGGAAAATTTTACGGATTCTGTATCGGGTCGAAGAAGTTTGGGTTTGGTTTCGGGTAAACCGAAACATCTCTGGCATAAAGAATTATTTTCAAATTTTTTTCAGCCAGTTATTGGACTTTCTACAGCTATTGTTTTTACTGCTCCATGTCAACACATCTCTGATTTATCTGTTCATGTACACGGGCCAAGCGGCGACTTGAAACATGATGTAAAGATGGAGCAACTTGAAAAAGAAAAATTCCGCGTTAGCTTTGTTCCGCATCAGAGCGGTCTGCACACAATTGAATTGAGAAATCAAAACGGAGAAATTTATGGTTTTTTTTTAATTTTAAAAATTCTAATTTCTTATAAAATTACCAGATTTTGATTTCGATGTCATTACTTTAAATGGAGAGGAAGACTGCGTTCCCGTGAGTGAAGATGAAGAATATGAAAGTATTTCAATTGAACAACAACCTTCATTAACCTTCACTCTTTCACCATTTAAAGGTTTTTTTTTAATTTTGACTCTGGGGTGTTTTATGGATATATCACCCCCTTATTTTAAGTCTTAGTTTTTTAGTTTGTAACAATAGTCAGCCTTTCTTCCTTTTTGACCGGTCTTGTGCTTGTGCAATTTAATTTTTGTTGCAAAAACTGGGTTCACATCCACATTTTTGGAATAAAGTGGACTTACAATTAGCACAAATAAAAATAGAGCGAATATTGATCCTGTTATTTTTATTTGGTGGCATTGCAAAAAATAATTTTTTCCATATTAAAGCCTCTCATTTGATGAAATTGTAGAAGGAAGAAAGTCTGGCCATCATTACATATTAAGGAAAACTCTGAATAGGAGGGAGGTGATACATCCATAAAGTACCGACTCTGGTACAGAATCCAATAGTTTAATAATAAATTTCTATCAAAATTTTTTTAGCTTTAAAGAAGACCACTAAATTATCACTAAAAGAAGAAAATAAAATTATTGAAAAACTCAAAAAAAGAACATGTTTATTAACGGAACAAATTTCTGAACTGCAAAAACACCAAAATGAAATTGAAAATTCAAAAAATAAAAGACAAAAAGAGGTAAATATTTTTTGTTCTAACCGTGATTTTGTTTTTAAGATGAAAATGAATAGGAAGGTTGTTCATGTAAATGGAATTCTTCAAAGTTTGGCAGCTGCCCTGTACTCCGTTGCTTTACTCTCAAATTCTCAGACATCACAAGACCAGAATGAACAGGATCAGCAATTCCAAGGGACTGTTAATGATTTAACTCCTCCATTACCTTCAAAAAGAGCAAAATTAAATAATAATAATCGTGAAACAACAAATGAAAGGAAAAAAGTAAATAAAAGGACTGCAATAAAAAAAACTGAAGGAAATAAGTTAGAGAGGGAAGTTGATCTTTTGAATGATTTTCTTGATAAGTATTTTTAATTCATACATGGAATTCTTAAAATTAAAAAATTTTAGTATCTCTGTTATGGAAGCGGCTGTCTCTACTCAGGCAGCAGAAGCATTAGCTATAAGAGAAGAAAAGGAGGAATTGAAAATGCCCCAAAAGGAATTGTTGGCGAATGTACAAACACAGATGGATGAAATGAATGGAATGAATGAAATGGGAATGATGAGATATACAAATGAAGAGAAAATGAATGAAAATAATATTTCTGTTGAGGATATAAATGCTACCTCCAAAAACCGCCCGCCGAAAAGGGTAGGAGATATTGTTTTATTTTCTTATTATGCCCAAAAAATAACCAATACCAATAATAAAAAAATTACTTAAATTTTAGTTAATTTGTTGCTGTAATTCCAATGAAGTGGAAGGCTTAAACGTTGATGAACTTCCAGAAGGATGCAAAAAACGCGCAAAATTGCTTTTAGAAAATGGAGAACAACAATGTGATAAAGACCAAAACAAATCATTGACGCCGCCTTCACCAAAAATAAACAAAGAAGATAAAGAAAAGAAGAAAAAGAGGGAAATGATATTGTATCTGGAAGAAGATGAAGTGGTTCAAGTAATGAAAATGAAAGAGTAGGTTTATATTTTTTGTTTATAATCTAGTTCTGCCTTTTTTAATTTAAATTTTTCCTTTAATTAGGTTGTTGGCACTCATGACTTCAAAAAAGGATTGAAATTTCTGCCCTCCATTAATTGTTTGTTCTTCAGAAGAGGCAGATGTACGTGTTTCTAAGGATTATTCTCATGTAATTTCAATAATTGATTATGTTAAAGGTTTGAATTTTCTCTTATCCCGTTACTATAAAATTTATTTATTTAAAGGAATCCCAGGCTCTGAGTCACTAATTCAACGCTTAACTGATTTAAACAACAAAGAACGCTGAGGACGTGCACTTTTTCTAGAATATTGGACTCAAGACAAACGTTTGGATGGATTGTCTAAAGGAAATTTGAAAAAAGAAAAATTTCAGGTTTTTTTGTTTCTTTCACTTTTTAATTTACTTAAAAAATTCAGATATCCCAGGAAAATTATTTGGAGGCCTTTGTTGAATTTGATATGGAGGATCAATGGTTTGTCCAGGTTTATTCAAATTTTCAGCCTTATAAAATTAGAAAATTAGGGTTCTTTAAATATGAATAGAGCAGTTCACGGAGACGTTGTAGTTGCTCAACTTTTGCCAGAATCTGAGTGGACCGCCCCAGAGAAAACTATTCGATTAAGAGACGCTGAGGAAACCCAAAATGAGGGGGATAATTTACCTGATGCTGATGGGGAAGAGGAAGATGATCAAGAAGAGGATTTGGAAGATAGTGAAGCACCAGAAATGAAAGGCAAAAAAGGTTTTTTATTTATTGATTTTAACCTGTGCTGGATAGGGGGCATTTTGTGGCACCGGCTCCTATCTTTTTCAAACCGTGGCTCCATGATCTAGCTCCTGGTTTCGGCTCCGGACATTTTAAAATTTTTAGCTCCGCTCCCGGCGCCATACCCAGCATTGGTTTTAACCCTATTTTCTTTTTATTCATTTTTCAGGTTTTACCCTCAGCACGTATTGTAGGCATTTTACGATGAAATTGGCGTCATTATTGTTAAATTATTTTGCTTCCAAATATGCCTGGTGCTCGTCAATTTTTATTTGCTCCTTCTGAACGTTTAATTCCCCGCATTAGAATTGAGACTTCCTATTATGAACAATTGATTGGCAAGAAAGTTTTGGTACAAATTGATTCATGGCCACAAGGTTTTCGATTAAATTTTCTCTAAAAATTTCTTGAAATTTTTTCTTCAGATTCTCATTATCCAAGAGGTCATTATATTCGTGTAATTGGCAACGAAGGCGAACGCAAAACTTAAGATGAAGTTATTCTTTTGAAACATGAAGTGCCTTATTATGAATTTTCTCCTGCCGTTCTAGCTTGTCTTCCTGAAGTTTTTTGGTCTTCACATCCTTTGGATCCTCCAGAACGTGAAGATTTGACGTCTTTGGATATTTGTTCTGTTGATCCAGAAGGTTTTTTGAATTTATTTTTGGTGATTTTCATTCTAATTTTTAAGGTTGTACTGATATTGACGATGCTGTTCTTTCCCTTGAATTATAGCCTAATCGCTTTGAAGTTGGAGTGCACATTGCTGATGGTATTTTCCTTTAAGATTTTTTGGATTAAGATTTCTTCTAAATTTCAGTAACTGAAATTCTGGTCAAGGTTTTTCACATGGGCTGGGTTTTTTTTTCATCTGTGTTGGGTTTTACGGGTTAAAACAAATCGGGAACCAAGAAAAACTGAATTTTATTAAAATACTACCTGATAGTTTTTTTCCAAGGGGTTGTTAAGGGACTGGGTACCCGGTTTCAATGACCGGAACTTTGCTTAAACTCTTCAATAATTTTAAACTTTTTTAAGATGTTCTCTTCTTGCTGGTGAATTGCTTATGCATTTAGCTTTATTTGGGAATTAAATGGAGACGCAGAAATTCAAAATGTAAAATTCTGTAAATCTTTGATCCATTCAGTGCTGCATTAACTTATCAAAAAGCTCAAGAAATGATTGATAATGAAAAATATGAGGTTTTTTTAATTTTGGAAAAAAATTTAGGATGTTATTGCCAAAAGCTTGAGGAATTTGTTAAAATTGTCAAAGAAATTGAAGGTTTAAAAATTTTTTTTAAATTAAAGTGATTTTTCAAGTCTCGTCGACGTACTGTTGTGCATTAAATTTAGCTTCTTCAGAAATTCGTTTTGATATTGATCCGGAAACTGGGGCTCTTGTTAAAGTGTTAGAGAAGCAACATTTGGAGACTATGTTTGCTTTTATTTTTTTTATAAAATTTTTTAAAAAATTTTTTTAAGGTCCATGATAGAAGAATTCATGTTGCAAAACTGAAGATGAAGTTATTCTGTTGGAATATGGAAGTGCCCTATGACGAATTTTCTCCTGCCGTTCTAGCTTGTCTTCCTGAAGTTTTTTGGTCTTCACATCCTTTGGATCCTCCAGAACGTGAAGATTTGACGTCTTTGGATATTTGTTCTGTTGACCCTGAAGGTTTTTTTGAATTAAAATTTTTGTCAATTTTCATTCTAATTTTTAAGGTTGTACTCCTTGACCCAAGCTGTCTATTTTGCTGCTGGAACAGTTCCAAGGGATCAATATTTACATTATGGTCTAGCTGTTCAAGTTTATACACATTTTACTTCTCCAATTCGTCGTTATGCCTATGTTATGGTTCATCGACTACTTGCAGCACTTATTGGAGTAGATCAAATACATCCAAATATGTTGGATAGAAGAAAGTTGATTCGTCAGACGGAGGTTTAGGGGGTTTTTGAATCTTTTGATCTTTTTTAAATTTCAGAACATGAACAGGCGCCACAGACGAGCTCAATATGCTAGCCGTGCTTCTGTACTGTTAAACACATTTATGATGGTTAAAGAAAATCCTGAACCTTGTCTCTCCGCTATTGTTATTGGGATACGTTCAAATGGAATTCAGGTGTGGGGGAGTTTTCTTATCGGGGGGGGGGGGGGGCATTGATTCCAAATTAATTTGTGTTAGTATTTATACCTCCAATTTAAGGTAATGATACCCAAATTTGGCTTGGAATCAATAATTTATTTGAATGATGATACTGGAACTTGGACTCGTGGACTTTTATTTATGCTCGTGGACTTTTATTTTTTTATGATTTTTTTAAAATTGTTTTTTTTTGGTACACCCCAACTTACCGCGAGGCCAACCTACCGCCGAGGTATAACTTTCAAAGATATCGAATCCGGGAATTATTCGTATGGTTCGATGTGCCTCGATGAGCTGAATCGAACCGTACCAGGGCGTCCCGGATTCGAGAATTTTAAACAAAGTTATAGCTCGGCAGTAGGTTGGGCTCGCGGTAAGTTGGCCTGCTCCCGTTTTTTTAAATAATGTTTGTTTTTTCAAATTGTTTTTAATTGAATTATTTTTTTATTTTATAAAATTTATTTTCTTCCATTGCAACTTTTTTTCATCCTTTTTATCAGGTTAAAACCTGAATTAATATTTTTACCCAATTTACATTTCCAAAATAATCAATATTTTGGCCAAAAAGGCCGCGCGACCACATTGGCGCAAAGCTATAACTTGCTGGAAAATTTCTGGCCCTTATCAATTTTGGTGACAATCTCTTCTCCTCGATGAGAGGAATCGTTTAATACTAAATTTGATAAGATTCGGAAATATTGAAGCAAGTTATGACTTTGCGCCCTTATGGTCACGCGCCCTATTGGGCGTCTCACTAGTTCTCAATAAATCTCCTGCCCAAAATTTTTGGATGACAAAGCTTTGAAAAATTTTTAAAATTATTTTAAATAGTCAAAATGTTCGAAATTAATTTGCTTTCTTTCCTTGGAGAATTTAATGGATCGTATGTTTATTAAATTTTTAAAATTTTTTAATTCAAATTTTTCAGCAAATTTTTGGTTTATTTCTGCCTATTAATCTTCACAATAATTTTTTCGTTGCGGCTTGATCAAATAATCAATATCAATTATATTTTTGTGTTCTTGCCTTTGTGGTTAGGCGAAATTTGTGTTTTTGTTGGTTTTATAGTGGCTATTGTCAGCCTTATTGTTAGGCCTCCTTCAAGGTTTCTTTTGATTATTTTTTAATTTTATTGGGAATTTTGGTCTTCGTATGACCCTCTTATATCCCTTTATTTTAATGAGACAAGTCCTCGTTTTATTCGCACGAATAAGAATATTTTTTAAAAAAATCATTTGCTGACAAAACCTTTGGATTTTCGCCAACAAGGGGACCTTTCGAACTGCAAGCCAAAATATTGTACTTTTTTTGATGCCAATCGATAGAGCATCATCGATTTACTCTAGAAGATTTTCGGCTACAAAAACACCTCATAACCTATGGCTTGGTATTAGGCGTGGCCGCACCGGACCGTGGGTTGTAACCAGGGACGTCCGCAATTGCTAACTTATCGCCATAGATTTGGGGAGAAAACATAAAAGTTTAAACAAAATTTTAATTATTTTTTAAGCTTGGATGCTTCCTCAAAAAGTGATTTTTTCTCAATGTGTTTTCAAACTGTTGAGCACATTTTAATTTTGATGTTTCAAGTTTTGGTTTTAATTAAAATTGAATATTACCATTATTTGAAAGACCAAATTCAACTTACTTGGCTACTTGTTTTTTCGCCTCTTTTTCTTTTGTCCTTTATTGCAATGATTATTGCTATTTGGTGTATGAGGCATGAAAAGCCATACGAGGTTTTTTACTGATTTTTTTCTAGATTTATAAAGTCCGCAAGTTTTGTCCGCAAATTTTGAATTTGTATTTTTAAGGCCTTTTTTGTCTCCAAAATTTTTTCCATTATTTTCGCGGACAAAAAAATTGTGGACTTCTTATTTCTCTTATTCTAATTTTTATTTTTCAAGTTTGAAATGTTCTTTGCTGTAAACATCATTCAATTTGTCTTTTTGGCGTTTAAATTGGACAATGGAATTCATTGGAATTGGGCTTTGGTATAATTTAAATTTTTTTCGAGACTTCCAAGCAATCCCTTTCCCTTATTTTCTAAAAAATTTTCAAAAAATAAATTTATTTTTCCAGGTCCTCGTCCCAACATGGATTGTTTTCTCCCTCTTTCTTCTCTGTTCAATTTATTCCCTCACCATAGCTTTATTCCTCAATCGAACATTTTATGCCCATCAACAACATATTCCTTCTCACAGAAGACCCCGTTTATGTGCTTCTATATGCCATGTTTTCTTAACAATTCCTTTTTTACTTTTTCTGTTGCTTTTGGCAAGTAAATTGGATTATTTGGAATCCCCTGGAACTAGCAAATCTGGAAATACTTCTTTTGTTTTGATTGCTTTACCTTTGGAAATTTCTTTGTTTATTTTACTTTTGCTTTCGTTTGGGGCACGTCCTGCCAATGTTTGGTGGTTTGGAATGCGTCAGGTTTAATTTTAAATTTTTTTAATTTTTAAACCTCCTTTTTTCAGTCTTTTTGCAATTTCTTCTTTCAACTTTTCCCTTGCCTTCGTCATTATTCAAATATTAGTTGTAAATTTGGTGTTAGAGGGAGTGATGCTTCTTCTTCAACTTTATCTTGGGGACAACGCTTTTCGAGGAGAAATAGAATTCGTCAAAATCGGAATCATCCGCCTAATGGAAATTCAAGGTTTTTCTCTAAAATTTATAGCGCGCCCTTATGCCAAAAGGGCGTAATGTCGAACTCCCAAAGGCTGTCGAAATTCCGATGTGGAAAATGCGAAGTAATGATAGCCGTCTAAATGTTGTTCCAACGACATTTTTGCTGGATTAGCTTTAAGGGTTTTTGTTGTTAGGGCATTTGTCATATTGGAGTTTTGGCATTTTTTAACATGCCAAAACATGTCTCCTTTAGCCTTTAGTAAGTCCAAAAGACCAATGCATCTTCAGTAGACCGGGGACACGGACACTTAGTCGCAGGCCACTTAGTCGCGACCACTTAGTCGCGACCACTTAGTCGCCGGCCACTTAGTCGCAGGCCCACTTAGTCGCAGGCCACTTAGTCGCGAACTAGCTAAAAAGCAGTGTTGCACCGGAACCGATATTTTGACCGGAATCGGAACCGGATCCAATTTGAGTTCCGTATCCCGGAACCGGAATTTCCGATTTTCGAATTTTTTCATAAAATTTCGATATTCGGTTTCGATATTTTTGGATTTCTTTTGATTTTCGAGTTCCGGTTTTCGATAATTTTTTTTGTTTCGACGCAGCTCTGATCCCGACAGATCTCACTCCAAATCCCATTAATCCATGCAAAGTTTCGAAAATATTCCTCATTCCTCTTTAGCGCCGCAGGCAAAATTTTGTGAATTTAGGAAGGCCAAGTGAGTTTTGGAAAGCCAATCCAAGTTTGGAAAGCCAATCCAAGTTTTGGAAAGCCAAATCCCCAGATATTCAATCCCTATATCTGCTTTACACTATTTAATCCCTCGATATCACATCCAAATCCCTCGATATTACCTTTGATTTAAGTTTTAAGCGACCTGGAAAAAAGTACCTTCGCGACGAAGTGGCCTGCGACTAAGTGGGCCTGCGACTAAGTGGCCGGCGACTAAGTGGTCGCGACTAAGTGGTCGCGACTAAGTGGCCCGCGACTAAGTGGGCCGTACCCAGTAGACCGGACTGCTGTGTTATCCATTACACCGCCCCGCCTTTTGCACAGTTTTAGGAATTAATAGAAAAAGAGTTTTATAGTTAGCAAAAGTTTAGCCACCGGGCATGATTACCACCGGACGAACCTGCGACCTCCCTCGATTTGACAGACAGTTTTTCTCCGATTTCTACGTGCAATAGCTAATATGCTTTTCAATTAAATAACATTTTTTAGTGCTCGAATTTATGGAATAGAAGAGCCAACAACTCCCTGGGTTATAAATTCAACAGATGAGGAACAGCAAAGAATAATAACAGAAAATATAAATAATTGTGAAACTGGAAGTAATTCACAATCACAACAACAATCAACTTCTCGATTAAATAAAAAACAACAAATGGAAAATAGAGAAAAAGAAAAGGTTTTTTTAATTTTTTAAATTTATAAATTTAAAATTTAATTTTTTTCAGCAAGTGATAGCCTATTTATTTGTTCGTGGAAGTATTGAATCTCCAGATTAAAAACAAAATGTGAAAGTATCCCAATTTTTATTTTTTTATTAAGATTAAATTTTGGGTTGGACCCGGGACACAGAAATTCTTTTGGTTAAAACGCCGACACCAAAAGTCTCACATCAGCCCAAAAAGCCTAGTCCCTGTAAGGAAGAGAAAGATCCACTTGGCTACCATTTAAAACGCTCACTAGGCGGGGGTTTAAGAATAATTAAAAGAGAAGGTGAGAGCAATGTCCCGGTAGCCTTACACCAGTTGGTAGAGCACCTTACATGGTGAGCGAAGGCGCCCAGCAATAATTGCCAGGAGGTCGCAGGATCCAAGCCTGCCAGGGATTAAACTTTTACCTTGCTCTTATTCACCTCTAAACATTTCACCCCGGCGACCACGAAAGTCCGGCGACCATCCCGAAGGATCAGTGTCCAACCCTTAGTTTAATTTTAGTGTTTGAAAAGGCGAGGAAATTTTTTGTTTTTTCTTTAATTTTCAAGCACTAATTTCAATTTTTCCTATTTTTATTTTAACCTAGTCTCCTTTTTTACTTTATTCCCTTGCCCCAAATACTCATTTTCAAGCAGCTGCTTACTCCAAATAAAAATTTTTGCTTTAAATTTTATTTTTTCCTTTACCATATAGAAATTTTGTATTTTTAATTAATTTAGGATTGCCATTTTATTGTTTTTCTTTTTCTTTAACAAAAAGAATGCTTTTTTATTTTCCCAGAATTTTAAAAATTTTGATCTAAAGAAAAAATCCTTATTGTTAGTATAGACGGGTAAACTCGCACTTCCGGGATCTCCTAATTTGATCTTTTTAACATATCTGGGATGGGATCTTGTCTATCATTCTGACAGATTCCGTGATGGGACCCATAAATTCCCGTACGGAATCTTTCCCTTGCCGACCTCTAATTATTAGCATTCTTTTTGTCTTAAATTAGGTTGGATAAAATACACACACACATTTTTTTCAAATTTGTGTTTTATTGTAAATAAATTTCAATTTGATTTTTATCAAAAATTTTTCATTTTTTCATTGAGTTTTTTATCCTTATTTTATCTTCAAATATTTTTTAAATTTTTTTAAATTTTTTTTCAAAGTTTTTAAATGGATTAGATGCGAACATTATATTCTTTATTAAATTGTGACGACAATAACATTTCTAGTGAAGAATTGAGAAAAATATATTTTGATTTATTAAGAAGATTTCATCCAGACAGAAGTGGCTCTCAAAATTTTGAAAAATTTTTGGCAATTAATAAAGCTTGGAAAGTTTTGAGGTTTGTTGTTAATTTTATTTATACGGTTGGGCCTCACTATTAGGATGTTTGTTGGGGTTGAAAAATATTTTCTTGGCCTGGGGTGATCCCAAATAATGTGTAATTGATATTAGGGGGTGGGAGGGTTGTTTCGAAGCTTCTAGATAACCAAGAATTCTGTTCGGCGTCTCATATTGGGCTGTATTTACTTAGTAAGTTATGGTTGTTACCCTCCTCCACACCTTCCGCTCAATCAGCAATTATTGAAATTTCCCATAAACGTTTAGTGATTCAGGCTTCCCCCCACTCAGCGAACATTCGAAGTTTAAAGACAGCTTGAATTGAGATATTTAATTAAAGGGGGGTGGCTTATAATGACCACAACAATCAACAGGTGTCGTAAATAGAGGTAACTAATTCTAGGGAATATCTTATAGTGATGCTGACGTAGAAATCTCTTAATTTCTCTCTAAATTTTCAGTCAACCAGAATCTCGCCGTTTATACGATTGTTGGCTTCGTGAACAACTTTTTCGTGATAATAAAGAATTAATTGGACAAGAAATTTATATTTCATTAAATAATTTGAGTGAATTTTGTCAAGAAGAATTGTGTCGTTGTGGGGGGAATTTTGAAGAATTGACTCTTGAAAAATTCAATTTAATTGAGGATTACGCTTTGGTTAATTTTATTTAATTTTTTATTTTTTTTCTTTTTTTAGTTAGATTGTTCAAATTGCTCTCTTTGTTTAAAAGTTTGGAAAATTGAAAAAAATTGAAAAATGAACAGTGCGAACAAGGTTTAAAATTTTCTAGAAATCGAAGGATTTAAACAAACTTTGATATTGGTTGAGGATCTTGACCAGATTCTTGACTTTGAGTTAAGGAAATATGTATCAAGGTCAGGATCCAGGCCGATCTCTAAAATTATTATTTTGAATATTTCATCAATGGGTCTCATTGATTGGGCTTATAGGGCCTGTGCTTTTATCTTGGACATTTACTGTGTTTTGATTTTTTCAACTTTTTAAGGTAATCTTTCTTGGTGATTCAGGCGTTGGAAAGTCTACTTTGATTAATTCACTCTGTGGAATTCAAAATAGCAGACCACAAAGCACTTTGGGATGTTCTATTCAGGTTTTTCCTTTAAATATTCTAGGAGACCACTCGAACGTAGCCAAAGTCGAATTTTAGTGGGGAAGAGGTTAATTGTGGCATAGAACCCTGGCTACACCTTTTATCCACATTTTGGCCCATGGGAAAGCCATACAGTTAAAAATATTCGTTTCTAAACCCGAAGAAATCATTCTTCAAATTTTTCAGATTTTAGCCCATCAATACCAAGCAGGTACTCCAAACGAAAGCACTGAACTGTTAGAATTATGGGATATTGGAGGTTCAAATGCCCATCGTCATTCAAGTCGTGTATTTTTGGATGGGGCAAATGGCGTTGTTTTTGTTCATGATTTGAGTAATTCTAGAAGTGAAAAAAATTTGTCTCTTTGGTTGGATTTGTTACAAGGAAGCGGAACTTGTAGCAACAACAACAACAATAAAAATTCTTCTCGAATTTCTTTAAATTCTCCTGAATTAAATAATCGGCTAATTTATACTGCTACAGGGTCAGAAAGAAATTATAGAATTGCTGGGGGTGCTGTTGACTCTTTAAATAATTTTGTGGCTTTGGATGTTGAAAGGCTTTGGGCTGTGCCGACTTTGGTTGTTGGTTGGTGATTTTTTAAATTTTTTGGAAATTTAAAAATTTTTTGGTTTTTAAAGGAACATTTTTGGATAATTGTTCTCCTAGTAGAGCTAAAGAGCAATCCAATATTTCTTTTCTACGGCAACATGAACACATTTCTTTGGATTCAAGACGGCCAATTCAGCCTGGTTCTACCAATCAGGTTTTAAATTTTATTTTTAAATCGAGAATCCTTAACAACATCCTCCGGGTCTGCAACTCTTTCGTTATTTTTGAGGTTTGCATGGAGGGAAACGAGAGTGCTGACATGAGTTCGAATCTGACCTCAGAATTTGTTTACAAGGGAACATTCCGAACTGTGACCAAAAATTCTTTTATAAAAATTATACCATCGTGTAGAGCATGGTCGATAGCCTATCCCTATATATTTCTTTTTTGGCCCTGACCCCCATTTCGAAAAGTTATAGGGCTTCAAAGTTTCCGACTTTTGGAGCGGTTGAGTCGCCCCCACTTTTCTTATTATTTGTCTTCCTCAAGGGAAAAATGAGACTCCTTTTCTCCATTTTTCCTTTCCTTTTCTTTCCTATGTTGGTTAAAGAAAGAGAGAAAGATGAAAGGAAAGAAAAGGAAAAGAGCATCTCTGCCTTGCGGCTAATGTCAATTAAAAAGGAAAGAGGAGGAGTCAGAGAAGCCTCTTTTCCTTTTCTTTCCTCTCATCTTTCTCTCTTTCTTTAACCAACATAGGAAAGAAAAGGAAAGGAAAAATGGAGAAAAGGAGTCTCATTTTTCCCTTGAGGAAGACAAATAATAAGAAAAGTGGGGGCGACTCAACCGCTCCAAAAGTCGGAAACTTTGAAGCCCTATAACTTTTCGAAATGGGGGTCAGGGCCAAAAAAGAAATATATAGGGATAGGCTATCGACCATGCTCTACACGATGTTATAATTTTTATAAAAGAATTTTTGGTCACAGTTCGGAATGTTCCCTTGTTAGTTTGAACCCCAACCCTTCAAACTTGGAATACTTTGACTGTTTTTGACTCGACTTTTTGAGCTAGTCTAGGGACTAGAGATCGGTCTGGATCCAGTCTGGATTTTTTTGGATCCAGAATCCTGTCCAGGTTACTAACCTAAATCCAGATCCAGTATTTTTGAAAATACCGATCTCTACTAGGGACCATTTCTCAAGGTTTTTTTTCTAGGTGCCAATATTTTCAAAGATCAACTTTAATTTTTCTTTATTTTAGATCGTTTTTACAAATTTTTTCGATGCAATAATTCGACATTCTTCTGATTGTTTAAACAGAACTGGTGGATCAAGAAAATCTTTGAGTGGTACAACGTCACCTAGGAATAGAAGAAAAATGCTTTGACTTGAAAAGAAGCAATGGGTTTTTTAAATTAATATTTTTTGGACTCGCTGTTGGGACTTAAATTATAAAAAAAAAAATAAATTTTTATTAATATATCTTGTTATTTTTTCGAAATATTTGTTCTATTCATATAAAAATATTTTTTAAATTTTAATACCAAACACTGAAATACCAAACCCTCAAATCTGTCAAAATACCAAAGTAAAAAATTTTAAGCATAATTCACCTTAAACGCTTAGGCGGGGGTTGAACGACCTAAAAGGAAAAAGAGAAAGCATTAGTTAATGCCTCGGTAGCTCATATCAGTGAGCTACCGAGGCACATCAGTGAGCTACCGAGGCAGCGAAAGCGCCAAGCAATAACCATGGGGAGGTCGCAGGTTCGCCCGGTGGTAATCCTGCCCTGTGGCTATTGCTAAACTCTGGTATAATCACGTGGAAGGTTGTTTCAACGAAGGTGAAGGTTAGCGTGTGAGGTCCTTAACAATCCACCTTTTGGTATTTCGGCGTTCACACCTTTATTTATTTTTAAATTTTTTTAGAACGGTTGACTTTCAACCAAAAAAAATTTTTTTAATTTAAACAACGTATGGGAGAAGGTAGTGACCAACAACAACAATCAACAACAACAACAGAAGAAACTTCAGCAACACTTCGTTCACTTAAAAGCTTAAACCAATTAAGCCAAAATCTTCAAAATTTAATAAATAGGTCGGGGCTGAACCCGCACATTTTGTCTGCAAATTTTTTAAATTTTTGTTCGCAAATAAAAAAACTTTTTTCACAGTTCTGACAAATCTGGGCCAGAATTACACAATCGAATTTCACAACTTCGAGCGTCTATTGAACGTTTACGTACAAATACAAATTCAATAGAAAATATAAATCGAAGCGCAGAAGATCAGTGGACTAAAATTGAAGATTTGCGTAGACAACTTGTTGAGAAAAATGAATTCTTTAAACGATTTCGAGAAGAAAAAGCTGGAGAAGGAACAAGTGGAGCAGCAACAAGTAACCAGTAATGGACAGGGATTTGATGAGAATGAGGTTTTTTGTTGTTTTTTTAATTTTTTTTGGGGGAAAGGGGTCATAAGAATTATTCCTGGGAAATTTCCGTGTATCCGGAACCAATATCCGAACCGAAGATTTCCGGATACCCGTGTTTTTTTCGGCTCCGGATACATAATAAAAACCGCCAACCTTTAAAAGAGAAAATCTTTTTAGTGGGCATGGTTTTTATGGCTGTAGGATTCTTTCGAAGAAAAAATTTGAAATTTTTTGTTTGGAAAACTTCTCCTATTGGCTAGCAGAGCTGTTTGAAATTTCGAGTTTTTTTGCTTTCGGTTTCGCCTTTTTGTTGATATTTTCGATTTTCGAAGATTATTTCGTTTTGAAGCAGCCCTTGTTTGGACAGCCCCCCTGTCTCTACTCAAAGATATATTAATGTAGGAATATTAGTAAAAATTTAGATAGCTTTTTCTATAAAGGACACTTTGTCCCACTGACCAAAATTAAAAAAAATTTTTTTTTAATGTTTTTAAAAGAGAAAATTCAATTTTTAGCAAGTCAACACTGATAAAATGAATATCAACCAAATTCTTTGTAATCGTTGTGGAAGTATTATTTTACAAAAAATGGCTGCTCATTACCAACATGGAGAGACTTCAAAACATTTACCTTTGCCTTTTCAAAAAACAAAGCATAAAAATGAATTGCCAAAAAATTTGGAGACTGAAGAATTTAATAAATGGTGGATTGTGGGAAATATGTTTACTTTTGAAAATGGTTTGAAAAATTTTTTTAAATAATTTTGGGGGAAGTTTGGATAGTGGGGGAGGTCTGGCTGAACTTTTAAATAAAAATTTTTTGAAAAAATTTTTTAAAAATAATCTTGGGGAAATTTAGGGTGGAGAAGGGCTCATTGCACCCTTAAAAGTAAATAATTTTGGGTTAGGTTTAAGATGGTAGTGGACAGGCCAGTAGTCAGAATTTTTTCGGGGGCCTGGTAGTGGACTTGTTTAACCTTAAAAAAATTCAAAAAAATTTTTTGGTTAAGTTTAGAGGGAGGAAGGACTTTTTAACCTAACCTAATCGAACTTCTTCTATTCCATTCTTTATTTAAAAAAAAATTTTTAAGTTGGTTTTACACACTCTTTTGATGGTTGTAAATTTCTTGCTTGTGCTGATTGCGAGATTGGACCTATTGGATTTGTTTGTCCAGACTCTAATAATTGTTTTGTTTCTGTTGAACGAGTTGAATATAAAAATTGAATTTTTTTCTTTTTAAATTAAAAAAATTTTTGTCATTTTGATGCCGTAAATAAAAATATTTATTTAAAATTTTTAATTATTTTTATTAGTTTTATGTCTAAATTTATTTTTTAATTTTTTTAAAATCATTTTTCTAATTTTTCAGAATTTTTAAGAAAAAATTAAATGGAAAGTGTGGCTGTTGAAGAACCTTTGGATTTAATTCGTTTGAGCTTAAATGAACGTGTCTATGTTAAATTGAGGCAAGATAGAGAATTGAGGGGAAGACTACATGCTTTTGATCAGCATTTGAATATGGTTAGTTTTTTTAAATTTTTGAAAATTTTTTTGAATTTTTAAAAATTGCAAGAAAATTTTAAAATTTTTCAAATTTTTTTGTGAAATTTTTTTTTATTTTTTTTTTTGAAATTCGTTTTGGAATTGTAAAAAATTTTTTCAGTTCGGAAGAATTTTTTTATAAATTTTTAAAATTTTTTTAGAAATTTTTCAAAAAACTTTTTTTGAAATTTCAAAATGTCAAAAAATTTTTAAAATTTATTTTTAAAGATTTTGGCTGATGTTGAAGAAACCGTGACAGTTACAGAGACAGACGAGGAATCTTTTGAAGAAATCTATAAGAGTACAAAACGTCAAATTCCGATGCTTTTTGTTCGAGGAGATGGAGTTATTTTGGTATCGCCGCCGACAAAATTTATTCCATAGATTTTCGAAGAGAGAAAAGAAGGAAGGAAGAATTCGTCTGACACTAATTTTGGAAGTTTTTCAATTTTTTTGATGTTGAGGTTTTTTTAATTTAAAATAAATAAAATTTGAGAAATATTCCTAAAGATATTTTTGAAGGGGGATAATAGGGAGGGAAGAAGATAATTGTAGAAGAATTTCTTAGTGTAGCTTAGGCCGGTTTAAAATTAATTTTTGCCGAGATTTCCAAAAATTAAAGAATTTTTTGACGTTTTTCTTTTCCCTATAGGCTTTCGAGGTATTTTTGGATGGGGAGTAAGATTTTAGGAAGAATTGTAGGAAGAACAAAAAGAACAACATTTTTTTAAATTCTTCCTTGTGGAAGAATATTCCTTTTTTAGGGTAGCTGGGGTCTAATAAAATTTCTTTTTCTTCTTATCTAGACCACCTCCAAATTTCAAAAATTCTTTTGACGTTTCCTCTTCTATAAAATGCTTCCCCTTTTTAAACCCCCCACCACTACACTGTTTTTTACTAAAAGATTGGTTTATTCTTAAAAACCCCTCCTCTCACAACCACTTGTTTATCTACAGGATTATACGCCCATTTTCTTTAAAGGAAGAACACACAAAAAAAGTTTTCCAATAAAAAAAGGTTGAACGAGGGTAGAGAATGAAGGAAAAAGTTTTTTTAAGTTTGCTGACAAAACCCCGCCTATTTTCCTCAATTAAAATGGGAGAGGGAATGAATGGTCAGTGTTGACAGCCACCACCACTAACCCTCAAAATTTCTCCTTTTTTGACAATACTTTCTTCACTGTTCAATAAACAGACACAGAAATTCCAGAACATTTCAAGTTTTTAAACAAAAAAAGGGAAAAAAATCAAAATCAGTGAAAAATAGGGGGAAAAGAAATCAGTGATCCAGTCGAACAATTTTTAACTTTTCGTGTTCCATTTTGTACTTCGCATCGTTGATCAACCGTGATATAATAGTTGAGAGGCCATGATGCGCAACGTTGAACCCAGCAACAGAATCAACAGCGGAACAACAACACTTGTTAACAACAACAACATTATCCCATTCCAATCATCACTTCACTATCCCCAACAACAACAAACATTTAATTTATGGGGTGGACATAACGAATGTTCATCTCAACAAAACATTCAACAACAAACATTACAAACACAACAACAACAACAAACATTTCGACCTCACAAAAACAATGTTGTTGTTACCAGCCAAGAATGTTTTAACAACAAAGAATGTTTTAACAACATTGAAAAACATAGAAATGTTTGTAACAACCAAAACATTCAACAACAACAACAATTTGTTGGACTGTCAAACTTTGAACAATTTTATTCCCAACAACAACAATACACTCAAGAATGTTTTTTCTACCCAATCCAAACACAAAATTCTGTAAATGTTTTTAGACTTAAACAAAACATTTGTTTTTCTTTTAAGTTTGCGTTGGGAAACAATGTTACCCCAATGTTTGGCAACACCCACCAAACAACTAATAGAAGTTTGGGAATTGAACAACCGATAAATCAGGCAAGTAATCGCCTTTCTGTTGCTGCAAGTATTGCTACAAGCTATGCAAGCCATACAGGGATTAATCAATTGGGAGGTGTTTTTGTAAATGGAAGGCCTTTACCTACTTATGTCAGAAATCAGATTGTTGAGTTAAACAGAAGAGGTGTTCGGCCTTGTGATATTTCAAGACAACTTAAAGTTTCGCATGGATGTGTTTCTAAAATTCTTGGACGATTTTATGAGACTGGTAGAAAAAAATTTTTTAATTAAAAAAAATAAAATTTTAAAGGCTCAATAAAGCCCGGAGTTATTGGCGGTTCAAAACCTAAAGTAGCCACTCCAGAAGTTGTACATGCTATTGCTAGATATAAATTGAACAATCCAACAATGTTTGCCTGGGAAATTAGGGAAAAATTAATTGAAGAGGGAATAAGTGATGCAGAAAGTGCTCCTTCTGTTTCTTCTATAAACAGAATTGTTCGTAATAAATCTCAATGTTTAAGTGTTCACAAACATTGTTTGAATAAACACACAAACAATCAGAAAAACATTGCGAGTTTAAAAAGGTTGTTACAAACATTTGTTTTTCTTACAAAAACATTTGTTTTATAGAGAAACAGCTCAACAAAGAACAGAAATAAAAACTGATAGAGAATTTGGAAGTGATGAAGAACAACAACAAAAAGTAGTCAATACAACAAACAAAACAATGGCTAATAATAATTTCCAACAATGGCAACAACAACAAAATTTTATGCAAAACATTCTCAACAGAAATACAAACCAAAATTCTGCTTTACCTCAACCAATAAATTCCTTTAACCCTATTCAGAATAATGAAAGAAGTATGGGGCAATATCAACAAAGACAACAACAGATTGAACAGAATCAACGTCAAGTGCTCAAAACGACTAATAAAGGTGAGAGCTAATTAGTTGTTCTCTACACCCCTTTCATAGGGTGAAAGGGGCATAGGTTCCCTTCTCATAGGGTGAAGGGGATAGAGGTTCACCGATCATAAGGTGAAAGGGACGTGAGTTCTCACACAGGGTGAAGGTGACATAGGTTCACCTCTCAAAGTGTGAAAAGAACAGAGGTTCCCCTCACATAAGGTGAAGGTGACAAGAATTTCCTCGACAATGAATTAGCTTCCCAAATCCTCTAAACAATTTTTTAAAAAATTTTCAAGTTTCTCCACACCAAACAAATCCAACAAATTTCATCATTACCGGTAATATACAACAACAACCTACAAATAATTCAATTATTTCAACCGTCACTTCCCCATATTTTTAAATTTTACTTCATGTTGAAAACAAGAAAACCCCAAGAGAATTCTATAAAATCATGTGAAATACAATCTTCTTCCCAAATTAAGTTGAAAGCTTTTTATGTAAGTAAGTCTGTTCCCCCCACGCTCCAACTTTTTTTTCTTTATAAAATTAAATTAATTAACGAAATTGAATTTTTATATATTTTCTAAAAACAAAATTCTTTAAAAGAAAGGAAATTTTATTTTTGTATAAATATTTAAATAATAAATTCTGTAATAACAAGAAAAACAATTCCTCAATTTAATTAGCCATTTCCGGCTCACAATTTGTAACAATACTAAAACCTTCAATACAAGGCTCGACTAATCTAACGTCTATACGCCTTCTTTGGTCTTTCCGTTGTATAACGTTTAAGCTGACTTTAATTTGTTGAAATAAACGGATTCCATTTTTGGAACAAAATTCTGACATTTGTTCTATTGTTTTCCTTTCTCTACGTTTTGTGATCGTAGTTATAGTGGTGGAAGTTTCAGTATTTTCGTTCAAATAAATTACTGATTCCAGGCCAAATTTGGGTATCATTACCTTAAAATGGAGGATTAAATACTAACACCAATTAATTGGAATCAAGATTCCCGATAAAAAAACTCCTCCCCACACCTGAATTCCATTTGAACGTATCCCAATAACAATAGCTGGAAGACAAGGTTCAGGGTGTTCTTTAACCATCATAAATGTGTTTAACAGTACAGAAGCACGGCTAGCATATTGAGCTCGTCTGTGGCGTCTGTTCATGTTCTGAAAATTAAAAAGATCAAAGGGTTCAAAACTCCCCTAACCTCCGTCTGACGAATCAACTTTCTTCTATCCAACATATTTGGATGTATTTGATCTACTCCGATAAGTGCTGCAAGTAGTCGATGAACCATAACATCAGCATATCGACGAATTGGAGAAGTAAAATGTGTATAAACTTGAACAGCTAGACCATAATGTAAATATTGATCCCTTGGCACTGTTCCAGCAGCAAAATAAACGGCCTGGGTCATACAACTAAAAATCCAAATTAAATTGGGTTTAAGAACCCTTAAAGTAACCGTGTTGCCAGCATTCTCAACATTCGTGCAACCATAACATTACGAGGAGTTTCTCCTTGTTTTGACAGCTTTTCAATTTCATCCAAGCTTTTTCCTAGCTCCTTTCCAGTGTCCACATTTAAGTGAAAGCCGCAAGATTCGGCCATCTAAAATTTTTTAATTATTTCTATTATTTTTCAAACATCCAAAAAAATTTTTACTGGTTACTGTTCCTAGCCCCCCCACACCTTTCCCAATTTTTAATCTTATTAGTTTAAGTTTTATACTGTAAATATTTCAAAGACACTTTCCTTCCTTCCCCTTGAACCTCTCCCTCCACCTCTCCTCTTCTCATTCATAAACAAATAAAAGAAAATTAAAATAGATGCGCGATGGTGCTGAACGATGAAACAAGTTTTAAAAAATGTTTATATATTGAGGATTATATTGCAATTCTAGAGGGAAATTAAAATTGGTTTAAAGTTTTGTTTGAAAGGATGAGAGGATTATATTGTTTGATCAAAATAAGGATTTAATAGAAAATAGAAAAATAAGTTTTTTGATCAAAAATTGATCTGATTATCAACAGAAAATTAAAAAAAAATTTTTTTAATAAAATTTTCATCCGTCTTTCAATATTCCAACTATAGCTCGGACCGAGACAAGATCTCAATCAAAAAATCTAGGTTATTGAGATCGAGATTTTTCGAGATATCGATCTCATTTCTCGTGCGACCCTTCCAATCCTGGCTCTAATCCTAACCTCTCTCTACTCTTAACAATTCAATATTATTTACACAAATTCACTAGTTAAACAACAAAAGCATAAATCCGCGCATTAATCCACACCGCTATTTTGAGGGGAAAAGAGAGGAAAAAGGTTGGAGAGTCAAAATAATCGCCTCTAAAAATAGGCATACATTTCCGGTAAAAAGAGAAGGATAACAAATAATAACCATTGAGAAATAAGCAATTATAAATCCGGTGATTTTATTTGAATTTTGAGCTAAAAATTAGGCCGAAACATGACACAGATTTCGAGTGACACAAATTTTACAAAAATGGATAAACAAAAAATTATTAATAGGGTGACCAAAATGGGAAAAATAATAGAAAAATAATTCGCAAATTTTTTCAATAATTTGTGTCATGCTCGAGAGTTGTCCGAGAAGTTACCAATGCCGACGTGAACAAGAATACATAGTTTATCAGAAAGTTTGGCTGGAACAAATGAAGGAGGGTCCCTGATCGAAATTCCTACACAACAAATTTGGCAATTAAAATTTTTAAACGTGCCCACACCTTCGCGCGTGCCAAAAACACATATCTTTCCGTTTTTACCAAAAAAGCGTCCTTGGTTTAAAAGTTGGGGTTTGTTTGCATAGCAACTTTTCTAGTTAGTTTGGGCTTCCGCCGCAAATAAATGCGCTAATATGCAAGAAATTAATAAATATTTTAATAAAATTTGGCGGCAAAATATGGGCAGAAAAATTAATTTTTTGTTTAAAGAATAGTCGTGGTGACCTTGTATTTTTAAAAGAAAAAGATATCGGCGGAAAGGAGGGAAAAAACAAGCATTTAATCCCCTTTAACTCATTAGCACTCTAAAAACACGAGTCATCAAACACTTGCAAATCAAAAGGGAACGATAAATATAACAAAAGAGAAGAGGAAGATATGGCTATGAGAAAATTTTTAGAAAAAAATAAATACAATGAAAGACAAACATTGGGAAATGAAGAGGTAAAAGAGAGGACGAGAAGGGAGAGCAAGAAGGGGGAAAAGGTTCCGGAAAAATATTTCTGAGGGAAAAAAAGATTTTTTAGAAATCCCCAACCTCAAAATTTTTTAAAATTTTTAACAAAAAATAAACTCACGGAAATGAGTGGCTTGAAAGATACACGGCCTGGTATTGGATGTCTACGCAATATGGCACAATCCTTAAAAATAGAAATGTTACTAATAAACCCAGTACATAGAGGCTATTAGCGGTTTTCTATCGTACCGGCCTAGTGGCGCAATGGATAGCGCGTCGGTCTTCGGAACCGAAGGTTGCAGGTTCGAGTCCTGTCTGGGTCGAATAGTTTTTGTAAAATTTAAGAATCATCCAAAAGATTTTTTAGTCAATTTTCGGGACGAAAAATAACTTTTAAATTTTTAAACTTATTTTCTAATATTAATAAAAAAATATTAACCGGATATTCGTGAAGAATTTTTTCAGCAACAGAAATGTTTGCCAACAACATAAATTCTTCTATCATTGACCTTAAAAAATTTTTTAAAAGAATTTTATAAAAAAATAAAAGCAAACATAGTCTCCAAATGTTGCTTCTCTAACACTTTAACAGGAGCCCCAGTTTCCGGGTCAATATCAAAACGAATCTCTGAAGAAGCTAATTCCAATGCACCAACAGTACGTCGACGAGACTTGAAAAAATTTTTTTTAGAATTTTTAAAAAATTTTAAACCTTCAATTTCTTTGACAAATTTAACAGATTCCTCAAACTTGTAGCTATAACATCCTAAAAAAATTTTTTTCAAAAAATTAATTAAAAAACAAACCTGATATTTTTCATCATCAATCATTTCTTGAGCTTTTTGATAAGTTAAGGCAGCACGTGAATGAATTAACGATTTACAAAATCTAACATTTTGAATTTCTGCGTCTCCATTTAATTCCCAAATAACACTAAATGCATAGCGCAATTCACCACCACGAAGAGAACATCTTTAAAAATATTGGAGTTCAAGAATATTGGAAACTCAGCCCAGGAATCCAGACCCGGTAGTATTTTGATAAATCCGGAAAAACAAGATACCAGCGGCAATTTAAAAATTTTAATTAAAAAATTATATACAGATTTGTCGAAAGTAAAGATGGCAACATATCAATACGTCTTCCACATAAATAAACTGTAGTAGAACGCTCAGCTGCTGTTTGGTCTATTGCTGTTCCAGGACGAACAAAATGAGTGACTGAAAATTTTCTTAAGCTAAAAAATCTTAAATGAAAATACCATCAGCAATGTGCACTCCAACTTCAAAGCGATTAGGCCCTACTTCGCGGCAATGAACCGCATCGTCAATATCAGTACAACCTTAAATATAAAATAAAAATCACCAAAATTTTAATTCAAAAAAACCTTCAGGGTCAACAGAACAAATATCCAAAGCCGTCAAATCTTCGCGTTCTGGAGGATCTAAAGGATGTGGTGACCAAGGAACTTGAGGAAGACATGCGAGGACAGCTGGAGAAAATTCATCATAGGGAACTTCATGTTCCAACAAAATAACTTCATCTTCTGTTTTGCGTTCGCCTTCATTGCCAATTACGCGAATATAATGACCTCTTGGATAATGAGAATCTGAAAAATATTTTTTAAAAATTTGTTAAAGGAAAATATCTTCAGAAACCTTGTGGCCATGAATCAATTTGTACCAGAACTTTTTTGCCAATCAACTGTTCATAATAGGACGTCTCAATTCTAATTCGGGGAATTAAACGTTCAGAAGGAGCAAATAAAAACTGACGAGCACCAGGCATGTTTGGAGGTAAAATAATTCCACAATAATGACGCCAATTCCGTCGTAGAATGCCAACAATACGTGCTGAGGGCAAAACCTGAAAGAAGAGAAAAGGTGAGATTGGGTCAAAACAAAGGGTGTAGCCAGGAGTCGACTTCAGAGAGGGGCTAAAATCCCCTGGCTACGCCCTTCGCCAAAATCGTTAATTAAAAAACCTCTTTTCTGCTCTTCTTTGCCGGTGCTTCACTATCTTCCAAATCCTCATCTCCACTTTCTTCCTCTTCCCCATCAGCATCAGGTAAATTATCTCCCTCATTTTGGGTTTCCTCAGCGTCTCTTAATCGAATAGTTTTCTCTGGAGCGGACCACTCAGATTCTGGCAAAAGTTGAGCTACTACGACATCTCCGTGAACTGCTCTATTCATATTTAGAGAACCCTAATTTTTTGGATTTTAAAAGGCCAAAAATTTGAATAAACCTGGACAAACCATTGATCCTCCATATCAAATTCCACAAAAGCTTCCAAATAATTTTCCTGGGAAATCTGAATTTTTTAAGTAAATTAAAAATCAAGAAAAACGAAAAACCTGAAATTTTCCTTTTTTCAAATTTCCTTTAGACAATCCATCCAAAAGTTTGTCTTGAGTCCAATATTCTGGAAAAAGTGCACGTCCTCGTCTTTCTTTTTTGCCTAAATCAGTTAAGCGTTGAATGAGCGACTCGGAGCCTGGGATTCCTTTAAGAAAATAAATTTTATAGTAACGGAATAAAAGAAAATTCAAACCTTTTACATAATCAATTAGTGAAATTACATGTTGATAATCTTTAGAAACACGCGCAATCGTCTCTTCTGAAGAACAGAGAATTAAAGGACGAACAGAAAATTCATTCCAATGATCGCAAAGAAATTTAGAGCCAGAAATTAAGCATTGTTCTTGACTGGAAAGGGAAAATATACTTGAAAGATATAATTAAAAAACAAACTAAAGTTCAGGAACACGGCTAAAGCTTAGATCAACAAAAGTTTGGCCAACAAATTCATTGAGAAAAACAAACATTCGATCATTATTTTCAGTAAAAAAGGTATTTAAACGTTTAAAAACTGCACCGCTCATTTTCTTTATGTAAGCCCAAACACTTTGGAGAATAATTATATTCCTGAAAATGACAAAAATTTAATTTAAAAAATTCGAAACAAACCGAAAAACACTAATATCATCCAAAACATCAATAAATTTCATTATAGAAGGCCCATCAAGAAGTAAAAAATGTGGGTATTTAACTGATTTAGTCAAACTTCCATTTTCAAAAAATTGGAGAGGTTTGAGGGCTTCACTGTTGTAACGACATTTTAAACAACGCGAAAATCCACAAGGAATATCATTTCTCAAATAAAGTTCATTTACACGCTTAAGATTTGGAAAAATTTTAATTTAAAGGAAAGCAAAACCTTGTTAATCTTCCCACTCCTTGTTTTGTAATACGTTGTAGAAAATGTTCTTTTTTCAATTCCGCTTTGTTTTACGTTCAATTCCATTGATAAATCTAATCTGGAAAAGAAAAAATATAAAAAATTTAAGAGAAAATTTTTTAGAAATTTTTTCGAAATATTTTGAGAATTTTTGACTTATTTTAAATATTTATCGCTAATTGACATTTTGAAAAGTTGGCCTTTTGAAAATATTTATCAAAAATTATTTCAAAATGTCAAAAATAAAAAATGTTAAATCTGAGATTCTTTGGGGGGGTTTTTCAAGTTTTTCTGCAAAAATTTCAACATTGCCTTTTCTACAATAAAATTTCTTTTTTTTATTTTCAGTTTTATTAGAGAGCTATGCAAGGATCATTATTTACATTAGAATTAGAAAATTTCAAATCTTTCAAAGGAAAACAAACTATTGGGCCTTTCAAAAACTTTTCTGCAATTATTGGCCCCAATGGATCTGGTTTTTATTTTTAAAAATTTTAAACATTCTTTAATATTTAGGAAAATCAAATCTTATGGATGCAATTTCGTTTGTTTTGGGAGAAACTGCAAAAAATTTGCGTGTTAAGAAACTTGCGGTAAATTTTTTTAACGCTAGTATAAGGTTACTTGTGGCTATCCCAAACCAGTTTTTGACGACATGCTTATTCGGGCTCATAATTGTCGGAGCACCCATTATGAAGGGATGATTTCATTGGGAAATATCGTTCCGGAAATATTTCCCTTTTTGTCTGACTATTATGAGTCCGCAAAAATTTGCTTGGAATAACCCACAAGTACCGTAATTAATCCTCATTTACAGGATCTGGTTCATGGTGTTAATGTACAGGATGCAGTTTCTATAAACTGCAAAGTCAAAATGATGTTTCATCAAGTAGATGATGAAGCGAATGAAACAACAGAAAAAACATTTCAAAGATCATTAACTGAATTTCGTGTTGATGATCAAAAAGTTTCCGTTGGCGAGTATCACAAAGAGCTTGAGAAGATTAATATATTTATAAAGGTTATAATTTCTTTTTTTAGATAATATCGAGTTTCGTGCTCCATCCCCCTTCTATTTTTTCTATTAGAATGTGCATAATGGTTAGACTTCCTAGATCCCACTCGATTTCCCTTGTGCTTGGTCAATCAAACAGATTAAAATTTATTCATTGCATTCACAAGGAAGAGAAATGTGACGACAAAATTATATTTAGAGCACAAGGAATCGAGTGAGTGAGGAAGGAGGAAGTCTGACCATCATGTACATTCTACGAAAAATAGTCGGGGGCGAACTCGGCATTACCATTTTTTATATTTTTATCAATTTTTTTTGAATTTAGGCACGCAATTTTCTTGTCTATCAAGGTGCTGTTGAACAAATTGCAATGCAAGGTCCGAAGGAGATGACTCAACTTTTTGAAGAACTTTCCAAGTCATATGAATTACGAGATGATTATGAACGTTTGAAACAAGAAATGCATGCTGCTGAAACAAATGCCCAAGCTAATCTTACGAGGAAGAAGGATATTGTTTTGGAAATGCGCGAGGCAAAGCAAGAGCAAATGGACGCTAAACGTTTTCAGAATTTGAAGCAAGATTTGGTAAAAATATTTTTCTGTGTGGGTTTTTGGGTCACTACTTGTCAGAGTGCGAACGGGACAGGAATTTTGTACGTGATTTTAAAGGATCCCGCCTCGAACTCCCGGGTTTAATCGACATACGGGATTATCTGAATTAAGGATTAATACCGCGGGATCCCATCCTGCTCGACCTTGTGAAAAAATCCTGTTGCGGAACCTCGGGAATGAGATCTTCCGAGCTCTACATTTAACAATTTGTTCATTTTATAGCTTGAGAAAAATAGAGAATTATATTTGGCTCAACTCTTTTTTGCTGAAAAACACAAAAGAGATACTGAAGAAGAATTGGAAAATCTTAAACGACAAGTTAAAGAGAAAAAGAAGGAAAAAACAGCTTATGATAAAGTTTTGAAAGATAAGCAAGAGGCTGCAAAACAATGCTACAATGCTAGAAATAAGAGAGAAGCTAAAGTTCAAGAAATCGTTTAGTTTTTTTAAATTTTGTTTTGAATAATTTTTGGTAATTTTAGGAACGTCGAATGTTGGGTGAGAAGCCTAAAATAGCTCAAATGAAGCAACAACTAGCTCATTCTGAAATGCGTTTGGAAAGTATAAAGAAGGCTCATGATAATGCTGAAAAAGCTGTTAAGAGTCTTGATCAACAGATAAAGGCAGCTGAAGCGAATATTAAGTAAATATTAAACGATAAAAATTTTTGGAGTCTACTAAAGTTGTTGGGTATTAATCAGAGGTTACGTGCTATCCAATAACTGGAACTCAGACTTTTTCGGCCTAACAAGCTTTCAAACCCAGACTCAATTGTTTGCACTCTCAATTCTCTTAACTGACCCGGAAAAAAAAAAGCTGGGACTTTTTATCACTGGAAACCCGACCCAAAATTTTCGAGAATTCTGCTCATGTCAGCTGGGCTCCCTCTCAATTCCTTTGACTAACTCTAAACCACGACTTTTTTGACTCGAAAAAACCATCTGACCCAAAACTGGGAAAATCCATCTGACCCAAAACTGGGACTTTTTATGACCCAAAATCCCATCCAGAAACCCGACATGACTTTTTTCTCAACCCTTTTTCCCCAACCTCAACTCAGATCTTTCTCAAAAATAAATATTTTTTTCTTTCAGAGAAATTGAAAAACAAAAAGCCGAATTGGAGAAAAAACTTTCTGAAAAATCAAAGCGACAAGGAATTAATTTGAATGAAGCGGATGTAAAAAAAAAATTTTTTGGAAAATTTTCTCATTTTTCTTCTCTTTAAAGGTTAAAGAATATCGTCGTTTAAAAGCAGAAGTTGAAAAACGTTGTACAGTTATTGGAACAGATTTGGAAAATAAACGTGAAGAAAAAAAATCGGCAGTAGATGCAAATGAATTTGATAGGCGTCGTTTACAACAAAATCAAGAAAAATTGGATGAACGACAAAAAGTATTAGAAACTGATAAGAAAAATTTGGAAGCACTTGAACAAACAGAAGATCGGCAAAGAAAAGATTTGGAAGAGGCAAGAAAGAAATTGGATGAGTTACAAAGGGAGGTTTGTTTTTACAATTTTTTGTTCTAACAAGGGGGACATCATCTATGATGGGTGGAAATTTGTTATATTTTTTGGTACCATTCGATGAAGGATTCATGACTTTTTATTACGAAGTAAAATTCTTTCCTTGCAAAATGACTTTAGACCGAGTTATGGCCGTCCAAACTAGGATAGATGGATTTAAAGTGTCCCTCATTTCTTATTCTAAAGCGCTCCATAAGCCCGAAGATTTGACTGACCATAACTCGATCCAAAGTAATTTTGCAAGAAAGTGGATATCACTTCACAATAGGAAGTCATCTATTGAATGGGACCAAAAAATATAGCAAATTCTGGTGACATTAGACGATGTTCTCTTCTATTAAAAAATTTTTTGCCTTCGCTTGATAAAAATAACAAACCCCTTCAATCTTTTAGGTTGCAAATTCAAAAGATAGGAAGAAAAAATTGGAAGAGGAATACAACAAAGTATGTAAAGAAATTGCTGATGCACATGGTGACCATTCAGAATCTGAAAGAAGCCGTCGTCAACACGAAGCTGTCGAAAATTTAAAAAGAGTTTTTACTGATAAAGTTTATGGACGTCTTGTTGATTTGTGCAAGCCTTCAAATAAAAAATATAATTTGGCCGTTACAAAAGTTTTTTTTCTTTATTTTTTGAGTGGGGTGGCTTTCCCTTTGGTTTGGATTTTTTGGGTTGAAATAGTTTGGCTTTAGAGATCAAAATCGTATCCGGATTGTTCGGGAAGGCTTCCTTCCCCCTGGAAAGTTCCCTGGCATGATCTGGGAAAAAAAAGTTCCTGGCCGACTTTTTCCTTGGAAAGATACGGGAAGGGGTCCCTATCCTACTGGAATGTCCTTGGAAGGTTTAAACGGGAAGGGGTCCCTATCCTACTGGAATGTCCTTGGAAGGTTTACTTTCTCACTTGAATGACATGGGAACTGTTCTTGTTCTTTTTCACCTAGAAAGACCTGGAAAAGATTCCTTTCTCCTTGTTAAGTTATTCCTCTAATATTTACCCTTGAAAAAATTTTTAAGATTCTTGGCAAGCATATGAATTCAATTGTTTGTGATAATTCTGACACAGGAAAAGAATGTATTTCTTATTTGCGTGAACAACATTATCCGCCAGAAACTTTTTTGCCAGTCGCTGAATTACGTGTTGAACCATTTCGTGAACATTTGCGTACTTTAAAAGAACCTCCAGGAGTAAAATTAACTTTTGATGTTATTGCTCCAAATATTACTTCTGATTCAAATTTAAATTCAAAAATAAAGAAAGCTTTGCAATTTGTTTGTGGAAATTCTTTAGTGTATTTTTTTGGATTTTTTTTTTTTGAATTTTATAAAATTTTTAAATTTTAGTTGTGAACAGCCTCAACATGCTAAGGGACTTGCCTATGGAATTACACGAAAGGGTGAACGTTATAGATCTGTTGCATTGGATGGAACACAATTTCAAGTATTATTTAAAATAAATATCATAAATGTTTTAATTAGGAGCTTTGGCTTTTTGAATGGGCTTCTAATAGGATTGGGTTATAAGGACTTCTATTTTTAATATGTCTCAATGGGCACTTCTGATAGGGCATTACAAGGACTTCTACATACATATTTTCCAATAGACTCATTGTATGGTCTTCTACAAGGGCATGGACTTTTTCAAGGGTATGGACTTCTATTTTTCAATTGAAGCCGGGCGTCTATTAGAGCATTTACTTAAAAATTTGTCTAAAACCCTCCCAATTTTAAAGCCAAATGGTGTAATTAGTGGTGGAAGTTCTGATTTAAAAGTTAGAGCAAAAAAATGGGATGAAAATGCAATAAGAAAATTAAAAGAAAAGAGGAATGATTTACAAGAAGGTTTACGTCAGTTACATGCAAATTCTAGAAGAGAATTGGATGTTGAAATGGCTAGAAATCAAATTAGACATTTGGAAACCCGCCTCCGTTTTACGCGAACAGAAATTGAAAAATTTAAAGAACAAATTGCCCAACAAGTAAGAGATGATGAAGCATTTGGTGAACCTGATGAAATTGAAGCTAGAATCAATGGAAGAGAACTCATAATTGCTGATTTGGAAAAAGAAATTGAGAAACTGGAAAAGAGTAAAAATGAAGTGCAAGATGAAGTTTTTGCTGATTTTTGTAAAAGAATTAAAATCAAGGATATTCGGTAAGAAAAAAATTTTTTTGAGAAGGGAATTGGTTTTGGGGGGGGGGGATTAGACGTAAGAAAATTGGTATAGTGTTCGTAAGATATTCAAAAATAAACATAAGTTAGTTGTTGCCGTTTTTCGATTTGACCTTTTTGAGTCATTTTCTGGTTTAAGTTGTTTATTGTTGGATCACTCGATCTTTTGCGGCTCAAAATGGCAATATGGTCAGTCCTAGGAAATCACACTGAGTTAGGGGTTGACATTTTTCGATTTGACCCTTTTGAGTCATTTTCTACTTTAAGTGTTTGAGATTTGATCGAACTTCCTGTATCCAAAACTCCCAGTATTAACCCTAATTTAATTAATTTTTCAGAGAATATGAACAACGTGAAATGCAAATCCATGATGAACATGAAAAATCAATTAGTGCGTTTACTCATCAAATTGAACGTTTAAATTATGAACTTGAATATCTTCGTGGTGAAGATAGGCAAGGTTTTTTCGAGAGAGATTTTTTTTATTAAAAATTTTTTTTTGAAATTTTCTAGCAAATGTTAGAAAAGAGGAAGAACGTTTAAATGTAGTTAGAGCTGAAAAGGAAAAAGCAGAAGAAGATTTTAAGGATATTGAAGAACATTATAAAGACTTGGAAAATAAATTAAAAGAAGCAAAAAAGGAAGTGGAAAGTAAAAGAGAAGAAGCTGCAAAGGCAGATAAGGAAGTGAAAGATGCAAAAATACAAAATGCTGAAATGGATAGAGTAAGTTGTGAAGGAGGGATGTCACGGGTTATCTGAAACCTGTACTATACTTCTCTGGAAAAAAACTGGACTTTTTCCCTCTTAATCCATCTAACCGACTCGACTTGAAACCCGATCCTTTTCAGACTCGAAACCCAAACATTTTCTTAACCCGTTACCTCCCTGACAACAATAGAGTGGACGTGTAAAAATTTTTTTAAAGGAGTTACATGCAATTGAACGTAGTTTAGTTCAAAAACAACAAGAAAGGAATCGAAGAGCCGAAAAACGTCATTCACTTCTTCATCAATGCAAATTATCGTCTATTAAAATTCCTTTAATTAGTGGATCTCTTAATCAAATTATGCTTAATTCTGATTTGTCAGGTTTGTGATTTTTTTTGAAATTTTTGGGTTTTCAATAAGTCTGACCGTTACACCTCAATTTTAGGGTTTTAAAATTTGTGCTGGATTCAAGGTGGGGTAGCTACATAAACGATACCTAATATTTAAGATACACCTCATTATACGTAGAATTTTTCAGTACAGTGCCAAAGGCTTTTTCCAAAGATAATCCCAAGGTTCAAAAGGTAGTCCAAGTTCATCCAGTCCCCCATATATTTAGTTGTCTCAAATTACCTTCAGTTCCAAAAATAAATGATGCCCGCCTATACCAAAACGGTCAAATTTAAAAATTATTTAGCTGATGATTCCCAATCTACTTCATTAAATCATTCGCAAAGTTTGGAGGCTGCTGAAGAAATTGAAATTGATTATAGAGATCTTAGGGATTCTGTCAAAAAGGTTTTTTAAATTAAATAATGAGAAAAAAAGTTGCTTTTTCAGTTGGTATCAGATACAGAAATTAATGCATTATTAGATGAATTAACCAAATCAGCAGCTGAAACAGAAGAAAAACTTTCTAAAATGGTTGCACCTAGTGCAAAGTTGGATCAACGTATTGATAAAGTAAAAGAACGAGAAAATGAAAATTTGGCAAAATTGGATGAAGGTCGAAAGAAGGCACAATCAGCTAGAAGGGCTTTCGAGAAAGTTAAGACGGAGCGGTTAAAACGTTTTCAAGATTTTTTTGAACCTGTGGCTAATCGAATTGATGAAGTTTATAAGGTTTATTTATATTATTTGGAAAAATTCCTCATATCTCCCATACTCCGATTCGGACAGACGATATGTCATTTGAAGGAGCTCGGTGAGATAAGGAGTCGAATGAACCTAAAATCAGCTTGATTTGACCATTATGAGGCCATAATTCGGCATATTGGTTAGTCCCAAACTTAATTTTGTTGTCGTTCGACTCCGATCGTTGAGCTCTTTCAAATGACATATTTTCTGTCCATATCGGAATATGGGAAATATGACGTAATTTTTTTAATTTTTTTTATTATTTACTCAAAAAAATTTTTCTAGGCATTAAGTCAAAACGAAAGTGCCCAGGCATATTTGGGACCAGCAAATACAGAAGAGCCTTATCTGGATGGAATTAATTATAATTGTATTGCACCTGGAAAACGATATAGGCCAATGGATAATCTTAGCGGTGGAGAGAAGACTGTTGCTGCATTGGCTCTTTTGTTTGCTATTCATTCAAGCAATCCATCCCCTTTCTTTGTTTTGGATGAAGTTGATGCTGCACTTGATAATACAAATATTGCAAAGGTTTTTTAAAAATTATTTTTTATCATTAGAAATATTTTGGAAAAGAATTGAACAAATTTTGTTTTAATTCCGATTTAAAAAATTATTTTACCCGGATGGGGTTCGAACCCATGGCCTCGGACATACGAACTTAAATTTTTCCGACTACACCAACAAATGAAATGTTGGAGGTTTCTGGGAGAAAGGGGTAGTTGATGCTGGATTAAGCGATTTGTGATTAACTTTAATTTCGTTTTAAAAAATTATTTTGCCCATGACTTAGGAAACCGTGAATTTTTCTGACTACAGCAACAAAAAATGTTCGGGGAAATGACCGATTTAAAAAAAAATTTTTTATTAAAATATTTCATTATTAATTTTTTTAAAAAAGGTTGTCAAATACATTAGTGAACGTTCTAAAGCAGATATTCAATTAATTGTAATTTCGTTGAAAGAAGAAATGTACAACAAAGCTGATTCACTTATTGGAATAAACAAAAAAGACGGATCCATGTATTGTTAGCGGTGTTTTAACGTATGATCTCGAAAATTTTGATAATATGTTTGAAGGAGAGCCTCGAGAGTGAGGGAGGTTTATTTTAATTTTGAATAGATCCCAAATATTTTTTTGTTTTTTGATATTTTTTTCCTTTTAATTAGCGTTGGACACGTCCGGTTAATCTTTCCCTGTGGTGGCTCAAAAAGATCTTTTTTCTCTATTTGACCCGCCAAGGGGAAAAATTGACCGGTCGCGTCCAACTCTATTTTTGATTTTAAAGATTCTTTTTTCATTTGAAAATTAACATTTTACCTTTACACGCATCCTTTCATTTTTTTTGTTAAATAGGCTGTAAGCTTTTAATGAAGATAACGAGATTTGGAATAACAAAAGAAAAATTAGCTGTTCTTCCGCCTATTTTTTACAAAAAAAAATTTAATTTTACCCCTGCTTACCTATAATTTATCTTATCTTTTTCGATTGAAAATAGTTGTCACCGAATAAAAATTTATTTTATATGGATAAGGTTTGAAAACCTCAAAAAATAACTATAACAAAAAATAGTGCTGGGTAAATTCAAGGGAATAAAAAAAATAATTAAAATAATTTACCCAGCAGATTTTAAATTAAATTAATTTTTAAGTGAATGGCCAGGGAATGAGTATTTTGGTACAAATATAATTAAAATTTAAAAAAATATTGGGCCCAGTACGAAAATTTTTGAAGAAAAGTTTTTTTGGAAATAAATTGAAAGTATTCCAATTCAAAATTTAGTAACAATTTTCGTACCGGTCAAAACAGCACAAGAAAAAATTTTGAGAGGGGTGTGAGTGTTAGGATTAGGGTTGCCGTTTTCGAGTCGGGCCGACGGTCGAGGCATTTTTTTTCGGGCATGTTTTTATCGAGTCGGGCCGGTACGAGTCTTTTTCGGGCCTTACTTTATCGAGTCGGGCCGATACGAGTCTTTTTCGGGCCTTACTTTATCGAGTCGGGCCGGAACGAGTCACTTTCGGGCCTGACTTTATCGAGTCGGGCATCGAGACATTTTCGAGTCTTTTTTTAAAAGATTTATTTAAAAATAATTAGTGGATTTGGAGGGATATCTGTGAATTAAAAGGTATATCGATGGATCTGGAAGGTAAAGGAAGGGCTGAAGAGAATTGAAATGGATATCAGTGGATTTGAGGGATTAAGGTGATTTAAATGATCGGAGGATTGGTGTGAGATATTGCTAGATTTGGTTTTATTAAAGGAGATCAGATAATTAAGGGGATCAGGATCGCATATCAGATAATTAAGGTGCTATATTGTAATGGGATTTAAAAGGATTGAAGAGATTTGAATGGATATCGGAGATTTGAAGGATAACGCAAGATTTAAGTGATATCGTGCTTAATCACCAAATCCCTTAATAAAATCCCAGTGTACCATGATTGAACTATTCGGATTTAGATAAGGGCTTACTGGAAAGTCAGGAAACCAAATTTCTTCTTTTTTCAGCGCCGCAGGCGAAAATTTTCCGAATTTTGGAAGGCAAGGAGCCATATTTCTCCCATTTTTGTGCACAAATCTGGTAAAAATATTACCGAGTCTTGTTCGAGTCGGGCCGACTTTTTCCGAGACAATTTTTTTCGGGCCTGTTTTTATCGAGTCGGGCCGGTACGAGTCACTTTCGGGCCTAACTTTATCGAGTCGGGCCGGAACGAGTCTTTTTCGGGCCCAAATTTATCGAGTCGGGCCGGTACGAGACTTTTTCGGGCCAAACATCGAGGCATGACTCGATCTTTCGGTCCGAGTCGGTCCATTTTGGCAACCCTAGTTAGGATATATATTAAACAAATTCACAAATAGTATATAAAACAAATTCTAAAATAGAGACGGCACTGGAGGGATCCTGTACGGGATTTTAAGAAATTCCGTTCCGGAATCGCGGGTTCTAAGCGACGACTGGGATTATTGGGATTCAAGGATTAATCCCGCGGGATCCCTCTCATTAATCTTTTGAAACTCAATCCAGTTATGTGATCCCAGAAACGCGATTTTTCCTATCTCTATTCTAAAATATTTTTAAATCTTTTTTAACCTCATCTTCCTCTAATTTTCATTTTTCTGATCATACTCGTTTCGTATTTTTTGAAAAATTTCAATAATTTTAAGCAAACCATGAATATAATTTTCATCTAGTTGGGATTTACTTTCCACTGAAAAAACATGTGAAAAATCAATCATTCGAACATCAACTATTGAGGGTAATTGGCTATGTCCTTCATATACAAAAAGAAGAGAAGAAGCATAAAAATGAAGCATCTTTTGTTGTAAAAACCAGTCTTGGATTGATTTGAGACGTTCAATAAATCTGTCCAAAATGTCTGAAGCTTGGACAGGGCGGGCTTGGATTAAGTATTCTTCAAAAGCTTAAAATGGTTAAATTAAGTTAAAAATTATTTTAATTTTAATTCCCCTATTGACCCAAAGTTTTTTCGTAGAAATATTGACCACCAAATGGAATTCGAACCATAGACCCCTAAGAACCTCGAAAAATATTGGAGTGCCAGTTTAGGGTTTTTAATATTTTATTTCTCACAATAGGCCGTTCAAAGAATTTCTATTAAAAAAAAACAAATTAACCTTGCTGTAAATTTTCCAAAGTTCTCTCCCTTCCCCATACTCGATCCTTGCTGTAAAATTCTGTTTCTGTATGAATCTAAAAAAATTCTTTATAAATAATATTAAGAAAAGAAAAATTTCAAACCCTATAACCAAGAATTCTAAACCCCAAAATTTCCTGGAAAGGACATTTTGATTGTTCTTTTATTCTTTTTTCTTCGGTTGCGTCTGGATCGTCTAAAAATTAATTTTAAATTTTTTAAAAAATATTTCAAGCCTTACAAGTAACTTTGCCAATTTTTATGTCCATAATACAGGGCTTTTCGAATGGATAAGTAATATCTTTAAAAAAATTTTTTTTAATTTTCCCTTAGAAAAATTAAAATAACCTTCAAGTTGAAGAAATTCTTTTGGAGAATCTAAATTTTTCTTCGATTTTTAACGATCTTGACTCTTATTTTTAAAGTTTTCTGCACCTTTCTCGTAGAGTTTAATGCTCCGACAACCATAGAACTTAGGCAAAAATTTGGCCAATTCAAAAAGTAAGGAGGCATTTTTATCTTCATTTTTGTCATTCTTTTGGGCATTCTTTTGGACATCATTTTTCTGCTTTTGGGAAACTGCAAGTTTAATTCGACTATAGAAGGCGACCTTTAATTTAAAAAATTTCTAGAATATTTTTTAAAAATTTTTAACCTCTCTTTCGCCACGATCCCCAGGCTGCACCAATTTTAAAATAATGTGTTTTTTGCCTCGTTCTTTAAGTATTCCTGAAAAATAAATTTTTAACAAGGGGAAAAGTCTTTAAAACAAACCAATTTGTCTTACTCCATTTCTGACTGTGGAGGGATGATGGCCAGCAATTTGATCTTCGTACCATCTAAAATTTGGAAAGATTTTTCTAAATTAATTAAAAGAGACTTACTCAAAATTTGGAGGAAGTTGAGCATCAATATCCATTAAAAATTGTGTAAAAATTGACAAAAATGAGGAAACAAATTTTAAAAATTTTGCTGGCCAACAATGAGAATGATTTCTCATAAAATTCTAAAGATTGAGAGAAATTTATGCAACGTGTTATCATAAAAATTAAAAAAACAACATTAAATTTTATGGCCTAAACGAGGAAATTTTTCTTTAAAATTTTCCGTTTTGGTGAGTAATTTTGGTGAGAGACAATGCTAATTGAAGAGAGTTGGAAGAGAAAAAGAGAAAAAAGAAAATGACATTAAATCCCAAATGTGGGTGAGAGACAACACAAAGTGGAGAGTGTTGGAAGAGAAAAACAGAAAAGAGAAAATGACATTTGATCCCAAAAAGTGTCGAATGCGGGAATTTTTAGTTTAAATTTTTTAATCCAAAAATTTTTTCTTTAATCTTTTTTAACGATTCTTTTTCTTTGTTTATCATTTAAAGGTCAGTTATTGATTTATTGATGAGTTTTATCGATTCTTTCCTTGTTTAAGTACAATTAGAGAAGGATAAGGTTGTTCGACTTGTCAAATTTCTGAAATCTTTTCTTCCTTCCCCGCTTAACTTTAAACGATTTTCTCAATTTCAGAGTAATTTAATTGACCGTTAAAACTTATATTTTTTATTCTACACACTTTTGCTTATTATATAATGGATTATCTCGCGCAATTAATCCACGAGAAGAGCACGATTTCGGCATTTCCCAATCATTTTAAACATACTGACCGCTTAATAGATCTTGGTATGTTTTGACTTTCAATTTCTCTTTACATTCTAATCACTTTTAGAGATTGCACGCGTTCGTGCTCAGCTTTTCCAGTGTAATTTTGACGACGATTTGCCAAAATTGCCTGAGCTGGAGTCTCATGAGGATATTGTTACTTTGCAGGAGAAGGTTTATGTGCCAACCAAGGAACATCCGGAGGTAATTTTAACTAGATAGGAGGCGCAATCCCTTTTAAAAAGGGTCCGTAATTGATCTTGAAAGACTGGGCACGGTCTCGTTTCTTCAATTTTACTTCATGAACCCTAAAATGTATATTCATGACCATTGGTCGGGTTCGAACCTACAACCTCACTAATGTCCTCGTTGGTGAACTCGGTAGTGTTTGGATTCTCACTGGTTGAAGGTTGTGGGTTCGGATCCCACTGATGGGTAACAATTTCTATTTCTTATTTAAGAGTGTGTAACACATTTTAAAGTCATTTTGGCTTCATAAAAAATTTCTAACATTATTTTTTCCCAATTTCAAAAATCATAATTCTTTTGTTAGCTTAATTTTAAGTTCAACTTTGTTGGTCGCATTCTTGGTCCGCGTGGTATGACTGCTAAGCAATTGGAGCATGAGACTGGTTGCAAGATTATGGTTCGTGGTCGTGGATCATTGCGCGATACTAAAAAGGTTTTAATTGAGGACTTCTCTTTTCACATTTTTAATTTTGAGGAAGAGGCAAATCGTGGAAAGCCAAATTGGGAGCATCTTGAGGACAACTTACACATTCTCATTCAATGTGAGGATACTGAGAAACGTGCCCGTTCTAAACTTGAGAAGGCTGTTGGGAGGGTCAAGAAGCTACTTGTTCCAACGGTTCTTTTTGTCTTTTACTTTCAATAATTTTTATTTTGTTTTTAGAACAATGGAATTGATGAGCTGAAGCGTAAGCAGTTGATGGAACTTAGCATCATCAACGGTACTTATCGTTCTGCAATTGGGCCGAAGAATCCACCAAGTTTGTTTCTTTAGCCATTTTCAATTTGTTATCGTATTCTTTAAGGCATTCCTCGACTCACTCCGCTTTCTATGCTTTCTCACATGCATTTGCCGATTTCGCCGCCGCCATTTGTCTCGTCGGCTACTACTCATTCGCACAGCAACAATCATCCATTCTTTGGTTCGCCTTTGCCTAGTCCCTAAAAATGAAGAGGAGGAATTGCTGATTGCTTTTAAAAAAAGAAGGTTTTCAAAGATAAATAATATTGTTATATTCTCTAGCGCTTAAAATTGTCTCTTATCTCCTCTCTTCCATCCTCTTCAGCAAAAAGTTTTGAAAATTTTTTTGGAGTTTTTTTGAACTTGAGAAAGTTTGGGAGATATCTTTTGAATGGGAGATGAAATTTAAAATTTGTGACGCTCCAAAGAATTTTTTTAAACTTTTTGTTTAAGCCCCTCTTAAAAGAAAATTTGGCATCTATTTTATCTTATTGTTGTTGCTGCCTATTATTTTGTCATTTTCTTATTAAATTATATAATTCTCTCTCTCTCCCACCTATTCCCTATTTAAAAATATATAATTTAATAGGCATCTAAAAATAAGTTAAGTTTTAATTCTAAATAAATAATTAAGCGCCTTAATTGTAAGCATAATTTAATTTAAGTATAATTTAAATAAATGTTTTAATTATTTTTTTGTTTTTTTTTTGTTAACTTTAAAATGTGTTTTTTGATCACATTTTTATATCTTTTAATATCTTTTTTAGCACAGCAACAACTGAGATGCAACAAATATTTTTTTGGAGCGTTGTCAGGTTGAGCTTGCGAGTTGGCCCCCGAATCGTGGAATAGGGCATACCTTTTTAGATTCATTTTGTAGTTTAAAATTTGCGAACAAAACTTGTCGGGTTTTTTTAATTTAATTTATGTATTCTATTTTTTAATTTAGTGCCTCCAATCAACATGTTCAACTCCAATCAACATGGTCAGCTGCATCTCGCTTCAACAATATGCTTTTGGTGGAGAGCGTTAGTTTTGTGTGGGGTTCTGTTTGTATGTGTATGAGGTTTGGGTAAATCAAGGTTTGGGGTTCCCCTTATTTTTGTTACTTTTCTTTTTGGTTTATCTTTGACAAATTATATCAATCAGAAAGGACCTTGGTTTACCCTTAAATTCTGTTTGTTATTTGTGTGATGGAATGTTCCGGCTTTTGTTCGAAGGAATGTTCCGTCATTTGTGCAAGGGGATCTTCCGGCTTTGTTTCGGCAATTGTTTGGAATTCTTTTGGCAAGTGTTTGAGTTCCTTTGGCAAATGTGCGGAGTTCTGTCTGTTTTCGTGTCTGTTTCTGGCTTTTGTTCGAAGGGATGTCCCGTCATTTGTTCGGGGGAATTTTTCGGCAGTTGCTTCGGCAATTTGTTCGAAGTTCTTCTGGCAGATGTTTGGGTTCCTTTGGCAAATGTGCGGAGTTCTGTTTGTTTTCGTGTCTGTTTCTGGCTTTTGTTCGAAGGAATGTCCCGTCATTTGTTCGGGGGAATTTTTCGGCAGTTGCTTCGGCAATTTGTTCGAAGTTCTTCTGGCAGATGTTTGGGTTCCTTTGGCAAATGTGCGGAGTTCTGTTTGTTTTCGTGTCTGTTTCTGGCTTTTGTTCGAAGGAATGTCCCGTCATTTGTTCGGGGGAATTTTTCGGCAGTTGCTTCGGCAATTTGTTCGAAGTTCTTCTGGCAGATGTTTGGGTTCCTTTGGCAAATGTGCGGAGTTCTGTTTGTTTTCGTGTCTGTTTCTGGCTTTTTTCGAAGGAATGTCCCGTCATTTGTTCGGGGGAATTTTTCGGCAGTTGCTTCGGCAATTTGTTCGAAGTTCTTCTGGCAGATGTTTGGGTTCCTTTGGCAAATGTGCGGAGTTCTGTTTGTTTTCGTGTCTGTTTCTGGCTTTTGTTCGAAGGAATGTCCCGTCATTTGTTCGGGGGAATTTTTCGGCAGTTGCTTCGGCAATTTGTTCGAAGTTCTTCTGGCAGATGTTTGGGTTCCTTTGGCAAATGTGCGGAGTTCTGTTTGTTTTCGTGTCTGTTTCTGGCTTTTGTTCGAAGGAATGTCCCGTCATTTGTTCGGGGGAATTTTTCGGCAGTTGCTTCGGCAATTTGTTCGAAGTTCTTCTGGCAGATGTTTGGGTTCCTTTGGCAAATGTGCGGAGTTTTTTGTCTTTAACTAAACAAACCCATTTTAGCTTTTTAGTAGTGTCAAACTCTTCAGCAGTGCCAGCCTTCTCCAACATGTCCAGCAACAAAAAACAAGAGCGGCAGATAAAGAATAGTTTGTTTTTTTATTTTATTTAGCCCACAAGTTTTGTTCGCACATAAGTTTCCTAAGTTGATCCGATAATTGTTTGGAGGGAGGTGAGGGGTTTTGACCATTTTTTAGAATTTTTCTATGGAAGCAACAGTATCACTTTTTGGGTAGTTGATTCAGCTGTCATTTGCTAAGCAATTGGAGCATGAGACTGGTTGCAAGATTGTGGTTCGTGGTCGTGGATCATTGCGCGATACTAAAAAGGTTTTAATTGACGATTTTTCTTTTCACATTTTTAATCTTTAAGGAAGAGGCAAATCGTGGAAAGCCAAATTGGGAGCATCTTGAGGACAACTTACACATTCTCATTCAATGTGAGGATACTGAGAAACGTGCCCGTTCTAAACTTGAGAAGGCTGTTGGGAGAGTCAAAAAGCTACTTGTTCCAACGGTTCTTTTGTCTTTTACTTTCAATAATTTTTATTTTGTTTTTAGAACAATGGAATTGATGAGCTGAAGCGTAAGCAGTTGATGGAACTTAGCATCATCAACGGTACTTATCGTTCTGCAATTGGGCCGAAGAATTCACCAAGTTTATTTTTTTAGCCATTTTCAATTTTTTGCCTCAAAATGTCACTCATTTTTGTGTTTTCTTTCTATTTTTTGGAGTCCAAAAATGAATCTTTTCTCTTCTAATTGAAAAAGGATATTTTGGTTTTAGCTATTTTTAAGTTTTTTAACGAGAAGAACGGATGACAAGCTTTTAGAAAAACTCATAAAACGAGAAAATGAAAAGAAAAGCACGTCAGAGAGAAAACATTCCTCCTACCAAATTGTTGAGCTGTGCGCCAATTTATCTGACTTATTTTTCGTTTAGTTTTTTTTTCTCTTGACTAGGAGTTTTTCAAACTGTTTAAAAAAATTTTTTGACCCTCAAATTTTCTAATTTTCCGAATTCGTTGATGTTTAAAAAATTTTGGCGTTCAAAAAATTTTTTCTTTTGGCGCACAGCTTCCCCCAAACCTTCCCCACTAGTCATTAGCAGCTTAACGAATAATGTTAAATTGTCCGAGAAGAAAAGAAAAATTCTTTTTTAGCCATTTTTCATTTTTAACAACAAAAAATGAAAGCTTTAACGACAATATTGACTAGTAAATATGTGAAAGAGTTTTGTTAATTCAATTTATGTGTAAAAATTGTGTGTTTTTTATAAAATTTCCCTAGAGACGATAGAGTATTTTTGAATTTTTTTGCGATAAATTTTAAAAAATTTTTTTGAAATTTTTTTGTTCACACGTTGAGAACGTTTTTTTATTTCTTTTCTCAAAAATAATTATTTTTTAAATCAATTTTTAGAAAAAAAAATTAAAAATGACCTCCAGTAAATCAGCAAATGGTGCTAATTCTGCAGATAATTGTGAAGATTTAATGGAAGATGGAGAAGAAGAATGTCCACAAACTTCGCTTAATCCGACAGAATTTTTGAAAATGAAACCAAAAAAGTCAATTTTAAAAATTAACAACAAACAAACTTCTGTTGATGATTTGACCCAACCTATGGAGGAACAAGTTGTTGGTGAACATAGAGAGAGGATTCAAAGCGATGAAAGTCAGAAGGCGCGATTTGACGAGGTTTTTTATTTGTAAAAGCTAGGGAGGCCTTGAAAAGCTTTAGGTTCCGGTGAATTTTTTGGTTGAGAATTTAGGGTTTTGACTTGTACTAATTTTTTAAGGAATTCTAGTGTGGGGGAATGAATAACTTTAGCGTGGTGAATCTAACAATAACTGCTGGTTTGATTTTTACTCGAGTTAGATTCCATCATGTTGGCTAAACTTTTGCTTTACCCCTTAAGTTTCCTGAGGTTTTAAACAGGCTAAACAGGCCATAGATAGAATTTTCTGAACCAAGATCCTAGGAAGATTTCCTGTTTGGTCTGTAAACCCTTTTCCTTTTCGCTTTTCCAACCTTAAAATTTTGATTTAAACTTCAATTTTTAATTTTCAGATGAATATTTTGGCAACGCATCATCCACCAAATAAGGACTATGGACATATGAAGGTTTTTTAATCCCGTTTTTATTATTAAAAAAATATTTTAAATAGATTGATGAGCCAAAAACTCCATATAATGCTGGTTATAGTGACAGCGAAGGCGAAGAACTTTCTTCTGGTGGAGGGACTGGACGTCCAAGAAGAGTTTCTCTTGCTGGTGCTGTTGATGCCGATGAATTGCGTAAATGTATTTCTGAGGGAGCTGGGACTAAACCTAAGGTGCTAGATCCTCCTGGATCGGGAGAAGATGAGGACGATGATGATGCGGTGCTTACTGAGGAACAATTGGGTATTTAATTTTTGATATTTTTAGTTAAATATTTAGTAACTAAATTAAATAAATCTGATAAGTGACTGTATGGTGTAGTTGGTTGTGCCTAGGTTTCGAAGGGCAGGAGATGGTGGTTCGAGTCCCCCCCATTGAAGTTATTTTTTCTTCGACTTTTATTTTAGTTTTTTGATTTTTTTTCGATTTAAAAATCTTTTTAAAATTTTCTAAAAATTTTTAAAAACCTTAAAAAAAATTTTAAATAATTTCCTGTTTTATTTTCAGCTCACAAACGAGAATTTGATAAGAAACGTCGACAACATTATAATGAAGGGATGTTTTTGCGCAAAATGAAGGAATCGCAACAGCCTGACGACGAAGATGATTGACTTAAATAAATTAAATATTCTCAAGATATACAGGACACAAATTATAAACAAGCAATGAAACTTAAAAGTTTTGTTTTTATTCTTAAAATTTTTCTCTCTCATGTTTTTGGTGAGTGATTTTTTAATTTTAATTCTAATTAAAGAATAAAAAATTATTTTTTAAAAAATCTTTGGGTGGGTTTTTAAAATTAAAAAGGTTCATAAGAAAGCCCGTCGTCCCCCTCTCCTTCCCATTTTCTAAGAAAAAATTATTCTACTTAAAAAATGCGTTGCTCGTTTTAACCACTTCCCATTTCTGAAATTTTTTAAATTTTAAGCTCTTCCTTTCTCTATCTTTTAATCAGAATTCTTTTTTGAAATATTAATATTTTATTCTTTTTATTTTACAAAAAAAATAATTTTCAATTTAAATACTCTGTCTAATTTCACATAATCTATATAACTGCTTTCTACAATTTTCCATATGTTCAGAATCCACCAATCTTGCATTTGTAGCTTTCCTTTCTTTTTGTTGACATATTTCTTCTATTTTAGTTTGAGATCCTTTGGGTCCATAAATTTCAAGTGCCACAATTTTTCCTTTAAAAAGGGGGAAAATTTAGAATTTTTTGAAATTTTCGGTTTATAAGAAAAACCCAGGTGTGCCCCCTACCCTATTTTCTAAGAAATTTTGTACCTCCCCCTTTCCTATTTTTCAAAAAAAAATAATTAAAAAAAACAAACTTGATTTATTTCCAATAATATTCTTCAAATTATTATTTTCTTTTTTTCCACAAATAATATTTTCCCATTCTCCTTGTTTCATATCAATATCATGCATTGCTGCTAATTTAATTCCTTCAAAATTTATCAATTCTTTTGTAATTTCTATTGATTCCGCATAAAATCTCATTCCTCCTCCAGATTCTGAAGAGTTTTCAGTTGGCGGTGGTTGGATTAATAAAAGGGATTTTTCTTCCTGAAAAAAAATTTTTGTGGGGAATTTAGAAATTTTTTGGAGATTTTATGAGCTTTTACAAGTTTAAAAAATTTTTTGGAAGGTCTAGAAATTTTTCAAAAAATTTTTTTAATTTTTTCGATTTAAAAAATTCTAATTCCAAACCTCTCCATTTTGTTGTCCTTCTCCTCCTCCTTTTTTAATTCCCAATCCAGCAACAAAAAGTTTTGATTCCCTTTTATTTCCCATAGAAAATTGCCAATTTTTTGAATTAAATAAAAAATGTTCCAATTTTTGTATTAAATGCGAATTGAAGGAATTTGTAATTTTTGGATTTAAATTTTGACGAACATTGCATTTGCCAGAATCTGGAGTGAAATTATGGACCTTTTAAAATTATTGAATTAAAAAAATTAAATTTAAAGAAAACTTGATTCCATCTATTCGAAAATGGGCTAATTCCTGCTGCGTGCATTTGAGCTAGAAAAAAAATAAATTTATAATTGAATGGCCCCCTCTCTAATAAAATGGTCCTTTGGAATATGATTGAAAATAGAATGTCCTCCTCCCTTTGAATTGTCCTCTCTAATAGAAGGTGACTGAAAAATTTTCTCCTTTGGATAGCCTCCCTCCATTTAAAGGGCCCTCTCTAATAACGGTCACTTCCCTTTGAATGGCCCTCTCTAAAAGAACAACCCTTCGAAAAATGATTGGAAAATAGAATGACCGGCCGTCCTACTAGATATAGGAAAACTTTTTCTAATTAAAAAATTTCAAACTTTGTAATCCACAATAATTTAACAACAAGGGAGCTACTTCCAAATCAGTCTCTTCAATTGTAGGGCAAGTTGTACAAAATAAATGAGCATTTAAATGTCGACAATCCCGAGTTCTAAATTGTTGACAAATAGCCAAAATTAACAAATTTTTGCAATCTCTGAGGAAAAGACTGAAGAAGAAATAGATTTTTAATTAGAAAAAAACAAAGAAAACCTTCCTTTACAAGGCCCACAAATAATTAAACAATCACGGCAATCATCAATTGTTATAGAAGCTGTCTGGTCGAGTATTACGAGAGTGCAATTCTTTAAAATTAAATTAACATTAAAAAATAACAGAAAAACTTACTAAGCAACTTTCAATTTGGAAAGGATTTCCTGCAAGTTGTCCTGGTTCTTTTACTCGTGTCTCTCCTACAAGTCCTTGCCAGAGGAACTCTTTCGGATCTTTTTGTTGTTCTTCTCGTATATCCCTTTAAAAAATTAATAAATGACATTTCATCCCCAAAGTTGTTCCATTTTGTCCGACTTTCCCTATGTTCCATTTTGTCCGACTTTCCATATGTTCCATTTCGTCCGACTTTACCTATGTTCCATTTTGTCCGACTTTCCCTATGTTCCATTTTGTCCGACTTTCCCTATGTTCCATTTTGTCCGACTTTCCCTATGTTCCATTTTGTCCGACTTTCCCTATGTTCCATTTTGTCCGACTTTCCCTATGTTCCATTTTGTCCGACTTTCCCTATGTTCCATTTTGTCCGACTTTCCCTATGTTCCATTTTGTCCGACTTTCCCTATGTTCAATTTTGTCCGACCTTCCCTATGTTCCATTTTGTCCGACTTTCCCTATGTTCCATTTTGTCCGACTTTCCCTATGTTCCATTTTGTCCGACTTTCCCTATGTTCCATTTTGTCCGACTTTCCCTATGTTCCATTTTGTCCGACTTTCCCTATGTTCCATTTCAACATCGATCAATAAAATCGATACTCCAAAACTAGTAAAATTTCTATTTTTCAAAAAATCGATAAAAAATCAATAAATCAATATCGATCAATAAAATCGATATTCCAAAACTTGTAATATTTATATTTTGCAATAAATCAATAAAAAATCAATAAATCGATATCAATCGATAAAGTTGATATTCCTAACCTTGTAAAATTTGGAATTTATAAAAAATCAATACTAATCGATAATTGTTTTTGATATTTACCATAGCCAGTTGGCTCTCAACATCCAGCACTGAAATGTCCATAATTTTGAGTAAATTTTTTTTCTCTAACTACACTATTTCTTCTTTATATTTCTCTAACTTTAGGGATGAAGTGTCATTTATTAATTTAATTTTTTTCTCTGCCTGCACTATTTCTTTTTTATTATTTCTCTAAATCCGACTGTCCCATTTATTTAAATTCCAGTAAGGTTGAGTACGAAAGTTTGAGTCTGGTTTGTGCAAAAGTTTGGGTTCAAAAACTTGTACAAAACACAACACTTTATACAACAAAACACAGAATATACATTTTAGGCATCTTACCACGAATATAATTTTGAATGTTGATTAGTTTGTTCTTTATTCTCATTGTTGTCATTAATAAAAACCTCACATCTTTTTTCTTTTAATCCAAAATTGTTGTTTACATCAACAGCTCTTCTTAGACAGCAGAAAATCCGGGAGAATAAAATTGTTGTAGAAGCACCACTTCGTTTGAAAACCATTAAGCGTCCATCTTCTTGTTGTTTTTCCTCTTGGTGTTGAGGAGTGTCTTGCTGAAAAGAAAATTTTTTTTGTTAAAGATAAGACTTCAATATCGCCTTAACCCCACAATATCTCCCATAATTTTTTAAATTTGAATTTTTAATTCTTCTCAAGAGGATTATTTGAATACAGAACGTATGTATGAGAAAAAAAAGGAAAAAGGATCTTCCCTACAAAGGAATTCGCATCTGGCAATCATTTGCCTATGCTTTCCAAAATGCCTCTTATTTCAAAACTTTGCCGCTCGCCAATTTTTTGAAATTATAACTCTTTTTTTAAACTTAAATTTTTAATTGAATGGGGTAACTCCTCCTACAAATAAATATAATATATATATACTGCCAAAATCTCTATTCAACCATTTCATAACCCATTCACTATTCAAAACCCCTTTGTGTTTACCATTTCATATTTTTTAAATTAAATTTTTCAGATAAATAATCTAAAAATGTCGAATTTCTTTAACAAAAATAAAGTTGATCGTTCATTCGTAAGTAATTTTAAAGCTTTGCCTTTTAATCCTCCTAATTGGACTAATCAAAAAATGGATATTTGCACGGCCGCTTCTATTGGCAATTATGCACTTGTTGAGGTTATTTAATTTTAAAATATCTCCCAAATAATTTATTTTTTTTCTAGGAATATATACAAAATGATAAGGAATTGGTCAACTACAAGAATAAACATGGATGGACTCCTTTAATGTTCGCAGCACAAGCGGGAAATGACGATGTTTGCAAGCTTTTGCTGGATAATGGTGCTGTTTTGGATGTTAAGAATAACAAGGGGAAGAGTGCTAAAGAATTGGCTAGTGACTGGGGGCATTCTAGCGTTACCGAACTTCTGACAATGAATGAAAATAATTGATCTTTTTATTTATTTGTAACCTAATTTAATTTATACACAATAAATACGTAAATAAAAAAAAAACTAGCTTCTTACTTAGACTCGCAAGTTTGACTTAAGGAAGTTTGGACTAAGGTAATAAATTAAAAAATACCATTGTTGCATTAGTAGTCTCATTTTTCACTTCCTTCTCTCCCAAAGTTTCACACCCATAAGCTGCTGATTCTTGACTGTCTCTGCGAGGAACGCCCAACCATCGAGTGTGTTCACCAACTGTCAAACAAAGTGATTGTCCAAATGAAGCGGCCGTTTGAGAAAAGGAGTGGTTTCTTGGTTGATTTCTTTCTTTTGAATCTTTAAAAAAAATTTTTTTGAAAAAACTTCAAACAAATTATTCAAAAAAAACCTTCATTTTCGGACAAATTAACCATATAACTTTTGCTCCTCCCTTCTGCAAAGGTCGAAACTGGATCTTCAGGGACACGTGCTGTATCCAAAGCAACGTCAAAAAAATTGTCTGAAGGGTCATCTTCATCAATTGGCCTCAAATCTTAATAGAAAATAATTATTTGATGAAAAATAAAAACGAGAATTCTTAAAGGATATCGAACCATGCCCTTCAACACACAAATGCTGTGACACTACCAACTTAACCACAGGCGATCATGCTAACTTTTGCTAATTATTTCCTTATATACCAAAAATTAAAACAAAATTTCCCTTCCTTTCCAGAAACTCATTTAAATCAAAATAATTAAAAAAACAAACTTTCAAAAGCCTCATTTCTAAGAATTCCATCATTTTTCTTCTTCTTTTGACCTCTAATAAATTCAACAAAAGTAATCATTTCACCATCTCCACCACTGTCTTCATTAAGATTTAAAGAAGTTAGTTTATCCAAATTTTCTCTTCCAATGCTTTTACCAAAACAATCATCGATTGGGTAACTTTTTGATTCTGTTGCTGATGTTGTCATTTAATATTTAGTGTAGTAGAGAGTAGTATTTATCTTTAAAAATTGAAAATTAAAAAAAAAATTCCAAAAAAAAATTCAGAAAAAATTATTTGCCAAGAAAACTCAAGTCTTTCCCCCCTTCCCTAACTTCCCCTACCCTTTTCTCAAAGCTTTAAAAATAAGGTTGAGAGTTTAATAAATAAATTTAAAAAAAGACACTCACTTACTTACCCTTTTCAAATAATTCTTCATTGAGAACCAACCAATTTGTGTTCATTTAAATATTCTTTTTTGGTTGCTATGGTTTCTTGCCAATAATAAAAAAATAAATTGTTGTTTGAATTTGTATGTAGACAAAAAAACACGTATATCTAAAAAATATTTCCTTTAAAAATATAATTTTTAAAATATGAAAATTTCAGAATTTTTAGGCAATTAATAGGTTATAATCAAAAAATACAAAAAATTCTGATATTTTTGACCAGAACTTTTGAAATATAAAACCAAAAAAATCTGAAAATTTATGAGGGGTTAGCCAGCTGGATTCCTAGTTTCTAAACAAAATTTCAGAATTTTAGACCAAATAGAACAAAGGTTATGCCCAAAAATAATTTACTAACCAGGCCAAAATAATTGTTTTGAGGAGAATAGACAGAAATTCAAACACAGTCTTGCTTTGTTGAATTAAAAAAAAGTAGAACTTGTCCAAAACAAAATGTTGAAGAAAATGTAGTAGATGTAGAAGGGTATTCAATAGAGCAATCACCGGGAGGAATAAATTGTTTTGAAGATGTTGATGTGTGTCGGTTGTTGATTGTTTGTTGTTTATCTAAAAAATAAAATTAAAAAAACTCGTTTACTCTTTAAAAAACCTTTCTTTTGAACACCACAATTAGAACTCTTCCTCTAAATGATGATATTAAAAATTAAAAATATTTAAAAAAAATATTTCATTTTTTTGTAAAATAAATTTAAGATGAGAAAAAAAATTTTTGAATAAAAATTTTTAACAAAAAAGAAAACCTTTAAAAAATAAATACACAAATTTTTAAATAGCCATAGCAAGACTAGCAAAATCAGCCGGATCAAATTTTAATTTAGAAAAATCAACATCCTCTTCCTCATCATCATCTTCTTCTTCTTCAGGTGTAGGCCTTGGTTGTGTTGTTGATTTTGTTGAATCTTCTTCCTCTTCTTCTTCACTTTCTTCTTCCTCCTCTTCCTTCTTTTTCCAATCTTTTTCTTTCACAAGTGGCCTTGTTTCATTAATTTTTTGTTTATAATTAAAAAGTTCTTCAAATAAAGGTTCTCTTTCAGTTTCAAGATTACTTCCATTACAACAATCTCCACCTTTAAAAAAAGGTGGAAAAATTACAATTAGATTAACCTATTTTATAATGGCCAGAAAAGATCAAACAATCCCTTTTTAAAGCTGAGAACCCCACTAATGAATTTGAAATAAGAAGATAATCACAAAAAAGGCCTCTTCTCAATTTTGATTAAGCTAACAGACTTTTTTGTGGGCTTTTGACTAAAAAAAGTAACACTTAAAAGTAGGGTCTAGGCCTATACTAAAATTGAGAATCCATTGAGCATAGCCGGATCATAAAAAATACTTATGTCAGAAGGATGAAAGTTTTCCTGGCTATGAGTACAGGAAAAATCCAAGCCTCGACTTATGGCAGCCCAACCTAATCCCCAATTAATTGGTTAGAGAATCTAGTCAAGTCTAAATTTAGTGATCCATTACCAGAAACCCACAAAAAAGTCTCGACAGGAAATCTAATTTCAAAAAAAATATATAAACAAACCATTAATAAAATATTCATTACAAATTGCACAAATTCCACCAAATTGTGGTGTTGGTAATCTTTTAATTCCTTCAACTTTTTGTGACGCTTCTAATGCCCCATGAATATATGAACGTAATTGTGCTGCTCCTTTTCCATTTTTACTGTTAAAATTAAAATTTGAAGAAGTATTTGATAATTTATGTTGTTGCTGTGTTGATTTTCTTGAACTTTTTGTTGAAGAATTTGAATTTGATGATAATTTTTTAAAAATATCTTGTGAAGTTTGTGATGGTCTAGCTGTTAATAATGCTGAAAACCAAGGATTTTCTAATCTTTCAGAATGTCGCCTTAATTGTAAAACTGTTGATAGAGGCTGTTTTGTTGGTAAAATTGAAGCATTTGATGAAGAAATCTGTAAAAAATTTAAATTATTAAAAATTTTTTTAATTAAAAAAACCTTTTCTGAAGTATAAAAAATAGAAAGTAATTGTTCACGAACTTCTCCATTTGAGAAAAAATGGGCTGGGAAACGTAAAGCATTTCCAATTACTGTCAAAACTGAGGCAAAGTCAGAGATAAGGCTAAAAGAATTTTTTAAATTTTTAAAAGAATTGGAAAATCAAACCGATATTGATGAGGATAAGTTCTTTGAAGAAGACCTGCAAAAAATATATAAAAAATTTATAAACAAAATATAAAAAAGAACTTCTAGAGACAAAACGTGTGCTGTTGAGATTTTGTCGGATCATAAGCCTGTGATTCAGGGAAAGGGTACAGATAAAAAGAAAACCCAGCTGTAAAGATTACAGTGCTCTGGCAATGAGTACAGGAAAACTTCCAACCTCGACCCAACCCAGCCCGATCCCCTCCCCCCCCCCCCCCCTTAACTCTTGCGTCAGACTTATCCAAAATATTTTTAAAAAATAATTTACCAGGCTGTAGAAAGACCAAAATTGAAAGAAATAAATTGAGCAAATTTGAGATCAAATAGGCAGAAATAATAAAAAGTAAAGTATTTGTAGCTGCTCTAATATTTCTTCTCCGAACTTTCATAAAATCATGTCCCATAGTTAATTCAGTAATTAATGAACGTAATTGCTGAAGGAAAATTTTTTTCAAAAATTCTCAATAATTTTTTAAAAAACCTGAACATTTTGTTGCCTCAACATCAAAACAATTCCTCCATTTAAAAATACAAGAGTAGCAAAAGGAATTATAACAGTTAAAAGACTAAGAAAATTAGGCAACCAATCACGTCTTGAAACTTGTCCAGCAGTATAACGCTTGAATGGATCAATGTTTCGGCCATCAATCAATACAACCACTTCCTTAAAATATTAGTAAAAATAAAGAATAAGTGAAAGATTTGAAAAAATCTGGAGGCCTAATGTAAGCCTGGATAATTTAGAGAAAAATCCATTGAACATAGCCAGATCCTGAGACTGTGGATCAGTAAAGGGTGTAAAAAAGAAAACTGGAAACTAGAATCTCGACTGGATCTAAAGTCAGTACAGAAACACCCCAGGCTCATCCTGTTTGAATATTGATTATTTGAAAAATCTTATGACTAATAATATAAGTTTGCCGATCCCAATAATAGAAACTATTATAAATTTCCTGACTGAAGTACAGAAAAACCGTCAAGATCTTGTCACATTCAAGCTCGATCTCTCATTGATTAGATGATCCCAAACCAAAACCCAAACTTAAACAAAAAAAACAAACCACTGAAGTGCTGAAACGAATAGCAATCGCAAGAGTCAAAACTAATACAAGAAGCAACCATCTCGTTCTCTCTTCAAATCCTCCAAAAGTCCAATGAGAAGTCACCAAATATCTTTTTAAAAAAATATTTTAAGAGGAAAAAATTCAAAAAAACCTTTCAAAACTAGCAACAATTAAACAAAAAACGGAGGAAAGTTTGACAATTTGTCCCAACATATAAAGCCATTTGACATGTTGTAACCATAATAAATATAAATGAACAAATTCCAAATATTCAGAAAGTACTGGAGGTATCTAAACTTTTTGTTTTTTGCAAGAAAAAATTTTTTTAATTTAAATTTTTTAATTAATTAAAATATATAAAATCTATTACATTTTAGATTAAGCATTAAATTAAAGAAAAAAAATGAAAAGAAAATAAATATATTATCAATAATAAACGACTGTCGGGGAGAGAAGGGACACATAATAATATATTCTGAATAACAATCAAAAAGACAATTAACAGAAAAATGAATGACTTTTTGGGTTTTTAACAATTATAATAACACAATAATCTTTATGTTTTTGGCGGCTATACATCAAGGGATGGGCCGGGTTTTAAGAGAAAAATAAATGAGATTTGGGATTGGATTTTCAAAAGGTTTCGGATCGTTTTTTGGATTTCGAGTTGAGAAAAAGCTATAGGGTTTTCGAATTTTAGGTAACCCGGCCCATCCCTGTTACTCATTGAAATAATTAAGTAGAAGGTTGAGCGTTTAAAAATAAAAATCGAAAAGTAATTCTCAAAAAAATTTCAAAAAAATTTTTCCCCAACCTTCCCTCCAATTATTTCCTACATTCTTCCTAAAGAAATAAATGAGAACAAAACAATAATAATAATAATAAAAAAACCAAAAATTTATTGTTGCGGTGACGGAGGGAATTGGAATTCTTCAATAACTGAACTTAACGACTTATTTTGATTAAGCATTGTCCCTGTAATTGTATCAACAATATCAAAAGGATGTGGAGGAAAACGACGAGGCGATTGATAAATTGGAAACAAATTGCTTCCATCTTGTTGACGATATTGTTGTTTTAATAAATGAATTTTTGAACACCAAGATTGATGAATTGATAATAAACATGGCAAATGATATAAACAAGTTTCACGTAAAGAATAAAATTTATTTGATGAACGCAAACAAAACATTTTGATAATTTCTTTATATTCAATTGATTGAAGTAACAAATCACTAAAAAATTTTTTAAGAATTATTTAAATTTAGAAATAAAAAAATTAAATTGGGAGCCATTGAACAAGTTTTGCCTAGAGATAGTTGTCTCTATCCCGTAGCAAAACTTTTTTTAAAAGATCGAAAGGCACAGGATCCAGCAGGATCAGTCCGTAAATCCTACTTGTAGCTTAAAATAAGGAGTTCATAACCGGATCCTGTAAAATCCAGTACGGGATCCTGCCCTTGCCGCGTTCTAGTTTTGAATTTAAAAATCAGAAAAATCCAAAATTAAAATTTTTCTAATCCTAGAGACGTGATCCTCTATCCAACCACAAAAAATTTGTAAATAAAAAACCTATCATCCATATCAACCGAAGCCAAATATTCCAACCGCAACTCATTTAACTCCTCAATTTTTGTCCCCCAATTATTCAAAAACCCTTCTTCTTCATTATTAAAATCCAAATTTATTGAACATTTTGTCAATATTGAAATATTTTTCTTTTCACCAGGTCCAAAAGAAGCATCCAATTTTGAAAGAATTTTTGATCGTTTTTGACATTCTGATAAACTCAAATTTTCTTCTCTTTCAATACTTGATGATCGACGATTAGAAAACGAATCATTGTCAGAAATATCCAAATCCCAAAAATGTAAAGAATTTAAAACTGCACGAGGATCCTTGTTTTTGATAGTAATTAAATTATAAAATGAACAAGTTTTGTGGTAATGACTTGTAAAACCAAAATACCAATGCTTCAAAATTAAAAAAAAATTAAAATAAATTTAAAAAATTACCCGAAGATATTGAGCAAATAATCTGTCAGAAGGTCGTTCCATTTGAATAACAAAAAAATCATCTTTATTACCATCAAAATCTTTCCCAATTTCCTTCAAAACATATTCCAAATCATTACAAGTTAAAATAATCGGAATTTTTGATTCTGTACAAATTTGTCTAAGAGTTGACCAAAAATTTGAATCGGATGAATAAATAATATCACACTTTAAAAAATTAAGGATCAGACTTTTAAAATTTCAAAAAAAAACCTCATCAATCAGCAAAAGAGAAAAATCATTTTGATTCTTTTTAGAATTATCACTTTGTTTATTATTTCCAAAAAGTGAACGAATATCACTAGTTTTTCTACTTTGAACCTAAATTATTTTAAAATTTAAATATTAAAAAATAAACAAAAAAACATTATGACTTTCCAAAGCTCCAGCTATTTTTTGTTTCAAGGATTGACCATCACGAGGAGAAGAGGAAGAAATTTCAATTACTTCAAATTTGCATTCTTTTGCGGCCTGATAAACCTAAAAAAATAAATTTAAAAAATTGCGTTGTTGTAAAAAAATTTTTTTGGTTAAAAGACTATTTTTCATCAAATAAAAACAATTTCCACCAAGAGACATCGAACCTTTAACCAATAGCCCTCAGAACCCAAACCTTCCCAACTACACCAAACTCAACACAACACTTCACTTAAAAAATTAAATCACAAACCATCACAGACTTTCCACAACCTGTTGGACCACAAATAATAGCCGGATTTAACATATTTTCTTCAACAATAAATTCAAAATCATTATCCTCTTCATCCTCTTCATAATCATCTGTCAATTCTTCTTCAAAAAATTTATTACTGCTTCGCCTTCTTTTACGTTTATTATTTTCCTCTTCTTTTTTCTTCTTCTTTTTATTTTCTTCCAAATTTTTTTCTTTTTCAAAATTTATTTGTTTATACCATTTTTCTAACCATTCATTTAATCGTAAAAAATCTGCTTTTGATTTACCAATAAAATCTTGTTGACGTTTTGGCATAAATAATTGACTCCACAAAAAACGATTGGAAGAAGCTGATTTTGATTTTCCTTTGAAGAAAATTTTTCTTGACCTTTTAAATTTTTTGATTTACCTTTCAAAAATGCATAATGTTCCAAATCATTTAATACATGTTGCTCCATTAATGGCAAAGACTAGAAAATTTATTTTAATCAAAAATTTAAAGAAAAATAATCACGTTTTCCAGCTCTTCATTATTTTCTGTAGACTGTTGAGGCACTTCATCTTCTTCCTAAATTAAAAAAATGTAGATTGGCATCACAAAATTAAAAAAAATAAGTCCAATAGATCAAAAATTTAAAAAATCTATGACCTTGATTGAGGACCTTGGGCAGACCTTGAGTCAAGGAAAAATTTAAAAAACACTGAAAAATGCCTTGATCTTGCCTAGAAAAGGTCAAGGTCTTGATCAAGATCAAGGGCAATCTCTAAAGCCTCCCAAAAAAACAAAAAAAAATTTAGCTTACCAGTTGCAACAGAGGAATCGGACGATATCCTTTCAAAGCATTTTCTTTAACTCTAACTGCTGGCGGCTTTGTAAAAGTTTGAGACGCGTCAATAATTTCAATACTTTGACGGCTATTATTATCTTCTCCATTTTCATTTTTAACTCCTTTTCCCATTAAAGAATCATCCGCCAACAAAATAATTAATTCATCTTCTTTTGCTGGAGAAGCAAAATCTTGTTCAATCGATTTCGACGGCTCAGGCATTCTAACCTGGCCTGTTGGTTTCTCAACAAGTGGAGTAATTTCGAGAATTTGCGGATTTGCATCAAACTGGACTTTTCTATGTGATTTGCTTCGAAGTCTCTAAAAACAAGGAAGAAGAATGTTAAATGATAATAAAAAAATAACCTTTATTGGAGGTTTGGATGTCGAAGAATCTGGAGTTTTCTGCCTCGCTTTCTTTGCATTTTCCTCTCCCACCTTTTTGCCATTATTTGCCGCTCTTTTTGGAGGCATTTTAATAAATAAAATACTTTAATAATATGAACTAATATAGAAATTGGATTACAAATAAAAAATGAAAAAGAAACTATTAACAAAAAACAAAAGAATAAAAATAAATTTAAAAAAATTTAAACAAAATAAAAAAAGAAGCTTAACAAAAATTCGACAAAGTGAAACAAATCATAATGAAAAGTTGCGCAAAAAAAAAATGTCAAAAGAGAAAATTTCTAATTGGTCACTCTACCGGAGGATGACAAATGGTCAACTTCCTACAAGGGGAAATTTTAGCTATTTTGTATCTTTTTCTCCTAGTTGACACTTTGAAATCTTCTTATTTGTTAACAAATTAAAATTAAAAAATACAACAGAATTAGAGAAAGAAACAATAAAAATACAATAAAAAGGAAGAATTAGACTGGAGGGGCGTAAATAATTAATTTAAATGTCTTGATTTTTCTTTAAATTTTTTAATAAACTAACCAAAAGAAAAACATAAATAGCATCCAACAAAGTGTCAAACAACGCAACAAATCCAAGAAAGAAGAAAGGCGAAAATCGAAAATTTGGACTAGACAAGAAAAGCCTTGTGAGCAATCCATTAGCTAAAATTCCAAACAGAGCACATAAACCACCCGTAAAAACAACTAACCAAAAACGACTTCTATTTTTAAATTTAAAAATTAAAAAAAAAATTTTTTATTTTACCTTAATAATTCATCCTCACTCATTTCCTGATTATTTCAAAAAAAAATTTTTTTAATTAATGTAGAGTTGCAGCATTTATTAAAAGAAAAATTTAAATATTTAAATGAATAATGCCACTCCTTTTAAAATAAAATAATTTAAAAAATTTTTTTTAACATTAATCTCTGTTCTTTAAAAAAATTTGCAAAGAATTTTTCAACAATTTTTTAGCAAATAATATTTCTATCAATGTCAGACTTGAAAAAAAATTTTTTTTCAAAACCTCTCTCTCAACTCTCCCTTTATTTTCTTTAAAAATTTCAACACTCTCAAGAGATCCTTCCTCCTCTTTAAAAAAAAGGTGAGAAGCTTTTTTTGTTAAAGCGAAGAATATTTTATTTAAAAAAATGTTTATGTGTGTCTCTTTTAAATAATTAACAATCTGGAAAAAATTATTTAAAAAAGGAAGTATTTTTAAGAGAAGGAAGAAAATTATTCTATATTTCTTAGTAAATATTATTGTAATAAAGAAATAAACGATATAAAAAATAAATAAAAGAAAAATAAAATTTGCAAAAAATATTTTGTAGCTAGTCGGTAAGGCCCTCGACTTTTTTAACTAATAGGCAAGGTTCGAACCCCAACAGCTCCCAAAATTAAAATTCACTTAAACACAACTTTGTAGTACTTAATTTTTTAATTTTAAAAACTAAAAAAAATTTTTAAAGAGGGAAGACTTTTTTAAAATTGTTTCAATCTCTCCTTTAGAAAAAGGATAAAAAAGAAATTCTTTACTCTGCTTTTTTAGCACGCATCTTTTCCTCCTTTTCCTCTCTTTTTTTGTTTTAATCCCCCTCTCAAAGTTTATATTTTTTAAATCTTTTGGCCAACTAGTTTAAAATAAAAACGGAAAAGATTAGTTAAAAACACTTAAAAATTGACAAAATAAAAAAAAATTTTTTTAGGGATTTTAAGTTTTTTTTTAAAGTTTCTGCCACTTTTCGTCACCAAAAAAATTCTTTGTGTCTGGTTTCCCCACCAAAAAATTTTTTTCCCTTTGTGAGAATCCCCCTTATATTCAATTCAACCAATTTTGTTAAGCATTCCCCCCTTCCCTTTTTTTAAAAATTTTTTTGAACCCAAAAAATAGGCACAAAATTGTGTCTGAAACACTTAGTATATTATTAAATAGCCCCCCTCCCTTTTCCCCTAAAATATTGTCCCAAAACACCTTTTTTTTATTCAGCTTCATTCATCTATAAAAAAATATAAAAAATAATCGTTTTGTTGTGCCAAAATAATTTTTAAAAAAATATTAAAATGGGAGAGATAATTTTATAAAAATTTTGAATAAAAAAAAAGAATTATTAAATAGAAAATAGAAAAGAGAATGGTGAATAAGTGAACAAAGTTCGAAAAAAAAATATTTTTAAAATTTAAATAACCTAAAATAAATGAGTGTGGGCTTGTAACAATTTTCTAAAATTAAAAAAGAAAAATTTTTTTAGCATCTGTGGGGCAAAAAATTTTTTTTAATAATTTAGGGGATTCAAAAAAATTTTTGTCATTAATCTCGAGACCAAAAAATTTTATAAAAATTTAAAAACCCAAAAGATGAATTTAAAATAAATTGAGTAAATTCCCCTAAAAACTTTTTTTCTCCTTAATATCCCTTTTCTCTCCCTCTCTCCCTTTTTCAATAAAAATAAAATTAAATAAATTGAAATTTAAACGAAGAAAAAATTGGAAAAAATAAATGAAAAAAATTAAAAAGAAATTGGATTAAAGAGAAAAAAAATAAAATTTTCAAGGAAATTAAGTCTAAAAAAATTAGTAAAAAAAGTAGGGGAAGAACAAAAAACAAAAAAAAAATTTTCCCTTCCAGAAAATAGATTTATGAATAGAAAGATAATTTTTAACACAAAAAAAATAAATGATTTAAGATTTTTTAGCAGAAAAATAAAAGAGAAAAAAGAAATTTTTTTGAAATATTAATTTTAGAGAAGACACACTTTCGAAACTTGACCCTAAAAAAGAAATCAAAAAAAAATTTTTTTGAAAGACGAATTTTGTGGCTGACATCAAAAACTGAAAATGAGAGGAGAGGAATGAGGGGGAAGAAGCAGAAGACAAAAATGATTTGAGAGAAAAAAAGGAAATGTAACTAATATTTTTGCTAAAAATATTTATTTTTATAAAATATCAGATCAAATAAAACAAAAATATGCATTTGTTTTATTTTTAAAAGTTTATTTATATATTGATTTTGATGGCTTTTTTAAAAAATGCAAAAGAGATACTAAAAATAATTTTAAAAATAAATTTTTTGGAGAAATATTTTAAAAAAATATTTAAAAAAATTTTGATTTAAAGGACTCTTACCTACATATAAAAATCCTACGTATAAAAAATTTATTAAAAAAATAAAACCTCGAATTCACTCCAATATTTTATAAACCAAAATAATGCCAAATATATTCAAAATAAATTCAAAAAATTCAAACAAGAGTCTAATTAATGATCACGATATTTAAGAAAACATCCATATTGGGCTTTCAATTTAATTGTATTATCTTCTGTTGGTAAAAGTAAATTGGCAAAAACATCAATTTCCAATATCGGTGGACTTACTAAAAAAAATTTAAATTTAACAAACTTTAACTAAAGGATTGGGAATAGAAAAAAACTGGAAGCGGAAAATAACCTAACAAGTGGGGATCGCATGGGAATCCTATGCCCACAATAGTGATCGGAATTTTTGAAAAGCTTGGGCCGGATCCTGGGTTCCAGGTGTGATTTATTGACCTAGGCCGGATCCTGGGCTTGTAGTCAAAGAAAAATCTAGGCGCAGGAAAAACCTAGACCTAAGTCCAGCCCCAGCTTGATCACTAGCCTACACCATTGAAAAAAATCAAAGATCTAGCTCCTCCTCCGTTAAAAAATTTTATAAATAAAAAAAACCTTTATTCTCTCCCAAAATAGATTCATTGATAATCCCTTTAATGAGGCGTTCAAGAAACTCAACTTTTTCTTGCATAAGCATAATTGAGATTTCATTTTCAAGAATCTGTCGAATTAAACCAACTGCTAATGGCTCCTGCGTTTTGTTGTATTGAATTTTATGTTTAAGAAAGGCTGGCACAATATGGAAGAACTTTAGAAATTAATTTAGTTTGTTTTTTGACAATAAAATAAAACCTTAATAAGATTTTCACGTGCCTCATCACTTCTCATAGCAGCAATAGTCAGTGCCTTAATTCCTTTTTTCGGATTTAGCATTAAGCAAAAAGAAAGTTGTCGACATTTTTCAAGTACATCATTATCAAAATCGAAAATATTCCCATAAATAATGAAATGCTGAACGTTTTTAAATTCTTCAGTAAAACCCTAAATCAGAAATTATATTCAAAAAAATTTTGATTAAAAAAACTATGTAAGAATCCACCATCGTCTTTATTTTTTGACTCAACCTCCCAGTATCCAAAAGTTCTTTATTACTAATAAAATGCTCAATTGCCTCATTCAAGTGTTCAGGTTTGACATGGATAAAAAGTTGACGGAAATAGGGCCAAAAAGCTCTGAAAATTAAAAAAATTGAGTTGATATTCGAGACAAAGATATCAACAAACTTACGGCATAGTGCGAATATCAGTAGTTTTACGTGCAGTCTCCAAAGCTTTGACTGCCCTTAAATGTTTAAATAAACAAGAGAAACTTAAAAACTTAAGCCTTACATTTTAAACGTTTGGAACGAAACCAGAGTGTTTTTAGCAACACCTTTAGCAAATTGATCAGTGAGACAACGCATCAAATGAAGATTATATTGTCGCCTTTCTGTTATTTCCACAAAAGATAGAGACAATCCATTAAAAACATCATCAAGAGTAACGTCTTCTTCATCCATCTTATCAAGAAAGCGATAAATATAAACAGCTTTTTTCCCTTTTTTCTTGCTCGTAGTAACGGAAGAATCTTCTTTACTCATTATAGACATGATTGCAGATAAATTCTAAATACTAAATAACTAAAAAAGATAAAAAAAGATTAAGATATTAAAACATTCAAATAAGTAAAAATGAGTAAAAAATCTACAAAATTTACAAAATAAAATTTGTACAAAATAAAAATTCAAAATGAAAAATAATGAAAGTAAATCGGTTGATCTAAAATTCATTTTGTCAAACACCACAAAATAACACATTTCGTCGAACGGGCTTTCAGAATGTTAAAAACCGTTAAACTTTTCATTTCACCTAAAGACATTTTGCCACACTAGGCAAAATTATACATTTTGTCACAATTCAGTAAATATTAAACAGTGAAATGCGCGAAATTTTTTTTTCGAAATTTTTGAAATTTCAAATAATTTTATTGATCTAAAAAAGTCAATTAAGTATTCATCATCCCGTTATGGCTTTTAACATTATTTTGATGATGTTTTTTGTAATTTTTATTATTCTCGTTTGCCTTCTCACTTGCAATTTTTATAGTAAATTTTTTTAAATGTTCTCTATCTGCATTATTATCAGGCATTTCATAGCTATATGAAAGTAGAAACATGCCTTTAAAAAATTTAAGAAAATTTAAAAGAAAACCCAAAGATTTTTTTTACTTCGTTCTGAAAGAAGTGGAGAAAGCAACAAATATTGAATAAGAGGAGCAACACGAGAAAAGTGACATTCTGCAAGTTTCCATCTCTCCAATTGTGACATAAGTGTTCCAAATTCGTCAAAAGCCTGAGAAAAAATTTTTTTAATTGAGAAAAAGTCAAAAAATAATTTTCTGGTCACGATCGGCTTTTTAAATTCGAAAATTTTGCAATTTATTTGGCAAAAATAAGTTTGTTAAAAATACGACCGGTTAATTTTTGCCTGTGGCGGCACAAATAGACAAGAATAAGGGAAAAGAAGAGAAGAAAGGCCTCAGGCAAAGATTAACCGGTCGTGAACAATCCTGATTACAACTGAAAATGCCCACTTCCTCCCCCTATTTACTATCCTTCTATTCTAAAAACCCATGCGTTAAAAGAGATACCGATTGACTTGTTACGAATACCCTTCTAACTTTAATTATTTTTTAATTTATAAAAAGAAAACCATTCTATTCAAATATCCACCAGGTCCAGGATGTCTACATTGACGATAATGCATAAACAAATCCCTCAATAAAATACCAAAAAATGGAATAACGACAGCTGAATTTGCACGAGGAGAACGTTCTTCTATCCAAATTGCTGCCTTTAAAAAATAAAGAAAATTATTGTTCAATGTTTTTTTATTTACTTTTAAAGTAGCTCTGTAAACAGCAAAATTTCCTGATGGATCTAATTGTCTTTGAAGTACCTTAAATATTTTTTAAAATGATTTTTTAATTAAAAATTCTGATTTTTCTAATTTATCCAAAAATTCTCATTTTCTGAAATCCCAGTTCTACTGATTTAACTAAAAAATTCTGGTTGTTCTGACTGACAATGAGTTATCAGAATCCAAAAATTCTGATTTGCAGTTTCCTCAAAAATTCTGATTTTTATATTTAATCAGAATTCCGCTTGTTGTGAAATTCTGGTTTTTTTCCTAATTTTAAAACTGTCTAACTAACCTCCAAACGACTTTTATCCACTTTTGCCCAAGTCTTTCTCAATCTCGCAACTGGTTGAGCACTTAACCCAGCAATTATTGCAGCTAACGAATTAAAATTTCCAATAGCCAAACATTCTCTAGCAACTTCCAATAAAAATTCAACACAACGGGCTCTATGCCTTTTGTGTTGATGACTCAAAATTTCTGAAGCACTCAATTGACTTAATTGATTAAACCATTGGACATAATGTCTAATACATCCTGGGGGAGGTTGTTGACCCAAATGATCGAGAGAATGAGCATTTCCGAGCATTTCAACTAATTCGTCTAACCCAACCATTGAAAGGCGTTCCTTTAAAAATTTTTTCTTCTTTAAAAAATAAAAAAAATGTTCACCAATTCAATATGAGCCAATTGTTGCGCTACAGCAAGTGCTGATCTTCCTAGAGCCAATAATCCATTTGGTGTTTCCCAACGACGTTCCCAATGTTCTTCCAATTTTGGTTGTAAACTTCGGATGGCCTAGAAAAGAAAAATCTCTTCGCATGTGGCGACTCATCTTTAAAATTCCCCCATTTGAACCGCTAAAGGCGGGGATTAACCGGTCGCCAACAACACTCCCTCCTTAATAAAGGTCTAATTGTGAGGAAGACAGACTATTTTTCTCCAGAGAAGGCTGTATTTTCCCCCAGTTAACAAAGATTTTTCTCGGAACAAGGAAAGCCCTCTCTCCTGCATTTATTAAAATCCCCCTCACCCTTCTCTTAAACTTAAAAAAAATAAAATCCTTAAAAATCAAAAATATTTTCCTCTCACATTTTCATAGCATTCCAATCTTCCAAGAGAAACTCTCAATTCTGTCAACAATTCATCACATAAATTTTGTGCATTTGAATCTTTTTTGGTTCCACTTAAAGATAAAACAGCCAATAAACGATCACGCATTTGAGGTTTTTTAAAATCATAAGGTAATGAATGTATCCAATAACCACAAAATGAAAGGACGTTATCAAAAAGTTTTCTTTGACTTTCTTTTGTAAAGTTTGTTGAATTGTCGTGTTGGACGAACATTATATGCTTTGAAAATAAATTTTTTTGAAAATAAGAGAGGGTAAAAGTTTAGCATTGAGCAGGCATCGATCCTGCGTCCTTTTGGCAGTGTCTCCCGGACGGTCAGTGGCATACCGATTAATTTGGAGGGATTAAGATGGCCACAGACCGATATAGCTTTGATCAACCCGTAAAGGTGCTCTATCTACCGGAAGGCTTCACCTTCTTTTTAATAAATTTTAAACCCCCATCTAGTAAACGTTTTAAATGCTAGTTTTAAGTCTCTCTTCCTCCTTTCATAAAAATTAAAAAATTACCTGAAGAAATTTTTGTAAAATTTCAACTGGAGATATAAACGTTCGAAGACATAAAAGTAAAGTTAAAACTTGAGATTGTGTTGGACATTGTTCTACTGAAGGAAAAAGAGAATTGAGGCAACGATTCAAATCTTGTGTGTCTGGCCACTAAAATTAAAAAAAAATTTTAATTTTTAAAAACTTGGCAAAAACTCATTTCGCCAAATTCCCAAAACCGTCCATTCCAATATTAAAAAAATTTCCTCACCTTTCCATTTAACGGAGACGATCCTTTTACTTGTTGTTTTTCATTATCACCCCGTAAACTATTTCCATTCTGTAACCCTTCAGTTCCATCAGCACTTCGCCTTCTCCTCCATTCTCCTCCTCCTCTTTTGTCAAAACTAACTCCACTGTTTTGCCGATTAGTAGTTGGATCTGGAATTGAAATTGGTGATGGAATTGGAGAATTTTGATTATCAAAAAGTAAAAGTGTTGGAATAGCTAATGAAGATGAAGAACATGGAGAATCTGAAGAACAGCAAGAAGAATCATAAATTGAAGTCATTGGCTGAAAAATGAAAAAAATTAAAATACCGACCCGCAACTATTATAAGCCTACATATATCTAATATAAGCCTCCCCCCCCAGTAAAAGACAAATATTGAAAAATAGAAGCAAAGTGCCTATATTAGAGTATTCACGGTAAATTTTAACAAAAATGATTTATAAGATTTTTAAAAATGAAAAATAAAACTCTCAAAAAAATTTAAAAATCAAAAAATAAATACAATACTTGACAGTTAAATGCATTTTTAAAAAATAACAATTTAAGAGGAGAGAATAAAAGGAGTCTTTAAGCGATTTTTCTCACTCCCCAAGATCCAAACAATAACTCTTTTGTTGTTTGCTAGAGAATTTATCCACTTTACAAAAAAAATATTTTGAAGTGAAAAGTGGACAAAAAATATTATTTTTAAATGCGCATCAAAACAGTAATTTTTTGGTACTTTTTTACTTAAATCTTAGCAGTTGTAAAATTATGAAAAAAAATAATAATTCAAAAAATGAGGAAAAATTTGGAAATAAAAATAATAGAGGGAGTACTTACAATATTTAAAATTGAAAAAAATCTAGTTTTTTTGCGTGATGGCGAATTTATCTGCAATTAATAGAAGGGATGGCAGTGTTTTATTTTTAATAGTGTTGGACGGAAACAACTCAAATAATTTGTTATCTCGCAAGAAAAAAAAAGCACGGCAGATTAATTGAAAATAATCAATTAATTCGGGTCAAATAAGGAAAAAGGAAACAAAAAAAAATTACCAAAACATCCATAATCTAATGTATATGTTGATCTCCAGGTTGATCTCTTGACTAGTTAGCAGACTATACAAAAATTAGAATTCAGCACGAGACAGGATTTATGGGATTCAAGATTTTTAGAAAAATACGTTACGAGATCCCGGGAATGCAATTTTGCCGTCTCTAATAATAAATATAGTAATTTTAGAGGTGATTTTCTGGTAATTATTTCAATTATTAAAAGGATAACTATTAAGCCTTTAGCTAAAATTAAGCCTTAAAAAGTCGCTCTTTAAAGTTTTTTCTTATTTTCACATGTCTGCCATATAAAGGTGCAGAAAAAAATATTGAAAGAAATATGCGCAATTAAAAATGCACCCCTGCAGCGCTGAAACTCTCTCCCCCGTTTTTCTCTCATAGCCAAATCAGAACACTCTACTTTTTTTCTCTTCAGTTTTATTCAATATTTTTTAATACTCTCTGACCTTTTTCTCACCCATCCCGTAAGTTTGCTCAGACTGATCTGGCCCAGGAGATCAACATATCCATTAAACAACCCATTAGATTTTTGTTTGACCGTTGTTTCCCTCTCTCTAACATTCAAATATTGTGTGATTTCTAGGTTATGAGCAAGCATACGGCCAATATAAGGAAGAACCATCGCTACCTCCCTCTCTAAATATCCTTACATTTACACAGATTAATCATTGGATGAATCGTTTTTGTTGAGAATTATGGCCTTGTAGGGAATAACGATTTATGTACATAATAATGACCCCCTCTATCATCTCGTTGAAGAAAATAAAAAGTGAAAAAAGATAACAAAAAAGGGGGACTTTGCGCTTTTTTCCCAAGATTATTCTCTCACCTAGAAGATCAACACAATGATTTGATAATCTGGTCTTTCATGGGTATTGATCTAAAGGTTATCGTTATCCCTATTATATATCAGGGATGCCATGGGTACCCAAAAACAAATCCGAAAAAAATTTGAAAACTCGATCCGAGACCTGATATGATTTTTATCAACCCGTGCACCTATATATTATTAAAAAATCCCTTACCAACAAAAAAGAGTTGAGTGTTCCAGTAGTACTTGCATTTGATCGACTTCCGATTGTGCTCATCAACACATCTTCTGATCTTCCAGAAAATGTCATTCGAGAAGTTAATTTGTTGTTATTGTTTGCTAAACGCCATTTTTCATTCATCATAGCAGAATGAGGTCTTTGTTGAATTAGTCCATTTAAATTGTTTTCATCATCAATAATACAAGGAATATCACTTTCTGATTCGATCCACCTTTAAAAAAAGACAGAAAAATATTTTTTAAAAATAAAATTCTCACCAGCATCTGTCAACAATAGGTTTGTTACTGTTACTATTTTTTAGCACAGGTTTTAATCTACAAGTAGACTGACAACTTTTTGAACGTATTATTATTGATTTTGATGATGATAGAGGTGAAGTAGAACATTTATTATTTCTTTCAGTTTTTGATTGAACTTTTGTTGTTGTTGTTGTTGAGGGTGAGATTATACTTCCAAAGAAGCGTTTCTAAAAAATAAATATGAAAATTTATTAGAGCTTATTAGATTTATTAGAGCTCTTGTTGATCTTGAGCCTTAAAACTTTTCTTGAGGTTTTTCGGTCTTGGTCTTGGGGTGAAGCCTTGAGTCAAAGGCATGAAAAATAAATCAAAAATTTGTCGTATGGGACCAAAAATTGTCCCGAGTCGTATTAATTTTTGGTTCTGACAAATGAGTGCCGAAAAAAATTCTTGATGAGTCAAAATTTTCGATAGTGAACAGTCTTAAAATTTATATTTAAAAAATAAAATTTAAAAGTCCATAAAACCCCAGGTGATCATGAATTATTCATTCAAGGCCAAAATAAAACTTTTTATATTTTTTAGGCTAGGCCTTGTCCTTAATATTATTTTCCCTTTTTGCTTTCCTTATTTCCTTTCATTTTTAACTTTGTTTACAAACTTTAAAATTTATTTAAAAAATATTCACTGAAAAAACGTCAAAAAAGTGTAAATAAACATCCCCTGCGTCAATCTAAAACTTTTAAAATATTTGTAAAAATTCTTTTTATATTTAAATTTCAAAAAGTAACAAAACACGCATGCTTGATTAAGCACGAAAAAAGGCGACTTTTCTAATTATTTTTTTTGTTTAATCTATCCAATTAACTAACATTTTGTATAATCTTCAATTTATTATACAAACATATTTTCTTTAAAAAATTTTAATTGGGTAGCGCACCTGCTTTTTAACCAATTCTTTCTGTTAGCTAAAACAATTGGTTCTTCAAAAATCCATTCTCTCAATATATATTATCTATTTTGTTTAATTAATACTGCTAAACATACAAAAGACAATTGAAAGGATTTCTTATATTTTTTAATTTCAAGTGAATTGTAAAAACTCAGGAAGAGGATCACAAAACACCGCGCAAGAGTAAAAGGGTTCCAAAAACAACACATTTTGAAACTGAACTTATGAAATATCGAATGCCCTTTTAGGGAAGTTAATAATTTTCACGTGAATTTTTGCCCTATAAATGCCACACTTCATTTTTGGCCCTCTCCCCCCTGCTTTTCCTTCCCACATCCCCCTAAATCGATTTAAAAATGAAGATGTGAAGAGGGGATATATGTTGAGTTGTTGTCAGTTAGAGGTAGTCACTCGCTTAATTATTCATATTCTCTTTCCACTTATTTGAGTTTTTTTTCAAAATTTTAAAAATTTTTCTCAATGTTTTAAAAACATTCTTTCTCTTTTTCAAATCAATTTTAACTTAAAAGTTTATAGCTATCCGCTTCACCATTTCTCTCTTCTCCCTTAATTATACGGCTTTAAGTTAATATTTTGTATTTATTAGATCAAAAGTTTACTCAGCTTTAATTAAAATAAAATTTTAATAGACACCCAGGTTTTTCGATTTTATTTTAATTAATTTTAAAAACTTTTAGAGACAACAAAAATCGAGTTACCTACATGTTTTTTAATAAACGGAAATTCAATCTAACACATTTTGGTTCCAATATTTAGCCATTTATCACACAAAAATACCATTTTTTGCTCTCAAACATCATTCGCTTTCAGTTAAAATTACATTCAATTTTTCTTTTACTCATTTACAAAATCAAGTTTATTCAAGAATTAATTTTTTAATGGTGTGATCTGCGCAACTATATGTTGGCCCTTTCTTTGATCTCTTATAAAATATTTTACTTAAATATTTTTAATCAAGTTGCAACGTTTCACGTTTAATTACAAAACATTCTTTCTTATATTCACTTGAATAATTTAAAAATTTTCTCCCAAACATTAAAAAATATTTTCGCACATTTTTTAAAAACTCCCTTATGCGCAACACAATTTCAAACATTTATAAAGATTAAAAACATTCATTAAACTTAAACCTCGACACTAAAATCATTAAAACAAGGGAACGTAAAGCTTTGAAAACAAAGACCTGAAAACATTTCAAAACTAAAACATATTCAAACTTGTTTAAAAACACTTAAAAATACACTCACACACAATGAGATTAAAAACAGACAATAAAATATTCAAATCCCTCATTTTATCAAATAAAAGTTCCTTGTCCTTAAACCACCCACATTCAATAAAAATTTAAATTTGTTTTTATAATCTTCATTTTTCAGACTTTATTTTTAAATTTTGAGTATATTTATTATCATCCTATCAATATGAGGAAACATTCAGTTTCAGCACAATTAACTCGAACAGCTCGTCGTTTCTCTACAGTTATAGCCCCTCAATTAACTAAATTAGAACCTGTCCCTACTTTACAAAAACATCAAAAAGTTACAATTAAAATTGCAGATATTCAAAAATTAAATGAAGCAATTAAACAATATGTTTTACATGGTGGACGTCTTTTTGATCCTGTAGAATTTGAAATTAGAGCTGAAGATACTGACAGTAATGGGAATGGACGTAATCAAGTCTTATTAACTGCACAATTTTACACAGAAGAGATTGTACTTTTTGAAGGAAATAAACGTCTTTTGAGTATATCATTGAGTGATCCCGTTGGTGAATCAGACCTTTTAAACAGATTTAAGACTAATAGTAGCTCTTTTGATTCAAATAGTCCAGTGCTTGCCAAAGTTCGTCATCCAATCTCAGGTTAAATTTTCTCTCAACAAAACCTCAAAACTAATTTCCGGTACTTATTTAAGGTATAAAAATGTTTGAAGTTGTTCAAAGTCAAAAACGCCCTCAACGTTGGCAAATAACTGGAGCAATGGATGAATTAAACAAATGCGAAGTTGAAGCACATTCAAATGTTTGGAGACAAATGCTTTCTGCTTGTGGATTTGTTTTTGCAACAGAATGGTGGAGTATACAAAATGAAGGATTAAGAGTAGCTGAGGTGGGAATTTTTTGGAAATAAAGTTTTTGAAAAAAAATTTTTTTCAGATCTTTCCACAAAAAGCAGTTTGCGAAGAAAATTCTTTACGTTTGCAGTGGTCAGAGCAGGTAAACAATTAAACACAAAAACATCAGAAAAGCTTAAAAACACAAAAACATTAGAAAAACTTAAAAACACACAAAAACATCAGAAAAACTTAAAAACACAAAATAAAAACACACAAAAACATCAGAAAAACTTAAAAACAGAAAAACATCAGAAAAACTTAAAAACACAAAAACATCAAAAAAACTTAAAAACACAAAAACATCAGAAAAACTTAAAAACACAAAATAAAAACACACAAAAACATCAAAAAAATTTAAAAACACAAAAACATTAGAAAAACTTAAAAACACACAAAAACATCAGAAAAACTTAAAAACACAAAAACATTAGAAAAACTTAAAAACACACAAAAACATTAGAAAGACTTAAAAACACACAAAAACATTAGAAAGACTTAAAAACACAAACATCAGACAAACTTAAAAACACAAAAACATCAGACAAACTTAAAACACACAAAAACATAAAAAAAACTTAAAAACACACAAAAACATCAGAAAAACTTAAAAACACAAAAACATCAGAAAAAAACAAACCTAAAAACACAAAAACATCAGACAAACTTAAAACACACAAACACATCAGAAAAACTTAAAAATTCACAAAAACACCAGAAAGACTTAAAAACACACAAAAACATCAGAAAAACTTAAAAACACAAAACTTAAAACACACAAAAACATTAGAAAAACTTAAAAACACAAAAACATTAAAAACTAATTTACATATAACGTTTTTAGGCGAGCAATGAACTTCGATTATTAGCTTTATGTTTTGGACTCGTACAGACAGTTCGCGAAGCTTTCCCATCGCTTCTTCACATTATGAAAGAAGCTAGACAAAGAAAAATGCAAATTCATCGCCCAAGTATTGTACCAGGCTCTCCCTGATATATTTTTTGTGTGCTCAGACAACAAACAAAACAAAGTCATACAAAAAACATTTACATAACTACGCACGTTTTCATTATTAACTAGGAAATTGTGCCGTTTTTTTGCGTGACTTAGCGTTATACATATTTTTTAAGTCAACTCAAATTTTTAGTTTTATAAAACCGTTGAAACTTATTTCGATTTTCTGTTGTATTATTTTTTCTTCAAATTTTTTAAAAAATATTTAAAGAAAATTTTTTAAGAACTTTTTTTAAAATTTCACCCTCTCTTACTTAAAAACATATTTTTAATTAATTAATTTTTCCCCCACCTTTTGTCGGTCACAAATCCTTTCATCTTCTCCACCACCAATAACAAGTTCTGCTGCTTTTTTTGTTGTTAAAATATTTGTCATTGACTTTGATGTTATGTTGCTTGAATAAGTGAACATTTTTTTTGTTGAATTTTTAAAAGTTGTTGAGAAAAATAATTGAGTAGACAAAATTAATTTTCAAAGACAAAAGATTCCAAAAAGTAATTGTTGCACTAAAATAAAAATTTTAATAATTTCAAAAAATATTAACAAAGGAAAACAATGCAAAACAAGAGGAAAATTGTTTTTTCTAAGCAGAAAATTTAAATTTATTTTTCCCAAATTTCTCCTCTTTTAAAAACTTTAAATTGCACAAAATCTGTTAAAGCCAATTCTTAAGGGATAGATAATTAGGGCCATATAAATGCCCACAAAGTTTAGTAGCTCTCCCCGCGGGAAATTATATAAAAATATTTGAAAAATAAAGAGGAGAAAAAATAAATATTTTTAAAATTAAAAAAAAATAAAAATAGCAAAAAAATATTCGTAATCTCTAGTCTAAAAAAGAAATGCCAGATAAGGAATATGGTCCGAGTTTCATGCCCTTCTCCCTCATTTTTTTCTTAAAAATGTTTTTGTTAATTAATCGTTTCCTTCTTTATATAACCTTGAATGACACAAGGAAATTGGAATTGAGAAAGGAAGTCAGACCATTATGCACATATTAAGAGGAGGGGAAAGGGGAGAAGAGACACGAAACTAGGACCAGAAATATAAGATTAATCTGTGGTCTAATAATTTGTGAAGACACCGGTTTTGTTTATTTTTCTTAAAAGTCAGGCTTAAAAATAAACAGAAAAATAAACTTGCAAACTATTAAAAAATATTCAACTGAAAGGAAATAGGAGGAGGAAAAGCAATAAGTAGAGAAAGCCAAAAAATGTGTTTGGTGGTTGGTGTAAAAATAATTGTATGCGGAATAAACGGAAAATTAAGGTTTCAACGGCCAACACCAACCCAACTGGAAGCAATGTGTTTTTTCGAAAAAAATAATTGTGTGTTTGCTTCACCGTTAAAAAATTTATATAGTTGTTTAGTGCTAAAACTTCCCATTAAAAAAAAGTTATTGTGACGTTTAAAAATAAAATGACGAGGGAAGGAAAAAAAGCTTTTGGGGGATCCAAAATTATGAAAAAAAAATTAGGGATCATCCCAATTTTTGTATTCAAAATACAAAATTTTTTATCAACCCCTCAATTCCTTAACCTTCTATAAAAAAATTTTTTTGTATCAAGTTTTGCATTTATTAAAAGTACCTTCAAAAAAATCGCCACAAAAACCAGTTGACATTTTCTCGCGCATCTCTCTTTTATTAAACCACTAAAGATGCCGCTTTTTTAAATTTTTCTCGCCAAGCGTGAAGGACATCAAATGCCTTAGGGAGCATATCTAAATAAGCTTGAAGAGATTATTTTCAAGTTATTTTTGTTTTATCCTATTAGAAGGAAGGCCCACCAAATGTGTTAAATTTTTACATAGAATGACCATTTATTTATATTTTTTCAAATCAAATTTGTTTTTAACCAATATTTGGATGGTAGTAAATTACTCTTTTATTTAATTTCAATTCCTTTATTTTATGGGATATTTTGAAGGAAAGGGAATTTATTTTTTGTTAAAGCTGACCCAAATATAATCAGATTAGTAAGGATAGGATCAATCAACACCTACCAAAAAATTATAGAAAACTATGAAGATAATAAATAATCTTTAGAAGGGCGTGTGATTAGAATTGAACAAAAAAATCAGATAGAGATCAAAAGAAAAAGTTAAAGAAATTGAGCTACAAAACTGCCCATCTCTTCCCCACATAAGAATAGAATATGATTACCCAATATTTTTTTAAATTTTAGATTATGAAAAATATTAAACCTACTAGAAGCTGGCCAGTGTTTATTATAGCAATTTCTGTATTTTGTTTGTTATCCCAAGGAATTCCATCAACTAGCATTAGAAAGCCAAGTAAGTAAATCGGAATATTTTTGATTGATTGGAAGGCACAGATCACGCAAATAACTAAAAATTAGAATAAGAATTAGTTTAAACAAAATTTTTAATTTTTAAAGCTCATCATTTTGGCGCCCCATGCCAACTATGTGAATGTTTTGTTGAATATACCGATCGAGATATGAATATATACACCCAGCCATATAATGTGGCAATTAATTCTTACGAAGCAACAGAAGATAGATGTTTAGCTGCATGTCAAAATGATCAAAACTGTAAAGCTGTTGTTTATGGTTATATTGGAGGGAGAGATGTTTTTACTTGTGAATTATATTCGGAATCAAATGTAAAAAGCCCACTTTACACGCCATTCACAAATATTTACATCAAAAAAAGATCTGAATGCAGAAAATCGGGTAAATTCAAGTGAAGATCAAAAAATTCGAAAAAAATTTTTCAGCTCTCGGATATGAAGCACTAGATATGACAGACGTTGATGAAAGAGTAGCAGCAAGAAAACAACGTTATCTTCGACTTTATACAAAATTTAACTTTTTTGGATTTGGTTAAATATTTTTAAAAAACCTCAAGTTATCACTGCCTATTTATAAAAATTATTTTCGTAATTTTTAAAATAAAAAATTTTCTAATTACTTAAAACTCTTTCAAATTATTTTTTCTTTTATCCTCCCTTAAAACAATAGAGGTCCACATTAAGTTGGCTTTTCCCTAAACTTTTAACTCACACTTAAAAACTCTTTTCATCAAAAATATTGATTTTAGTAAGAAAAGCTACCAAAATATCAAATGGCCAATGGCTGTAAAGTTTTGATGAAGTTTATTTTCTGTTAGCTTACACTTTAAGCAACCTTACACTTAATTTTCCTAAATTTTATTGCAAATTCCCTTAGCACATTTTTAAAATAAAATTAAAATCCACCTCAAATCCCCTGTTCACACCAAAATGCGTGAAGAAATGGCACTTCTTGACCAATATGTTGCACCAGGACTGCGTCTCTGGATGTTGATTGGGCTTGTTTCGTCCGTTCTTCTGACAATGATTGTAATAGTTTGTTGTTTTGTTCGTTTGAGAATTCCTCGCACAAAACGTCAGATTGAACTGTAAGTAATTTTTGAACAAGAAAAGCAAACTAAAAAAAGAAATTTAAATAAAATTTAGATTAATTTAAAATAACCGAAAATATTTTACAGCCGAGCAGCAAAACGCAGGAAACGAAAAGCAGAAAGGGCAGGAACTGATTTTGCTGATCAACATGAACAAGTAGGTTCAATGATTTATTATTTCTGGTTGAACTAGGGTAGCATCCGTCCTCCGAAACCCTGACGATTTTCTTGGCAAAAACCACGACCAGATCTTCGAAGGCTCTACCACGACCCACAACCCCGACATTCCTTCTCAGGCAAGCCCCGATCTCCGACACTCCCAACCCTGAAGTGCCAGGGTGCTAACCTAGGTTGAACTACCCTCCCCCTTAAATTAAAGTTATTTTAAAACTTTAAAGGACCATTACAGAGGAGGTCAAACAATTGTACTCAATTCTTTCAATATGCCTACTTCCACTAACAATGGTGGGAGAGGTTATAGAAAGAATTCAGAAAATCATCACCATTCCTCAGCTGTTGCTGCGTGTAGTATACCCGTTTAAAATAATTATTTTTTAAAAATAAAACTTTATTTTTGTTTTTCAAGTAAATTAATAATTAAAAATTTTATTTTGAGATTTAAATTTAAATTAAAAAGAAGGAAATGAGATATATAAACTTTTTGGAAAGTGAATAGCTAAAAAGAGTAAAGACGGGCACAAGGTAAAAAAGAATAGAAATTTTTTGCGTGGACAACGAAAATTTTTTAAAAATCTTTTAGGTGATTATGTAGAATACATGCTTAAATTTAATGGGACGAACAAAAAAATAAAAGAAAATTTTCAATATTTCCGGGAATAATTTTAAAAGGAAGACAAAAAATTTAAGAGAAAAACTATTCTATAATAAGCTAACAATTAAAGCTTTAAAAGAGATAGTATAAAACTATTCGTTATAATTAAGAAAGAAATTGGCCATAAATTTTAGAATAGGAATATTATTATTGATTTAAAAAATTAATTTAAAAATTCTAAAAAAAGAAAACCTTTCCTTTGACCATAACAACACTCTATCAGAGGTAATTTTTGAAAATAAAACAAAACTTTTGCCATCAATTCCCACCTGCCCAAGAAATCAATTCGTCCCAATAATAAGTTGATTGATGAATCGGCGCAAATGGAAGACAGAAAAGATGAATAGAAATCTTTTGACCATTTGGTAATTTAAATTTTCCCAATTCTACATTCTATTAAAAAAAGAAATTAAGAGAGGTTAAAATTTAAAATACCCTGTCGAGATTAAAAGCTTTAGACTGTTTTTGAGTATCCAATAAAACAGCTCCATTATCTGCACAAACAATACATCTAGAAAATTAAATAAAAATATGAAAAAACGATAATACCGAATTTTATGCCCTCTTCATTGAAAGTCTGAACTTTATTTACATATCAAGAACAAAGAGGGGGCATGAAACTCGGACCTGAAAAATTTTTAAAAAACCTGTAATGTAATTTCATGATGTCAACATGTTTCACTGAGATTTGATGTTGTGTTGGAGCCATTGAGCCATTTCTTGCTAGACGTAAATAACTAAAAAAAAATTAATTTTAACAATAGATTTTGCAAAAAAGAAAACTAACCCTTGATCATAGGTCGCAAGCAGATCAACACCAAAGAAGTATCCCAACCTACGCCAAGTTATTCTTGAAAGAGGACTAATACCTGTACGTCCAAAACGATAACAACTGGCGTAAAATTCGTTGTCATCTATTACTTCGGGAAATCTAAAATGAAAATTATTGATGATATTTTGTAGAAGCTGAAGCCTGGTCACCCCCCCCCTCAAATTTAAAATTTCAACTTCCTTCACTAACCCTGTGGTTGTCTCTTCAGATCGAAGTAACATTTGCCATTGGTCACAAATTACATTTTTTAGTAATTTCCTGGGAATAATTCCATCAGCTCTAATCAATTTCAAATTTGATTGAAGTGAAACTAGATGAGACACTCTTAAAAGTCGTAACAAGTCAAAGTATTTGTGCCGGTTAAAAAATGAAGATTCAAAGAAAAGAGCAATTGACTTTTCATCTCCTAAACGAGCATATGGACATTCAGTAAGGAAAATCCAATTTCTTATTGCACGATACAAATCCATCTCACTTTCGCGTACACAAACAAATTGTTGAGAAAATAAAGTAATAAGCCAAGATTTTTGTAATCCACGTAAAAATGCTTCATCCAAACAAAAATGGCAAAACATATATTTGAGAACATTAATAGCCTCTTTCATTCTTTTAACAAAACCATAACGATCGGAAAGACGAAGACAAATCAAAAGTTTTTCTTTGTCGCGTAAATAATCGGCCAGTTGTATTTGACATTTTTCTAACACACTTTCCTATAATATAAAAAATTATTCGGAACTACTCAACTATATAAAGAAATGAGTAAAATCGAGTATTTTAACTCAGGATCAAAAAGAATCTAGGTCTGGATCCTGATCTAAACCAATCTCTAATATAAAATCCAACTAACCAAATTCAACATTGAAGCAGCACCACAAATACTAGCAATGTATTGTTCATCAATTTCAATCTCATTATTGTAAAGCGAAGCAAACACATTATTAAGACCTTAATTTTTGATTATAGATTAGTTAAAGAAAAAACCTTTAAAGCAAATATTGTCATCATCAATTTGCATGTAATATTCATCTTTCCCAGAATCTGACCAATTTCCTTGAAAGAGTGCATGGAAATATTCACATTGCTCAAGATAAAGTTTGTGTAATCTCCAAGTATGACCAAGAGCATGAATTTGAATGTCTGAATTGAGACCTTCAACGAAAAGCTAAAGAAAAAATAAGTTAATTCTTCAAGATTATAAATAAACCTTTTGATAAACATAATCGGGAGTATTTAATTTAAATCGTTTTGGTTCAATATCAGAGGCATTTTCATTTAGTGAAGCTTTTCTTTTTCTGCTAGTCATATTTGATGAAGTCCCAGAAATATGTTCAATTACAGAAGATAAAGAGCTAATAGATCTATTAGTTGAAAAGAGGTTGCCCATTCTATAAGATTAAAAATTTTTAAAAAACGAATAAAAAGATAAGCAAAAGATAAGGACAATTGATAAGGAATCAAACGAATTTGCAACAATTTAACAGAAAATCCAAAATGAAAAAGAAACGTTTTGAATTTTCACCTCAAGTTGACTTTTTGAAGTTACCATTTTGAAATTTGAAAATTTTGACATTTGAGTCTCAAAAGTTGAAAGCTTCGATTTTGGACAAATCTCGACTATTGTTCTTTGAAAAATTTGAGTGACTAGGGCTAGGATAAAGCGCTTTTGAAATTTCTATATAATTGTTAATCATGTCTAAATCACCAGAAGAGGCGACAGCCAAATCTTCAAGCTGTAATTCTTCTCCAATTAATGTTGAAGATGATCGCAGACATTACGTGGCATCCCCTTTGGCGACTGAATTTAATAAAGGTGATGATAATAATGCTTCAGATAATGTTGTCGACAATGTAAAGGATAATTCAAATGGAAATGATCAAGAGGAACAACCTATTCCAGTTTCAGGCAATTTATTTTTTATTTTTTGTTAAAAATCCTCTTTAATATCCCCTTCTTGTCGGGAGTAGGTCGGCGTTAGGCCCAAAGGGTCCACCAATTAAAACGAAGGCTTTCTATTTAAATATATTTATTAAAATGTAGGGAATGGTAAAGTTTGAGGCCCAGCCAAAACTGATTATGAAAGATTTTTCCTAGTTCTCCCTCGCCTTTTATTAGATGCTAAAAATTGGCGTTAAATAATTATTCTTAACTATAACATCCTCCATTAATTTATTATTTCCTAGATGATGAGGAAACTTGTGAGGATACTCAACAGCAACAACAGGATCAAACTTATGATTCTTTTGGACAACAAATAGAGACTCATCCAAATGATTCTTTCAATGAGATCGATGATATTTCCATTGCTGGAGAGATAAATGACGTTTTTTAAATTTTATTTAAAATTTTTACTTTAACATTTTAGTATTTATTAAAAAATAACGTCAATTTTGCAGAATTTAATACCGTAGTGGATATGTGGGGATTTTGTGATGCAATCAGGTTTTTTAAGATTGAATGTGGAGTGTTGATTCTACTTTTAGATTTTTATTAGGGGTTTTCACAATCGGTTAATTTTTGACTGTGGCGACTCAAATAAGGAATAAGAGCATTTGAGCCAACCATAGGCAAAGATTAAGCGGTCGTGAACAACTTATTCTACGCTAATTTATTTTTTAGTGCACAACATGGAGGTTTACCCGATTCTTTACTTAAGGATGCGTTTTGTATTGTACTTGAGGGTTTTTTAAATCATGCACAGAATAATTCGTGGCAGCGTCAACATCTTGATAATATGTTAAGAATGTGGAAGGTTCCTTTTTTTAGACATATTCCTTTTTGTTGAGGGCGTTATTGACAAGATTCATTCCCTTCCTTTCTATAAACCCTATTTTTAGTCCTATAAAATTTTTCTTAATAGGTAGAAATGTTAAAATCGAAATCAACCCCACGTCCAACGAAGTTTGTGGCGGCACCGTTTTCGGATACAATTGGAACAGAAAAGCACAATTTGGATAGAGAATCGACCTTAGAAAAACAAGAAGAATCTAAAGATCAAACAGCAACACCTGAACAATCCCAAGCGTCAGAAGAAGCCATAAAAACAGCTAAACGGCAAAAGAGGGAAATGCAAAGACGGAAACGCAAATTGGCTGCGATAATGGGTGTTGGACAGGTTTTATCAAGTGCCCGTCGTAAAATGGCTACTGAAGATGCAGAAGTTGAGGTAACTTTAGACAGAATGAATTTTAAATAAAAATTCTGTTTAAGGTAAAAGAGGATGAATTTGGAAATTTTTTGATTGGAGGCATGCCATTAAGTTTTGAAAGCTGGGGTCAACTTAACAGAGTTAAAGACAATGACATTGTACATGTTGGAATAGAACCACCTTCAAAAAGGTTACAAAATTTTTTAAAATAAATTTTGAACTTTTCACGTGAACCTTATTTTTTGAATTAAGTAATTCCGTTTCTCCTACTCATCCTAATGGTTTTGTCTCTTCACAAAAACAACAACAGCGTGACTTAAGTATGGCTGAAAAATATCCTACGGTTAGCGAGGTAGAAATGCCTTCAAATGATATTCAGCCAACGACAACTAGTGGAATCCCTTCATCGGTTGCTGGCACATCAGGTTTTAGATTTTTGTTTTTTGTTTTCATATTTCTATGATTTTTTTTTCAGCTTCCAAAGAAGTCAAGGATTTAACTCCAGTAAAGAGTCCAATACCACCACCTCCTAAAGAAAAAGATGAGGGCGAACTCAGCAGTAGCGAACCTTCTGATAAACCTACCTCTTCAGAAGAATCATCTGATGATGAAAGCCAACAAAAATCTTTTACTTTTAAAAGGAATGCTGCTTTGTTAAAGAAAAATATTGAAAGCCGACCTTCTCAACGACCTCCACAACAGCAGGAGAGAAAACGAATAAAAAAGGATGAACGTCAACAAGGAGGACAACAGGTTTTTCTGAATTTGAACTGAAAATCTGTTTTGATTTTAATTTTTAAGGGCGCTTCAAGTGCACAAAATCTTCAACAATTACTTCAGAAATGTTTTGATCTTCGTGGCCGAATTGTTAGAAAGTTGAGTATTCAACAAAAAGCAATGTTTATGGATCTATTAAAGGTTTTATTTTTTACATTTCTACCAACTTTTCAAAATAAATTTAAGCAAAGTATGGCTGGGACACTTCAACAAGGAGTTCAAAATTTACAGCAACAACAAGCAATGGCATTGTTGATGAATACAATTAATGCATCTGGGATTGGCAGTAGTTCATCATAAAAGTACTATTATTTTTTAGTCAATTTTAAAATAAAAACCGGCCATGCATTGATAAATGTATTTTAATTGAAAGGATTGGAAAGATTTTTAAGAATTTTTTGCTAATAAATTTGTTAATCCAATCCTTTAAAGATTTTAATAAATTTAAAAATCTGTTATTTTTCTCATTTTTTAATAAAAAATTTGTTTTGTGGAAATAATCTAACTATAATTCTTACTGAAAATGATAATGAATAATTTAATCAATATAAAAATTTTATATCTGGATTGAAATAAATCGAAGTGACACGCATAAACTAATACATAAACTAAAATACAAATTAAACCTCCTCCGAATCCTCATTCATAATATCATCCACATTAATGTCAAGCTCCTTGCACAAATTTAAAACAAAAGCAATTTCGTTGTCAATAAACTCAGTCATCTCTTTATGTCGTTCTTTTAATTTACTAATTAAATCATCACTGCCGCCCTCCATTGGTCCATTGTATTTAATTGGAACATCACGAAGTCTAAATTAAAAATTTTTTTGATAAAATAGAAAATTTTAGAGAATGTGGTGAATGTGTCAACGGAAAATTTGGTAATTTTTAAATGTTTGGATATGAAAGACGCATAATGGTCAGATATCACTTCCTTAAATATAGAGAAAGGGAAGTTATGGATTCTCTGACCCTTATGAGACCATTTTATGATTAAGCCCGCATACACACAGAAACTGAATTGAGACAACCCCAAATACCATTTATCATATAACTAAAATAAACTAACTTTTTTGCCTCCGCAGTCTTTTCCTTTTCACGTTTAATTCCATCTTGAAATTCTTTACGCTTAACCGCCAATTCCGTTGATGATAAACGATTACGTACAACAGATTTTTGCAGGTCTTTAACAAGTTTTTCAGCCTCATTAGAAAGTTTTTTCTCCTTCATCTCCTTTGTAGTATGAGAACGTAAAACGCGGTCACTCATTGTAGCCTTAAAGAGAAAAAAATAAAACAAAATTTCTGAAATAAAAATTATAAAATTCGTCAATAAAACAGAAAATGAAAACTGAAATCTTAAATAGAAAAGTATCCCGCCTCAATTTCAAATTGGAAACTTTCAAATTGTCATTATTCGAAATATTTTAATAAATATCGGTCGGTTGAGTCTTGTCGATTATTTTTGCTTGAAAAAATTATTTTGATACTCAACTGTCAAATTCTTTAGTATTTAAGGATTTTTTAAAATTTTTTCACAAATTTTTTTAGATTTTTAGAATTTTCAGAAATTTTCTTAAAATTTTTATTATTTTTCTTCTCTTTTTATTTCCTTTTAAATGATGTTATATTTGATGACTGATGATCCAATTTTACTTCTGTTTTAGCCTTAAATCTTCAAAATTTAAAAATGTTTAAAAGATTCGTCTACATTCACGTTAAATTAAAAGTTTATGGAATTAAACATAAATGTTTCATAAGGAGGACAGGTTTTTTTGTATTGGGAGGTTACGGGACATTAGTTTTAATAATTTATGGGGTTAATTCTTATTTTCCTTTAGCTCCCCTCCTCCCCTCTCATCTATTTTTTACAAATTTTACCCTCTTCTCTTCATCTAAATTTTATTTTCTTCAATTTCATTTTCTTTCCATTTTTGTTAACTATTTTGAAATATAGGACAAAGACAAATGAAAGGAAAAGCTAAAAGGGAATTGGCACAGAATCATAAGATTGATTGTTATAAATGAGTTTTTTCCCTTCCAGAGTGTTTTTGCCTGTTAGTTGACTGATTGGGCGTTTAGGATGAAAAAATTTTTCTTTGTCCAAAAGGTCGAAATTTCAAAACAATTTTGTCAACCTAACCAGGCCCCTGTTTTTTAGCTTTTCCTCTACCTTTTCTTTCCCGTTGTCGCTGACCTTTTTCCTTTCGATTCTTGCTCTTATTTTGTCGATCTTTTGCACTTTGCTTTAAATTGCCCACGGCCATAGGCTATGTTTATGATACATCGGAGAGGGGATATAAGGCCAATGACTAGCACATATAAATAAACAAGTAGAAAGGAAAGGATTTGTGTCACCCATAAAACGCCTTCTGTTCATTGGACCAATCGCCAGTCTTTTCTAGTTTGGTCAATTTCTTCTGTTATTTTTAAGCCAGGTTCCAAAACTATATTCTTCTCAAATAAACAAAAAATATTTTTTTTGTTCCCGTTCTCTTTCCAAAAATCCTTTAAAAAGTCTTGCAAGTTCTTTTTTAATATTCTGTTGGGATATAGTTGCAATTCACAAAAAATCTTTTTTAGTTTATTTGAAAGGCCTAGTTTAGAATTTTCTCTGTTAATTTTTCTGTTAATATTTCATTTAGTATTTACTCATAAAAATCTTCTTTTCTCTCTTATATCGGTGCCATTTCCCAATTTAATTTTTCCTTCTGGCTTTTTAACGACTTTGACTTTTATTTTTATGGGCCATCTTTAAACATAAAAATTCTTCATATCAACATCTTTAAGTCTTTAAAAATGTTTTTAAATTTCTTTAACCCCTAATGTTGCAACAAAAAATATTTTTCTGATTTCTCAACTTTTTTCTTCCTTTTCCCATCTTTGGTCTTTTGGGTTGACTTTTTGTACACACCACAAACTTATTTTTGTCTCCCGTGCCCTGGGCAACTTATAGGTCCATTTCTGCCATTTTTACCAGTCGTTGTGGATGTGGAGGACGTCCGTCAATCATCATTCATCCATCTACTTTTTACCCCCTCAATTCTTTCTTCCCTCAATTTTTCAAATCCATCAACTATTCTCTCCTTCCATTTTTTCCTTTTCACCAAGTAGTAAAATACTCCTAAATAATACATAAAACCCTCATTTGGCTCTTTCATAGGCCACAAATCCTCATCCTCCTTCCCTCCATTAGAGTTGGAGCATTGCTCTATCTCCATTCCCAACTTTTTTCCTCTTTGCGCTAGGCCAATTTATTCACTTCAACGACTATTTTCTACCTTTTTTTCTTCTTTTTGTGGTTGTTTCACCCCGATAAACATTAAAAACCTTAGTGTCATTGTAGGGGTTAAATAAAAAAATGTTCCAAAAATTTACCCCAAAAAGGGTTATTTTCTGGGCATTTTTTTTTGTTTGTTTTTTAATAAAAAATAAGCTAACTCGCAACAAAATAAAGGTTAATTATTTATTTCCCTTTAGGCACCCAAGTCTAGACACGAAAAATAACCTCAACCAATTTATAATTACATATTTTAGACACAACAGGGAAGGAAAAAAATTCGCAACAATTTTGTATAAGTAAATATCCTCTCTCTCTATTATTCCATCTTTTCATTCTCGTACCAAATCCTTGACATTCTCCACTAGATTTTCTTTTGAATTTGTTTTCAATGCTTTTTGTGTTGTCTTGGAAACCGTGCCAGTTTGTTGGTGTCAATTTGTTGTTGTCTCTATATGTTTCATATTTTTAAAAGTGCCAATTTTTGACTTTTATTTTTCCCCTCAACATTTTATTATTCAAAAATGGCATTAATCCAAAATATTTATAGGTCTTTTGGGAATAGGAATAGAATGGTACTTAAATGATTATTTAATGCAGTTTATTTTTTGATTTTATCTTTAATTCATTTGGGATTTTTAAAAGGAATATTAACCAACTAGGAATATTAACCAACCAACCTTTGAATATTAACCAACTAAAATTTAGAAAATTTAAATTATATTTTCTGCCATTGTCAGCACTACAACAGAAAAATTGAAACAGACATTCTAATATAATTGAATTACGCGGTTGGATTAACCAACGCCTAAAGCATCTGTGGGTTTAGACAATTAAGGATAGACAATTTATTGGTATTTCTTTCCAGTTTTTTCCAAAAAATATTTTTATGTTTCTTTATTCTGATTTTGACTGGGATATTTTTGATTTTGTTTTCTTATTGTTAACAGTCTTCATTTTTGATTTTTTAGTGTTTCCTCTGATTAATTTCCTTCTTAATAAAGTTCTGATTCTACCTCTAAATATTTTTCTGCTTTCACTATGTTTTAATTCTTATTTTATATTTTCTATTTTCTGTTTTTAATGTTTAAAACAGGGAACATCTCTTATTATTATTCATATTTTCATGTATTGAACGTATATCCTCATTTTCTTTCATTTTATCATTTTCATGGTATAGTCGTCATCAACATAATTAAGTTTAGTCCCCAATTGTTTTCAACCTTCCATTTTTTCTACTTTTGCCCTTTTTTTCTAATTTCCTCACCTCCCCTATTCCAAACATTGCCTTTTTGTTTGTGCCTATCTTCTCCAAATATCTTCTTTGTTGCCCAGTTTTTAATATTCTCAAGGGGATTTACTGCTTTTGTTTTGAGGGATTAGCAATTCCTTCCTTTCAGTCGCTTCGTTTCCAATTTTATTAGATAGAAAAGAAGAAATATGCAAAATAGGAAGCGGTAAAATGCTTTCAACAATAATTAAAAAATATAAATTTAATTTAGTCAATGTAAATTTTTTTTCTTGAAAATACTTGAGAATATTAAAAATGCGCGGGTTTAAATTCAATATCAACCTCTGTGTTTTAGGTATTTATTAAAATCCTCTCTCCAATTCCTCCTTCAAATTTTCCTTGTCAAACTTTAAATTTATTGCTCATTTTTTCCTGTTGTTGTTCGAAATAATAGGTAAGACTTCGAGGTGTTTATCTAAAATTTCTTTATGTGCTTATTGATCCTTTGGGTGACCAAAAATATTTTTTAGCTGTAAATAACTTAAAAAGCACGTGAGCATTCAAAAAAACAAGTAGTACATTTTTTGTTTTTATGTACTTCTTTAACTTAACATCAAAGATTATTTTTCACCTAAATTCCTGGATTTTTCACTCATTCCTAATTTTTTTGAAAATACTTCTCAATAATTTTCTCTTGACCACTTACTGGATCTCACTAATATTTTATTGCGTATACAATTTTCGATTTATCCCTCTCATTATTTAACTAAATTTTCTATATATCCCCCAAAACACTTTCAGAGAATAATAACCTTTCGATCCTTTTTCTTTCACATTTTTGCGAAAAACATAAATTGAGGTTGCCAGCTGAAGATACTATTATTATATATTCCATTCCTTATTCTCGCCAAAATATATAATACACACACATCCATTTCTAACTAATAGTAAATAAAAAAAGAAATGACCTTCAACAACACAAGAGTCCATTTTCCCCCCATTTCTATGAGGTATATATTGGAGAGGAGGGGAGGGGATGGCAAATGAGACCGGCAAAAAAGTAATTAATGATGATAGTAGTGCAGACTTGCCCTTCTCTTTTTAACACACACAGGGTTTTGTTCTTTTTTTTATTCTCAGGGAGAGGGGGGGGGATCTGAATGAGTTTATTTTTTGGAAGAAAAATGAGACAAAAAATACCAATGAGGGGGGAAGTAATGCCAGAGGGACTCCTTCCTCTTACTCTTTCCTGTCCCAAATGACCCCTCTGTGTGTGTTCCATGTGTGTGTACTGCTGCTGTTGGCCGAAGCCAAGCTTTAACGATTGAGAGATAAAATGAAAGATTTTTCCTCTTCCCACCGCCATAAGCGCAAATCGCCTTTCTCTTCATTTTTACTTCAATAAATAGACCCTTCTGTTTACCTCATTCACAAATTTAGGAAGGAAAAGGCGGCAACTGAGGCCTTTTCTCTCTCTCGGTTCATTCCCCCACTCATTTGGGGGTTATTTTTGTTGGGGTAATAAAACTTCTTGGGGTAAAATATCCAAACAAAACTATAAAAAAAACTTTAAAGCCAACTTGTTCATAATTATTTTCGGACTTATTTTCCAGATTTTTTACATATTTTTTTTATTCGCGAAAAATATTTTTTGAGCTTAAATATGTTTGGGACTTCATCATATTTTTAAAATGTCCCAAGATTCCCAAAATCTGTTGCTCCGGGAAAAGAAAAAATTGGATCGTTTGTTGCCTGTTTTTTTAAAAACAAAAAAACTTCATTTATCCGCTTTATCCTTTATTTTTTTTATTTTGATTCGCAACACTTTTTCCCCTTACTCAATGCGCGATTTTATTATTCACTTCATTGTTTCATTTTATTGTCTTTTTATTTTCACGGTTATTTTTTGTATCAAGTCACTTTACTTTTTTTTGAAATGAGATACGTAAATTACTCTTTTTTTACTTTAAATACGCACTTTAATTCATATACTTATGTAAATCAAAATTTTTCTCGCTATTAATATCACTCAAATTTTTTAATTGTTTTGGGAATTTAATTGTTTTTATTTTTTTCTCTCCCGTATTGTTTTAATATGTAGAAATAAAAAATTTGTGGGGGTTGGCACATTACATAAAAATATTTTTTAAAAATCAAATGAATGCCACTTTTTGATGACCGGACCGGATGGTCCTTTTTAGAGATAGGAATTGGACCTTGAGGGACCTTGACTAAATTCTTGACCTTGATTCAAGGAAAATCAAGGGGCACTTAAAATTGCCTTGATCCAGGAAATCAAGATATGGATCCAGATCCAGGCATATCTCTTGTCCTATTGCGCGTTTTTACGTTATATATTGTTTAATATTTATATTTTTCCGCACTAATTATCAAATCAGTTGATTTGTGATTGACATATTTATTATGTAGAAACACACTCTTTTTCCTTAAAAGAGGGTTCAAAATATATTTATAGTAATTAAATAATCATTTTATTATTAATTTTTATTTTTATCAGAATTTATTTTACAAACAAAAATTTTATTTTCTGCAACAACAAAGTATTAAAAATTTAAAAAATGGCATCTGTAGAAATGCAAGAACAAATTCCTTTAAAATCTGCTGAACATCCACAACCTGAAGGAGGTGCTGAAAGTGCTGCTGGTGCTCAGCAAAATGCGACGACTGATGGAAGTGGAAATCCAACTATTGAGAACAACAAAAAGGAAAAGAAGGGAGGATGGTTTTCGTCCAAGAAGGTAAAAAATTTTGTTCTATTATAGGTTATCTAGAGGGCTGGGACAAGGGATGTCACGGATTATCCAAAACTCGAATTTCTCACAATCCGTGATATTCCTCTTGGGGGGGGGGGGGTGTGTTTTAACGTTCCTTGTTTTCTTGTTTTGTTCTCTAACTCCAGATAACCAAGTATTTTTTAGAATTATCGTTCTTTGTATATTTTTGGATTAATCCTTGTCTATTTTAAAACAAAGAAATTTTTTAAAGATAAAGATTTCCCTAGCGAGTAATAAACATTTATTTTTAAACCCAAACCTCTAACAAGCAAATAACCACAAAAATAGAATCATAAATAAATATTCGAAGATAAAAATAAGAGTAAAAACATAAACTTATTTTTTTTATCAAAAAAACTCATAAATTTTTTTAAAGAAAACGGCAAATGCTAAAACAACAGAAATTGCCGCTACTGGTCAAGAAGGAGATAAGAACGCAACTGAAGGTGGAGAAGATGGTGGAAATGCTACTGATGGAGGAGCAAATAATGTAAATGAGAAGAAACAAAAGACCAAAGGAACCTCTGGAAAGAAATGCCCATTTAGTTTTTGTCGACCACAGAGAGGGGTTGCTGGAACTGATGGTGGAGCAAGTGATGGAACTTTACAGCAACAACCAAGTTTTCAAGTAAATATGGTTCAGAGAGATGATCGAAAATTGCATGAGGTATTTAAATTTTTTTGGAAATTAATTATATTTAAATTTTTGAGAGTTTTGGGAACTATTTTTTATGGATGAAAAGAGACCCAGGGCTTGGCATCACATTAGAAAATTCTTTAAAATTTTTAGTATTTTCCGGTTATCTTTACCAATGATGTCACAAGTTTAAAAAAATATCCGGGTCTCGGGTCGGGTTTTTTAAATTTTCCTAGGATCGGGTTTCAGGTCGAAGAGTTGTGAGGTTCGGGTAACCCGTGGCATCCTTGGTTCACACGTAGATTTTAACTAGCTGTCGAGTCCATTGAAGTTTTAAAAAATGGTCTAGTGCCCGTTTTTAATTTTTTTCAAATTCTTAAATTCTCCTGACGCTGGTTTTTGAGATCATTATGTCAAAGCAATTTTTAAAAAAAATTTCAACTATTCTATAACGTCAATATTTTACTAACATTTATAGGGAATTGATTTTGGGTTTGAACAAATCTTTGGCGAGCCGGATGCTGTTCATTCAATTAATGGTGTTTGGAGAACCACAATAACGGTTTTTTTTATTTTTAAAATTTTAATAAAAAAATTTTTTTAAAAGGTCTTTTTGGCAGTTCGTAACTTCATTTACAAACTGTTTTCTCTCATTTTTGCTGTTCCATTGGCTATTTTGTTTGGAATTTTGTTTGCTCTTATTTCAGTTTTGGGAGTTTATTTCTTTGTGCCAATTGGGCGTTTATTGAGTATTCCATTTGGATGGTTGGCAAAGGTATTTTTTAGAGTTCTTTGTTTGCGATTTTTTGGGAGTTATATAGTGGCCCTCCTCCTTTTTTTAAATTTTTTCCTTTCGTTAAACTGTTTGGTTCCCTTTCCTTGTACCTTCCAGGAATGGAACGGGTTAAGGAAGTCTGGTTTACCGACCTATCGCTGAACACCCCACCTATCCCTAGTAACTACAAATCCATTCTATTTTTTGATTTTCTAGGTTTGGTCTACTGTTATTGGTGCAATTCTTGATCCAGTTTGCCGTTCTTGTGGCCTCTTATTTGGCAATGTCAAAGTTAGCCGATATGGTAAAATTTAAAGAAATTTTATTTAAAAAATTCATTTTTTCTTCTTAAAAAGGTATCAATCATGACCCAACGGCTGTGATTTCAGCATAAATTGAGAAAATGATTATTTGAGGGAAACTTTTACTTTGAAAAATATTTAAATTTGTTTGAGGAATTTTTGATTTAAAAAGAAGAAACATTCGGAGTTCCGAAAAAAATTTTTTACACTTTTTTTGGAAAAATAAGGCTTTGATTTTTTATATTTTTTTTTGAAAATTTTAGTTAGAAATATTTTATAAAAACAAATTGGCATCAAAATTTTTTCAGAAATCAAAGCTTTATTTATTACATTTCAATAAAATTTTGATTTTAAAAATTTATTTGGCTTTTTTGAGATAACCTCTCCCTCTCTCCCAATCATTTTGCTACCTATATAATCAATGTTTTAACAATTTTTCAATTTTTTCATTTGGTAAAATAAAGAAAAAAATTTTTTTTTAATTTTATTTGTACAAACACGTATCTTTACGTATATTTATAATACCTTCGATATCCTTTTAAGTGATTACGGGCTAGTTATGTCATTTCGTTATTGGGTGTTTTGCGTTTGGTGTTTCGCATTGTTTCGTATAGTAGATTTTCGCTTGTTTACTTTACGATAGTTACCTCTTTGACATAGACAAATTGTCTTAACAAATTAGAGAGCATGTATTTACTAGAGGCTGTTAGGCATAGAAAGAAATTTATGCAGTGAGTGATTTGGTGTTTTGAATTGTTTTGTTCGATTGGGTGTTTTGTCCTGTTTACATTATGTAAATAAGTCAATTTGTTTTATTGTGTGTTTCCATATTTTGCCAACCTTAGGTTGCCAGTGTCTAAAATTTCACGTTTTGCCAACTAGCTAATTGGCAAAAGTGAATTTTCACACAATGGTTGAGCCATTTTTAAAAGTAATAAGAGGTTTTGTCCTTTTCCTTTATAAATTAATTAAGATGAGCTAATTATTTCAACAAAATTCTTTGTGTTATTAATTAAATGCAAAATTCTGCTATACAAACTCCTTTATTGAAAAAATCCTTCAATTTTGCTTGGCCTTTTCCTGAACGCCAAACTTGGCTATATCGTCTGCAATCAAATGTTGTCATTTTTGGTGTCTTCTGCTTTGCAAAATTTGTTCTCTGCGGTTATTTTTTTAATTAAATTTTAATAAATTGAAACCAATTTTTTAGGTTTAAATAAAATAAAAATCAGTTCTGAGCACAAAAAGATTTTTTTGGATTTGATCGAAGACAAAACTCGGCCGCTAATTACAATGGCAAATCATAGAAGTGTAGTAGATGATCCTCTAGTGTGGGCTTTATTTAGCTTCAAAGAGTTCTGCGGTAACATTTCTCGATTCAGGTTATTTTTTGAATAACGTTTGATTGGTAGTGTTGGTCTATAACGAGCTTGTCCGGTTTAGTTAAGCTTTTGTGGGTTAGATCCCTTATTTTTGTTAGATCGATTACTGGTTTCCGTTCATTTTTATGTGTTAGAACTACAATTTTTTGTTAAAAGGTTAATGATATCTTGTTCTCATATCAGTTTTTCTTTCAAGTTCTATGGGTTAGATCCTTATTTTTTTTAGCTCCAGTAATGTTGCCGGCCGTTTGATTGAGGCTTTTTGAGTTAGATCCCCATTTCTGTTTGATAGATCGAGTAGTGCTGTCATGATTAGTGAGGTTATCACCTGTCCATTTGATTGAAGTTTTAAGGGTTAGATATAGTTTTGTGGGGTTTATGGATTAGTTGCTGTCCTGATTTGTTTATTTGATCGAGTTTTTTGAAACTCTTTATCAAATTTATTAAAATATATTTATTTAAGATATATTTTGGCCGCCAACGATATTTGCTTTACAAATATTTTATATAATCATTTCTTCGCGTTGGGTCGATGTGTTCCTTGTGTGCGTGGCGATGGTGTTTTTCAACGTGGTGTAAATTTGTGTGTTGATAGACTCTCAAATAATGGGTAAATAATTTTAAATTCTTTTAACAATTAATTTTAAATATTTTTTAGTTGGGTACATATATTTCCTGAAGCTGAAGTAACTACAACGCCGATTAGAATTAAAGTTGGTGACTGACATGGTTAATTTTTAAAAGAAAATATTTTTTAGTTTATGTGGTTTAACTGTTTTTTTCTCTTTCTAGAAAAGATCCCAGGTTTGACACCTTGTTCTTATAAGCCTCAAATTATTCATTATTTTCGACTTGAAAATATCTCCACATAAACTAGAAAAAGAAACTTCCATTTTTAATAAATTAAATTTTAGTGGGGAGTTGCTCGGATGATTGCTGATTCAAAATTGCCACCAATTCTTTTGCCGATGTGGACTCGTGGCATGGCTGAGTGAGTAATCTTTCATATACACATATTTAAATAAATTTTTAAAGTGCTTGGCCAAATACTCGACCCTATTTTCCGAGGATTGGAAAGGTTATTTATTAAAATTTAATTTTTATCTGACTACTTTAAATTTTGTAGACAGTAGAAATTCATATTGGCACTCCAATCGACACAGCTATTTGGATTTCGGCTTCACCTATGGAAGACGAAACAGAATTGCAACGAAGGAAACGACTGGCTGATTTGGTGCAAGAGAAGCTTTATGCTCTTGGAGAACAGGTTGAAAAACAGAAATTTGTGATAGGAGAACGCAAAAAGAATAGTGAATCTTTAAAAAGAAAATAAGTATAATAATTGTATTTAAGGTTTGATTTTTTATATAGACATTTATTGTTTTTTAGCTGACGTAAATATTTTATTTTAATTTTGTTTATCTTTTAATTATTTTTCCATTGTTTTAAAACAATTGTTAACTTTTAAAAATTTTCCGTTCACATCTATTTATTTGTAACTAACTGTTTTCATTTTTTGGGGGGTCCCATCAGCATGTTTTCAGTTTGGATTGTTGTGCTAGGGAATTGTGGCGCACTGACGCACTTAACTGACCATTTCGCTCGCACTGAACTGACCTCAACTCTTTAACTGTTTAATGTCTCTTTATTTCCCCTCTCTTTTTACATTTATTGATTTTTTCAGCGGCCATTGTTTAGACATGCAAAAGCATGTACTGGTTAGAGAAAAAGAATTAATAGTATGTACTTCCCACGGTAGAGTAGTGAAAATGCATTTCTCTGACCACTACATGTTTTTGCATTGTCTAAACAATGGCCGCTGACAAAAATCAATAAAGCAGAAAGAGTTTGGTAAACAAAGAGACGTTAGTTAGCGTATTTCTCTGCGACGCGGACGGCGATTATTTTTAGCAGCTTTTGGTATAGTCCAGGGCTCTCATCGACAAAATGCCACTCAAAAGTATCAAAATCTTGATAAAAAAGTATATAGGGAGAAAATTTCCAAATTTAAAGTATACTCAAAATTAAATTGGAAAATATTTGTTCGTGCTCAAATCTTTTATATTTCTCTCTTAAATGAATCTTTTCTAATAATTTCTTGCTTCCATTGGGCATTTTGTGCATTTCAACGCATGACATGTCAAAATTCGCTGATACAAGAAATAAAGCCCTGACAGTCTTAACCTCAAGCTTTCGTCCATTTTCAGCGCCGCAGGCGAAAATTTTTTGAAATTTGGAGCCCAAGTAGTCAGATTTCTCCCATTTTCAGCGCCGCAGGCGAAAATTTTTTGAAATTTGGAGCCCAAGAAGCCAGATTTCTTTCTTTTTCAGCGCCGCAGGCGAAAATTTTGATAATTTCGAAGGCCCAAGGCTAAAAAAATTCACTTTTTTGCCCAATCCCTTCCCCAATTTCATTTTCAATCCAAAATGTTGATTTTAAAGTATATACTTTCAATAAAGTATAAATTCAATTTCTTAAGTATGGAGGTCGGTTTCAAAGTATAATACTTTCAAATAAAGCACGAATGAGAGCCCTGGTATAGTCCCTTGTCTGCTTCCTTTCAAGTTTCCTGTTTTTTCCTCTTTCCCAAAATAAATTTGTTTTGATTGCGAATTTTTCTTAATTTCGACGTGCTTTATTTCTCGTTTCAGATCAGATTAGTATTTATTGTTCCAATGACTAAAGCTGAGCAAATTGTCCAAAATCGAGAGAAGAAGACCATGCGTGAATTGGAAATTCAAAAACTTAGCTTAAACATTTGTGTTGGCGAGCCGGGAGATAGACTTACTCGTGCAGCTAAGGTATTTTAAAGTTTTCCTTAAGAAATTTTTACTTCTCGTTTAGGTTCTTGAGCAATTGACTGGACAAACACCCGTTCTTTCCAGGGCCCGTTATACTGTTCGAGCTTTTGGCATTCGTCGAAACGAAAAGATCGCTGTTCACTGCACAATTCGTGGCCCAAAAGCTGAGGAGATTATTGATCGTGGTTTGAAGGTTATTTAACAATCTCTTTTTTTTATAACTGAAACTTTTTAGGTCAAGGAATTTGAACTTTATAGAGAAAATTTTTGGACACTGGCAACTTCGGCTTTGGAAACAACAGAATACGCGGCTTTTCCTTTTTTGGGGATTGACCTTTTTAGGGGGAGGGTAGTATTGAATTGCGGACAAGACTTGCTTTTTTAAATTTTTGAAAAATGTATCCAATATTTTTCGGTGCTTCAGCAGCAGCAGCAACAACAACAGACAACTTCAACAGCAGCAGCAACAACAACAAACAACTTCAACAACAGCAGCAACAACAAAAGTCCCAATGTATCGCTTCGGCGGTATATGGGCAAAAGTCCCAATGTATCGCTTCGGCGGTATATGGGCAAAAGTCCCAATGTATCGCTTCGGCGGTATATGGGCAAAAGTCCCAATGTATCGCTTCGGCGGTATATGGGCAAAAGTCCCAATGTATCGCTTCGGCGGTATATGGGCAAAAGTCCCAATGTATCGCTTCGGCGGTATATGGGCAAAAGTCCCAATGTATCGCTTCGGCGGTATATGGGCAAAAGTCCCAATGTATCGCTTCGGCGGTATATGGGCAAAAGTCCCAATGTATCGCTTCGGCGGTATATGGGCAAAAGTCCCAATGTATCGCTTCGGCGGTATATGGGCAAAAGTCCCAATGTATCGCTTCGGCGGTATATGGGCAAAAGTCCCAATGTATCGCTTCGGCGGTATATGGGCGATGACTTCACTCCAGTGCAACGATTAAACTCCAATGCTCTCGTCTACATGGTTAGCTTTTTTACTTTATTAAATTCGCAAGTTTTGTCCGCAAGGTTTCTCCCTTAAATAAGTTTATCCTTTCCCAATGTTAAAGCCAATTAGATGGTGGCCAAGTTCTTGTCAAACGGGGGAGTTGCTCGGATGATTGCTGATTCAAAATTACCACCAATTCTTTTGCCGATGTGGACTCGTGGCATGGCTGAGTAAGTAATCTTACATTTGCTCTTTTATTTAAATGAATTTTTAAAGTGCTTGGCCAAACACTAGACCCTATTTTCCAAGGATTGGAAAGGTTATTTAGTAAAATTTAATTTTTATTTGACTAATTTAAATTTTGTAGACAGTAGAAATTCATATCGGCACTCCAATTGACACAGCTATTTGGATTTCGGCTTCTCCTATGGAAGATGAAACAGAATTGCAGCGAAGGAAACGACCGGCTGATTTGGTGCAAGAGAAGCTTTATGCTCTTGGAGAACAGGTTGAAAAACAGAAATTTGTGATTGGAGAACGCAAGAAGAATAGTGAATCTTTAAAAAGAAAATAATTATAATAATTGTATTTAAGGTCTGATTTTTTATATATTGTTTTTATAGCTGAAGTAAATATTATAGTTTAATTTTGTTATCTTTTAATTATTTTCAAACTGGACCCAAACTTTTGGACTCATTACCAGAATTTTAAGTAAATGGCACAGTTGGATTTAGAGAAAAAATAAAAAAGAAATAGTGCAGGCAGAGAGAAAAATTAAATTAATAAATGACATTTCATCCCTAAAGTTAGAGAAATATAAAAAAGAAATAGTGTAGTTAGAGAAAAAAATTTACTCAAAATTATGGACGTTTCAGTGCTGGCTGTTGAGAGTTAACTGGCTACGGTATATATCAAAAACAGTTATCGATTAGTATTGATTTTATCGATTAGTATCGATTTTTTTGAAAATTCGTAATTTTAAAAGTTTAGGAATATCGATTCTATCGATTGATATCGATTTATTGATTTTTTATCGATTTTTTGGAAAATATAAATAATACAAGTTTTGGAATTTTGCTTTTATCGATTGATATCGATTTATTGATTTTTTATCGATTTTTTGAAAGATAGAAATTTTAAAGTTCTGGAGTATCGATTTTATTGATTTTATCGATTGGTATTGATTTTTTTGTAAGTGCAAAATTTACAACTTTTTGAATATCGATTGTTATTGATTTTATCGATTGGTATTGATTTATTGGAAGTGCAAAATTTTACAACTTTTTGAATATCGATTGGTATTGATTTTATCGATTAGTATTGATTTTTCCAGTAGCAAATTTCACATATTTAAATTGTTTATATTTCTACCGTAGCCAGTTCGCTCTCAACATGCAGCACTGGTCCGACCAAATAATTGTTGTAATTTATTTCTCTAACTACACTATTTCTCATTAACATATTTCTCTAACCCTAATAGAGTCATTTACTTCAAATTATAGGGAACGATTGAGCCAGAAATGTTCGACATAATGGAACATAGGGAAGGGCGGACAAAATGGAACATATACAAAATGGAACATCTTTACCGTAGCCAGTACGCTTTTACAATTAGCACCGAAACGTCCGAAACATGTATTTTTCTCTATCTACACTATTTTTTATAATTTCTCTGACTATGGGGATTAAATGTCATTTATTCGCAGTGAGACACAAAAATTCACATTTTATTCAAAATTTTAAGAAATTATGTAACACAAAGACCCGATTTATTGACTTTCAATCGTTCTCATTGCTCCGTAGCATGATGTCGGCTTCCCTGTCCTCCACTTACATTCATTGCTGATGTTGCAATCACGTAAAGAATGCCAACAAGTACAATCAAGATCATCAAGCTTAAAATCAGCTTAATTTTTGGAAATAATGCCTCGACATCACCCACTTGACTGTAAGGATGATCGTGTTTTTGTCGATGCCTGCGGCCTCCGCTCTCTCAACCATAGACTGCTTCCTTCCCGAATCTTTTCGACTTCCGACTGATAATTTATGACTTCCGGTAGAAAGCTTGTGGGGATTAAGTTCGGACATTTTTTCAGAAATTTTTGGGAGGAAATAATTTTAAAACAAAATAAGTTAAAGTTTAAAGTAAATATTTTCGTTCGGTTAAGCGTTCATTTTTAAAACCAGCGGAAAATTGAACATTTGTTCAAGGAAAAAAATAAAGGTTCAATTATAAAAAAACAAAAAAAGCATGTTATGTTCGCCCGCTTACCTAATCCAAAAAGATCAAAATTAAAAGGGCAAAAAATCAAAAGAGTTAATCCCTGGCCGTTAATCTTTTCGAGTGTTGATATTTTAGGGACGCATTAAGCTATTTATTAACAAAGAAGCTATGCTAAAAGTGAAGAGAATAAACAGCCTCTCTTCGATCATTCTTACTTTCGATGAACGAAGAACGGATGACGTGAAGAAAGAATAAAAACTATATCGAAAATTGTAAATATTTACCTAAAAACAACTAGAGATAGGCCTGGATCTGTATCCAGAGAGCAACACAAAATAAACCTATCCTGCGTTATCATGGAAACTTATCCTAGCCTAAACCCAAAATAAACTAACTTGCCTAAGCAATTTATTGAGCAAAAAAAAACAATAATAATAACAAAAATAAACCTAAAAATTATCCAACAGACATTTCAATATTTTCTTCTTCTTGTACTTCCTTCTTTCCTCTTCCCTTTCCCGAATATTTTTGTATAATTTCAGTAATTGCTCGTTTCTTAACATCTTCAGCCATTTTTAAATTAAGTACAATGCAAAGACCAGGCAAACGTTCAATACTCCAAGACAATACTTTCAATTCTTGTTGATCCAAACGATCAAAAAAGTTGGAATGAGATTGTAAACGAGCATATTCTCCTAGGTCAGCATCATTTAAATGTTCCACATCCTTTCGAGGTGCTTGTCTTACAAAAAGTGTGCCAAAAGTCTGTGAAAATTAATAATAAAATTTATCGGAGCAGTTCAACTGAGTCCCGACCTTATATGTAACTCAAGAAGGGGTTGATAATTATAATATATCTATAATTACAATCAGTTATAGGGGCCGGAACTTTGCTGAGGTGACCCATAATTTATAAAAAAATCCCAAGAAACATACACACAAAACAATATCAATATTGTCTGAATAATCAAGCTTTGGCCAAATTTGTTTATCCAAAGATTCATTTACCCTCCATGGAACACTTTTATTAATCAATTTTGGAAGTTTTTGAAGCATCTTCCATTGCTGATTTGCTGCATCAGGAGCAAAAATCTTTAAAAAATTTCAAAAATAACATAAAAAATTACTAAATTAACCTGTGCCATCACAACAATAGCAAACAAACACCTTTCCAATTCTGGACTAGTTTGGGCCAAATCAGGATTGGCAGAAAATTCTTTGTGAACAGCCTTTGTCATATCAATTAAACGAATTAAGGCAGTATTGTGATAACGTAGAACCTCCATATACATACTTATCTTTAAAAAAATATAATTTTTTATTTCCTAAATAATTTAAAAAATCTCTTACAGCTTTCACATGTTTATTATAAATATCTCGAAAGAAAGTTTCCGTTTTATCAGAATCAATTGGTAGTGTTGTTCCAACATTATTATCTACATTTATTCTTTTATTAACATAACCATCAACAAATGTCTTAAATAATTCTAGCCATCTTTTTAAACTTTTGGCTTCTAGAAAATAAAATCTGTTTAATAATTTAGAAAAATATACGAAAAGTTGGATAAGGATAAGGCCAATCAATTGGCATATTTGGCCGAGCTTCAAACAAAAGTTGTAAACGAGTAAGATCCTTTCCATATTTCTCAATTAATTCTAAAGGATCCTAAAAAATTGATTGAATCGAGCGATAATTGGTAAGAGGCTCAAAAACTAACCACTCCATTCAACTTCGATTTTGACATTTTTTCAAATCTAACGCGGGCCATCTCGCCAGTAGGTTTATGCATTAATAATTTGTCTGGAGAACCTAATAAAAAATTTGATTAAAATTCATTTAAAGCAAACGTGGATCTCCTTCAACTTCATTAGCTGGTACATATTTTCCATTATTTACCAATTGAAATGAACGTGAACGAACAACTCCAAGTGGAATAAATCTAGCAAAAGGTTCAGCACAGGGAATAAGACCTATTCCTTGTAGAAAATGACAAATAAATCGTGCAAAAAATAAATGCATTAATGCATGTTCAACACCTCCAACGTAAACAGAAACGGGCTAAAATTTAAAGAAAGTAAAGAAAAAATAATCAAAAAAGTAACCATTTGACGATTAGCAATTCTTGGGTCAAACGGCATCTTTTGATTATGTGGATCCAAAAATCGTAAAAAATACCAACTAGAATCAAAATACGTATCAAGCGTATCCTTCTCTATTTGGCCAAAACCAGAAGGTAGGCTGAAATGCATATTATTTTTATAAATTATCCTCAAATTAAAAAACTTTTTAATTTCCATATTCTGCCCTCTCTGCTCACCAAGAATGGGTAAACAATCTTCAGGTACTGGTGCTACATCATTTCCATCAATAAGCATAGGAATAGGAGTTCCCCAATTTCGTTGTCGTGAAACAACCCAATCGCGAAGTTTTCGACTAGTTTGGTAACCACCAAGATCAAGGGACTCAAATTATTACGAATTAATTTCAAAAAAGGAAAAAAAAACCTCTGCTAAATCCAAAATTTGTTGATCAGTCATTTCAGCATTTTTAGCTTGACCAATAGCTAATTCCTTAGATATTGAACGATCCAAAGAAGAGTTAGACAAAGAACTTCCCAAACGACAATCCATGTAGAAAGGAGGTTGGTCCTCATCATTAATGGCAGATTCGTGAACAATTACTAAAGGCATCTGTTGTTTTGTAACAAAATTGAACACAGTAAGGCCATCGATTGGAGCTAATATGTGAATATTATAAAGAGATAATCTTATAAAAAAATTTTACCAAAAAGTTGGAAATCTTGCAATTTTTCGCCATAATGTCTTGCTATATAATGACTTTCTTTGAGAAGAATAAATTGGGCAGAACATAATTGTGAAGGAGATTCTATCCGTAAATCTAATTCTTCATTTACTTGTTGAAACTAAAATATTTTTAAATAATTGAAGAGTATCGACTCCTGAAAAAACCTTAATCGGAAGTAAGAAACGATAAACATCACATATTCCAATCCAATCATTTTGAATAGCTGCTACACTTGACCATTCAAATTGAAAGTTAGGCAGACCATCAAGTAGACGCTAAATACTAACATAAAAATAAATTAATATTAAATTGATTTTTAGTGGATACAGGAAAGGAAGAATTCGGGCAATCCAAAAAGTTGCCACCCCAATTCTTTATTTACCGATATCTTAAGGTGAAGAATTAAACGCCAAAAATACCTTAGCATATCTCGGTGTGTCCACGACCCATTGATTCAACCGACGTTTTTCTACCAATGCGTTTGAACGCCATGAACGACCATGTGTGTCCACCTGATTTAAAAAAATAACGCTAAATTTATTCTAAAAATTACCTGTTCATCTGCAAGTACTGTCTTGTCTACAGGATCCCAATTAACTTCAGAAAATGCTCTTCTAACCAAACCGTGTTTATATAATTTTAGAAAAATCCATTGCGTCCAACGAAAGTAATCTGGCTGGCATGTGTAAACTTCTCGATCCCAATCGAATTTAATACCAGTTTGAAGTAATTGATTCTTCATATCATCAATATTTCTTTAAAAATAATTTACAAAATAATTGTTTAATAAAAACCTGAACGTCCAGTCTGCCGGGTCTATTCCTCTTTGAATAGCAGCATTTTCTGCAGGCAATCCAAAAGCATCCCATCCAACTGGGTGTAAAACTTTATAGCCTTTTAGAGCATAATAACGACTTAGAGCATCAGAAAGTGTGTAAACTCTTAAATGTCCCATATGAAGACGACCAGATGGATAAGGAAACATTGCTAAAATGTATTTGAATTCGTCTGATGTTGTTGAAATTGATGAAATTTGCTGGAAAGAACATATTAGTCGTTGAATAGGTTGAGGTAATTGAAAATGTCTTGAATTAAAATAATGAAATGTTGAACATGTACAATTAATTGTTGTTCTTCGAACGAATAACATTTTTGGCTAAAATTAAAAAAAATTTCTGTTGAAAAAAATAAACAAAAATTAAAAAACTTGACAAAAACAAAAAAATGAATTTTACGAAGCGACCGTTAACAAAACGGAATTTTACATTTTTAATTTTGTCTCTCATTTTACTAAATTTCGAATTGTAAAATTTTAACTAGTCAAAACGACTTTACGTCAAAGCAACTTGGTCAAATGACAAAACGTCACCCTACTGCAAATTATACAAAATGCCACAAATTATAAATTTGTTCCAAGTTTCTTTGAAGAAGTCAGCATAGCGCAAATCAATTTGGCTAAATTAGCGTTCGGCAATGACGCAATCGATTGCTAAATAACGCTGGAATGCTCAAATGATTTGTGGTTGTGTAATTTATTTTACATGTTGTTGTTACAGCTTTTTCTATTCACAATTTCTATTTTATCTTCCTTAATATCTAAAACATTAAATTCCTTAATTAAATAGTATGTAGTCTATAGATTGTATTTAATGCTTTAATATTTTTTGTTCCTTTTTTTAAACCTTTTCTCATTTATTCTCTCAATTTTTTGTTTGGTTTATTAAATTATTCAGAAAAAATTATTTAAAAAAATCCTCATACATATGGGAAGATTTTTTTATTAAATTACAAATTTATTTGTTTTAATTGTAAAAATTCTCTCAAGTTTTTTTCTCTCTCTTTTTTAGATTTAATTCAATTTAATTTTTCAACTTTTTCTGGTTGGCAGAATTTTTGGTTGACTTGGTAACGTTTTTTCAGTTTCTTTAATAAAATATTTTTAATAAATTATTCTTTTAAAATTCATGTAAAATGTCAATTAGTCTTTTTTTAATGATTTTGACGCAATCTTAACGAGCAGAAAAAAATAAAAAACATTTTCTTACTTTTAAATAATTTTTTTCAGATTTGTTTTTTTAATGGAAAAGGGCGCTGTCGAATTTATTACAAATTCAACTTCAATTTTACAATTCTCAAACCGGGATGTTTTGGACAGAATTTTTGTTGTATGTTTGATAAGCTTAATTTCTGTTTGTAATGTGCTCATGGGATGTGAGGTTAATTTTTAGATTTTTTTAAAGTTTTCATGGAAAATTACTCAAAAAATTTTTTAGTTGAATTTACATGTTGTTTTATCGACCATTAAAAGACCTGTGGCACCAGCAATTGGTTTTTTCACTCAATTTGCAATTATGCCTTTGGTTTAATTTTAAAAATTAATTTTTAAAAAAATTTTATTTTTTAGTTGGCCTATTCAATTGCAATTTTTGTACTTTCTAGTAAAGGAATGCATTTATTAGCTCTTGGATTGTTTGTCACAGGATGTTCTCCTGGTGGTGGGGCCAGCAATTATTGGACAGTTTTACTTGGAGGGAATACAAATCTTTCGATAACGATGACTTTTTGTAGTACAATCGCTGCTTTAGGTTTTTATTTTTATTAAATTATTCAAACTCTTAATTTTTAATATTTTTAAAGTTATGATGCCGTTGTGGATAAAGTTGTTGGGTACAAGACTAATTAAAGCTGTAGCTCCAACACTTACCATCCACATTCCTTATAGTAAAATTGTTGCTTCATTGTTCACTCTTATTGTTCCGGTATACCTTTTTGACTCTTTAGACTCCATAATTAAAATTTTCTTTTTTTAGCTCTTCGTTGGATTAATTATTGCCAAGTACAAACCTCACTGGGCTATTAGAGCACGCAAAGTATGTAATCGTTAAAAATTTAATTATAATTTATCTCAAGTTGTTACGACCTTTCATCATTTCTGTTCTGATTGTGCTCATCATTTTTGGTGTAGCGATCAATCTGTGGCTGTTTAAATTGATCACTTGGCCTATCCTCTTAGCGTTAGTTTATTTTAAATTTTCTAAAAATTATCTGTAACAAAATTTCTATTTTCTAGTGGACTTCTCCTTCCTTGGTGTGGATTCATGTTTGGATGTTTTACTTCCATTTTGTTAGCTCAAGATCCACCCGACGTCACTGCAATCGTTAGATTTTTCATACTTAACTTTTTTATGTTTAAATTATAGGCAATCGAGACAGGCGTTCAGAATACAGGGATTGCAATAATGCTGCTGAAGCTTACCTTTCCTGGAACGGATTCGGATATTGCTAGTCTTCTCCCCATTACGGTTGCTTGTTTTACTCCAGCTCCACTTTTATTTGGTTATGCCATTCATACATTGATTAAACGATTAAAAGAAAAAAGAGTAAAACCCGGACTTTGCCCGGCAGACAGTTCAAGATCCCCATTGGCAAAGAATGAAGAGGAGGAGGTGCAGCAGAATTCAAGTACAGGAAATTCTGATGACGATGAGAGTGATAGGATAGAAATTGTTTGCCCAACGACTGCTTTATGATTTATACAATCTCATCGTATAATTTTTAATTTTATAGGGTAAAAAAGTAGAGGTTTAATTCATAATAATTGTCCATTGTTTTTATAATTCGATCTCTACTAAAAGTGATTTAAATAAAGGCAACTAAAAACTAACTAGAATCTCGATCCTTGATCCAAAACCAATTTCGTTTTTGAAGGAATCGTAATGGACCTGTTCTAAATTTTCCGAAGAGATTTGTTTTCTTGCCTTTATTTATTCATCTTATACCCGTACCATAGGAACTATTAAAAGTATGCCGGTAACCGACACAATATTATAGGACCTGAATATTTCTATTTATAAATAATATGGATAGTTTTAAAAAATATTTGTGCCTTTCTTTCAAAAAATAAAATTTTTTGAAGATACTTTTAAAAGTTTATAAAGAAAGGCAAAAATACATAATAAAAATGACTGCTATTATTGTATTTTAAACGGATGTAAAATATTTTCGTTTTCAAGTTCAACTTTTTGTAATTTTATTTACTTTATTTTACATCCGAAAATCATTTTCTGTGCATTTTATTTTGAGTATTAAATATTCCGACAATTTTTATTAAAAATTTTATATAAAAAATTTTTGTTGAAAATTATTTAAAATTATAAATTATTGAAAAATTATAAAAAAAAGATCACCGCAATGAGATCGTGCACACATCCACACAAAGTCTAACAGATTATGTCAAGTTTTATAAATTATTTTGCTGAGCGTTGATAGCTTTAACCATTGCCAATGGATAGAAAAATAGTCGAAACATTCTCATCTATAAATTTATTTTTATAATTAATGTATTAAAAAAAGCATGCGGACATATCGGTGACATATCTAGATATTTCAATGTACGAACAGTCACTCTTGATTTCGGGACATAAGGCCATTGGGTAGTATAATGCCCTATCGAAGAATTCTTTTTCTCATAGCAATCCCGATATACCGACCCGAATTGTCTCTCTGCCGTTGAAAAATATATTAAACCTTTAAAAGAGCATATTCAGGAGTTGCCCGGACTTTGTCTTTGATATCGCTCCATCCATAAGCTTTATCTAGATCAAAAACTCGTGGAGTTTGCGTTGATGTTCCAGGCGCATCAGGCTCAAAATCACTATATGAGTTCAAATCTTTTTTTAACTGTTGTCGAATTGTTTTCTAATTTGGGAAATTAATTCATTAAAATTTAAAATTTTCAAAACTTACATTATAAAGGTCCATACAAGTGACAGTTGCTATACATGGCGGTAACAAATTCTTCAAATAGATTTTCATCACTCTGTTTTGAATAGAAATAATTGATGCGTCTTTGACTGTTAAATCTTTCTCTTTTCTAACAATAAAAAAATTAAATTTTTATAAAAATTAAATTAATACTCGTGGACTGGTACAGAGATTTCCTGGGGTTGTTCTGATCGTGCAGCTTCAGCTAAACTATTCAGCAATTTTGGTGGTATTTTCATTTGTATCAACTCTTTCATCGTCAAATTACGCCAATTTGATGGCAACACAAGTGGAGGTTGAGTTGGTGTAGGTGTAGGAAGCTTGATAGGTGTCGGTTCTTTTGGAGCAATAATGACTTGATTATGTACCTAAATTTGGATAGTGTAATATTCATGCTGTGGAGATGCATATCCCTTTAGGAGTTTCATAAATTCAATTGAAAATAAAAACCTTATTCACACGATCTCTCACATATTCAAGCATTTGTTGAAAAGCTTCGCCAACAAAATTCACATCAGTTTTAAATTTTTTTACTGTAGAATGATGCATTCGATGACGAATAGCTCCACATAATTTAGCCATTAAATAATGTCTTCGTTCATCCTGAATAGAAAAATTTTAATAAAAATTGAATAAATTTAAAAAACCTGTGGAAGTTTAACCATTTCTTTATTCAAATCAATTAATAATTTATCAGACCATCTAAGTCCAATAGTTCGAGTATTATCCAATTTGTCTATATTTGCAACAATTTCTTCCATAGCTAGTCTTTCTTTTTTCTTTTTTGGATATTTCCGTTGCTTCAAAACACCAATTTTTCGTGGACGTCTTTGATGCTTGATATAATAAAGAATATCACTTAAATTTAAAAAAGTTCAGAAGAATAAATTTTAAATTAACCATTCTCTTGGTGGTAACAATTCATTAATAGAAGAATAAAGTTGATCAACTCTTTCAGCTGTAAACATTTTATTATAAAAATCTACGCATTGTTTAGGATCTTCTGGTAATTCTTTTTCTTGTTCTAATTCAGCTTCAAATCTAACATCAGATTCCTTGAGCCATAATAGAGTCTTAAAATAGATAAGTAATGACAAATTTGTTTAAAAATATTAGAATAACATCACATTTGTACTACAAAGTTTACATATTAAAAATCCAATTTGACATTCCAAAATCTTTTAGGAATCTGACATTACGGAACCTTTCCCGCAGTTTGTCATTTCGGCGGATTTGGGCTCCTTTTACAATTATCCCTAACCTCCCTAAACCCTCCCTTTATAACATAAAATCCTTTTATACAAACCTCTTCTCGTATTTTATCTGGAAGTTGTTCTAATTCATGTAATAAATCATTATGGTCTTGTTCATTCGGATTTTTATATTGATGTTTCATCCATCTACCAGAATTCATAACACTCCAATCGTCAAATTCTTTAACACGCGATTTTGTCACATTTGCTATAAAAGATAAATTTAAACAAAATTGTACTTTAATCTCTCACTATAATCCAAATGTACTCCTACATTAGACGTTGCAACAAAAGATCCAAGTCCAAGTCTAGCGGCCATTGAAGCTTTTTTATCATTTTGTTTTGTCTCTAAATATTTGGAAAATTCATCCAAAATATTCTTTCTGCGAGTTTTGAAGAAACTATAATTATTCGCAAAATGACGAAAAATAACTGGTTTCTCTTTCATTTTTGTCTTTAAAAAATTTATAAATAAAATTTTTTAAAACAAAAAACCTCAATTTGTAATTTGACCAAAAATCGAATTCGCATTCGGACATCCATATTATTTCTTCCAGGTAATATTCTGGCAATTTTGGCACATTCATCTCGACCAAAAAGACGAACACCATAAAAAAGGCGCATGTGTTCTTCCCAAGTCCAAGGCCGATCACGCCGCTTATGATCGAGCACATGAATCCACCTATCCCTACATTGAAGAGCAGAACGTCCTCTAACATGATTAGAAATTTTAACCCAATTTCGTGGACCATATTTATTGATTGCTTCTAAGAGAAGCTAAAACATAAAAGAATAATTTAATATAAATTATCCAAAACTAACAATGTCTTCCCCCTCAGTCCAACGTCCATGACGTATTTTTTCCGAAAGAGAACGAGTGTAACGATATTCACAATTTAATTTCGATCTTCCAGGCATATAAAGAGCGACGAAAATTTTAAAAATGAATAAAATTAATGAAAATAAAAATGCAAACCAACTTCGTTGCCACGGGATTTCGTCTCCTACACGATGCATCAAAATCAATTTGCGCAATTTCTGATCTTCTACCGGGGTCCATGGCCTAAAAATATTGAAGATCGATTTTGCTGAAAAAAAATATCCAAAAAATAATTTACTTTGGTTCATGTTCATTCTGTCGTAAATAATTCAAACGCTGGAAGCATAGAAAAGGAGGTCGAGAAACGTCAAGCATTTCAGAAATAACATCCCAATTTGAAAAATCTCTGCTCAAGTCGATTAACTTTTCATCTTCAGAAAGGGTCCAGCCTGACTTATTATACAATGGACACATCTCGTTACACCATTTTTGGCGAAGTTGTGAGATTGTTCGAACACCTTTGAACTAAAAACTTTAATTATTCACCAAATTCATCCAAATACTTTACATCACGTGCAGAAAGTTTTGACCAATCAACACTATCATAGTTTGAATGTTCCTTGAGAAAATCATTCACAGAGCGAGAACTAAAATGTGCTTTAATTTTTATTATTTAGAAAAGTAAATTCAAACCGAATATAGGTTATACGTCTATTAATTCGTTCAACTTCATCAATCCAAGTATGTCTCTGTTCGTTAGTTGTTTCCACACCGGCAGCTCGCAACTTTTTTTGAAAAATTTCTTTTCTGAATTAAACAGTAATTTTGAAAAAGATATAGCAAAACCTAGAATCAAGTAATGAAATTTCGCCATCTTTCAGCGAAGAGCAGACGGAATCCCGTAGCAACTCAAGTTCGGTTGGAACCCCTAAAACAAAATTTTTAATAAAAAAAAACCAGCAAAACTCAAATACATCGTTTTTCCTCCTCAACTAACGGGTCAGCCGAGCATATCCTTGAAATCTCTAACGCTTCACTGTTCATATTAGGAGCCTAAGAGCAAAAAATCTAAAAATATTTAAAAATTAAAAATAACCATTCCATCTGAATCTTTAAAGTATGGAGGCCAGCAAGGCACAGATATGTTGCTATATGCTCGAGACTGTGGAACATTTTCAAATGGCCGTGATAATTTCGCACGAATCTTGCCTTGCATTCTTCTGTTGGATTCAAGTTCTTGGTCTACTTGAGAAATAAGTTGATCTAATAATTCCAAATAAGTATGATTATTAGCCAATAATGAAGCGAATTGTGCCAAATCTGGGTTTGCTTGAATAAATTGTTGAGCCATCTCAGAGTCCAAAGTGAAACGCTCGTCATCTTGTGAGTCAACATTTGAGACAGAAAAGCTAGGAAGAATATCACTATAACTATCTGGACCCATCCAAAAAATATAAATTGCTAAAAGAACTTCGATTATAAAAAAGTAACTAAAAAATATCTAATTAACAAAAATAAATGAAAATCAACTTTAAAAGAATTAAAATATATTTATGTTCTATAAGGTCGAATTTATATGTGAAAAATTTTTCTACACAATGTGAAAACGTTAGTAAATAAAAAATAAAAATCACTAAAACATCCATTTATTCGGATATTAATTATGGACTGCGCTTCCCCATTTTTGGTGAATCCAAAATATTGTCTTTACTGGAAGCTGCGGGCCTATCAAAGGATTTAATTGATGAAGATAAACAATTAACCAAAACATATAGCAACAGACAGCAGTCAATACAATCATTGTTTGTATAATACCTGAAAAAAACAAGATTAAGAAAAATGGAAAAATTTTAAAAAATAGATACAAAACAAAAATACTTAAAAGATGTCATTCGAAAGAGCTCAACAAGCCGAGTCAAATGACACCTAAATTATTCCGCGGAGAGAATATTGGGTCGAGATAAAGACCCAACTCGTTAAAAAACATAGGAGGACCAAGTTGTTTTTGGGATAATCCTAGTATCTAGGTAATTAGAGGGTGAATCCTAGGTCATTTACAAATTAAATCCCCGAGAAATAATAATTAAAAAACCTCTATTAACACCACTAGGCACGAGAAAAGGTCCACCTGCACCAAAAACTGCCCAAAATGCAGTTACAATAATAAAAGGAATCCAAGCTGACATTTTCGAATATTCTCTGAAAAATTAAAACATGAAAAATCTAAACAATAATTTAACAAAACATAAAGTAAAACAAAAACCATGTGAAACCAACAAATTCTCTAACATCACACTAAATGTCTAGCAAAATTGTCGGCTCAATCATATTTGACCAAAATAATATTTTACCATTAAGGCTAAATCCTCGTTTTGCCAATAAACCTTTGTTGGCAAAATGCAGTTTTTTAGCCTTAGTGGTAAAATATGGTATTGGTCAAATATGAGCAAGGGAAATTGTCCTTTTTAATCTCGTTCTCTAACTCCTATCTCTCTAGGCTAAAATTAAAGACGAAAGGTCAAAAATGGAAAATGAGACAAAATGCCAATTTTAAATAAAGACTCAACATCTTCACTTAACCACCCAAATTTACTCATAAAAATGTTTCTAAAAGTTCGACCTAACTATTGTTCATTTTATTATTTACACTAAAATTTTGTTAAAATTCTTCTATTTTCAGGAATTAAATATATATTTTCTATTCATTCTGCAAGATGAAACTTTGCCCAATATGTGGACCAAAACTTTCTGCATTTTGGTTGGTATTTTTTAACGAATCAGATAAAATCAAAAAAAATTTTAGTATGATCATGTCTGTATGGGGAGCCATTTTTCTTGGACTGCTTGGATTGTTCTTTTCATTACATGCTGTTACACTATTTCCTGATTTACATTTTGATAAAGAACAAGAATTGGCAATGTTTAACGAACCGTAAATTTTATTTGCTTATAAGTAATAATTTGGGTTATTTAATAATTTGGTACCTAAAGCGTAGTAACAAATTTTAAGTCTGACCATTTTTAATACCTTGAGGAAGGAAATAAGGAGCTGGAACTAAATTTAATTTTATTTAGACTATATCTGAAATATTTTTAGGGATATTGTTAACGAAAAATATGATGAAAAAGCTAGACAATGTTGGGTAGCCGCTTGTATGTATGTCGTTACACTTATTATTGTCTTCTGGCAAAATCGTTTCAATGATACACAAATCTTTTGATATTCCAAAGTTTTTATATAAAATTCTCTAGTGTTTTTATTTTAACATTACCATTTCTCGATTATATAAAATTAGACCGATATATTTCAGTTATATTTTATAAATAATTTAAAAATAACAATCATTTATAACCAATGTACTAAAGAGAACTTTCGTTTTCCCCAACATATAAGAGAAAATTGGTTTTTTAACAAAAACTTTTCTACATCCAATTTTTGATCAGGGTCACTAATCCTTACACCATTTATCTTCAGTGCTCCCTTTGTCATCAATTGTGCTCCACCTGGTTTTGTTATTTCTGCTACTTCACCAAGTGTTTTAACAGAATTCTTAGGGATATTGAACGTTGACGCTTCCCCAAATAAGCTTTTTACCATCTCAGGTTCAAGCTTTTCGAGATCATCTAATGATCCTAGAACAATTTTTGAGACAATTTCTCTGTTAGTTTTCTGATAAACTGAGGTTTAGGGCTCTCCTTTTTCTTTCCCAAGCTTTTTCCTTTATTTGTACATTAAAGGGAAAAGCTTGTGGAAAAGAAATAGGGAACCTTAAACCCTGGTTTACCTTAAATTTCAAATATTACCGTGAAAAAGTAATTGTGAGCATCTTCTTGCTAATTCTAATCCTTCATGTCCATGTACCAAACTTGTCATTTCATCAGCCAAATGTGTTTGGGCTATCCATTTTCCCAATTTATTGTTATGTTCTTCGATAATTTGCAAAATTTCTTCAACCTCTTTAAGAGAAAATTGCAAAAAAAGTTGTGCGGATATATCATCTAAAATGAGCAAAATGTGAAAAACTTTGGATTCAAAACAATACCATGAAGTTGTCTAAAATATTGATAGAAAGCAAAGGGAGAAGATTTTTCAACACTTAACCAAAAACCTGTTCCAGCAATTCCTTTAGCTGATTTTCCTAATTTATTGCCATTTCCATCAGTTAAAAGAGGAACACAGATTCCCAAAGATTGTTTTCCTGTTTCTGCTCGAACATTTTCAAAACCAGTTTTAAAGTTGCCTAATTGATCAGAACCTCCCAACTTAAAATAACAAAAATTTATTCAAAGAAACAGGGCCAACCCTGAAGACCTACATATTGACTGGAGACACGCATTGTAGGTCTTCAGGGGTGGACCTAAAGAAATTAACCTGAAAAAGACAATCATACTTTTGTGACAAAAATAACCAATCATTTGCTTGAAGTATTTGATAGGTAAATTCTGAAAATGAGAGCGTTTGTTCATTGTCCATTCGATTTTTGACTGGTCCAATTCTGAGCATATCACCAACTCTAAACCTACGGCTAGACATAAGAAAATCGAGCATTGTAGTCTGAAGACGTTACACTTCAATATAAAATTTAACGAAATTTTAAAAACCTCTTTATACCAGTCGATGTTGTTTAAAATTTTGAAGGGAAGAGGTTTTGATTCAGACAATGTATTGGCATTTTCCATTATTTTATGCAGTTGTTCAGTCAAAAATCTAGCATTCTCTTTCAATTCATCCCTTGATATTTGTTGTCTATCTAAAAAATAAATGCGTGCCTCAACTCTAATATTTAGTTAACCTCCAGTTTGTCCGCTCGGGTCACCTACAGCAGCCGTTCCTTCTCCAATTAATAATAAAGGAGTGCATCCAAATTGAGATGATCTAATCAATGATGTCAATATAAGCAAATTTCCAATATGTAAACTGTTAGCAGTTGCATCAAAACCAGCGTAAAGAACATTAGGCAAAGATGAAGCATAGGATAGTATATCTGAATATTAAAACTGACTCCTAAATATTTTAAAAAATAAACCTTGTTCTTTGAAAGGAAACATTGGATGTGTGAGGACAATAAGATCTCTTTTTTGAAGATCATCAATGAAACGTACAAGTGGAGTTGAAAAATATTTTGATGAAAAATATCGTCTAGTTAACATCAACATAATATTTTGAAATAGTTCAATAATTAATTTTAAAGCTGAAAATTAAAAAAAATAAGAAACAAAAAAAGAATACATGACATTTTTACTTTTTAACATTCTGTCGGCGAACATTTTTGTACTTCTGACATTTTGTCGATGAACATTTTGTACATGGACATTTTGTACTCATTACATTTTGTCCTTCGGTCGTTTGAGTACCAACCGCTGAGTCAATTCACAAAGGAATGTTTGAGCCCTTTCTAAATCCCATTTTAATCTTCTAAATTTTATTTTTCTAGTCTTAATGGATATCTCGGATACATCAGAAGAAGAATTAAGTTTTGATGTTGTTGAAGATATCATTGATGAGTTGGTCGACAAAATTTGTTTGGAAGAACGAAGACAGAAGCAACAAACAAAGGGTAAAGATTCAGAATGTTTTTCAAATAATTTTTTTTTAATTTTAAAGTTTCAAAAAAGAAGAAAGCTAACCAAGATAAATTGTTTGATCCTGAATATTATTCTCTTCCACCAATTGAGAATCTTTGTATAAGTGTTAAGGAGGATGCAAAAATGGAAAGATTTGGTGTTGTGGAAACACAAATAGATTTTATAGGTTTCCTTTCTGTTAAAATTCTATTTAAGTTTTTCTTTAAGTAAAAATCAAACCGTTTGATGGAGCTCCACATCTGGGATATGATACTGTTTTATTTGACTCTGAACGACATCCATTGGGCGAAATTTTTGAAGTTTTCGGGACAGTAACAAATACAATGTATGCTGTTCGATTTAATAGTCCAGAAGAAGCTAAAGAAAAAATGCCTGTTGGAAAAGAATTATTTTATGCTTCTTTTGATGAAAATATTACAAAAACTGTTTTTCCAAATGAATTAGCAAAGTTTGAATTTTTGAAATTACAGAGTTAAATTTATTTTTAGGCTTAAAAATTGGGAACGTATTAGAAGACAGGATGAATCTGACTCCGATGAAGTTTTTAGCGATGATGAAGCAGAGAAAGAATATTTAGTTAAAAAGCGTCAAAAAAATCGTGAACGAACAATTTCACAAAATACAGTCAATGGATGTTCTGGTAATTTAATTACTATACTTTTCTATAAAAGCTTCCCCTATTACAGCAAAAAAGAAAACTCGCAACGACATTAGGGGACCAACCAACCCCTTCAGCCTGCATCATAGACAATGGGGACAAAACCGGAATAATTACCCTACAAATCAATACATGCCTTATCAACAATCTACTTCATTTTATGGACAACAACAACCGCAGTACCACCAACAACGACCTTCATATCCTAATTATATGTCACACTATAACTCACAACAATATTTTGGACAGCCCTCCTACCCTCAATATTCAATGCATGCACCACATTATAATTCTTATAATCAACCTCCTCAACCGACCCCTCTATTTCCTGTGCCATATTATGCGTTACCAAATTATCTCAATGCTCCACAAATGCCTCAATCTATTCCTTACCAGTTCCAACCTCCGCCACCACCTCCACCTTCTAATGCACCTTTGTCTCAAGACGTTATATTGTTAGAAAATTCCGACAATCCATAAACTTTTTGTTAAATAAAAATAAACCTGTTTTGATTTTTTGTTTTAAATAATTTATGCTTTTTATTGAAAAATGTTAAGTAAATAATGGCACACGTATTTTAGATAATTCCCAAAATAGGCAGTTAATATCACTCACAATCGTTAATATACACTAGATTCCAAACAAAGTTTTCTTAGAGCTTCTGTGAAACTGAATGGAGCAAATTCCATTCCAGCTCCTTCGTAGAATTTACTTTGAAATTCAACCCTAGAAATGGGGGATTAGTCGAAGTTTAAAAACTCCGATCCTTAGAATAAAGCCTAAAAATTTAAAAATCCTTACCAGTGTAACCGAAGTACATGTAGAAAAGCACTTAATCCTTCCATAATAACAAGTATAACAACAGTAAGAATGAAGAAACAAAAGAATGATATAAAAATATGGAGAGGTGCCAGCGTACCCGAGGTATGAAATGAAGGCATGAGAACCATGTGCCAAAGTACTTCTGACAATTCTAAAATTAAAAAAAATCCAAAATTAAAAATTATATCTAACGTGCATGTGCCAATGACAAAGCCCATAAACGAAGATACGAAGATGTGTGTGAAATACACCCCAAACAAAATTCTATTGTGTGAATTGCTTGATGAACTGATAAATCAGTTAATGACTAAAAATGAATAAATAAAATATTTAAAATTAAAAAAAAACCATTTGATCTTCCGCGTTGTAAGCAATAATATCCTCTTTAATTGGATTCTTTTCAGAATCAACTTCCTTCAAGTTTGTAATACTTTGAGTATTTGTTATTAATTCTGCTACTTCTGAATCCATCTTTATTCTGACTGACTAAAAAAAGTAAAAATTAAACGGTACTTTATGGATATCCCCCCCCTAGTTTGGTAGATGGTCAAAGTTCGTAGTCTCAATCTTTATTAATGTTCTGTTTAGGATGTGTAACAGGGAAAGAATGAAACTAGGAAGGAAGTCAGACAAAAGAAACAATCTTGACCCGACAAATATTAAAAAACGTTGGAAGAAAATCTGATACTCAAGCTAGAGGGAGGGGGCTGGATATCCATAAAGTACCAACTTAATTAAAAAGAAAAATATTTACAATATTTTTAGATCTATTTTTTCGAGTTTCCCTTCTTCCTTTATTGCCTGTCGGTTGTGTTTTTTCACGAATAACTCGAGCAATCGGCTTCGAAAACAGCATTATAGGCATACAAAGAATTGCAATACCAACTAAAATAGCTTCTATTGTTGCCTATTTAATTTAAAACAATTTTTGTTTAATTCCTTATTCAACCTGTTCAGGATACCAAGTAGAAAGATGACAGTTTGGATATTCTTCTGTACTATTTGGTTTAAGAAAACCTTCTTGCCTTGGTTTGTACATAAACATATTAATAAGCCCAATTAAAAGCGAAGGTGCACAATGACTACCTTTGAATAAAATTTAAGAAAATTTTCAAAAAGAAACCTGGATACAAAAAGCCAAAAACAATTGATGGTTTTGTTGAGAAAAACACCCATTTTAGAATAATTAATACACAGAGGTAAACAAAAATAGAAGACAAAAATATTAGTGAAGGCACTGCTATTGTCCATAAATTTATGGCAGAGCGAAAGAAACTGAAAAAAATATTTTAATTTTAGAAACAATTTTTTAAAAGGAACCTTGCATTTAATAAAGAAAGAATTAAACCAAAAGCCATTTGAGTAATGCCAAAAATTACAGACATTTTCATCTAAATTTTAAAAAATAAAAAAATTATAAATTAACTAAACCTTCATTGAATTGATAAAATTTAATCTATTATCTGCCAAATTCCAAATTGGATCCATTCCAAGCAAATAAGGACCTTCCTACAAAATGAGAAAAATATTTGATAATTTTAAAAAATTTTTACCTCTCCCAAAAAAGCATCATTTGGATCAAATATTAAAGAAGCTTTTTTTCTAATTGACAATGCCATTTTCTGTAAACCAATTAATTCAGTATGACTTAAAAATAATCTTTAAAAAGAATTTAAAAAAATTTTACTTAAACGGATTCCGCCATTTTGATCCAAAGATGTTAAATGATTTGGAGAATGTATCGTTGTATATTAAACCTGTATACATTGAAAAAACACCCATCATCATAATTATAAAACGACCAGCAAAGAAAGTGTTAAATATCTTTTGAGGAAAAAAAATTTTTTAATTTAAAACTAAAAAACCTCTTCTTTAATTCTCATTCCAATTATTCTTTTTTCTGAAAGTATAAGAGTAATTCCTGCAAGAAACAACAATAGTCCATGTCCAAAATCTCCAAACATTATGCCGAAGAAGAAAGGGAATGTAATGATCGAGAAGGGTGCTTAATAATAAGATTTTTTCGAAAGGAAAAGATAATTTGAATTACCTGGATTTATTTCTCTATAAGAAGCAATTCCATAAGAATCTACAATATTTTGAAAAATTTGAGTAAATTTGTTAGTTTTGTTATAAGTTGGATGCATTTCACTCGTTTCTAATACATTAATTATTGGACGAATTGTATAGCCTGCTCTATCCTTAAAATTTTTTATATATGAATCAACAATAAAAAAATAATTTAAACAACCACAGCACGATGCAAAATTTGTAAAACTGTATCCATTTCCCTTTCAAGAATCTTCAAAAAAATTTTTTAATTGTAATAAAAAAAAGAAACAAACCCAACATTCAGCTACAAAAAAATTTCCACTCGTATCAAAAGTAAAACAATTAAGTGTATGAAAAATATATTTTTGTAAATGTATTTGACGAGTCCATTCTGGTAATTCAAAGGCAACACTTCTCAATAACTTAAAAAATTTTTTTAATTTAAAAAAAACAAAATTAAGAAAAACCTCCATTTTGTGCTTATTTGTTGTTTGTATTACTAAATCGAGATCATGAAGTCGAATAAGAATTTCAGCAAGTGCTAATTGTCTTTCTTTTGAAGTTCTAGGGCAAGGAACTTGTTTGGCATTAAAACTAAAAAAATACAATTTTTTCTAATTTTTAAAATTTAAAAATCCCCTACCCATCACAAACTCTGTTAATTATATCCTGTAATTTGCTTCCATTGAAAAATATTATAAAAACGGATTTTCGTGTAAATTTGCCCTACAATAAAAATATAATTTTTCTTAATTTTTTAAAGTTCAAACAGTATCAGGATCTTGAAAATCAGCATCAATTTCAGCAGTTCTTACAAAAGCTGTACGACGACATGCTCGCCAGAGGACACGTTCAAACGAATGCCTTTTTTGAGTTTCTACTGTTCCAGAGACAAACCATGGAGTTTCTGGGTGTCCATGTTCTAATAAAGGTTTTAAAGGCATTCCCTGAATACATAAAATTAGTCAGAAAGGTTAGAGATTTTTGAGAAAAAATAAAATTTTCTTACCAAATCATTTTTCTCTTCCTGTTCACTTTCTAATTCGGTTTTTGCTGTATTTTCAATATGCTGAAAATTTTAAATTGAAAATTATTAATTTAATACTTTTATTTTTCAAAGGGTCTCACAGTGGTCAGGCTTCTATTAGAACATTTAAGGTATCATACTTACCACTTTAAAAAATGCTTCAACCTTCTCATAAACACATTTGCTTTGTTTTAAATCATTGTAATTTCTTTTAAGTTGTGCCTCATTTGCAAGAAACTGACGAAAGTCTCGTTCAAATTCAAAAAGTTTAGCCTTTAAAATATTTTTTATGAGAATATAACAAGAAACAAACCTCCAAAACATAAATATCACGCATTGGTGTCACGTCTGCATTTGAAATGTCAAGATTAGGAATGTGATCAGTTGCACCGCCCTCCAAAACTTCATTTTCTAGATAACGAAGAGAACGTTCAATTTCAGCACAACGTCTAACCTCTCGGACATAGGTTCGTTGGAAAGTTGTAAGTTGATGATTAAGCTTAAAAATTTTTTAAATTATAATCTTCAAATTTTATGACATATTTACATCTTTAAATTGAACAAGAGAATATTTTCCAAGTTCCACAACACAGGCATAAGCAGCATCTCTAAAAAAGAAAATGGATCCACCCCAGAAGGTCAACACCCTAGTGGTCAACTGGCCCTGGAGATCAACACTAACTATTTGGGGGATAAAGGAGGTTAGCCTGCTCACTTTTGCCTTATCTCTTAATCCCAAAAATCTACCTAACACCTCAAATCCATCCTAATCTGAACAGATTGGATTTGACCTTCTGGACTAATCCCAGAAAAATTAATAATATTTTATTCAAAATTCAAACTAACCTCTGTACAATTAATTGACATAACTTTAATGGCTCGCTTCGAAAATTCATAAAAATAATTAAATTAGTTAAATGTTTTAGTTAATTAGTCAATACTAGTTCACTAATAATTTGAAAATATAATCGATTTAATTAGCAAAAATAATTTTGAGTAAAAATAAAATAACAAAAGTGACCTTTTCTTCTTCTTTTCTTGAATCTGAAAAAAGAAATGATAAATTAATATAGACAGTAAACTAATACCTTACCTGTGCGTTCTTTTAGATAATAATATATGAGAGGTTGAAATGATCAACATTATCGGAATGTATTGCATGTTCAATCAATTAAATAATAATTCTTTTTGAAATATTATTAAGTGCGTGAAATTTTTGGACAACAAATGGCTGCTCCTCAACTCGTCCCACATAGGATTAGTCCCATTGAACAAAAACTTCTAATTCGTCCCATAGAACAAAAACTCCTAATTCGTCCCATAGAACAAAAACTCCTAATTCGTCCCATAGAACAAAAACTCCTAATTCGTCCCATAGAACAAAAACTCCTAATTCGTCCCATAGAACAAAAACTCCTAATTCGTCCCATAGAACAAAAACTCCTAATTCGTCCCATAGAACAAAAACTCCTAATTCGTCCCATAGAACAAAAACTCCTAATTCGTCCCATAGAACAAAAACTTCTAATTCGTCCCATTGGACAAAAACTCCTAATTCGTCGTCTTGGGAGTAATAAAATTAAAAAAACTAAAATTAAGTCCTAAAACAATTTTGAATTTTAAAGCTTAAGTTACGAACAAGTGTTATGGTTAATCTTACACTTGGCACGTTACGATGTTCAACTACCGGCTGAAAATACATAAAAGCAGGTCTTTTAAATTACTATTTTAATATTTTTACTAAAATTAAAACTATTTTTTGTCTACTTTTTCCTCAAAAAAAGAAAAGAATATCCTTAAAGCCATTCTTATTTTATCATCAATCATCTACCACCTTTTATGTACATTTATATTTATTTTGTTTTGGCTACCTCACTTATTCCTTTTATCCTCTTCCATCAGCCTCTCCAGACTTGGATTCCAATATGGGCTTGTTTTTTTAGCTTTTTCCTTTTTTTACTTATTATTTTGATGCAAAATTTTTAATGCAAATATTTCAGGCTTTCTAAAAAACAAACTCATCTAGTTTTTCTTTCTACGCCAAAAAGTAGCTTTTTTTAATCGCCTTTTTAATTTTTTTTGCATTCCAAAATTTATATATTCCTCATATACGTAAAAAGTATAAAAAAAGCAAAAAGTAGAGTGGGTTATTTGAGGTAGCCATCTCATTTTACGTAAATATTCCCACAAATTTTTACCACTTGGGCCGGATGTGCTTTCCTGTAAAATTTTACTTACAAAATTTTTACTTGGTTATATTTTAAAAATAATAGAAAATTGAATTTTATTAGAAAAAATCCGTTGTAACCTAACAAAAACATTATATTTTCCTTGAAGTTACCGCCCATTGTCCACAAAATAATGGGTATAAATAGACAATATGACAGTCATTAATCCTTTCATGTGACTGAAAAAAAGGTAAAACTGCGCATCTTAGAATTTTATAAATTTAAAATACCTCCAAAAAAACAATTTTTTAGCTATTATAAATTTTATAAAAATCCCAAAATTACATTTCTTTTACAATATTTTCTTCTCCTTTTAGTTAAAACACACCAATCTCTCCCTTTAAATCGACCGACTAATTGACAGCCGATCTGGCAGTTATGGACAAAATGATTTTTTATTATATATTTTTTCCTCATCTATATAATAAAACATCCTTTTTCCTCATTTTATAACTTTTAATCCAACAAATCTTTTTTGCTGCGGTTATTTATTTTTTATTTTGGCATTTTTATATTATTTAGTCATTTGTGGATGAAAAAAAATAATGAAAATATAAAAATAATAAAAAAAGATCTAAGAATGAATTACTTTCAAAGCTGTTGGTTCTGGCAGCTGTCATTAAATAGCACAATTTCAATTTTTATTCTCACGGAAAGCTTAAAATCCTTGCAAAAATTAGGAATAAGTCTTTTTTGGTGTAGTTGGTAATGTGTTAGATTGTTTTTGTTGTTTTTTTGATTTTTAAAGGTTTTTTTAAAAAATTTTTTCTCTAAAGATTATTTTCATTGTTATTAGCAAAAATATTTCTTAAAAGACTTTATACTTTTTGAGATATTCATTGCCGATAATTAACAATTTTCCCACAGAGGTATAGAGGGGAAATAAAAGAAGAATTAGCAGTCTCCGCGCAGTCAATTCAACAGATTAAAGAGTGAATTGCTTTGTTAAAAATTTATCCTCTAAGACCACCGCCTTCCAAGAAATTCTGGGAAACTGGATAAATTCATCCTTTATTTTTTTAAATAGTCAAAATTAAAAAAAATTTTTGACATGTTTTCAATGTTCTCTCAATATTTTTTGTTCGTTCAAAACACAAATGTTTGTTTTATAAAATCAAAGGTCATATTAAAAATGCTTTTTCCTCCCTCGTTTTATTGTTTACCTCAGTAGATGGATCAGAGTTCCATAAAAAGTTCCCCCTCTTTCAGAGGATATTCGCCCCGTTGATTGATCTGTATTTATAGCTTTTCCGTTTTTGCTTTTCCTTCTTCAATTTATATATTCCTTAGAAAAACATTTTGTTTTCTCTTTTTTAAACGGGATATATAAATATATACTTTCCCAACCCCCTTTTACCCTCCAAAAGATTTTCTACTTGTTCTTTTGCAAATTTTTGGATCCCCGTGGGCAGAATGATTTATTTCTTTTGGTGGACCAATTTTTAGAAAGTAGTCAATTGGCAATTGTCCGCCCATTTTTTAACTTGGAAAATGAAGCGGTAGTTTAAAATAAGGACTAAAACAACAAACATTTTTTTCCAGGAAGGGTGACAATGAATAAATACTTCTACTTAATCCTCCTCTATTACTTTTTAAATTTTTCTTTGACACAACTTTTTAGGATTGGGGATTTATTCTCATTGCTTAAATAAAGTTATAAATATTATTTTAATAGTATTAGCTACAAAAAATTATTAGGAAAAAAATAATCTCGATTTAAAACCTGCCAGTGTCTTTGATAAAAAATAAACAATAAATTTTTATTTTACTGCCACCCAATAAATTCAAAAAATTTTGTTTTTACTTTGCGTTATTTTTTTCTTATTTTGAGAAATTTTCCTTTCCCGTATATGTACATATTATAAACTATAAATTGTTTGGAAGATTAGCAACTAAAAATTTTTTTTCAAAAAAATTATTCTGCTTCATTGTTTTTATTTATCGCTCAATTTCCTTTAAACTCCTCCCCCTCTAGCTTATAGAAAAAGGGCTTTGTCGGGGGAGTGGAGAAGAAACGGTCGGGCGAGTCGAGAATAACTGACCAAGTGACCACTGCCCACAACCAGCCCTCACTCATTTTCTCCTTTTCCTCTATCTCAAGACAGTCATATAAATATATATTTAGTCCTTTGTCTCCAGCCTTTAGCTTTTACTGCTTCAACAAACTAAGGTCTTATTCTCGCGCAGTCTTTTCTCTCCTTCCCCCTCACAGTTTTAAATAATAAGCCCCCTCGTTTTTATGTCCATTTTATTTCTTTCTTGTTAAAAAAACTAAAATTTAAAATGTTTCTTTCCAGTAATTTACAGCTGACGTGTGGCCCGATGTCCGAAATTTTTTCTTTTCACTTTTCTTTAATTTAATTCTTATCAGAAGCGACGATTAATGAATAATTAATCTTCTTTATTAACCAAGTAAACTGATCGCAAATAATGTAAATATAAATTAGAAATTGTTTACTTTAAAGTTCCGTTCATTTTGCATTATTTTAAAATTCCTTCCCCTTTTCCCGATTATTTACAAGATTATCATCTTTTTCTATTTGTTTCAGAAAATGACAACAAATTCCCCTCCTTCCTCTATTGCTTCCAGTAGTCATCTTATGCGTTTTGTAGAACAACCCCAATCAGAATGGATTGTTAGATCTAGACCAGCACATTTAAGATGTATTGCAATTAATGCTCAAAGAATTAGAGTTAAATGCAACTCAAATTGGGTAGATTAAAAATTTAATATTTAAGCCTTTTGCTGTTATTAGTAACTGCGCGAGGTCAAAGACTGTGTTATTGACAGCCGTCTTTGTTAAAAGAAAAATAAGCATAACTAATTTAGGATTAAGGGCAAAGACAGATATTTCACTTAATTTCTAGTCTTAAAATAATAATTATTTTTAGCCAAAAAATACAAAAATACTAAAAAAACTTTGCGCATTTTCTATGATTTTGTGCTAGCCATCACGAACTAAGGATAATCCCCCTTCACCTTTTGCGTTTTCGCTTTTCTCTTTCCATTTTTAGTAAAGGTTGCGGTCAATTTTCTTTGATGATGTGGTCATTTACCATGAATGATACTATTAATTTTCGGCCAATCAAAATTCTTTAAACAAATAATATTTTTGATAGCCCTTTTCCAATAAAATTTATTAGAAAAGTGCTTATCTTTTTTGGCGTGTGGATGCAAAATTAAAATTATTACTTTAAATAGTAAAAATGAGAAAAAAGGAATAAAAGTCAAAAATAGTGAAAATTAAAATTAGTAAAATTGGGACTGGAAATATTTTTAAAAAATTTTAGTTAAACGATGAAAGAATTTATTTGGAAAGATTTGCTGATCCAACAAGCAACGAGCCTTCAATCCGTGCTAATGTCGAGATTCAACGAGCTGAACTTGATGCTTGGTTTGCAGATTTGGGAGAATTTGCATGTCAATGTTGGGCTTTTAGCGAGGAAAAATCCAATGAAGAGGAAAATGAAGATTTGGATAGTGAAGAAGAGGAAGAAGATGAAGAAGAAAATGATAGAGAAGAGAATGAGAGGAAATCAAAAACACAAATACAATTGAAAGATACCAAACAGTCAATTATCCGATCGGATATTGCAAGGATAAGACTATCATGTGAGTTTAATATTTTTTAAATTAAAAACTTTAAAAAACAAGACCCGACCTATAAATTAAAAAATAAAATATTTTGGTTAATGGGTCATAAATAAGTTTATTTATTATTATTAGTTTAATGCGCGCATTCTCATAAATACACGCCGATTTACTTTATTATATTCTCTTTTCTTATTGTCCCCGTTAATCCAACTCTTATTATATTCTCATCTTTAAAACAAATATGGTGGCCTCCAGATAATTTAGAGGGAGAGATGATTTAGAGACATCCGCTTTTGCTGTTCCTTTCCCCTTTCCTTGCAATAATTCCTTTATTTGATTTATGTGTTCCCGTTCCACTTATTTTATTTTTCTTTTTTTCTTTCAAGTATTTCCGCAATTTTAATATTCGTAAGACTATTAAGGTCATTAATAATATTTTTGAATAAATTTATGAATACATCAGCCATAAATATTTTAAACATTTTTTCGAAAATGAATTTTTAAATAAGTACCTATTTGGAACATCTATAATCTAATGAATAACTAAAAATTTTCTTATTTTTTTCTGACCGGAAAGAGCACAATTCTTGTAATTCTAGGCATGTCCAATTAATTCTAGGCACATTCCAATTAATTTTTGAACATCTGCCTTATTTTATTAAAAGAGGAAATTGGGTTTTCCATGTGGAAATCTTGTCTCTTAAAAAAATTTTAAACCAAATTACATCCGAATTTTTTTGAAATTAATTTATTTATCATCAAAAAATATATCAAAATTTAAAAAATATCCTTCCCTACAAGGTCACAAATGTTTGTTGTTTACATCCATTTTACTTTTCTCTACTAATCCCCTAAGGAAAAGAGGTTTTTATTGTGCGGATAACAGCACTTCCTCCTCCCCTCAAAGAAAATTAACGATTCAACAAGTGGCCAAATAAAATATTATGGAAGAGAATGGACCTCCTTCCTGATTGCGCGACTTTTGGCCATTAGCGGAGAACTGGAAAAGGAGCAGCAACTGTTTGAATTAAATGCATAATTGTCTTTAATTTTGAAAATTCATTGTGAGGCTTTTCCAGCATTTGAATTTATGCCTTAATTTAATTTTTTGCTTCATTCTGTTTCATTTAAAATTTGGGCATCCTGCTTCCTATTTTTACTCTCATTTTATATTTTTCTCGATGCCTATCTACCTTTAATTTTCCAGTAGCTTAAAAAGAACAGCAAAAGCGAAAAATAGGTAGTTGCGCAATCACTATCCTTCATCAAATCCCCCTCAATTTTTGTTCCTTGAGTCACTCAATCTATTTTTCATTTTAAAATTGGTTCTTTCCCCTACTCAAAGACATGGTCATTCTTGGCGGTCATTTATCTTTGCTCAGATTTAAGTCAGGAGAGATTGTTTGTAAAGATAAGAATGGGACAAAAACGCAATATAGAAAAGTTCTGGCATTTATACCCAATCTCTTCCTCCCTCTTCTCTATCATTTTTTTATTTTCCTCCAAATGCCAAGTGCATTTTTTACCCCTTCCTCATTTTTAGCTTCTTAGTCTACTCTTATTCATGTAATCCCCGGGGAACAATGTTTGCCCAACAACACATAACCCCCACTCAAAGATGAGGCAAAACACATTCCGGGGGACAAACATTTTTGTGGGAGATGGTTAAAGGGAAAAAGTCATCCTATCCTTTTGGAGACAAAATGCAAATTTGACCGATGGATAGAAGAGAATAAATGACAAATAAAAAATAAGAAAATTCATTGGAAATAGCTTCCAAATTTAAAAATAAGAAATGACTGGATAGAGCTAAATAAATTATGAATAATTAAATTATAAATTGGATTGGAAATGAATGGGGGCCTTAATTTTAAAAAATTTAAATATGCACGATGGCAAATTTAAACATCTTTTAACCCCTTTTTATCTTTTTTGTTTATCCATATTTTTGGCTTTCTCGACTTACAAGGCATATTCATTCACCTGTACAAACATCCCCTTTCCTCTACTATCATTTTTAACTTTGTAACTTTTCCGTCAAGTCTGGTGAAGAAGATTGAATTTATTTTATAGAAATTTCAATGGAATATCCGTAGGAATCTTCTCTATATTTTATTTTTTGACTTAAAAGCTTCTGGTGTGTCCTTTCTTCTAGTAGGTCTACTTTCATCAAAAATATTACCAAACTCTTTTTGGTCGGATTCATAAAAGTTAACTCTTTTTATTCTTCTTAATCTGTCAAACTAAAAAAATCTTTTTATAATTTCTGGGCCCAATTTTGCCGCCAAATGACCAGAAGAGCTATTTAACTAGGTAAAGTGGCATGTGGTATAGTTTTGAGGATTTAAGACAAAAAATGAAAAGGAAGGTCGAGATGGGTCATCTATAAAAATGAAAATAGGTGTGATTGTTTTCTTTTGTGACAAGAAGTGGTGGTGGTCTTTTTAAAAATAAAACCAAATTATGATCAAAGGAAAAAAGAGGAATTATTTTTTAAAGTGATTTGATTAATGAACTATAAAGAAATTAAAAAGAAAAAAATAAGGATATTTTTTAAAGTTAAATAAATTATTTATTAAAATTAAAGTCAAATTTTCCATAATAACCTCATGTTCAAAAAAAGTGGCAAACAAAAATACTATTTCCGTTGTTATGCTCTAATTTAGAATTAATTGCATACACGGAATTTCTCCTTTCTAATTTATCCCCTATGGGAGAACAGAAAACATCCCTTCCCCTTGTCCTTTACTGGCAATTCCTCCTTCATTAATTTTATCTAATTATAAAAATACAAAATTATGCAATTAAAAATTGCATCCAAATAACCTCAATTTTTAGTGAAAACCTTCTCCCCGACATTATAATAGTAAATTCAAAAATAATTTAATTCAATAAAATACTGAAAGAATTATAAAAGAGATATAGAGGCCGGCTGTCAATAAAGAGGCAACTCTAGCTCTAAAATGAGAGAAAATTCCGCGACTCCCTCCTTCAAATCTTGGTTACCTCTAAGAACTCTTCTAATTAATACATATACTTACTTAAAAACTAATCTCATTTTTACATATCTCTAATTTAATCAAAAAACCCAAAAGGATTGTCAACAAATGTCAGAAATTATTAAACTAAGTCCTTATACATATTTAAAATTCAAATTTTTCTCAAAACTTTAATATTTTTTTCATGGACAATTTCACTCTTTTATTAATCCAGTTTCTTTAAGACGCTGACCACTTGAAAAATTAGGCGGGCATTTTCACTTTTAGGCAAAAAAAAAGGAAAAAGGCACTCGAGAACCTAAAAATTTCTTTTACTCGAATCAAGGGAAACTAAAGCTTTGATTGGGCCTAAAAAAGAAAATTGGAAATGTTTAAAAATGAACAGACTAATGAGTTTACTATGCAGAAGAATAAATATATAGATTTAATTTTTTGAAATTTAATTTGTTTTTGTTTTTGATACTTTTCTTTGTAATTAATAGAAGGAAAATGCTAATAATTATTTACAAGCTAGAAGGATTAGTTATAAATGAAAGCGGAAAATTTAGACAAAATTAGTTTAATCTCCCTAATTTTTGTTTACCTTCTCTCAACAAATTAAAAAAAAACATTGTAATGCGCGGATAATCCTTAATTTGACATATTATTTGTTGTTGTTTTAAGGAAAATATTTTTACAACAAAAATTATGCAAATTATTCAAAACAATCCTTTCATTCAAAACTAATTTTAACTAAACAGATTTACGTAAACACTTCAATCAAGTGCCTATCTCGCAACGAGTACATGAAGGGAAAACTGTTCAATTACAATGTCATCCCCCAGAAGGAGATCCGAAACCAGAGGTATTTTGTATACAAAGTTTGAATTAGTAAGAATATTCTAAAGAATCTAATTAATAGATTTACTGGCACAAAAATGGTCAACAGCTGTTTTTGGCAGATCCTTTTAGTAACGGAGAAAAGGAAAAACAGCAAAACAATCATCAAAACTTGATTCAAGCAGGAGACGGAAGTCTTATTCTTTCATCTACACATTTAAGTGACTCTGGAAATTACAGGTACTCATATTATTCCAAAAATAATTACAAAATAATTTTTCAGCTGTGAAGCGCGTAACCCAGCAAGGTAGGAAAATTGATTAGACTAATTAAGAATCTTTAGTCATGAGATTTCAAGATAAAATAACAATGTTTAAAATTTAATAAATTAGGCGTGTCTTCACTGAACCAGCGCATGTTACTGTCTATGGTGATTTGAACTAATTAAGCAATTAATTATTAAATTTAATCAAGTTGATGGCAGCTGGTCACCATGGACGGAATGGGAAGGCCACTGTACAACGATAGACAGTAGCAATAGTATTGACTGCCCTGTACTTTTATCTCAGGTAATTATCCTATCAAACATTTTATAATCCTAATCCTAATTATATTTTATGTGGCAATGGTTAGAGGAGACGAGTACGCTGTCCGTCGAGTATTACCAAAACAGAGGAGAACACGCACATGCAATAATCCGGCGCCTATAAATGATGGTAATCAACTTTATAATAAAAAATATTTAATTATCCTTTAATGGCTAAATTGTTTAGGGCATCTTTGTGAAGGAACTAGCGAACAATTCAAAGAATGTACTCACTCATGCCGACTGGATGGTACGTGGGGACAATGGGAACCTTGGTCACGCCAATGTGATGTAAATTGTCAACGAGAACGAAAACGAAAGTGAGTTTGAGAATCTATACTGAAGCGGATTAACTAAGTATAATTTAAAGGTGTGCAGCTCCAGAACCATCAAACGGCGGCCATGCGTGTGTTGGACCAGCACAACAATGGCAAAATTGTACAGCAAGTTCAAGAACAGAGGATATACCAGAAAATTGCTTGTCCGGTTCTGGTTCACGTTTTATATCATCTCTCCCTCATTCCTCGTTCTCATCTTCATCACGTCCACTTTTTGATTCACAATTGTTAGCAATTGCTTCACTTGGTTGTGTTGCTATTCTACTTTTAGTCGTTGCTTTACTCGCTGCTCTTCTCTTTTTTGCTCGTAAGAAACGCGCAAAAGGTATTTGCGGAGAAAACATTGGTGGAGTGGGTTCTGGAATGATTGACGGAATGACAACAGGAATATTTCTTGACAGCGAAGAGAAACTTTATTTCCCCAGTGTAGCAGTTGCTACAACAACAGAAGATGGTTGGTGAATTACATTAATAATTTAATATTCGATCTTATTTTCTCAGAAATGGGCAATGTTCGAACTGTTCTTCTCAGTTCAGACGAGCAAAAACATTTGAAGAATGGACTATTAGGAGCAGCCAGTGTAGGACCATCACCAGCACGAATGTACTCAGGCGCAAACGCTCTTCATTCAACTGTTTCTACTCCTACACCTTCAATGCAGATGACTAATGGAAATGGTCATTTTATGACTACCTTCTATACACTTAGAAGCTGTGACAGTCGGAATGGATGTGACAGCCGTGAATCAGTTCAACCATATGCAAGCGGCCATATCAGTGTTCAGCGGCCGTCAAGTCGAATGGTAAAACCAGCTCTTCGACAACGACAAAAAGATATTGCTGGTTAATCCAAGCTCAAATTTAAAAAATCAAAATTTTAGGGTCACGCACAGCACTATTGCCCGAATATTCATCTGGCTCTTCTTCTTCTAATGGTTCACAGCGAGATAAAAATGCAGCAGATCATTATCATAACGATAACCAGTCAATTCTTTCAATCAGAGATGAGGATAAAGAAGATGAAAATAATTATGCTACACTTTATGAGGAAGTAGTAGAACAAAATACTAGTAGCAAAAAAGAAGCTTCTACTGAATTATTAGCTGACGACGATTCTTCATCAATGTGTACAATGCTTTATTATAATTCTCGTTTAAATTTTATACATTCATAAAATTCTATTTTTAATAAAGTATTATTATATAAAATTTAAATTTTAAAATAAGTATTTTTGATAAGAGGATAATAAACCTGAGTATATGGACAATTTTAATAGAAGTGTTTTAAATGAAAAATTTAAAAGGAGACGGAAGATATAAAGCATTTGAGAGAAAATTTAAGACAAAGAAAAAGTAAATTGAATAATTTTTGGAGCTATAAATGCTGGATAAGGGACTGGAAAAATGCAGAGGAAAAAATTCGAATCATAAGCATAAATATCCGAATGGATCAAAAAATCGAAAACGTCTGAATACAAAAAAACTCACTCACCTGGCATGTTCCATATCCCCAGATTGTTACGAATCATTTCCGTCTTCACCTGTATTTTTCTTTTCATCGTCAATAATATTGTTTTGAGCAAGTGGTTGCATTTCAACAAGATGTGTTGTTCGTTCTGCTTCTTCAATCGTCTCAAGAAATTGTAAGCCGGAAGTTTCATGAAGAAAGAAAAAAACAACAAAGGCAGCGGCAAAAGCAAGAGTTGCGAAAGGGTAAACAACCTAAATAAGTAATAAACGTTTTAATGCACAAAAGATAAAAAATACAATAGTTTTATCAAATTTTTGAACAAGCCACATCATCATAAAAGAAGCAGTAATTGCCCCAATACGAGCAATCAATGAACAAACCTAAACAGTTTAAAATAATTTAATAACGGTAAGAAAATTAACCCCGGTAGCCATATTCCTAATCACTGTAGGGAAAAGCTCAGGCGTGATTGTATAAAGTGTTGCATACGTAGATGTAATCGCTGCTTTTCCAATGAGAAATTGGGCGATTGTAATAGAAACATGGGCTGAAATGCAAAAATAATTTAGAAAGCATAAAATAAAAATCTATAAAAACCTGTTTCGACATTAAGCCAAAGGTTAGAAATCATGCAAATCGCAGCAATAGAATATCCACAACAAATTATTGGCTTTCGACCTACTTATTAATAGTTAACTACTTAATTAACTACTTATTAATAGACCTACTTATTAATACTTATTAATAGGATTAATAGCATTGTGGATTTTATTTTTTTTTGCACTTTATTTATTTTCACAAAAAATAAAAATTTTGAGATTTTCTGAGATTTATTTTTAAATGACATCATATATTTCTGGAGTGTTGGTATTCAATTTTTTAGTATAATCTTTAATAATATAATAAATTTGTTAAACCTTTTGCTAAACCAGTCATTGAATAATATTTTTCATGAAAATATATGTTCGACAGAATCAATGATATTATTGTTCGACCACTGGAAGGTATGCCGCCCTATGAAACCCGTCTCTATCGTACTGAATCATTACAGCGGGATGTTTTTGTCGAGGTTCTTTTTCCTATTAATATTTTATACATTTTATACCTACACGATCCACAATGCTAAACATCAATATAAGCGCAGGAATTTCAACGAGACCACCAAATATGAATGTTGTATACATGTCACCACCAAGAAAATCAGTCTAAAAATTTGGGTTGTAAAAACTCAATAAATTAAAAATTTGTACCTTCATTGACATTCCATAGTAAACCATTGAGACAACTGGCCAACAGAAGAATGTAGCTAAAGAAATTGTTCTTATTCTAGGTGTGCGAACCAAATCAAGATAATTGTGTTTTCTAGCTGGTTTGCTTTCTTTTGAGTAATCATCAATATTCTGCCACCAACGTTCAGGTAATTGCCTACCATTTATACGGGCCGCTGTGCGTAGAACCTTATCAGCCTCTTCGTAACGTTCCTGAGAAATGAGCCAACGTGCGCTTTCAGGAACTATCCTAAAAATGATTTAAAATTTTCAAATATTAAAATTAAAAAAAAAACATACCACCAATAGGAAAGAAAAAATATTGCTGGAATTGTAACATAGGCATGCAAAAGTTGATAATCACGTACAAAATATGCTAATCCTCCAAGTAGTACCTGACCCAAAGCAAAGAATATACCGGTGAACGCAGCCGCCATTTTCCTCTTTGAAGGGCCAACCATCTCCATACTAATAATTACAGCAATTACAAAAATTCCTTAAAAATAAACCGTAAAATTAAAAAAAAGTAAAAACCTGGATGTGCAAAGCCAACACAGATACGGAAGAGACCATAAAGCAACCAATGAGGAGAAACAGCTAATCCGGCTGTGCCAATTATTTGAAGTACAATCGCAATGAAAAAAACAGATCTACGCCCAATTCTAAAATAATAATGCTAGTAAGCTCTAAAAAAAGTAATCTACCTATCACCAAGGAAGCCGAATATTAAAGAGCCTGCCATTTGTCCTATATAATACGCAGATTGAATGACTGCCTTCAGAACAGACCAGTCGCATACAAATTCCCACTTAAAATAGTGAAATGTACAAAAGTAAAAATGACAGATAAATTAGGAAACTTACCCTCTCAACAGCTGAATAACTAACAATCGATCGATCGTAAACAAAGCCATTCCCAGTCTCGGCACACGTTGTTCCATTCTGAAAATTGCATTCGTCGAAAGGACAACTCTTCCATTCAGGATGACTTTTGATGTTTTTGCAACTCGAGTTAAAAAAACCTTCAGGCGCATTCCAATAATTATGACTGTCGAATGTTTCTGTGTCCAGTCTACATCTGCAAATGAACAAATATAATCATATGTAGAGTAAAACAAAATACCTATGGAGAACATCTGCACCCGCAAAAGTCCAACTTAAAGCATTAATTGATGTGATCAATGATGGAAGACAAAGAAGAATAAGCTGAGTTTTCTGGTACAACTTAACGAAAACAAAATTCAATTTGTGTAATAAATAAAAATTACCCCGAATTCACCAATGTGGTTAACAATAACATCATCAAACTTCATTTGCCTGGACCCAAAAAAGCTCTAGAAAATATATGTATATTAACAAATTAACTGGGTAACCAGGTATTAAGTATCTGAAAAATTATGATAAAAATTAACAGAAAATATCAGCCAAATCTTTGATTGACAATTTGATCAGAGATTAGACATTTTTTCATTATTTAGGTTGATCGACATAATAGCAACAAGTTAACACTTTGACATTTACCAAATTAATATTAACAAAATAAAAAAGCGTAACTTTTCAGTTCAAATTTTTTTGGCGTCACTTTTTTCTTAATTCTGGTTTTATATCGGTTTTCGTAAATCTCCGGAGATTTCGTTTTTTGTTGTTTTTTATTTTATCATTTATCTGTTATTTATTTGTTTCATTCGTTTTTTATTATTTTTTATTCGTTTCCCCCTTGCTGCGAGCGCGCAAAAACTAAAAATAAAATTTTTTGATTTTTATAAAAAATTCTAATTTTTTCAAATTGAAGGCCCGCTCCTCCTGGACGTGCGAACTGGCTGGTTGGCTAAATTTTGTTTTTTTATAAATTTATTAGTTTTGAATTTTAATTTGTTAGGCCCTAATGCGTGCTCTACATTGGTGGCAGTGTTCAACATCTGGTGGTGGCTTCCTCTAAACGGTGATTTTTTCCCTAGTTTATTTAAAAAAAATAATCTTTTTTTTATTTTAATGTATGTTCTTCTTGTGGTGGCCTTTGGAGAATATGCTACTGGTGCCCATGATCTTCGTGGTGGCCGGTTTTTAAAAATTTTTAATTTTAAAATAAAATATTATTTTTTATTTTTTTTTATAAATTTTGCTTTGGTGGTAGCTTGCTATGGTGGATTGGTGGCTTGCTATGGTGGCATGGTGGTGCTTTGGTGGCTTGCTATGGTGGCATGGTGGTGCTTTGGTGGCTTGCTATGGTGGCATGGTAGTGCTTTGGTGGTTGAATATGGTTCTGGTGTGGTTTTTTATTAAAATAAAAATTTATTAAATGGTGGGAAGGGGGTGATTTTCAGCCAGGTTCTACTCCAGGCTCCGTGCGTGCTCTACTATGGTGGCTCCTCTACATGCTCTTCCTCGTCTTCTACGCTGCTCGTCTGGTAAATCTTCAAATTTTTAAATGAAAAATCGCATGCTATAAAACTGCGCACGCGAAAGACCTCTTCCTTTTTTCACTTTCTTGTTTTATCGTCCTTGTCTTTATTGTACTTTGTTTTTTCAATTTTCTCAATTTTACGAAATTTTAGAAAATTTTAGCTCAACATGTGTGGCATTGCAAAAGAGAATGTGCTTCGGTGGATGCCGAGTTTTTACAGGTTTAACTCCCCAATGGGGATATTGGAGGGGGGGGGCCTGGGGAGCCATTGAGTACTGGTTTTTATTGATTTTTCGGTACTAGCATGCTCTGAGTGTTTTTATCAATTTTATTTTTGGCATTCTGTTTAATGACAATTCATCCCATTAATTTTTCCCATTTGAGTCCTACACATACCTACTTTGAGTCACACTGCTCTTCCTAAACAAAGGATATTTTTTGCGTCTAACAATAAAATTCATTTTTCAAAAATTTTAGTTCAAATTTTTTTACACAATTTAAATCGTTAATTTTTGCGTTCACAACTTACTGATTACAAGCAGATCTGTTGCTTGCTTCTATGATGTTTGATCATTTGCCTGAACAAAAAATAAATAAAAAACGCCTGGAGAATCTTGAACGTTTGAAGAAGAAACAGAAATTGAAAATTTCTAAAAACAAACAAAAGAAGTCTGCACAACTAGCCGCAAGGAAACAAGCTAAAGAGACGGTATTTCAATATTTTTTAAAGATATTTAATTAGCTTATTTTAGAGGGAATCGCTTTTTGAAAAACTTCAACTTTATCAATTGGATCAGGAATGTGCGAAACTACTTAATTCTATATCTGCAAAAAGTTCCGCTGATTCAGAAATGTAAATTTTTATCCATACCTAGTATCTTTATAATCCTAATTTAGAGCGAAAGAGCAGTCGTGTTTTCCTAAGAGATTGCGGTGCGTATCTGAAAAACAAACTAAAAATGGAGAGGCAACGCAAAATGACTACATAGAAACTGATGAAAGCAGCTCTGAAGAATCTGAGAATGAACAAACCATTCAACAGGATATAGTTGAGTTATCAACAAGTTCAAAAGATATGGATGAGAAATCTGATGTAATTCTTACACAAGGTTTGTCTTATAATGTTTTTGTGAAAATTTAGTTATATCGCGTGTCAAAATTTTTAATTTTAGAGAACGCACTTGAGATTGGACAAATGAATAATGAAAAATTACAAATTAGCGAGGAATTTTTACAGAAGGAGCAAAAGAGCAAACTAAATAGAAAACTTTTTTATGAAATCCTTTCTCGTATAAAAGGGACACATATTTTTGTACAACGAGCCGAGTGTATTCAGGAAATGCGTCATAGGCTTCCTATTATTTGTGAAGAACAACCAATTGTCGAAGCAATAAATGAGAATCCTGTTGTTGTTATTTGTGGAGAAACTGGTTCTGGGAAGACGACGCAAGTGCCACAATTTCTTTATGAAGCTGGATATACATCTAATGGACATCTTATTGGCATAACTGAGCCAAGAAGGATTGCCGCAATTAGCATGGCAAGTCGTGTAGGTGACGAGTTGGGAATGTCTGAAATTTCATCCTATCAAGTATTTCCTTTTCAAATTCTTACTTTTTTACATTAAAATTTTTGCTAGATTAGATATGAAGGGAATAAAACAGATTTGACGAAGATATTATTCATGACTGACGGGGTTTTACTCAAGGAATTACAAGCAGATTGCACACTTTCTCGTTATTCTGTTATTATCATTGACGAAGCGCATGAGCGTTCAATATACAGCGACGTACTAATTGGTCTCCTTTCTAGAATTTGTATAGCCAGACTTAGAAAGCAATACCCGTTGAAATTGGTAATTATGTCTGCGACACTCAGGTTTTCCCCTTTTTGGTTAAAATATAGTTACTTATTTTACATTCAGGCTCGACGATTTTCTACAAAATAGGTTTTTAGCTTTTTAATTAAATTATTCAATTATTTTAGTACAGATTGTTTCCACATATTCACCCGAAGGTTATAAAAGTTGATTCTCGACAGTTTCCGGTCGCTATATATTTTGAACGCAGGACTCCGGAAAATTATATAGAAGCAGCTTTTAAGAAGATATGTAAAATCCATGAACAATATCCGCCTGGAGATATACTTGTGTTTTTGAGGTTTTTTTTTTAAATTTGTGAATTTAATAATTTTTTTCTTTAGTGGACAACGCGAAGTAAACTATTTAATTAAGCTTCTTATGAGAAGGTTTCCTACAAAAGAACACGGAAACACAAAACCTAAGAGTAGTACGAAAAGGAAGAAGCAGCAAAGAATACCCGATGAAGTTGTAGACTATGATGAATTTTCCTTTTTTGATATGGACGATGATTGTATGGATTTTGACGAAGTTTCTATGGATGGCGACTCGTCAGATTTATCAGAGAACAAATTCCCTCCCATGCATTGTTTACCTCTTTATTCAATGCTTCCAAAACACTTGCAAAAAAAAGTTTTTGAAGAGCATTCTAACAGAGATGATAATGCAAGGTTTAGCTTAACGAAAAAATAATTTATTAGAATTCTAGAATGTGTATCATTTCTACAAACGTTGCCGAGACATCACTTACTATTCCAAATATTAGATATGTAGTCGATTCTGGTAAAGAAAAAAGGCGAGATTTTGATCCTATCACGGGTGTATCACGTTTTGTTGTTGATTGGTGTTCAAAAGCTTCTGCTAATCAGCGCTCTGGGCGTGCGGGAAGAGTTATGTCTGGATATGCATTCAGGTTATTTATTAAGCTTGTGGTCGTTATTTTTTAAATCCTTTTTAAGACTTTATTCGTCTTCCGTTTTTGAGGATATGCCCAGCTTCTCTACGCCTGAAATTTTGAATAAACCTATTGAACAGCTTGTACTTTTTCTAAAGTCTATGGGCTTTGCCAAACTTACCAATTTTCCATTCCCGACTCCACCAAAGCCTGACCAAATTTCTCATGCAGAAAATAAGTTGATGCGACTGGGTGCAATTACACATAAAAATAAGGCATGTTTTTACTCTGATTTTTGAAATTAATTTTTATAGAATGAGTTGGATCAAATAACTCCTCTTGGTTACACACTGGTTCAATTGCCTTTGGCACCTGCCTTTGCTAAAATGATTGTAATGTCTTTTCGTGAAGGTCTTCTACCTTATGCAATCACTTTAGTATCAGCTTTATCGGTTCGAGAGCCTTTAATTCCTATATCGACAATCAAAGAAACAACAGTAGAAGATACTCAAAGAAGAATGGAAGAAATTCTCAAGCAGAGGAAACTTTGGTGCTCATTTGGAGAAGCCAGATTATTTGGCGACCTTACTGTCTTACTTAATGTTATTGGTGCTGCTGACTACGAAAAGGTTTTATTTTATTATTAAGTAAGAGGAAAATAATACTAATTCTTTTTCAGGAAAATTGTAAAGCACTTTACACGTTTGGGCTTCGCCCTAAAGCTCTTGATGAAATAAACAAATTACGGAAACAACTTGTTTCAATAATAAACACTTCAAGTTCAATACAAAATAAGCTCAATGATAAATTCAAGATGGAGCCGCCTGAACAAAATCAATTAAAAGAATTAAGGTATTTATAAAATCAGACTTTCCTAAATATTTTTATATTTAAAGAAAAATTATGATTGAATGCTTCCCGGAGAAAATTGCCAAGAAAGTATCTGAAACAAATGCAAAAAGAGGGTCATATAAAACGCAGATGCTTGAGGTTTTTTCTAGCATGGGTAGTTTTTATATACTATACTATTTTAGGAGTTTGTATATCTCGATCCTGGATCTATGCTTTTTAAAGATCAGCCTGATTTTGTGCTATACCAAGAGATTATTCAGATCTCGGAGAGGAAGGTTTTACAAAACATTATTGTTGTGGAGCCTGAATGGATACCTGATTTTGTTATTTTTAATGATTTTTAATTTATATCTTGGTATCTTTTATTTCGAATAGAGCAAAATATTGAATAAAATATTGATTATGATAACATATATAGTTTTTAATTAATGATCATTGGATAATAATCCTATATTTTAAAACAATTACATAAATTAAACCTTCGGATCAAGATCGTTTCTTTTTTATCCGCCATTAGTTGACGCATTAGAGTCTTGGCTGGATCATTTACTATTTCTGGAGTTAGGAAGTCATGGGGTAGCTTATTGTTAGCTAATGAGTTGGTAATTGACTAGAACAAAGTATAAAATCCCAAAGATTACAATATGTATGTTTTTATGAACGAAATGATTAACGAATGCCAAGACTCTATCACTCTGTTGGCTTATAAAAAGATAAAAACGGATATACGAGAGAGTTAAGGCGAGAGATACAGAAATGTCATGTTTTTATTTTTAGAATTTGTTGATTAGATTCGCGCATTATTTTTTATCTGATCATTAGGGTTGTCGGTTTCAAACCGAACCGAACAACCGAAGGTTTCGGTTTGGTTAACCAGTTTTCGGTTTGGGTAACCAAAATTCGGTTTCTGTCAACCGAAAGTTTCGATTTCGGTCAAACGAAAGTTTCAGTTTATCGGTTCGGATTTCGGTTAGCCGATGAATCTGGTGAAACCGACAACCCTACTTACTCATCAATGATATCTTAACTTTCTAAATATTTAGGGATTCAGTTATTGTAAAAGGGATACCATCTATATTGAGAAATGTCTTCGTCGAGTGGTTCAGTAAAAGATAATAAAAATGGTGTGGTGCGTGCCGATGCTGGTGGAAGACAAGGAGAGGAGATTGCTAGCAAGTCTTTCATGATACAATCAAAGCGTTTCTATCTCGATTTAAAGCAAAATAATCGCGGACGTTTTGTCAAGTTAGCTGAGGTTTGTAATTAAATTTTGTATAGACCTCTGTCCGTTGTTTGTTATTTAAAAAAGTGTCATCTTTAGTGTGTCTTTGGGTATAAGATTCTGGGTGTGGGCTTCTGAAATACTTATACAATATTTATTCTCCAAGGTTTCGTTAAACGGTCGCAAGAATCGTCTTTTTATGACAATGCTTGTTTGCAAGAATCTCAAGGATATTTTGGACAAATTGGAGAAGGATGGGCGTACTGCTGTCGTACCTAGTTAGTTCTAGTGTTTTTATAATTTTCAAACTTCTTTTAGAAGATGCAACTGAAGGAAAAGACAACACAGGCGGAGTTATCCATACCGAGACTATTATTAATGACAGACGTCGCTATTATATTGATTTGCGTGAAAATCATCGTGGCATATTTCTTCGCGTCACTCAATTCGATATTCAAACTGGCAACAGAAATTCAGTTGCATTGCCACTACAAGGTGTCGGCCAATTTCGTGATGCACTTAAAGAAATCATTGATGAGTTTGGAGAAGGGTATATCGGTTTGTTTTCATAGTTTCTGTCTTCATTAATGATAAATTTTTCAGAAGAAAGTACCGACCTTCCACCGTCACACAACTTCCGAACCGACGGAAAAAACTTTTTCTTCGATCCTGGGCATAACTCTCGAGGAGATTTTTTGAAGATCACGGAGGTTTACTATCATTTTTTAGAATTTTGTCTATTTAATTCTTTTTAGCTTAAACCATCCGTTGGAGTTCGTAACACTATTGCTCTCTCCGTTGGAGCTATTCCACAGTTCACTCAAATTCTGAACAAGCTCCATCAAGACTTCCAAACTCTTCGAACACCAGATGGCGCTGAAAAGGCAACAAAAGAATTGGCAAACATGGAGATTTGACGAAAGAAAAAATAAAAAGATTTTCAATAAAAAAATACTCGTTCAACTGATTTGCCACCACCTCAGTAATAAAAGAAATAAGTGTTTTCATTTTTTGTTTTAAAAATTCCGTTTTTTGCGGTTCATTATTTTTTATTATGATTATTTTTACATATTTATTTTTAAATGCTTCCATCATAAATTGAAAATTACTTTAAAAAATAAGTTATTTAACGAAGAAATGGTTTGTGACCTTTCTACTACCGGAATTAAATCTGTGGATGAACAAGCAACTAATTTAATGAACAGTCAAACAACGTATAGCAACAATAATGCAGAACAATTTGGTGGGAAGAGATGGAATGTTGAAGCACTTTATGAGAGTTGTCGATTAAAAGTTTCAATGACAAACAATGGACAGACTATGAGTAATTTTAAATAATTCTAATTGAGCGATCTGTCTGAGTTTTTGCTTGATCATTTTATCACATCTCCAATTCTTTTAAATTTTCTAGCCGATGCTGAAGTTATTTCGAAGAGGAAGGGCTTAAATGGCCGCTGGAATTTTTATGTTCATTACTTGGATTGTAATCGTCGACTTGATGAATGGGTTGATGAAGATCGTCTTGACCTTAGGTATACAAAATCTTATCATAAGAAATATTGCTTTTTAATAAAAAATTAGGACAGTTAGAGTGCCACAACGCGTACGGAAATCTATTTCTACTGCGTCTTTTACATCATCCCCGTCTATTTCTGATTTGCAACAAATGGATCAACAACAATCGAGTTTCTCTGTGTCTGATGAACAAAGGTTTTTTTTGTTTTTAGCAATACATATTTTTATTTTTTTTAAAGCTCGAGAGGTTCAACCCCCGAAAAGCAGCTTGAACTATTTCGGTCTCCTGCTCGATCAATCACAGGAAGCCGCAAACGCAGGCATCATGGTGGTTCTGCTGCTATTCATTATGTAGATGCTAATTGTACTCACATTTCTTCAGAACACTCAAAACCAAGCGTGAGCAACGGGATTAATTCTTATACTCCTCCGCCAGGTATGTGAATCAATGTTAATTTTGTTTAAGTTATTATCTGTCAGCTCCAAGTTTGCGAGGTTCAATGTCAAAAAAAGGACACAGTGAGGATGTTCTTACGCGAATACGAAATGTGGAGTTGATAGAACTTGGGCGGAATATAATTCAACCTTGGTATTTTTCTCCATATCCAAAAGAGCTGACAATGCTTCCATGTATCTATTTGTGTGAATTTTGTCTGACATATACAAAAAGCAGAAGTTCGTTAACACGTCACGTTGTAGGTTTACTTTTAAAGTAAACAATTTATCCTTTTTTCAAGGCAAAATGTAATCTTTTTCACCCACCTGGCAATGAGATATACAGAAATGGGACCATCTCTTTCTTTGAAATTGATGGCAGAAAGAATAAGGTTGGTGTTTTATTTACAGATTTCACAAAATATGATCGAATTTTAACTATAGATTTACGCACAAAATCTTTGCCTCCTTGCCAAGTTATTTTTGGACCATAAGACGCTTTATTATGACACTGATCCTTTTCTGTTTTATGTATTGACGGAATATGACCAAAAAGGCTTTCGAATGGTTGGATATTTTTCAAAGGTTTGACAGATAGGAAATTTTCTTTATAGACTTTTTAAGGAAAAGGAATCAGCTGATGAATACAATGTTGCTTGTATTTTGGTTCTACCTCCTTTTCAAAAGCGTGGCTATGGTCGACTTTTGATTGAATTCAGCTATGAATTATCGAAAATTGATGGAAAAACAGGATCGCCAGGTACATAAATTATTTAAATAAATGTGTGATTATTTTTTAATTGTTTCAGAAAAGCCGCTTTCTGATTTGGGATTTGTATGTTATTTTATATTCTATGTGGTGTGACTAACATTCATATTTCTCTTAGCTTTCTTATCGAAGTTATTGGTTCCAAACAATAATGGAAACTATTTTGAATATTGTAAGAGAACAGGGCGATCCAATACCTTCACAAGGAGAAAATGGTGAGGAAGAGGAGGTAAGCTATTCATTTCAATACGTTAAGCATCTTGAAATTTTAGGATACTCAAGTTTCTGTTTCAATTATGGATTTATGTGAACTGACAAGTATTCGAAAGGAGGACATTTTACAAACACTTGAGGTAAGCGATAATTCTATTTCTGTGCAGTTTTATTTAGTTTTATGAAATCAACAATTATTTCCGAGGAGAATACGTGCTGACTTTAACTTATGAAATGATAGAAGCTTATCAGTAATTTATTTTACCTAAAAGACCCTAAACATTGTTAATATTAAGGAAATCCGTCGAAAAACGGCAGTTAAGAATTGACCCAAAATATATAAGATATGTTCCAAAGGATTGGTCGAAGTACAGACGTCAAATATAAATATTGTTTAACTAAATATTACATGTTTTGTGTAATTTGTATATATTTTGGTGTTATAACCATAAATATTTTTAGCCAATTTTGTTAGTAACTTCCTTGAGCTGCTCATTTGTAAACGCGGTATTCTCCTCGTGTCCCTTATGTGGATTCAATTTTCCAGTCATCTTTAAATAATGATACGAAAATAACATTTAGATAATATACCTGATAATAAATCGCTACAATATCACCCCATTCAACCACAGTATCTAGGTTTAAATCTCGCGTTTTTCGATTTTCGTTTGTCAAAACTGAAAAAATCTTAACATGAATAGGCAGATAGAACCGAACCTCGTTCGGCATCTTCTGTACCGACTTTGTACGTGGGGCTTTGACGTCCCTTTTACATAAAAGAATGTTAAAAGCAAATCAAAGCTAAGTATCACCTGTTGCCCATCCATCGAGAAGGCATCTATATTCTCTTCATAACGAAGATCAAGCTGAGCCTTTTGTGTGCAAAACCGAACTTAATTATATGGAACTTAAAAGTACGAACTTAAAAGTTACGTTTATTCCTGTAGGCAACTTTGAGTACAACATAAAATTTAGTTAGCATATTGATGGGCGAGGGTGTGCCAGAGCGTTTATTCATTTGGCGGATAAGAATTGCTCGACCAAATTTCCATTCTTTGTCTGATTGTGCCTGAATGCGCTGGTACGTATCGGACATCATTGCAATTAGTAAGTTGATCAAAACGATCAATGTTACCATCATGTATATGCCGAAAATTGCTTTCAATACAATTTTGGCAAAATCAGGAACAAGATGTAGGGGTGGCCTTTAATGTGTAAATATTTTTCATAAACAAATAAGAGGAACATGCTATCTGGTTCAACAAGTCCAAAAAGCGAGAAAAATAGCATTTCTAATGTCTGACCCGGCGAGGCAAGCCTGAAATTTAATATAAGCCGAAGTTTATAATAAAACGGTCGTCTGCAACTAATACCTCATCAACTCAGCACTGTCTTCATCAACTGGCTGATAGGCTGGCTGAACTGAAAAATAACAAAATGAAGAAATAAAAATAAAACCTGAAAAATCGAGGTAACATGAAGCGTGAAGCCAGCAACAAAAAGCATTAGAATGACCAAAAATCTTGTTAGGTCATACATCAAATCTGATGAAATTATTTTGTAAAAACCCTCTAAACGTTACCGCGAATAATGATTGCCCAAGGACCAAATAAATGGTGAACTGTTAAAAAATCAAGAAACTCTACGAATGCGAAGAGTAATGCAAATGCTAGCAACTGATTCTTCTATATTTTATTAAGTTGTTTATTTCGCAACATTTTAGCTTAAAATACCAGATAGAGCATTGTGCGTGAAAAATGCAATTTTTCATCACTATCCAAGTGTGTTAAATAGAAGGCGGGCAGTAAAAAAGCCAAAATATGAACAGCAATGGCAATTGCAGCTAACACAAGTATCAATACCTTTAGACAATATTGTTTTTTACAATTCTCTCTATCATATACCTTCACAATGCCCAGTCCTGAACCTCCACCTATTGTTGAAAGCTCTGAAACTAAATTCCCAGAAAGCCATAATAAGAGCATCCATTCAACGGGATTAGGTACTACAGAAGTAACCTTAACTTGAGTTAAAATTCGCAGAGGTGGATATATGTACCTCATACATTTTGTGAGTAATATTAAGTACAACAATAGTGAGAAGAATTGTAAAATAAATATGAGAAACGATATGGCAGACAAATTTTATAAAAGGGGCTCGACCGATCCGACTGTCCAACGGCAACGAAAAGTAGAACCACGCAGGAGGGCAGATCAACACAAAGAAAGTAAATGCCAAAGTTTTCCCAAAGGACCAGTCAATGCCGCCCATCCTATAATCTGAATAGCTTCATTATAAAATATGCAATATACCATATTTCCGTCAAATAGCGCTGAACTGAAGCGTAGGAAACAACTTCCTTCTGAACAAAAAATGTCAGCTTTATCTTTCGAAATAATTTAAAAATTCCATTGCCTGTTCATTTTCTATCAGTACATCTAATAATGGTCTTCCTCTATGATCTTTTGCCTTAAGCAACAACGCAGCATTATATTTAGCTGCTGAAATGCCAAGTAGCTCAACTGCCAAATTTTCCGCAAAAGTGGCAACGTTACTCTGCAATGTTGCTTACTTAAATATCCCATTTTTACAATGACTTACTAAATCTTTAGCTCTTTCTTTCTCCTTCTCACTCATTTCACGATAAAGACTAGACAATTTAACTGCTGTATCAATGGGTGCCGGACTTTGAAGAATAAATTCCTGTAACGGTTGATTCTCATTCCCTTTACCACAAACCATAAGATCGAAAATAAACTAATAATTTTAATTTGTAAATTCAGCAAAATTTAAAGAATTTAATACTTTCCTATCTTCCATAAGTTGATGAGTATCATGCTTCTGCTTAAGCAGAAAATGCAAACATTCTATCTATAGATTTTTAATGATAGTTAATAATAAATATCTAAACGTGATTGTTGGCTGCTGCAAAGCATAAAGGAACTTTTCCATCTTTTGTTTCGGCTTGAGCATCTGCCGAGCTGTTCACAAATAACTTTACAACGTCTAAATGACCAGCCTTTGTAGCATAATGCATTCCTGTCCAGCCATTCTGATAAAATTTCAAAACAATAGATAAAGATTTTAATTAACTTGATCCATGACATTTATATTGGATCCTTGAGCTATAAGCAAGGAGACCATCTCTGAAATACTTAATTCCTCGAAGTTTATAAATAAAATAACCTCTCTTTCCATTAACCGAAGCCAAGTGCAAGGGTGTTCCTCAAAAAACAAATTTTATTTAATTAAAATTATCAAATTTACTTCCTCGCCAATCTTTTGCATGTTGCTGTTGAGTACTGCGTGACAGCAGCATTCCTACTACAGCAATATGACCTTAAAAACTAGTTTTTATGCTACAACTATGACTTCATAAAAACACCTTGTTGTGCTGCCAGATGAAGTGGGATTATGCTCTAAATAAAATGAAGTTAAATGTTGATTATATCAAACCATAGTTGTCGTAGCTGCATCAACCTGAACACCCTGATTTAGCAGCATCCTGACTAGACCTACATCAATTTTATACTAAGTAAAAACTTCAATTCGCTTATTACATACTGTCATGTCCTGCTTGAGCAGCCAGATGTAATGGAGTGAATCCATACTAAAAATAATACAAAAATGGCGAAAATACCTATTTAAACTATGAAAAATAACCTCTGTAGCAAATTCTTTAACCACGAAGTGATTAAAGGTAGGTGGTTCAGATCTGACACTTGCTTGTATGTGTTTTATCATCTCATTGATAAAATCCGAATGCCCCTTATAGGCTGCAACATGGAAAGCGTTTAGGCCCGTCTATGCTTTAATATTAGAACAATCACGAAAATTTCTACCTTTTTAGAGCAACGTCGCCAATATTTTTTGTCAAAACAAGCCAAAATTGGGACATGCCCATTCCAGGCAGCTAAACTAAGAGGAGTCTGGAAAATTAATTGTAATTTTTTTCATAAAAATTCTATCAAAATTTAACCATGCCGTTAGCATTCTCATCCTCTGGGCTAGCCCCATTCTCAAGGAGTATCTTTACAATACGAGAATGACCCCCTGATGCTGCCATATGCAGAGTAGTTGCTTCTAGTATTTTTGTTTTAGCATGTATAACCATAGCCTTAAAAGCTCATTAAATAAACACTAAAACTGATTTAGACTTTGTCTATCATCATTAACTCCCTGACCTAAAAATTCAAAATACTTTTAATTACTGATTTAGCAATATAACCACTGCAAGACTGCCTTTCATTGCAGCAATATGAGCACAAGTAAATCCACTATGATCAACTGCTGTTAAAACAGCATGATTGTTTTGTTTCATTTTCAGAAACAATTTAACCACGTCCGGATAGTCATTCTGACAATATTAAATATAAAAATTTGTAGTAAAAGCACCTCTGCTGCCAAATGTAACGGGGTCTGCCCTTTATCGTCCTTGGCATTGGGATTAGCTCCAAATGCTAAAAGTGTCTGTGCAACGATTAATTGTCCAAATTTGGCAGCAAAATGGAGTGCTGTTTGGTTGTTCAATGTGATGGCTTCCAGACTAGCTCCATGCTCCTTAAAATATAATTTTTTAATAATTATTACTCTACCTGAACAAGCATTGCTACTAATTTTGCATGTCCATACTGTGCAGCTAAATGCAATGGAGCTTCTCCGTTTTTCGCCTTACTTAAAAGTTTATTTGTATTGAGACCATATTTTCTTATTAACCTGTTAACGAAGGCCTTGTATTTCAACAACAATCTTGTCAACTCAATATGACCATTTGCAGCTGCTAAATGTAATGCCTACAAAATTTGTTATTTAATTCTAAACTTGTTAATCGAACCGTACGGCCACATTCGTCGAAGACGTCAATTCTAGCGTGGTGTTGAAGTAGAATACGTGAAACACCGACATGTCCACGAGCGCAAGCTTCAAGTAAGGGCGACCAACCATTCTGACATATCATGGGAAATTATTTAAAATCAAACATAGGCAACTTTGGATTTTTTATTTTGTACAATCTGAACAGATCCAGGCCCGATTTTGTTTACCTATACAGAGAAAAAGAATTTCCGGTTTTTACTTATAATAATACCATAGCCAAAAGAACACCTTCATTCCCTGAGCGAGCGCACATATGCATAGGTGTCTCCAGATTCTAATAAAACGGAGTTAGTGATTTGGGGTCTACTCACATTAAGTGTTTGTTTTTCACAATCCCCGCCTGAGTCCACAAGTGTTGAAACAATTTTAGTATCTTCTTCAATAAAATGATTCTGATCTGGCATAATCTGGCTAGCATAATGGACACTGCTCTGTCCGTCCTTTATAAAGAAAAGTTAGATTCACGTGAAATTAACGACCTCTGTCAAAAGGTTTACATATTCTCGAATCTCATGACTATCTTTGCCAATCTTCTCTAATAATAATAATACTACGGGAAGGTGACATTGTTTTGAGGCCAAATGTAGAGGTGTTTCACCTATCTAATGAATTAAAATAATTATTACAAATGTTGTACCTTAGTACAATTTACCTTCGATTTCAATTTAGGATCAGCGCCCTCTGCCAGCAGCAAACGAACCATTTCTTTGTTACCTGTACGCGCGGATATATGTAACGGGGTCATCCCGTCAGATCGACGTACGTTCGGCTGCGCACCGCTCTTTAATATATTTGTAAATAATAAAATAAAATTTATTTTTTACAAATAACAACATTTGTGCACACTCAATATTTCCACTCGGCAAGCCAGCAGCTACATGTAAAGCTGTCTGAAATTTACATATATGTAGTAAATTCGTATAACAATTAACCTCGCCAATCTGTCCTCCTTCAATATGTACATCGGCTCCGAATCCAAGAAGCGTTTCTACAACCGCTGCTTGTCCGGATTGAACGGCTATAGTCAATGCGGTATAATTATCCTTAAAGAATAATGATATCAAAAATTTTTGTTAAGAATTACCCTAGTAGCAATATCCACTCGAGTACCCCTCGCTAACAGCATCTGAATATGTGCATATTTAAATAAATAGAAAGGCTAACTTTTACAACATCATTGTACCCAGCAGCCGCTGCTGCATGTAGCCCAAGCGCTCCATTCTTATTGGGCATATACAAAGGTACCCCACGTTCTAAATTGATCCATTAAATTTTTTAAATGAAACCTAACTTAGAAAAGCCAGTGCCGTATCAGCGTGTCCTTAATGTTAGAGGATAATTTTATAGCCAACAATTAAAATAAACCTGCTGCAGAAGCAATATGCAAGAGAGTACTGCCATCACATGTTCTAGCTCTAATTGATGAACTGTTTTAATTATGATAGTTAAGCTATATTTATAAATCACTGACCCAAATTTGTCGATGAGAGTTTCAACAATTTGAGTGTAACCTTTTTCAGCAGCAACATGCAATGGAGTCTTTTCCTCCTTAATTTGATACAATGAGACAAAGATGTGCTACAAGTTTTTAAATTTAAAATCACACATTGTCTGCTATGTTTGCATTTCCGTTTAATTTCCACATCGTTTTAAGCATTTTTTCATCACCGAGCATAGCTACCTTATTAAGTATTAAAAGTTCCTCGCAAAATCAAATTAAGATACCTCATGAAGCGGTGTTCGACCCTGATTATTCTGTGTATTAACTTCCTCTCCACCTCCATTTTGCACAATAATTCGTACAAATTCATCGCCTAAATCGTATGTATAAATTAATGAGATTAATAGTTAATTTTTCAAATAGATTTTAAAACATGAAAAAATTGCCTCTATGTACTGCTAGATGTAGTGGAGTGTTGCCGTCCATGTCTTTCGCACTAATCTGTTTTTTCGGTTCTTTTTGCAACAAAAAGTTCACGGCTGCCATATTTCCAGCACGAATAGCAAAATGTAGAGGAAGATTACCGTTTTTGTCCGATGCAGTTCTGCAGCCAGGATTTACATTGATCAACGTTTTCAGGATAGCAACTGCACTGGCTGAGCGTCTCTCAGATGCAAAATGAATCGGCAACCGGCCTGCCTGTTTAAATTTTTAGAGAAAATGCCCATTTTGATTAATTTAACCCCAGGTCTTGAACTATCTAAATTTTTTTCGAGAAGATAACGCAACATTGCTTCAGTTCCCCACATTGCGCAAACATGCAATGCGCCCAGTCGTTCCTTAAATATATACATAATAATGTAAATCCATGGTTTATTGTTAGACCTTTGTAGTAACATAAATGTCAGCTCCCTGCTCAACAAGCATTTTTAAAACGTCCATCTCTCGGGATTTAATCGCTAATAGAAGAGCCGTATAACTTAAAATTATGAATGTATAAACGCGGACGCAATCTTGACTACCCTTCTGCGTCAGCCAATGTTAGGTCGAAAATTTCTCCGCTTAAAAGTAAATTTTTAACAGTCTCCCATTCACCCTTCTTTGCTGCAAGCAGAAGACCTGTGCTATTGTCCCCGCCATGAATTTGCAAGGATTCTAGCTCAGCGATTTCTCTCATTTCCTCTTCATTAAAATTTTGTTTTCGTTGTCCGAAAACTACATCGTCTTCAAAACCATAGCTTTCTCTAAATTAAAATAACGTTAATTCATTGAGAAAGAAATGAACCGCTTATTTGACAAGCCAATAGCTTCAAGGTTATCATCACTCCCACTAAAAATACCGATTTTAAAATCACCAATTTTTATTTCCTCGTCTTCACTATTCGTTTTATTTTTTGATTTCAGACGTATTCGTTCTAACGATTTTCCTAGAATTCCATAGCGATACTCCTCGTCTGAACTATCTACTATTGTGATTCTTCTCCGTTGACCATCAATTATTCTGCTTCCTTCCATTGTTTCTTTTCCTTTAGTTGAAGCATTCGTAAAGGAATGTCTACGCTGTCGATTTTCACGTAAAGCACTAAAAATATGGCATAATAAACCTAACGTATAAGAGATACTTGCTGAGAATTCCATTCCTGTTACGAAGCTCCCACTCTTCTGGACTGTATTTTGCACCATTATCTCGGTGAATCGTAAATGATCCCTTATGATTTGAAGGGATATTAGGTACGGAAACAAGTACAGCTGTTTCGCTGGCTGCCACAATTTCAGGATCAATTGTGCTAACCGTAACGTTAGGCAAATTCTCCATGAGTAATAAATATTATTTCAAAAGTATGACTTTTATAAGCAAATCTTTCGTGTTGATATTGGTGAAAAAATATATTTAGTTAGTTAAGTGAAAATAAAATTTAAGCTAGGTTTTAGTATATTTATGAACAATTTAAATAATGGAAAACCACAAAGTTTAACGCTCGATTTAACGTCCAGTCCTCCTTTCAGAAATTGAAAAAATAAAAGTGTTTTGCACTTTTTAGTAATATTTGAGTTATTATTTTGACTAATAATAGCTGTGCCACATCGAATAAAAACACTATTGTCTCCATCCACCTTCACTTACAAAATGGACATTATTATGGTTTCACCCCTACCACAAACCAATTTTGAGCAGCAATTTTCTTCAGCCAACTTTAAAAAAATGACCAATAATGTAAAAATACCTAAATTACATGCTAATTTTTTTATTTAAAAAGTTACTCCAATCAATTTAAACAATAAGTATATGTATAGCTGATTTGACCGACTTTTCACCCAAAAGAAAGGAATTCTTTCCATTTAGATTGAATATATATCTTTAGTTATGATGATTGGATTTTATTTCATTTATAAATTTGGGTTGTATTATGTGCTCGTGAGAATGCGACATCCTAATAAAAGCGTGCGCTACCTTTCGTTTAATCCTCTGCCTATATATAGCCGGAAGAAAAAGGAGAGAAAATCTCCTTCCAAAAATCGAGCAGACTCATCCACAACAGATAAAATTCTATTCTCAAATCTCAACCAATCGCTCGCAATTTTTTCTTCATTTGTTATATGCAGTATTTAATTTAATTTTACAATTATTTGTTATTAAATTGTAAAATTTTAGAAATTGTTATAAATGTTACGTTCACTACTTGCTTTTAGCAAGGTGTCCATAACAATTGTAATATTATTTTGTTCATTAGTCATCTCCAGATGTGCAATCCCCCAGAATGTTGACTTCTTTCGGGTTTGTACTTTTCATGCACTTGTAAAACTTCGATATTTTAGTTTGATTTGGATGCAAATCGTTCTTTGCGTACACCACGTCAAGAGCCTTCAGCTGGTTTGCAAACTGATGCTCGAATTCCAGGTTCATCAGTTGCTTCAGCTCCTTTATTCCAGCCGATCAACAATGATTTGCCTTCTCAGGTATTACACAAATCTATTACATTTCAATTTTGTCTTATTTTTAGTTCAAGTTTTCTGAAAAAGACAAGGAAGCTGTCGACAAGGCTACAACGTTCACAAATTCCTTATTAGAAAGACTTGGCCTGGCGAGTAATCAAAGAGCAGATAATCAAAAGGAGCTCCGCAGGCATCCAGCACCTGCATTCTATCAGACAGATGATCTGAATGGGCTGGGTGCCGATTTAGCTTCAAATAGGATTGATTTACAAGTGCGTATCTTTTTTTTATTGCTGCTATTTTTAATTTAAGGGATTGGCAAGTGGACAAATTCCAGGCTTGGCGCCGGTAATATTAAAATATTGAAATATTCCAGAAACTTTAATTTTCAGATTCCAGTACCAGGGTTTGCTGGTCCACAGGATGCTCCCACCGTTCCTGGTGTGAATACTATTCCTGGTCTGAGCAATTTTAATTACATTGTTGGGCAACTTGTACCTCAAATGATTCCTCCTACTAATACATTATTAGGTTCATTATTTCTACCCATCCCATTACTAATATATTTTTAGGGTCATCCATTTCACGTCTTTTGCCCAAGGATGCAACCAAAAATCTGGCGAAAAATGTATTTAGAGCAGTTCATCCTGCTGCTGAAAATGTTGATGTGGCTCGAATGATGGGTCGCTGGTTCCAGGTCGGTATTTTTATTTTAAATCGTTAATTCAAAAACTACTAAGGTAATTACAAGTCCTCATGTCATTCGTGAAGCATGTACTGTCTCACACTTTGGCGCCCTTACTAACAACACATATTCTGCAACATTTACTATTCTCAAGTTCTACAGAGAGGGAAATTCAAACGGGCCACCAAGATTCTCTCTGGGTTATGGTTTTAAAGCTGGGGATACAGGACAATTCTTACTTCATTCAAGTAATTCGCCTGACGTGAGTCATTTTATAAAAAAAACAGACATAAACTAACAAAAATATAGTCTCGATAAATACCTTAATTTATAACAGGCTGAACCTTTTTGGGTGATCAAGCTAGGACCATTGAATGAGTATAACCAATATGATTATGCGGTATGTTAACATCAAAGTATAATCACAATTTCAACTTAACATATGTATATTTAAAGGTTGTTTCAAATTGGGTTCGCTATCCTGTTTTCGTGATTGCTCGTGATCCAGAACGATTTCATCAATCCCATATGAAGCAGGTAACGGAAAAATTGAATTTTTTTAACCAATTCTACATATATAAACTAGTGTATTATCTATTTTAGGTACTTCAATTCCTAGAAGATAACAATTATATCAATGTTGTTACTAAAGCATTCAACCTGATCTCACCAGTTGACTATTCACAGTTAGTGAAATTATTAAAAAGATGTTTGTAATTTAAAAACAATTTAAACAGATGCCAGTATACTCCAACATTTTCTGGAGCTGGCTGACGAGAAGGCTTAATAATCCTGTTACAATAATTTATTTTTTATATTTTACTTTAAATTTGTACATTCATTCTAAAAATGTATTATAAACGTGCTATCATATATTTGCCAAATCTCGCCTCGAAACCTTTCGATTTCGAGACCTTTCGATGATTTTTTTGGCCTAAAGACGAACGATTAAGAATTATTTGAATCAGTCGAGATTCAAGAGTTATGATCCTGCACTGAATCAGCTGAATGAAAAGCCAGGGCTGAACAAGTTCGTACTCAAATGTTGAGCCTCGTGCTGACATTTGAGTGTCGGTGAAATTTTCAGTGTTTCCGTCATATGTCGTTAATGTTTTACAAGGCATTAAAAATTTCCTTCTAATTTCTAGGGTTTTATTACGTTCAACATACTACGACTTTTATGGAACATCCATGTATAAACTTTCGTGACATTGGCATTACTACTTGGTTGACAAAACAGCTCGAAGAATTGAATTTAAGACATCCTACGCCTGTACAAACAAATTGTATTCCTAAAATTCTTGAGGGCTCTGATGTACTCGGCTGTGCTAAAACTGGTACTGGAAAGACTCTGGCTTTTGTTTTGCCAATATTGCAACAGGTTTTTTAGATTATGCTCAGAAATTACATATAGTTGATGTCGTTGTTTTTCAGCTTTCTTCTGATCCTTTTGGCATTTTTGCATTAATTCTTACACCCACAAGGGAACTAGCTTTTCAAATCGGTGACCAATTTAATGCTTTGGGTAGGCAGTTGAATTTGAAATGCAGCATAATAGTTGGCGGACGGCATCAAATGGCTCAAGCACAGGAATTAGTACGCAGACCACACATTGTTATAGCAACGCCAGGTTTGATCAATAATCAGAAATACATATTTTTATTAATTTTATTTAGGTCGTCTTGCTGATCATTTACAAAGTGACCAGCTTGGAATTGCGCGCCTTTTGAGCACTATCCGTTTTCTTGTCTTGGATGAGGCAGATCGACTTTTAGATCCAGCTTATGCGCTTCAGGTTTTGAATCTCCTTGATTCATTTACTTTTTTAGCTTAAAAATATTTTGGAATCGCTGCCCAAAGAGCGTCAGACGCTTCTCTTTAGCGCAACAATCACTGACGCTCTAGATAAGCTTCATCAGGTTTTATCATTATCAACAATATTGACGTTCTTGTTATCTTAAATTTTGTAGCTTTCCATTCGGAAGCCATATTTTTTTGAGGAGAAGGACCAGATACAAACAGTAAAAGGATTGGAGCAGCGTTTTGTTCTTTGTCCACGCACGTAAATTTTTGGCGCTTTTAAATTTTATAAATCAATAATTTAAGATTCATTGATGCTTATTTAGTCTACATAGTCAAAGAGGTTCGATTTAATAAATTATACTAATTGTCAAATAATATTCAGTTTTACACAAGCCGAGAGTCGTCTTCTATCTTAGTATTTGTCAAAACATGTCGTGAGTGTCAAACTCTTGCTCTTATGTTTAAGAAGCTTGGATTCGAGGTGCTAAAAATTAAATTTTGAGATTTATTTTTATCTCGGATTATTAATTTTCATTTCCATTTTAGGTCGGTTCTCTGCATTCGGAAGTTCTGCAAAGCCTTAGAATGTCATCTCTAGCTCGTTTTAGATCTGGTCGAATTCGTATTATGATTTGTACGGATGTGGCAGCAAGGGGTTTGGACATTCCTCATGTAAGTTTAACTAAATCTTGTCAAAACTTGGCACTAAATCTTGCCAAAACTTTTGTATTAAACAAGTATTTTTATAGGTCGACTTGGTAGTAAACCATAATGTGCCTCGTTGTCCCAAAAGTTATTTGCATAGAGTGGGGCGTTCAGCACGAGCTGGCCGTTTCGGAGCTGCCGTGACATTTGTTACACAACATGATGTGCTTCTTTTGCGGTCGATAGAGGTTATTTGCTTTATTGTTTTAATGTCTTATAGTTTTTATTTTTCAGCAAGTTATTGGGGAAAAAATGGAACAAATAGAAGTGCCACATCATGAAGTAACTCTTTATGCAGCTAAAGTTTTGGCCACAAAACGAGAAGCAGAAATTCGTTTGGAAAATCAAGACAACAATAGTGATGAACGGAAAGAGAATTGGCGCAGGAAAGAGTTGATTTTGCAAGGAATGAATGATAAATTAATTGAAAAAGAGATTAGCCGTTGGAAGGATAATCGAAAATCAAAGCCAATATTAATAAGAAGAAAAAAACAGAAAAAGAAATTGAATAAATGATCCCGGTTTGTTCTTGTTATTTATTTTTATTTTGTTTAAGTTATAAATTACCATTAAATTCATACTTTATTGTTCTTTATATGTATAATAGTAGTCTTGCACAATATTTTTGTTTTAATTCACTAGGTCTGATGTATAATTTTTGCAACTAGACATATCAGAGCTCAAAAATGAGCAATTTCTTGCCAACTGCGTCATCTGACTTTTATTTTATACGATCAAACGTTGACCTTAACACGGTATTGTTTTTTTCTATTGCTATTAATATGATCCTCAGGTAAAGCCGATGGGGACTGGAGATTTGGTGAGGATATTCAACGATTTTTTGGTTACCTCGACTAATTTGTTGGACTCATTCTGTTCAAAATTTGAGGATAATGTTATTGCTTTGGAGGCTAGAATAGATTCCGTTGAAAGGTATTTACTTCTCTTAGAGCACAAACTGGCTCATGTTTCATTGGATGCAACACAAGACGCTTGTTACGTAGAGACCAAAGATGAAAATAAAAAGTCTGCAAATTTCGATGAATTGCTAGACCTCAATGAAAATCAGAAACTTAACGAGTCATTAAAGATAAAAGAAGATCAGCAACCCGATGAGCCATTAAAGAATAACAGAGAAAATGATACAAAAGCTAAGGATCATCCTGTATTTGGAAAGTACTTTCGAATGTTGAAAATGGTAAATATTTCTAAATTAAAACAATTTTTAAATTTTAACATAGGGGGTTCCCGAGGCTGCTGTAAAACAGAAGATGCAATCGGAAGGAGTAGATCCTGAAATTTTGAGGTTTATTTTTCATTTAAGATTTTCGGGAATTGATGAATTTATATTCTTTCGTTTTAGTATGCCCGATAAAATTTTCAATACAAATTAGGTTTTGTGATGAACAGTGACTGAAAAAAAAATAAATCTATCATGCATGCATGTTTGATTTTAAATATTTGTATAAAACTATTTTTCCTTTTGAAAAATTTTTAGAACTTGTTTTTATACTTATTAGTTTTTTGTTAATTTAATCAAAATGTTATATAATTATTTCAACTTTTTAGCAACAGACTATGGACAACATACAGCTAGCACAGAATTTATCTACAATTTCAGCAGATTTTCCTTTCATTTATCTTCACAATGAAATGGTTAAGTACTTCCAAGAGAGAAATAAAAGTGTAATTAAAGCCAGGGAAAAGTGGATGCAGCAATTGAAGCTCTCAGATGCCTCGGACACTTTTACAGGATCGGATGTCTCAATATTACCTAACCAAATTTTTTCCCATGTAAGTATGTTGTTATTTAAATGTTTGATCCTTATCTTTCTGCCAAAATTTAAGAAAAATGCAGAGACTAGATTGGAAGCTATGGGTTTCCGTGTTGGATTTGTTTTGGCTGAAAAATTTTCCAAAGATATGTCACGGTTTGCCAATGAATTGGATAGGATGAAGTTTATCTGCAAAGAGTTTTGGATCTCAACATTTGGAAAAGGTATGAGCAAAATAAATTTCATAAGAAACAAGAAGCATTTAAGGTGTGAACAAACTCAGTACTAACCATCAGGTTTTTCTATTATTTTTTTCATGTTAGACTTAAATGCTTTTCTTTTTAGGGCATTTATATCATTCAGGATACTGATTTCTGTACACTTTCACCATTTTCTGACGGAGTTCAATACGTTGCTGACTGCATTCCTTTCATGGCGCTTCCGGTAGGAATTGTTCGTGGTGCTCTCGACAACCTGGGAATATGTGCTACAGTGACAGTACATGTGGAAAAACTTCCTATTGTCAAATTCAATGTGCAAATGATTAAATGAAGTACTTGTTAATATGTTTGCTTTTATAAAAATTTAATTTTTGAAGGTTTTCCCATTTATAAATATAAATTTGTTTTAAAGACATAAATTTAAAAACATAATTTTCGTCGGTCATTATTTTCGTCGTTTGTCACTATTTTAGTTTGCCATCTAAAATAATTATGATATTAGAACACACGCTATTTTAATTCAAACAGAATAGCTACCTATAAGAATGTTACTTAAAAATATAGAATTTCTAGACCCTTCCACATCGTTAAATAAATGAATTTAACGTGAAAGAAATGTAAATAAACAAATGCTTTACGCGCACTGGCACAAGTTGGAGACCTCTTACAGAGAAGAATTTTAGGATGGTAAACAAATAAAAATTGGCAAGTCGGTGAATAAAGTTGAATTACTTTTACTTCAATTAATAAATAAATTGATTAATTCAACCCCCCTTCACTAGTTGAAGCTTCCCTATACAAATAGTGATTTTTCATAGTTTTGAATGAAGATAAAGGTAAATGGTGAGAATTTGAAATTCAAAACTTTATTTTTAACAAAAAACTAAAATTAAAAATACTCCAGTTTTAAAAATTTATTGTCTTCATATTAAATCTTTAAAAGAAAAGGAATATTAGGACATGCAGCGGAGTAACTCAATAACTAGAGAAAATGGTGGAAGCAATTTGCATGTTGGCATTGTTAACAACGACCCTCGACAAAGGAAATTCTCTATATCAGCGTGTCGACGACATTCTATTGAGCTTAATGAGAACCAATTCATGCTCATTATTATGTTCAGGTACTTCTGCTTATATAAGGATGAATTGACAGAATGTCTCATTACAGTAATGCTGAGACAAATGAAAGGATTTCATACAAACAAGATGGTTCGCGTTTTGGCGCTTCGCAACTTACTCTTAAATTTGCGACGAACTCTCTCTACAAAATTTTCGTTAAAGCAAGGCCTCCACAGGATTTTGTGTAAGTAATATCAACTATTTATGTAAATATTACTAACAAAGAACTCTGAACATCGGGGGTAGTGAGCTTAAATTGATTCAAGTTGATGCAGATTTTGGCGAATATGCTGCTGTTTGGGTATATCTTGTACATATGTACAATACATGAATAATTTTATTTATAGAACACTTCCGACAAGACACCAACAAAAAAAGGGACTCGACAGGATATTCAATTTATTCTCGTGGGCGTAAGTTTCGCGAAAAATAAGAAAATACCTTAAATCGTTTTAGGATGGACATAAAACTTTGAACAAAAATATACAAGTAAAGTTCTATCCTCGAAGCGATTCTCACGCTAGCTGGGGTCAGAAGTTGGACCAGATTACTTGGCACTGTGAAGTTGATGAATTTGGAGCGGTGAGTGTAACGGAGGAACAGACTGTTTAAAACATGAATACAAATCAATTTTAAATTCTGTTTATCGTTCAAACAATTATATCAATATTTGCAATGCCTCTTTCGGCAAAAAATCGGTGCCTTATCAATCTTTTTGTATGTTTCCGGTGTTGCTCATGTTTGTCTTTTCCCTCGGCTGAATTAGACGCCCAAATTTCTTTAAGTGTACGCTGCTTTAAAGGGTCATCATCAGTTCCCTGAACGTTCCTAAAATTGTCTACATAAAAATAATTTTCGTAATATCGAACTAACCAAAAGCACTTCACTGCTTTATTTCCAATCAGTTTTTCTATCGTTCGCCAGCTGAAGCGGACTAACGGAGAAAATCCAAAGAGTGAGTCCAAAGTTCTTGAGATGTAACATTTCGTCATTGGATCTATGCAATGTGCAAATTATCTTTCATATCCCATTATATTTTTCTTTACCTGATGGATAACCAGAACCAATTCCTTCTTCCGGGGATGTAAACCCATCCAGAATCCAGTTAGAAACACGTCGGTCACGAGTCACTTTTGCAAAAATTGAAGCAGCACCAACAATTGGGAAGATCGAATCAGCCTTTTTTGAAACAGTTATTTTTATTGAAGGAAAGTGTGACTGTAAAAAATGCTGAAAAGTTTCTTCTTTGACTCCAACCAAGTCAACAAAAATCTATAAAATAAGTGAAACAAATTTATTTTAGACAGAACCTCTTGTATACAAATCCTTTGAAGTGCATGTTGTATTAAACCAATGATACAGTTATGAGATATTTCATTAAGCGATAGGCGCGTCCTAAGTTGCATCTGAGCACTTATTGTCCGGGGATGAACAATGCGTAATGAGTATGTAACAAACTGAAACTTGATGTTAATAAAATGGCGCAAAAAACCTCAGATGCTTCCATTTTGGTAATAATTTTTTCCCTTTGTGATCTACTAAGTATTTTCGAATCATTCACGCCTAGAATGAAGCAATATTAGACTTCAAAATATGGTGAATACCCAAAGATTTAAGATCCTCCATCTTGTCGGCAGGTACAATAGCACAACCATAGACCATTGGTCCGAGAACCGGTCCTCTTCCTGCCTCGTCGATACCTAGAATGCATGGTGCTCCGGTATTGAAATTGGAAAAATTTTCAGCATCAATAGCCTCAAAATCAAGAAAAGCTTCTTTTTCCATTTGGTTCTAGTAATACTAGAGAAATTCCCAAAAATCCAATATTAACGTATAAAGGTACAATTATTAAATCAAAACAAAAATATGTAGGATCAAAAATAACAAAGAAAGAATAAACCATAAATATGACTAACAGCTTTAACAAATTTATTTTATAACCAAACAGAACATCAACAAAAAGTTCGGCTTAAATAATCAAATTAGAACAACGGCTCAGGAAATTCAAAAACCACTTCCTTTCCAGTCAAACGCTTGTAGAGATACGAGAACGTGTCGACCTTATGTTCCACAGTTGTCTGTTGAGCCTTATCCAAATGGACCTTATAATAAACATGTTTAAATGTCTAACATGTAAAAAACCTTTATGATTTGTTTGCCATCCAATTTGACACGAGTCCTTTTACCCACGACTTCAGCAGGAAAAACAACATCCTGAAGAATCGCCTCGTGTACAGCAGTAAGAGTTCTAGAACGAGGACGTTTTTGACCAAGTGGCTTTCGATTCTTGCCACGTTGTGGCTTTTGCAAAATTCGACGCTAAAAAATATGATATTGAAGTATAAAAATGTCTAAGTAACCCTAGACAAACCTTTGCAATGAAGATAATATGATAGCCACTCATTTTCTTCTCCAACTCTCTTACCAACTTTGGATGTATTTTCTGATAATCTCGCAGCTGTGGAACAGGAATCCAAATCAGGATACACTTCTTGTTGCCAAACTCGAATTGCTTAAAATTTAGATCATTAGAAATTGAGAAATTAAAATAACAAACCTGAGCACCAACGAAGTATAATTCACTAAGTTGATTCTTGATTTCACCATTCGTTTGAGAAAGCTCAGTAATTGCAGTTGCAACCTGCTTCTCTAAATCGTCTGGAGCCTTTCCATCGGTTTTAACTAATTTTTCAAAAGTAGCAACCATTTTTATTAACTAAAAAGTGATAATAAATAAATTCAATTTTGGAATAAAAAATTGAAAAAGAAACATTCAAGAATAAGACCGTCTAGACTCAAATCGACTTTCGGTATAAGAGAACGGAACAGGTCACTAGAGTGCCAGGCGACATAGATCTATAAATTTTTTTTGATTGGCCAATCCGGATTCCGGATGTTTTTTCCAATCCAAAAAAATTCCAATCCCTCATTAAGAGGTATCTTTTTCCAAACTAATGGATCAAGTCTAATCACTCATTAAAAAGTTACGACTTGATAAGTGCAAGAAATCGTCGTTTTTCACATTTAGTGAGTTGAGAATTTATAATGGGTAAACAGACCTGAAACATTCAGTTGGGAAAAAGATACTGCGGTAATAGTGTCGTTTCCAGTCCCCATTTTTTCCTCCCAATTTTTTACCCTATGTTTGTACCGAATGGTCAAATTTTCCCCTTTCTTTCACCAAATTTGCCTTTCCATATTTTGCATAAAAACAATCAAAAAGACTTCTTTTTCCTTCTATGTATAATAGCCAGAAAACATTTTCCATGCTTGGTGTTTCTCCTTGTGAAAGAACTGAATAAAAAATTAATCTTTTTGATTGTTTTTAGGCAAAATATGGAAAGGCAAATTTGATGAAAGAAAGAAGAAAATTTGACCATTCCGTACAAACATAGGGTAAAAAATTGGGAGGAAAAAATGGGGACTGGAAACGACACTATTACCGATACTGCTTATCGAGAGCTTTCGAATGATAGGAATCATTCGAATTGGACCAAATTAGCCGATCAAAGGCGCGGCGCTCTAGTGACCTCAAAAAATATCTAGACTCAAATCGACTTGAGGAACGAGACTAAGCTTTTAAAAAGAGTAAATATAGAAAGAGGGGAAACATTTTCGGCCGGCCGAGTATAAAAATTCAAGGGTCACTTTATCTATCCAATGCTCATTTGCTTGTGTTTATCTTGATATTTTTTCTTTAAATTTTCAGTTTTAGATATTAGATTTTCTTATTACTTAATTTGTTTCTGAAATGAGCGCTTCTTCGCGACGCTTACAAAAGGTTATTCTATAATAAATGAATTTCACTATTAGCAAAAAATTTCAAAAATTTCAAAAATTTCAGGAACTGGCTGAAATGAGAAGCAACAGTTCTGGTACTGTTCGTATAGCTGAAGTTGATGAAGCGAATCTTCTGCATTGGGTTCTGCTCCTCTATCCTGTAAGCAATATCACTTATGGATTTGTTTAGATTATATTTTCAAGGAGCGTGAGCCTTACAACCGTGGAGCCTTTCGTGTCACCGTGGACTTTCCAACCGAATATCCTTTCAAGCCTCCACGTGTTACGTTTGTGACTAAGGTTTGCATTTTTATTGATTATGGCAGAGTTTTTTTATTTCTAATATAATAGATATATCACCCTAATGTTGATGACAAAGGTCAGGTTTGTTTGGGCATCATTCAAGCTGAGAACTGGAAGCCGGCTACACGAACGGAGCAAGGTTTTTAATTTTTGAAAATGGGTTATCTCCAAGTCTAGAGAATAATCTGAAGTAATTTTTATTAAATAGTTATCAATGCGTTGGTTTCGCTTATTGCTGAGCCGGAAATTAATCATCCGCTTAGGGCTGACTTAGCTGAAGAATTCCAAAAGGATAAGAAGAAGTTTCTTAAGAATGCTGGTAACTATTATTTAGTAAACTTTGTTTTTTAATTAAATTTTATTAAGAGGACTACACGAAGAAACATGCTGAAAGGCGTGATTGAGGATGAAGGTGGCTATAATTGGCAAGAAACGTAATGTGTTGATCTTATCTTCATTCATCATCTCTTAAAGTTATATTCGGTTTTCAATATAAATTATTGTTGAGTGGGGGGAACCGCCAATTTATGAATTCTATTGTGAACTAACAAGAACTGGATTAATTGATCAAAGAACTGGAGATGATCAAAGAACTGGATTAATTAATAAGACTGGGTTCAATTGCGTGGTTGCGTTTGCTTAAATTTCAACGGTTGCGTCTATCCATGCTTAAGGCAATAGTAACCGTTCCATGGCTTATATTGTTTTGTATCCAATTTGCGGTTCTCCTAACACTTCCAGTAGTAATGTAAAATACCTATTTATAAAAATTGAGATTCTTGAATGTTTATTGTAAATTATTTAGTATTTTTCGTAGTTGATGCGATTTGTTATAATTCATACAATTATTTTGTTGTTTTATTTGTATTTTAGAGCTTAACATTTCCTTAAAAATGCCTGTGAAGGATGAAATTTTTCGAAATATTCATGTAGTTGCCCAGGGTTTGGATGCATTACGAACATGAAGCAACAAAAGACAAGCTGACATATTTGTTAGTGAATTATACTTCGTTGGTGCTCAAGTATTTAACATCAAGCAGACAATGTAGGATGATAAGGTTTGATTTTGAGGGATAAAGTTTGGCTTGGGTGTTTTGAGGGTAAGCTTTAGCGTTTGAGGATTGGATGAGTTGAAAGGATGGATAAGGCTTATCGGGAGACGGGATTGGCTCTAACGGTGGATGGGCTTGGGGCAGGGATGAGATGTCTTGTTGTGGGAGATGGGCTGGGGATGGAGACAGGTGGTGGTCGGAAGTGGTCTTCCGACCTTTTTTTGACCTTTTGTCTCGTTTTTTGAATCTGGCAGGCTCCCCGCTCTTATAAAAGACTTGTATAATTTTTCAAAAAATTTTCAGCTCAAGGATAAAATTAGCGAGGACGATAAGAAGAAGGTTTTGGACAAATGTCAGGAAACGCTCTCTTGGTTATACGCCAACCAGACTGCTGAGAAGGAAGAATTTGAGCATCATCAAAAGGAATTGGAAGCTATTTGCAATACGATCAATTCGAAGCCTTACTGCTTTAACATCAAGCAACCAATGGATGATAAGGTTTGATTTTGAGGGGATTAAAGTTGGGATTGGGTTGCTTTGTGGGGGATAGGAGCAGGTATGCGCTGGGACATCGATTGACTCTTGGGGTGGCGTCGAAGCATTGATTGGCTGTCTTGGTGTGGAATTGACTGTTTTTGGGTAGGTTTGGGAGCGGAAAAGGCTGTTTTGTTTGGGAGGGGGGGGGGGGGTGTTGGTGGAATGGAACGTGTTGGTTGAAATTTTCTTAATTTCTCCGTCCTACTGGTGACAAAGCAATGATATTACCTCTGGGGATTCGGGTGGATTAAGAATGATATTAGCGGAAGAGGAGTGATATTCAGGTTTAGAAGGATATCGCGGGGATATCGACAGATTAGTTTTCCACCTCATAATAATACTTCTCAAATTTTCATTGTTAATGTAAAGGTATTTTGCAGACGTGTGCTTAACAACAAACGCTCCTCGTACAAGCGTGTCAGAAGCTACACGAGACAATATTTTATTGGAAGAAGTGTTCTTGATGAGCATTGGACTGCAACAAATTGATGATGAATTACAAGGATGAGAGAAGCTAAAAAATGTGGCAAAGATGCTTCCGCCACATTTAAAGGTCCTGAAATTTTTTTAATAATATTTTTCTATGTTTTTGTGTGCTTTTCCGTTTACACGACAATTTTAATTTATAACTCAATTTTTAATGATTTCCAATCCAAAATTACAAAAACTAAGCTTTTCAGAATTAAGCAAAACGTTAAAATTTTAAGTGTAAAGTGAAGAACGGAAAAGTACAAATTTTTGCCACTTGTAAAAAAAGGTTTGGGCCTCTTCTTTACAAGTGGTATTTTTTTCATTTCGCTTTTTTTTGTGGTTAAAATTTGTTTGGGGTTCCCCCTCCCCTTCTCCCCGGGCGTACCTCACTCTCGAATCTATCCAATCTCAAAAAACTTAAGACATTTCCCTATTCTCCAAAACTTTCTAAACTAAGATGACCTCGAGTTTATGACTCTTGGAAATTTTAGGGGTTTCTCTAATGCCCCCTAAATAATACCGTGAATTCATTTATGTATTGTTAAAGCATTCCAAACTGAACCACCAAAACTTAACATAGGTTCAGGCTTTCATACCTCCCAGTTATATCCAAAGGCACGGGTTCTTATTCAATAGGTGTAGACAGTAGGGCACTAGGCATAGGCTTCCTTAGACGTTGACCTAGACTTTGACCTTTGAATTACCCCCCCCCCCCCTTCCTGAACCAATTGTCCAATGATCAATTGTCCCAATGATCAATTGTCCAGTGATCAATTGTCCCAATGATCAAATGTCCAGTGATCAATTGTCCAGTGATCAATTGTCCCAATGATCAATTGTCCCAGTGACCAAATTTCCAGTGATCAATTGTCCCAATGATCAATTGTCCCAGTGACCAAATGTCCAGTGATCAATTGTCCCTGACTGTCCCACACTAAAAATCCCACACTGAAAATCTGGCACCAAAAATGACCGACCCCCCTTTTTCAAAAATCCTCTCCACAGGTTCAGGCTTTCATACCTCCCAGTTATATCCAAAGGCACGGGTTCTTATTCAATAGGTGTAGACAGTAGGGCACTAGGCATAGGCTTCCTTAGACGTTGACCTAGACTTTGACCTTTGAATTACCCCCCCCCCCTTCCTGAACCAATTGTCCAATGATCAATTGTCCCAATGATCAATTGTCCAGTGATCAATTGTCCCAATGATCAAATGTCCAGTGATCAATTGTCCAGTGATCAATTGTCCCAATGATCAATTGTCCCAGTGACCAAATTTCCAGTGATCAATTGTCCCAATGATCAATTGTCCCAGTGACCAAATGTCCAGTGATCAATTGTCCCTGACTGTCCCACACTAAAAATCCCACACTGAAAATCTGGCACCAAAAATGACCGACCCCCCTTTTTCAAAAATCCTCTCCACAGGTTCAGGCTTTCATACCTCCCAGTTATATCCAAAGGCACGGGTTCTTATTCAATAGGTGTAGACAGTAGGGCACTAGGCATAGGCTTCCTTAGACGTTGACCTAGACTTTGACCTTTGAATTACCCCCCCCCCCTTCCTGAACCAATTGTCCAATGATCAATTGTCCCAATGATCAATTGTCCAGTGATCAATTGTCCCAATGATCAAATGTCCAGTGATCAATTGTCCAGTGATCAATTGTCCCAATGATCAATTGTCCCAGTGACCAAATTTCCAGTGATCAATTGTCCCAATGATCAATTGTCCCAGTGACCAAATGTCCAGTGATCAATTGTCCCTGACTGTCCCACACTAAAAATCCCACACTGAAAATCTGGCACCAAAAATGACCGACCCCCCTTTTTCAAAAATCCTCTCCACAGGTTCAGGCTTTCATACCTCCCAGTTATATCCAAAGGCACGGGTTCTTATTCAATAGGTGTAGACAGTAGGGCACTAGGCATAGGCTTCCTTAGACGTTGACCTAGACTTTGACCTTTGAATTACCCCCCCCCCCTTCCTGAACCAATTGTCCAATGATCAATTGTCCCAATGATCAATTGTCCAGTGATCAATTGTCCCAATGATCAAATGTCCAGTGATCAATTGTCCAGTGATCAATTGTCCCAATGATCAATTGTCCCAGTGACCAAATTTCCAGTGATCAATTGTCCCAATGATCAATTGTCCCAGTGACCAAATGTCCAGTGATCAATTGTCCCTGACTGTCCCACACTAAAAATCCCACACTGAAAATCTGGCACCAAAAATGACCGACCCCCCTTTTTCAAAAATCCTCTCCACAGGTTCAGGCTTTCATACCTCCCAGTTATATCCAAAGGCACGGGTTCTTATTCAATAGGTGTAGACAGTAGGGCACTAGGCATAGGCTTCCTTAGACGTTGACCTAGACTTTGACCTTTGAATTACCCCCCCCCCCCCCTTCCTGAACCAATTGTCCAATGATCAATTGTCCCAATGATCAATTGTCCAGTGATCAATTGTCCCAATGATCAAATGTCCAGTGATCAATTGTCCAGTGATCAATTGTCCCAATGATCAATTGTCCCAGTGACCAAATTTCCAGTGATCAATTGTCCCAATGATCAATTGTCCCAGTGACCAAATGTCCAGTGATCAATTGTCCCTGACTGTCCCACACTAAAAATCCCACACTGAAAATCTGGCACCAAAAATGACCGACCCCCCTTTTTCAAAAATCCTCTCCACAGGTTCAGGCTTTCATACCTCCCAGTTATATCCAAAGGCACGGGTTCTTATTCAATAGGTGTAGACAGTAGGGCACTAGGCATAGGCTTCCTTAGACGTTGACCTAGACTTTGACCTTTGAATTACCCCCCCCCCCTTCCTGAACCAATTGTCCAATGATCAATTGTCCCAATGATCAATTGTCCAGTGATCAATTGTCCCAATGATCAAATGTCCAGTGATCAATTGTCCAGTGATCAATTGTCCCAATGATCAATTGTCCCAGTGACCAAATTTCCAGTGATCAATTGTCCCAATGATCAATTGTCCCAGTGACCAAATGTCCAGTGATCAATTGTCCCTGACTGTCCCACACTAAAAATCCCACACTGAAAATCTGGCACCAAAAATGACCGACCCCCCTTTTTCAAAAATCCTCTCCACAGGTTCAGGCTTTCATACCTCCCAGTTATATCCAAAGGCACGGGTTCTTATTCAATAGGTGTAGACAGTAGGGCACTAGGCATAGGCTTCCTTAGACGTTGACCTAGACTTTGACCTTTGAATTACCCCCCCCCCCTTCCTGAACCAATTGTCCAATGATCAATTGTCCCAATGATCAATTGTCCAGTGATCAATTGTCCCAATGATCAAATGTCCAGTGATCAATTGTCCAGTGATCAATTGTCCCAATGATCAATTGTCCCAGTGACCAAATTTCCAGTGATCAATTGTCCCAATGATCAATTGTCCCAGTGACCAAATGTCCAGTGATCAATTGTCCCTGACTGTCCCACACTAAAAATCCCACACTGAAAATCTGGCACCAAAAATGACCGACCCCCCTTTTTCAAAAATCCTCTCCACAGGTTCAGGCTTTCATACCTCCCAGTTATATCCAAAGGCACGGGTTCTTATTCAATAGGTGTAGACAGTAGGGCACTAGGCATAGGCTTCCTTAGACGTTGACCTAGACTTTGACCTTTGAATTACCCCCCCCCCCTTCCTGAACCAATTGTCCAATGATCAATTGTCCCAATGATCAATTGTCCAGTGATCAATTGTCCCAATGATCAAATGTCCAGTGATCAATTGTCCAGTGATCAATTGTCCCAATGATCAATTGTCCCAGTGACCAAATTTCCAGTGATCAATTGTCCCAATGATCAATTGTCCCAGTGACCAAATGTCCAGTGATCAATTGTCCCTGACTGTCCCACACTAAAAATCCCACACTGAAAATCTGGCACCAAAAATGACCGACCCCCCTTTTTCAAAAATCCTCTCCACAGGTTCAGGCTTTCATACCTCCCAGTTATATCCAAAGGCACGGGTTCTTATTCAATAGGTGTAGACAGTAGGGCACTAGGCATAGGCTTCCTTAGACGTTGACCTAGACTTTGACCTTTGAATTACCCCCCCCCCCCTTCCTGAACCAATTGTCCAATGATCAATTGTCCCAATGATCAATTGTCCAGTGATCAATTGTCCCAATGATCAAATGTCCAGTGATCAATTGTCCAGTGATCAATTGTCCCAATGATCAATTGTCCCAGTGACCAAATTTCCAGTGATCAATTGTCCCAATGATCAATTGTCCCAGTGACCAAATGTCCAGTGATCAATTGTCCTGACTGTCCCACACTAAAAATCCCACACTGAAAATCTGGCACCAAAAATGACCGACCCCCCTTTTTCAAAAATCCTCTCCACAGGTTCAGGCTTTCATACCTCCCAGTTATATCCAAAGGCACGGGTTCTTATTCAATAGGTGTAGACAGTAGGGCACTAGGCATAGGCTTCCTTAGACGTTGACCTAGACTTTGACCTTTGAATTACCCCCCCCCCCCCCTTCCTGAACCAATTGTCCAATGATCAATTGTCCCAATGATCAATTGTCCAGTGATCAATTGTCCCAATGATCAAATGTCCAGTGATCAATTGTCCAGTGATCAATTGTCCCAATGATCAATTGTCCCAGTGACCAAATTTCCAGTGATCAATTGTCCCAATGATCAATTGTCCCAGTGACCAAATGTCCAGTGATCAATTGTCCCTGACTGTCCCACACTAAAAATCCCACACTGAAAATCTGGCACCAAAAATGACCGACCCCCCTTTTTCAAAAATCCTCTCCACAGGTTCAGGCTTTCATACCTCCCAGTTATATCCAAAGGCACGGGTTCTTATTCAATAGGTGTAGA